GCCCAAGGGCTTGGGCCCTGCACCTGGGAGACCAGGAGGAGGCACCTGGCTTCCATTTGGGGGATGAACCAACAGAAAAAAGGAAGACCTTTCTCTCTCTCTTTAACTCTGTCTGTCCAAAAAAAAAAAAAAGGAAGTGGAGCAGCCGGGTCCTGAACCAGCGCCCTTGTGGGCTGCCAGCATCACAGGCAGCAGCCTTACCCACTGTGCCACTGCGCCAGCCTAAGGTTGTGGATGGATGCCTTGATGGTGTACAGCATCTTCCCTGCGGGCTAGCACGCCACCTCATGGCTCATTAAGAAACCACTCACTTACTGCACACCTACTACGTGTCCGCCACTGAAGCTATAGAGACCAATGGCTTTTCTCAAGGCTGCTGTGTCTCTGAGAGTGACAGGTCCATGGCTGATCTGCTTGGGCATAGTGGGTCCCTGCCAGGCCAGGAATCCCCACTGTCTGCCCAGCTTGGCCCTCCGCCTGCACTGGTCCCTGGGGCATTGCCCTGTGTTCCATGGAGAGGGCCCCCTGAAGGCTGGCTGGTGAGGGCCTGGCTCCCTCCACAGGGTGGGCACCGGCTGTGTCTTCTGCACCCAATTTCCATCAGAATGGCTCATGCCCGGTCACTGGCTCGGTGCCATGAACTACTTGGCAGAAAAACTGTTGCAAAGAGGTGGCAGGGGCAGGTCACCAGGCCCGGTCTCTGGAATTCTTTTATCCATTTCTTTGAAAGGGAGAGATAGAGATAGAGATAGAGATAGAGAGAGAGAGAGAGAGAGAGAGAGAGGTCCTCCATCCGCTGATTCACTCCCCAAATGGCCATAATGGCTGGAACTGGGCTGATCCGAAGCCAGGAGCCAGGAACTTCTTCTGGGTCTCTCATGTGGGTGCAGGGGCCCAAGGACCATCTTGGACCATCTTCCACTGCTTTCTCAGGACATAGCAGAGAGCTGGATCGGAAGTGGAGCAGCTGGGACTTGAACCAGCACCCATATGGGATGGTTGGCACTGCAGGCTGCGGCTTTACCCGCTATGCCACAGCACCACCTCCCGCCCCCAAATTCTGATCGGGACGGTTTCTCCTTCCTGCTGACCGTGAGCTCCTGGAAGATCACAGGCCACTCCTCCCACCCCCAACCTAGCAACTGGGTTTGTTGCTGAATTACAGCCGCACACTCCAAGTCTGATGCACCTATTTTGCAGGTGGCTAGAGTGAGGCTCCGGGCAGGGATGCCTCTTAGACTTCCCATGGGTCTTCAGGGCTTCGCTCAGGGGAGCAGGCTCCCAGTGCTGAGCGCTGCACCATCAGCTTTGTGCTCAGCCACTGCCCCGCTCCTTGCCTCTGCAGAATCGCATGCCCTTGCCTGGAACCGGCTCTATGGCCAGAGTCACGCGGTGTCACTTGGGAAATGCCAGGGGAGAACTGCACAGTTTCTCTGCTGTGCACCCCTAATGCTTCCCCCAAAACCTGAAATCTGGGGTTGCTGTTTGGGGCAGCAGGTTAAGCTGTTCCTTGTGGCACCTGCACCCCACATCAGAGCCCCCGGTTCCGTCACTTCTCAGCCTGTTGGCTAAGATTGAGTGTAAAGTCCGGTCCAGTCCTGGCTGCTCCACTTCCCATCCAGCTCCCCGATAATGCGGCTGGGAAAGCAGTGGAAGACGGCCCAAGTGCTTGGGTCCCTGTACCTGTGTGGGAGGCCCGCATGGAATTCCTGGCTCCTAGCTTTGGCCTAATCCAGCTCAGGCTGTTGCAGCCATGTGGAGAGTGAACCAATGAATGTAAGTGATCCCCCCCTTCCCAGTCTTCTGCCTTTCCAATACATAAATATATACATCTTAAAAATTTGTTTTAAGGGGCTGGCGCTGTGGCACAGTGGGTTAACACCCTGGCCGGCAGTGCCGGCATCCTATATGGACACTGGTTCTAGTCCTGGCTGCTCCTCTTCCGATCCAGCTCTCTGCTGTGGCCTGGGAAACCAGTAGAAGATGGCCCAAGTGCTTGGGCCCCTGCATCTGTGTGGGAGACCCGGAAGAAGCTCCTGGCTCCTGGCTTCGGATTGGCACAGCTCCAGCCACTGCGGCAATTGGAGAGTGAACCAGCAGGCGGAAGACCTCTCTCTTCTCTCTCTGCTTCCCCTTTTCTCTCTGTGTAACTCTGACTTTCAAATAAATAAATAAATAAATAAATCTTTAAAAAAATTCCTGGCTTTTTGTGACTCTCACAGGCATCCCTCATCCACAGCCACATGCTCATCCCACACATCCTTCGGGGTCTGAATGCCTCCTCTTCCTGGGAGCCCTCCTTGGTTTCTCCATCCCTTGGTCTGTTTGATGATACAGCTCATCTACATCACTCCCATCCTCTCCTTATTACCTCTGTGGGATTGCAAGGGGCTTCTCCCCAACGTGGCAGTATCTGATCTCACCTATCCAGGCTCCCTTCCCTGTCCCAATTTGCTATGCATATCCTCTGTCCACGGGACAACTGTGTCCACCCACAGAGGGCAGGGCCACGTACAAATTCGCCTGTCACAGGGCTTCAGAACAGGAAAGAGCAACGACACTCAAATCACGGGTGGTTGGAGGAACATCCTTTGGGTGCAGGCTCCCTGCTGGGCGGGGGGACAGAGATGCACATGACAGCAATAGCGCGGTGACATGCAGCACGGGGTGGGGGTGGGGCTTTGAGCTGCACCTAGGAGGACAGAGGCTGTGATCAGGGGCAGAGAGAGAAGCTGGGAGGAAACAGGGGCTGGAAGCAGCCCTGCTGGCTGAGTCCTGGTGGCAGGCATGGAGAGAAAGGAGCTCAGGGGCAGAACAGGGGCTGGGAAGGCTGGCAGGGATCTGCTCAGCTGCCCCTCCAGGCTTGGACCCTCGTGCTCAGATGAGATGACGGGAGTCAGGCTACCTGGGTCCAAATCCCATAGGCATCATCTGACCCTGGACACACACAGGCCTCTCTCCAAAGGGGGAAAGGGGGGGGGGGTGCTGAGCAGACACTCCACTAGGGTGAGGGAAGTGAAATTGCAACCTGTTAGAGAAAGGCACCAATGGAGATGAACACCAAAGGGTGCCACCCCCTGCCCCAAGTAATCAAAGACATATTCTAATGCAACCCTTTAAAAGACTGGAAAGTAATCCAAAAACTCCACCACGAACAAAATGCAAAAAAAAAAAAAAAAAAAAAAAAGTAAATAAAGCCAGGATCTGCCTGGCACAAGTATGCAGCTCAGAAACATGCGCGGTGATTGGATGGGGAGTTCTCAGCCTTCAGGGGCCGTGGACTTGGGCAGCCCGGCGGGAAAACCCGTGGCGCCTCTCCCGGAAGAATGCAGGAGCCCGCACAATCTATGCACAGTCTTGGGGTGTTCCCGCGCTGCCTGCGGTCCGTCCGCGGGAAGGTTAAGAACTCCGTGCGAGGGGCAGGCGCCGGTGGTTGCGCGCGCCATCCAGCCGCCTGCGGGTGCCCCAGGACCGCGCCGGGACTCCCTCCTGGCAGCCACCGGTGCTCTGCCCCCTACAGGAAGCTGCGCACAGCTCTGCGGCTCCCCTCGTCCCCCCCTCCTCCGGCTTGGGACTTTTCCTAAAGTTTGTTGAAACCAGACACCTTGCTCCACCGAGCCCGCGTGCAGCCACGGTTTAAAAGGCCGCCTTCAGCGCCCCCTCCCCGCCCCCAGCGGAGACTTCAAAAGGCCCGGCGGGCGCCGCGGCCCCAGCACCTATGAGCCGCCCCCCGCGCCCGGAGCTCGCGCCGGAGCCCGAGGACGCAGAACGGCCCCAGTTCGAGGGCAGGCAGACCGGGCTGGCGGCACAGTCCCGCGCGCCCATGCCCCTCCCGGCGCCGCAGCGCTCCGCGCGCCCGCGCCCGGTTTAGGGAAGGGGACCACGCACCCCCGCCCCCGCGCCCGCGCCTGGGGCTGCGGGGACCCATGAATACAAATGCCGTTAGGCGCCCGTGGAAGAACCGACCGTCCAGCCTCGTGCTTAGGGACCCAGTAAGTGCCTGGGGCCCCCTGGAGCGCTGGGAGTACCCGGGTGGTTGCGGGAAGGTGCGCGCGCACGGAGCGAGCGCCCGGGCTCCCGCGCGCGGTGGGCGCCTGCGAGGGTGTGTGCGCGTGAGTGTGCACTTGAGTTTGTATGTGTGTGCACAAGGGCGCGCGGGTGTGCGTGTTGAGAGGATCTGGCCAGTACGGCGTGCATTTGTGTGTGTCAGCACTCGTGTGAGGAGTCCAAGTGCGCGCCCAAGTCAGACGTTCGCGGGTGTGTGCGTCGCGTGTGCTGCGCCTGCCTGTGAACGACTGTGTGTGTTGTGTCCGAGGCCCGGGCAAGTGTGCGTGCAGCGGAGTGCGCGCACCGGGGAGTGCGCGTGCGGATCTGCTGTGCACGAGGAGCGGAGGTGCAGGCAGAGTGAGGCTCTGGTCTCGGGGCCGCACTGGGCGGGTGTGGGCCTTTGCAGCGCGGCCGGGGTGAGGGTGCCCGCAGGACAAGTGGGCAACTCTGCGCCCCAGCGACTCGGGATTTGTTAAGTGTGAGTCCCGTTTCTGACCCAAGGGAGAGATGGAGCAAGAGAGAGAGAGAGAGAGAGAGAGAGAGAGAGAGAGAATATAACCCATCCTGGACGCTCCGGCTCTGGGAGCGCAACCTTTCGGATGGAGCTCCGGAGTTAGGACATTGGGTGCCCTGGACGGCTGGACACCACGTCCTGATCCCGGATCTGTCCCTACAACTCCTCTTCTCCTGCACCCCGTGTCCCCCCCATCCCCCCAGTTCGAGGACCGCCAATCTCGCAAGTCACACCTTCCGCCGAGTCTCAGGACTCTGGTGCATGGTTGCAGCCGTGCGCAGCCCTTTCTCGGAATCTGTTTCCCGGTCTGCGCCAGCGGGGAGGGGAAGGGTGTCCCCGTGGGGCTGTCGTGGGCCGCCGGAGGTTGTGTCCCCGGCTGCGGCCGGCAGGGGGCAGCAGCGGGCAGCAGAGGGCGGCCCGGCGCGGGGAGGAGGGACAGTGGAGAGCTGCCGCGGGCCGAGACTTTAAATCGCCTTCATTTCCCCCAAATCCTTCCTTTTCCTCTCCTCCCCCAGGCCGGCGGGGAGGCAGCTTCCACCGCCCTCCGCGCGCCCTCGCCCGGCCTCACTCTGCCTCCAGGGACCGCCGGCAGCCCGCCTCCAAAAGTTGGATCATTTTTCTCTCTCTCTTCTTGCTTCTTCCCTTTCGGTGGAAGCAGCAAAAGAGCGAGGCAGGGGCGAGCGCGCCGCCGGGACTCCTGGGACCATGGGCCTGGCGCGGGCGCCCGCGGGGCCCCAGCCGCGCTGCCCGCCTGCTTGGGCGCTCCTGGGCGCCGGGCTGCGCTGGGGGCGCGGGGGCCGCGCGCTCTGAGCCGGCCTGGCGCGGCGGGGCGGGGGGCTGGCGGCCCCATGGGGCGCGCCCACAGTTGCCCCCTGGACTCGCGAGCATGAAGTAGGGGCCTGCCATGGGCGCGGGATTGGCACCGGGGGCCCGAGGCACAGCTGCGGCGGAGGCACGCGGGGGGTGAGTACGCGCTCCGGGACGCCCCCTCCCCAGCTTGCTGCGGTGGCGATCTGGAGACGGCTGGAGTTCCCCGCCGCGCCGGACGCTGGCAGCCGAACGTCAGCTTCCTGTCCCTTCCTGCGTCCCCGCGGGCCGGGACGCTAAGGGTTAACAGGGGGCTGCGCCCCCGGCCGGGCGAGGGGTGGTGAGCACCTCCCACCCTGCCGCGCCTGGCTGGGCTGCCGATCCCGGCGGGGCGGGGGCCCAGCTGGGGAGGGTCCGTAAATGGCCAGCCCTGGGGTCGGGGTGGGGGCGGGTGGTGGCGCCCGGAGCGCGCGGCGGGGGCCAGAGGGGGCGTTAGGTTGCGCGCGCGGGGGCGGGGGGGTGGTTCTGGGTTTTGCCTGTCTCGGTGTGTTCCGGTGGCTCCCGGTGTGCGGATCCCGGGCGGCTGGCTCTCGGTTTGCATGTGTTCCCGTGAAACCGGCTGCGCGTCTCTGGGTCTCCCGGACTCCGGCCTCTCCCATCTCGGTGTCTGTGTGACTCCGCACGTCCCCCGCCTTTCTGCAAATCTCCGTGTGTGTGTGTGTGTGTGTGTGTGTGTGTGTTTGCCTGGGTCAGGGGTCGGTGTTTCCTGGCTTCTCTGGGGCAGCTGTCCGTGCCTGTCCCTTTCCCGCCTACGGCAGAAAGTGAGAGCCTGCATGTCCCCAGAGGGGGTCACCGAGAGGAACCCCTGATCGGGGCCAGAGCCGGGCAGGGCATCTCCGCGGAGGCTTGCCGGGTAGCAGTCGTCAGCCTGAGCCAAGTCACCCAGTGTGGGAGTGCGTGGAGCCAGCGAGGCCGGGAGCAGCCCTCCCGGGGACCAGAGTCCCGGCACAGAGCTTGCTGGCTTTCCAGCCTGCCCCCAGGACCCAGGACACTCCCTAGAGACTCATCAGGGCTGGAGCTCCGCCCTACACCACCAAGCCCTGCCCCTTAGAGGAAATGGGGGGGTGCTCCCCTGCTTCCCCATGTCTTGGAAAAAGCTGGCTGGTGAGATCCCCCCAACGCACACGCACCCACGGGCGCACACAGGGCCCCAGTGAGCACACTGCTGACTCATTTTCTCCAGGCCACCCTGAGCCAGGGCAAATGCCAGCAGCTGGGCCAAGACGTGGTGCCAGGGGAGCACCCCACGGTGGGGCCCAGGCTTTGGGCGAGTGGGCAGTCAGCCCGCGTTGAGGGCCAGCCTCCTCCTCCCTGCCTCTCTTACCAGGACATGCCCAGTGTGCCTGGAAGCTTTGCTGCCTGCCCCTGTCCCCAGGATGCTGTCCCAGGAGCCTCTGCTGGCCTGACTTGCCTTTCCCTTTCTCCCTCCCCGGTGCTCCCTCAACAGCCATCAGTGCTCTGGGGCCCTAGTCTGTCCCTTTCTGAGTACACACCCCTGGGACGTGTGGCATCTCTGGGTCCAGAGGCCCCGGCTAGGCTCACGGACTGCTGTAGCCCACGAAAGTGTCACTTGTCACTGGCCTTAGAGGATGGCCCAGGGACGTTCTCCGAGGCCGGTTGCAGAGCAGCAAGTGCGGGTCTTGCAGTCCACTGGACTCCAGTGTGGGTCCTGGCTGTGCCCTGCCAGCCTGGGCCAGACTCCAGCCTCCCAGCCTCTCATTTCCTCCTCCACAAAACGGGCATCTCCATTCCCGGCCAGTAGAGTGTCGCGAGGCCTGTGGAGGGCTCTAAATGGGGCCTGGCGTGCAGTAAGTGCTCAGTTAAAGGCAGCTGTTTTTTTGTGTTACTGTCCGCTTCTTCTTGAATGGGGCGTGTGAGTCAGTGGGAAAGTCCTGAACTACATCCTGTCCAGACAGATGGGCCATCTGCCTCCCCATGGAGGGGTGTAAGGTGTGAAGAAAGGGGCTTGGCTCTGGCCAGACCACAGAGGCAGGTGGGACAGGGCCACCTTCTTTGTCACTCTGGCTCCCAGCCATCAGCCTTCCCAGCTGACCCCAGGAGAGGACAGCCAAGCCCAGCACGCACAGGGCTGCTGCCTGGTGTGTTCCTGCCATGGGTCCCAGCTGTGTGTCCTCTGTACCCGTTCAGGTTGGCAAGGGTGCCTGAGCCCTGTGTGTTCCCAGGTGACAAGGACGCAAGGAGCCCGTCCAGCAGGCGGCAGTCCTGGCAGGGGGCCTTCTGCAAAGACCAGGAGCACCTGGGTTCCTTCTCAGAGGGCCAGGCAGCCGGGCTGTGTCTCCAGTGCTGCCTTCCTTGTGGCTCCAGTCTCGGAGCCTCCTGCCCTCCCTGGCCCCTGGCCCCTGGCCCCTGCCCCTTGGCATTCCCAACACTCTGGAGCCCCGGGTTCGCTGAGCCAAGGCCCAGGAGGCAGCGGTGCAAACAGAAGTCTGGAAGAACAAAGGCCCGAGCCAGCGCAGGCACTAAACGTTATTAGCAGTAGCCTAAACAGGATTGGAACGGGAGCAAAAGGAACCGGCAGAGCCTCCCTCCGGGAGCCAACTTTCCAGGCCTGGAGCTGCCGTCCGCACTTCCCTGCCTCCCTGGGCTGCATCCCTGCTCCTGTGGGTGAAGGCTGGGGCCGGCGTCTCTGGCAGGGGATGAGTCCCTGCAAGCCTCTGGCTTCTTCTCCCTGGGAGACACGGCAAGGGCAAAGGGCTGTTTGTGGGGCGGTGGCGTCAGCGTGCTGAGTGGCATTGGGCGAGTCCCCTCCCCTCTCTGGGCGTTGGTTGGCCAGCTCTCCGAAGAAGCAACAGGGCTAGAACCTGCCTCCTAGATGAGCTCAAAGGTGATGTGTTCTGTGCTTGGCAAGTTTAGGGGTCAAGTGCACGGAGACTCTGGACCCCAGAAGACCGGCTGCCTTTGGGGAGGGGAATGAGTGTGAGTGTCTCACGGAGGGGTGGGGGAGACCCTGGTGTCACAGGCCTCAGGGCTGCAGGGGGAAGGTGTGGCGTCAGGAGGCTTTATTGAGAAGATTCTGATTCTGTCTGCCCTGGGAGTCCCCCTTCTCCCAACCTTTGGGGATTAGAAGAAATCCACCCTCTACAGAGCAGCCACCTTGCATCTCCAGGAAAAGTGGCCAAGGACAAGCGTGGCTCCTGCACCCTCTCCTCCGCAGCCAGCCTCTCTCTGTCGGCTTGGAAGGGTGGAAGGGCTGTGGCGCAGGAAAGCCCTAGAGGAGTGAGGGCTGCGGCTGGGGAAGGAGGTGGAACAGAAATGAGTGGGGTCACAGGGACAGGCAAGCGAGGGATGGAATCTTCCCAGAAGGCATCTCGGGAAAACGAGTTCCTTGATCCTTTAAATCTGGAGACTGCGAAAAAGTGCAGTCAGTTTCTTCATTACAGGACTTGTCAGAGCCTTTGGGAACTGTCAGGACGGGCCAAGGTTTCCAGGACGTGGCCATCATCCTGGAGATCGCGAACCCAGAGTCTGTCCATGGGGCCTTCAGGAGAAAACACCTGCCCCGCCCTCTCTGAGCCTCAGTTTCCCTCATTTGTCAAATTAAACTTCTCCCTCTCCAAGGACTGAGCTGCCGTTTGCTCCTTTTTAAAGAAGATTTATTTATTTTGAAAGTCAGAGTTGGGGGTGGGGAGAGACACAGAGAGATATTCCATCTGCTGGTTCACTCCCCAGCTGGTTGCAATAGCTAGGGCTGGGCCAAGAGCTTCATCCGGGTCTCCCACATGGATGGCAGGGGTCCAGACACTTGGACCATCTTCTGCTGCTTTTCCCAGGCCATTAGCAGGGAGCTGGATGGAAGTGGAGCAGCCGGGATTTGAACCGGCACTCCTATGGGATGTTGGTGTTGCAGGTGGCAGGTGGCTTAACCGGCTGGCTCACAGCACTGGCCCCAGAGTTAAGATTTCGGGAAGACACTTTTTCAAGTCCAGAATCCTAGGTCACGTGCCCATATCCTACAGAAGTGTACTTGACAGCCGGCGTCTGCAGGAGCCAGGGGTCCTTGTCCTTCAGGGACTCGATCTGAAAAGGGAAATGGGAAATAAACCACACTTGTGATACCCGCTGTTGTGAGGGACCTGCAGCAGGCTCCAGGAGCTGACACCCACGCCGGGATGCAGCAGATGTGTGGGTGCTGACCGTGCAAGGAGCAGCATGTGCAAAGGGCCTGAGCTGGAGAGAGCTTTCGAGAATGCCCTCTTGTTTGCCTTCTGCTGCCGGTGATAGACACAGCTCAGCCTCGTATAAACAACAGGCTGGTTATGACTTCCCGTTTCAAGGAGGAGCAGTACAAGCGCTGGTTAATTCAGCGTCTCAACAGAATCATCAGCCACCCACTGTTTTTACTGCTCTGCCATCCTCATGTGCTCATGGGGCTTGTTCCCTCATACGCACAACATAGCTGCAACAGCTCCAGGCAGTATATCCTCAATATCATAAACCTCTGTCCCTTGGAAGCACTTTCCCAGGGTCCCTAACAGGTATCCCTCACCTCTCATTGGCCACATTTAGGCCATGTGTCTGTACCAAAACCAGCCACTAGCGTGGCAGATGACATTCCCAGAATGGCTTGGGCTGATTCAGATTCATCTGGCATCCCCTCAAGTTCATGCCTGTACGTGAGCGAGCAGGAAGGAGAGGGATGGCTGTGGATAGGAAACCAGCAGTGTCTTTCACAGTGCCCAGGTCCTAACTGCTGTGCAGCTTCGCGGCGGGGGCGGGGAAGCTGAGCGAGGCCGTGAGCTTTGTGCGCCCAGGCTCCAGAGGCGCTGCCAGCAGGTGGTTTCCTGGATTACACGAGTCCCCCGTGGCACGCCATCCCAGCTTTCCTCTTGGAAATGCATCCTGGGCCTGTCTGGCCCACTCTGAGCCCTCACCGCTGGCCTGGCACAGCTCTCCCCGCCTGCAACCCAGCCGTCTCTGGCCACGTGCCGCCCTCCCGTCTGCCCGCTGGGGGATCAGATGCCCTGGTGGCTTCGGGTGTCACCAGTGGCTGCTCCCACAGGAAGGTGAAATCAGACCGCTGCTGCCTCTGCCCAACCTGGCAGGAGCCTCCGGGCAGAGTTTTAACCCCTCCAGGCCCCAGAGTGCAGGACCTGTTGGGACTGTCCCAGGCACCCTGCTGTGGCGGACACCAGGCCGAGCCCTGAGTGTACACAGGCCGGTTGAATAGTCACGCCCAGCCTGCAAGAAAGAGAGTATCAGCCCGTGTCTCAGAGGGCGCAAGGGAGGCTCAGAGAGGCTGAGCGACTCCTCTGGGGTCACACAGCTGGGACACGTCGCCGTCAGGTTTGCTCCTGGGGCTGCCTTTGGGCTGAAGCCAGGAGGGCACAGATCTTCGCTCTCTCCCGCCCTAGCCGACCAACCTGGTTTCCAATCCACAGTCATCAGCCCTGCCTAGGGCCTTCAGAAGCCTCTCGCTATCACGAGACCACTGTGCGTATGGGGGAGACTGAGGCACGGAGAAAGGAAGTCAGGGCCAGACTTTGAGCTGGACCCCGAATGCCCCGATGCCCAGGGCAGGGCTTCCTGCGTGGCTCATGCGGCTATGAAATGCGGTGTTGCATTTGTGTTGTCAGCTCGTCCCGCTCCCGCTCCTGAGGCTGGGCTTGGAGGTCTCGGAGTGTGGGCTTCTCTGATGGGTTCCTGGCGCCTCCCCTCGCCTCCTACCTCCCACGGGCGAGACTGGGGCGGGGCGGGGCCGGATCTGGGCACGAGGGCTGGAAGCTGATGCCGCATCTGCTTGTGTCTCCCGGTCTCCAGGGGTTTTCTCGTTGCCTGGATCTTGGTCTCGTTTGCCTGTCACCTGGCCTCCGCCCAAGGAGCTCCTGAAGGTAATTCTCTCTTCTCTTTGTCCAGAGGGGGACAAAGCAGGATGGGAGGGGCCTGAGCTCTGGGGTGGAAGACTTCCATGCCCCTCCGTGGAGCTCAGTGCCTCAATTTTCCTGTCTGTAGAATGGGGACAGTCTTTGGGGGCTTGAAGGAACCACACTGGGAGTTTTGCAAGGGGTAACGAGGACGAGGACTGAGTGCAGAACGTGGTAGGGTGATCCTGGCATTCCTGTCTGGGGCAGATTTGAGTCTTTCTGGTTCAGGAAGCCTCAGTTGTCCCTCTTTGTGCAGTGGGTACCCTGAGCACTGCTCAGAGGAGGCGCTGAGGCCATGACTGCCCTCGCCCACGCCTGGCCTCCCAGCTTCCCTCTCCCCCTCTCCTACCCCGAGGAGCTGTGCAGGGGCCAGGGCAATGGTGGGCTGGCTGCACAGCTGCCCACAGAAATGGAAACCTCTCCCACATCTGCTTGTCAGGCAGCCACAGAGCCTCCTAAAATAGCGGCAGCTCTGAGCATCCCCGTGACTCGACCTGGCCACTGGGAGGGCGTCAGGCCCCCGGGAGGCCAGGACCGTGCCCGGAAGAGCCTTCTACTGCCCAGAAACATTTTCTGCAAATGTCACATGTTCCAAGGCCGCTGTTGCCCCCATGAAGTAGGTGAACAGCTGTCTGGAGTCCCAAGTCAGGCACGGAGCGGGCTGGGGAGAGGCCGGAGCTGTGTGGAGCCAGGTTTATGTAATAAAGGGATCGTGCCGAGGCCAGCTGGCTGCGTCCCTGCCTGTCGGCGCGGGGCTGAATTCATTCCCATCCCCCGTCTCTTCCCCGCTGATGGGATCCTGGACGTGTCTCCATGCTGCCTTGCACCAAATCTGGGAGACTCCGGTGCAGGGGTCGGGGCGGGGGCCTTGCGTGCAAACCCCAGCTGTGCCTTTTATAAGCCACGTGGCCTGGGCAAGGAATGCTCTCTGTCCAGCTCCTCTAACTACTCCCCCCACCCCATAACGCGGGGGACGTAATGAGTCCTTGTTCCAGAGACGGTTGTGAGAAAATCAGATGAGAGGATGTGTGTGCATAAAGCACTGGGTATACAGTAAGTGCTCCATAAATCCTGTTTTTATTATTGCTGTTAATTATTTTATTCACTTGAAAAGTTTGGGCAGGAATGGCCTTGCCCATGGGGCCACCCTCGGTGGTCGGGGACTCGCGGCTGCTCAGCAGCGACCCCGGCTGCTGGCTCCAGGTGTTGCAGGTTGGGGCTTGGCCCTTGGGGACCAGCTGGTGGTCAGCCTCAAGACCTACTCAGCACCCCCGTCTGCCACCTGCCCTGGCCAGGTGGTCCTCCCTTGGCCACAGCAGCAGCCAGCTGTGTACTTCATGCATGTAGTGGTGGGGGAGCGTGAGTAGGCCTGGGGGGCTGCCATCGTGGCCCCAGAGGAAGGGGCAGTGGCTTCCTGCCTCCGCACCCGAGTGGCTCTCCCTGTTTTTAGGCTGTTTGGAGTGAACAGTATTTTATGACAAGATGGTTTTGTGATTACAACAGATGAGATACACTGCTACTGGGCAAACCCATAAGCAGTGGTTTATTTCAGGGGAGAACCTGCACAGAGCTGGGAGCAAGGCTGGGAGGGAGGGTTTTGAAGTGAAAGGCAAGGCCCTTGGGTCCTGGGTCTTACATCCCAGCCCCCCCGATCCGGCACCTGGAGCGCTGGAATTCTTAGAACGTTCTTAGCACCTGGTGCCCTCTCCAGGTGTGGCTCAGAGCCCTCGTCTTCCAGGCAGGCAAACTAGGGCCTTAGGGGCAGGAAGAGACCGCAGCGGAGTTTTTCAGTGCGGGGTGGGGATAATGAGGAAGGCGACTGTTTCATCCTCCCGGCCTCCCTGGGGGTGCAGGCACTCTTTGTGGTTTTGTTTTACAGCGGAGGGAACTGAACTCGGAATCCAGGCTCACGGGAGGTCTTGTCAGACTCCTCGTCTAGGCCTCTGACTCTGCAGCCTGTTAGGGAGCCATTAGCCATGCTGCCGGCACCAGAGCTCTCGGTTTTCCTAGCAGCCCATCTGTCTGTCCATCCATCAGTCCATTCATCCATCTCTCCATCCGTCCACCCCTCCCTCTGTCTCCCTCCCTCCCTCCATTCATCCATCCATCTGTCCATCCATCCATCCAGAGGTTCCCTCCCTCCCTCCCTCTCTTCCTCTATTCTTCATCTATCCATCCCTCTGTCCATCTATCCATCCTCCATCCCTCCATCTATCCATCTGTCTATCCACCCATCCACCCCTCCACCCATCTCACAGTGGTCAACTGAGAGGCTACCACGTGGCCTTTGCACCAGGTGATTGTGATTGGCAGGGAGAGCACAGGGAGCAGTCAGAGGCAGGACCCTGAGGACATGACCCGGGCCCCGGTTCCAGAGGCCAGCTCCCCTTCCCCGCTGAGGTGGAGCTCAGGAGCCGGCTTCTGCAGGCCCCGGCGGCTCAGCCAGCCGAAGCAGGTCCAATGACCCGGGAGAGGCCAGGTCAGGCAGCCTTTCCATAAACACTCTGGAAACCCGCTTTCTGCCCTGGCCAGCCCCGCCGACGTAATTACGGGGCGGCTGTGACCCGCCAGACCACAGTCGGAGGTCCAAACACTTCGCCAGAGGATGCAGCTTGTAGAGATGCCTCCCTCCCTTCCCCTGCTGCCCCCAGAGCCACACGGGGAGGAGGGGGCCCTGTGGTGGAGACAGCAGCTCCCCTCGCCTGCTGCAGCCAGAGACAGACCTGGAGGGAGGAGGGGGCGGCGGAGCGTCCTGAGTGGGGGTGGGGGTGGGGGTGGGACGTAGTGGTGGTGGTGAAACCAGTCAGGCCCCGGGACATTGTTCTTGAGCTCCTGTGACACGCTGGTCCCTGGCTTGCGAGGTAGAGAAGAGGGTGACACCATCACGGGCCGGCTGCCTCTCTGGCTCAGCACGAGCAAGCGTTCGGCGGTTTTCATAAGTATCGGTAGCTGTCGATCGAGGTGCTTATTTTGTGCCGGGAACTTTTTCAATCACGCCGTCATCACAGCACCCTGCAGAGGTTGTTCCCATTCTTCTCCCATTGAAGAGATGGCGGAACTGAGGCACTAACGGCTCAGGGTTGGTACGCAGCCCAGCTGGGCTTTGAACCCAGGAGGTTTGGCCCTGGAGTCTGTGTTTTTTAATGGTGATATGCGGCCAGACAAGGGGACGTCACCCAAGGTGGTGTTCCCAGCGACCCCTGGGAACAGCGCGAAGTTTAGATGAATGAAGCCATCACCGTGTGCCCTAGGGTGCACTGGCCACACCACCCATGCACCTGCGCAGTCTGGGGCTGCAGCAGGCCCTGACTGTGTCCTCTTGCCTCTTCCCCAGATGTGGACGTCCTCCAGCGGCTGGGCCTCAGCTGGACCAAGGTGGGGGCCGGCCGGAGCCCTGCGCCCTCGGGAGTCATTCCCTTCCAGTCGGGCTTCATCTTCACGCAGCAGGCCCGGCTCCAGGCCCCCACGGCTGCCGTCATCCCCGCCGCCCTGGGCACGGAGCTGGCGCTGGTGCTCAGCCTCTGCTCCCACCGGGTGAACCATGCCTTCCTGTTCGCCGTCCGCAGCCGGAAGCACAAGCTGCAGCTGGGCCTGCAGTTTCTCCCTGGCAAGACGGTCGTCCACCTGGGGCCCCGGCGCTCCGTGGCCTTCGACCTGGACGTGCATGATGGCCGCTGGCACCACCTGGCCCTGGAGCTGCGTGGCCGCACGGTCACCCTGGTGACGGCCTGCGGGCAGCGCCGCCTGCCTGTCCCGCTGCCGTTCCGCAGGGACCCGGCGCTCGACCCTGGGGGTGCCTTCCTGCTGGGAAAGATGAGCCCCCGTTCGGTCCAGTTTGAAGGTGCCCTGTGCCAGTTCAGCATCCACCCCGTGTCGCAGGTCGCTCACAATTACTGCAGCCATCTGAGAAAGCAGTGTGTACAGGCTGACGTGTACCGGCCCCAGCTGGGACCCCTTTTCCTCCGAGACTCAGCAAGAACCTTCGCCTTCCACACTGACCTGGCCCTGCCAGGCATGGAGAACTTGACCACTGCCACGCCAGCCCTGGGGCCACGGCCAGCAGGCAGGGGACCCAAGGTGACTGTGGCACCTGCCACACCCCCCAAGCCCCTAAGGACTAGCTCCATAGACCTTGGCAAGCATGTCACAGCTGGAGGCCCAGCTTGGACCACACCGCCACCTGCCAAGCAGTGGGCCAGCAGAGCGCTTCCCTCCGCACCTCCGGCCCCCCGAGCCTCTGTGGCTGGCTCCACCAGAGCTTCTCGGCCTGCCACTGCCCAACCATTGCCACACATCACAGCTCCCAGAACCCCCCCGAGTCTCTCCTCCAAGCCTTCACCCCCTTCATCAGTGCCCCCCACCAAAAGCCCCCGTTCTGCCCCCAAGACGGCTCTGCCTTCACCCATGCAGTCCACCCCACCCGCCCAGAAGCTGGCACCACCTACTTCCCACCCACTTCCTGCCAGAGTCCCCCGTCCATCAGAGAAGTCAATGCAGAGGGCCCCCGTGACGCCTCGGCCTCCAACCCCCAGCACCCGGCCCCTACCTCCCACCGCAGGCAGCTCTACAAAACCCAGTCCCCCAGGAGCCCAGACTGAGCCCAGGATGCCCAGTCGTGCCAGCAAGCCGGCCCCCGCCCTCACCAGCACCCACAAACCTCCCCAGCCCACTGCTTCGCCTCCATCTCCTTCCTCTGGCTCTGGCTACACCAGGGTCCCTGGGCCGCCAGCCACGGCAGTGCCCCCCACCTCTGGCATCAGAATTCCCAGAACAACACTGCCTCCCACCGTCACGCCCAGCCCAGCCTCTGCTGGAAGCAAGAAGCCCACCGGCTCAGAAGCCTCAAAGAAAGCCGGCCCCAAGAGCAGCTCCCCGGAGCCCGACCCCTTCAGACCAGGGAAGGCAGCCAGGGACGCCCCGCTGAACGACCCGAGCACCAGGCCCGGCCCCAGGCAGCCCCAGCCCAGTCGGCAGACCACTCCGGCCCTGGCCATGACCCCGGCCCTGGCCGTGGCCCCAGCGCGACTCCTGTCTTCCCCAAGCCGTGACTATCCCTTCTTCCACCTGGCGGGACCAACGCCCTTCCCCCTGCTGATGGGGCCTCCCGGGCCCAAGGGAGACTGTGGCTTCCCGGTAAGCTGGGGTGGGGTCTGTGTGCTGCTGGGGGCCAGCGTGGGTGGCTGCTGCAGTTGGGCCAAGTGGTTGCCTCTGGGAAGGGCAGGGGGAAGGGAGCTACTTAGAGCGGAGCCTCGGCTCCAACCCAGGCCCCGTCTCCCTGGCTCTGCCCTCTGCATGGCTGCATATCCTGCAGTAGATTGACCGTCTGCTGGGACAGCCTCTGGTCTGGGGGCTGCGTCCCTCAACCCCCGTGGAGGGGGGCGGGCTTTAGGCCATTCTTTGCTAATCCAACTGCAAAGGTCAAGTATCTTAAGGAAGGAACACCACTGGGTGCCTGGCCCCAGGTCTGCAGAGTGAGCCTTCGAGTGGCCTCCCAGGCCTAGCCGTACGAGGCATGGCCGGAGCAGAGTCATCAGCCCAGCGCTTGTCTGGGGGTTGTGGACAGAGGTCACTCACGGATAGCCCCGGATGTGTTTAGTTTGGCACAGCCGCCCATGGTACCTGCCTGCCTGGCCCCTGGCGGCATGGATGTGGCCTCTCGAAGCCCCTAGTGGAGGAGTTTGGGCTGAGGAAGTTTGAGCGTGGGCCAGAGTGTGAAAGAACATTCCATGAGCAGGGGATGTTCTCAGGGCCGACGCCTGGGGCCGTCTCCAGGGCAACGACCTCTCCACAGCTGGAGGCCAGTTCCTCCGGGTGTGGGGGGAGCCGTGGGATGGAGCTTCCAGAAGGCTCGGGCCTCTGCCCCGGGAGGAGGACCACCGGGGGCTTCTGGAGCCGGGTCTCTCCCTGGGTTCCGTGTTGGAGGTTGGAGCGCCGCACAATGTGGAGACAGTGGCGGATGCTGGGAGTTCCCAGGCCCTCCAAACACACTTAATGAGTTTTAATAATCATTAGCAATAATATTTATTCAGCCTGTCTCCAAGGGGACCGAGAGTGCGCTTTTATTATAACCATATTGTGGGACTTATGGAACGGCTATGCATTGCTGGGCAGTTATGTCAATGTTCCGTCGAGTTTCCGTGTTCTGAAATTGGCAGCCGAGGGAGCTGAAGCCTCAGCTCTGTTGAGAAAGAATGAGGAGTCTTTTTAACCTACACATGCACACACACATGCACACCCGCCCAGGCTGCCGGGCTGGGCTCTGGCGCTGATGCCTTTGGGTGCCGACAGCTTGCCTTCCCCGAGCTGTGAAGTTGGAAACTGGTGACCCGCCCCCTGGTGATAGGGTGGTGAGGGCCCTGGCCCAGTGGAGGTGGCCAGCCCTCCCTCTGAGGCCAGGTGAGGCATGGAGGCCAGGGGAGGCAGGAGTGAGCTTGGGGATGTAGCACCTGCCCTGGGGTCCACTCAGATCTGGGTTAGCAGTGGGGAGGCCTCTGGCCAGACCTCCCACGGGAACTTTCCCCTCATCAGTGAAGGTGTCGAGGCCACCTGGGCACTGGACAGATGCCCGGGAAATCAATCTAGCAGGAAAAGAGACAGGAAGAGGACTGCACCCAGAGAAGGCCAAGACTTGCCCAAGGCCACACAGCACTTGGCGTGCAGAGTTGGACACCCCAGACTCTAGAGCGGCTCACTCCATTCTGCTCTCCTGAGCGTCCACTCTGAGGCTCTGGGACCCAGGTCTGGGGACTCCAGACGAGACAGGCCCCGTCCCTGGCCTCAGAGCAGCAGCCCAAGGTCTAAGGAACCCTGTGCTTTGATAACCTGTCCATTTTGTGAGCTGCTTCTCCCACAGGCCCATGACTCCCTTTAGGACCTCATGGGAACTGGTTAAGGAGGGCAGAGTGAGCTGGTCCGTGCACATCAGGTGACTGAACAGGGGCGGGGCCGCTGAAGACCTTGGCCACGGGCACCCCGCAAGTTCCTGCAGGAGCTGGGTGCAACTCTGCATCTCTGGCTTCCAGCCAGGGCCCAGGCCCTACCTGCTGCTCCAGCTCTGTCATCGCCGCCCCTGCCCCACCCTGCCTCCAGCTTGGAACCAAGGCTTCTTCCAGTAGGAGCCAGGAGCTGCCAGAAACTCTGTGCACCCTGTGGCAGGTGGAACATGGGTCACTTCTTTTTCATCAGATACCAGAATAATGCAGGGGGCCATCAGACAAGGTCATGGGAACTGCAAATGGGGAGCTAAGTTTATTTTGGTGTAAAAAATTTTGAAATCTATTCAGTTTTATCATAGTATATATTTTCTAAAGATCCCTCATATGTATGGATTTAAACATTTTTTGCACTAAAATAAACATATACTTGCTAAAAGAATTTTTAAAAATTTTCATTTTATTTGAGGGGCAAAGACACAGAGACATAGAGACAGACAGATCATCCATCCCTTGATGGAATAGCAAGGGGTGGGCCCAGCTGAAGCCAGGAGCCTGGAACTCAGTCCCGGTGTCCCAGGTGGGTGACAGGGCCCAGGGACCTGAGCCATAGTCCGCCCCCTCCCAGGGTGCGTGTTAGTAGGAAGCTGGGTCGGAGGCAGGATACCTGGGCTGGAACCCAGGCACTTGGATGTATCCCAAGCGTATCTTGTCTATTGCACCACACCTGCTCCTAAACTTACCTTTTAATTCGTTTTCCATGACTTTTTGAATTTCCCACTACAATGGCAGTGGCACCTGTGAGCAGTGGTGATCTGAATCTCCATCCTTTCTGTCTTCTTTTATCTGTGTTCAGGATTTAAGCCCAGCAGAGCCGGAGCTGTGCTGCCTGGGGCACAGGGCCCAGTGGTCCCCACCCTGGGTGGGACTCAGATCTGGGTTTGAATCCTGCCTCTCCCTGTTGTGAGCACCATGACTGAAGGGCCCAGAGCTTTGGTTGTTTTAGAATGGAAGGCGATGACGGCTCCCACTGCCCACGTCGGGAGGCCGACCTGAGAATTTGCATAAAAACCTGTCCTCAAAAGGAAGCAAGTTGGGCCATCTCATTTAGTTTTTTTTTTTTTTTTTTAAGGATTTATTTATTTGAAAGTCAGAGTTACAGAGAGGGCAAGGCAGAAGCAGAGAGAGAGACATCCATCTTTCATCCAATGGTTCACTCCCCAAATGGCTGCAATGGCCAGGGCTAAGCCAGCCTGAAGCCAGGAGCCAGGAGCTTCTTCCAGGTCTCCTACATGGGTGCAGGGACTTAAACACTTGGGTCATCCGCCACTGTTTTCCCAGGTGCATTAGCAGGGAGCTGGATCAGAAGTGGAGCAGCCGGGATTCAAACCGGCGCTCATACGGGATGCTGGCAATGCGGGTGGTGATTTACCTGCTATGCCACAGTGCTGGCCCCCATTTAGATTTGCTGAGTTTTATATTTGGGGGCATTCCGTCCATTTGCTGGGGCTCAGTCTCCCCTCTGTTAGGGCAATGAAAGAGCTCTCCCCTTAGCAATGCCTGTGGGACTGTGCAGTGAATGAGCAGGCTGCAGCGGCTGGGTGTGCAGGCGCGGACCTGTTCTCTGTGGTCCCGGGCCGGGCACGAGAGCACCTGGCAGAGGCTGAGAGCGAGGTCCGGGTAGCGGCTGCCAGGAGCCGGGGAGCAAGGGAGCGCTGTGGGAGCCCCGGGAGGGGGCATGGAAAAGCTGAGCTGGGCCCCGGCCGAGCAAGGCCCGGAAGCTGCACAGAAGCCACACGCCCGCGGGAGGCCAGGCGAGGCCCTAGTCGTTCCCTGGCGTTTGCACGCGCTTGCGCTGTGTGCAGGCGTCCCCTTGGGGAGACCCGGCGGAGGGCCTGGCTCACAGCGGATTCTCCGGGGCTATCTGTGGAATGAACGAGGGCATCTACTCCTTACAGCTCCCCCACCCCATCATCCTGACTCCCCTGCCAGGCTCCCTGGGGGCACACGGGAGCCTCTTGCTGGGGCTGAGGAGGCTGTGGACTGGAACAGCACACGGACTTTGGATCTGGAGCCCCTGGATCTGAGCCATTTGTGTAGCCAGCCAGTCATTCATTCTTTGCATGAGCATTGATCCAGCGCCTTGTAAGTTCCCTGGTGCTGTGTGACATTTGGCAAGTCACCTACCCTCTCTGGGTTGGAGTATCGACCTCTACAAAACGGGGATATGGTGCCAACTCTGTTTCTGGGGTTATGTGGGTTCAGGGAGGGGGGCATGTGCCCCCCTGATGAAACCTGGGTCGTGAGGCATTGCTGTGGCTGTGGTTATGCACTGATTGGGGGGGGGGCCGGGGGGCGGTGTTGAGAGGGGCCATGGTGATGTCAAGAGGACCGGGAGCTTGTTCTGGGCTCACTGTCACGGCTGCTTAGAGAGCTGTGCTCTGAGAACACTGGCACGGGGTTTGTTGGTGGGGAGCTTGGCAGGACATGAGGCTTCTGATGCCGCCCCACCTGCTCCGCCTCTGCTCCCAGCACGTACTCAAGAGTTTCTGGGTGAGTTTTCATTCATTTCTTTTTCCCCAGTGGCCTCCGCTCCAGGGCACAGCTGGAGGGGCATCTTGTAGCAGTTCCAGGCCCTTCCCAGTCAGAAACTGGGGCTAAGATCTTGGGAAATCCCCCTGGCTCCGGCAGCATCTAGAACGGAGGAGGGCTGAGGGTGGTTTGGCTTGGTCCGTGGCCTGTGGTGTTCAGAGCCCCGGCTGCGGGCCAGGCCCCGTGCTACGCAGTGTGCCTGCTGAATCGGGACATAGAGGGGACAGTTTACAGGGGTGTGGGCAGCCTCAGAGGGTACCAGCGGCAGCTGGCCAAGCACACGGGTCCCTCAGGGGCGCCAGGAAACTGTTACCACCCAGAACGTCCAGGGGTCTCCTGGCAGGAGTGAGAGCCACAGCAGGGCACAGCCTGGCAGGGAGGGCCAGGGGCATGGCACCTTGTTCACTACCTCTTCCACTGTAGTCCGTTCCTCTCCCACTGGCCCCATCCTGCCAGAAGCCGTGGGCAGGGAAGCCAGGGGATGCCGTCTGGAGTTGGCTTCCCCAGGGCCCAGAGTGGGTCTGGGAAGCAGAGCGGCACTCACCAGTGCACACAGTCACAGCCCATTCCACAGCCAGACACACTGAGGCCCGGAGGCCGAGCAGGCCCCGGAACAGAGGCTAGGGAATGCTCAGTGCCCTGAGCGCTGTCCTTGAGAGGAATCCTGACTTCTCGTGGTCAGAGATGGCCAGTGGCTTTGAGACCCCTTCCCTGCCCACCCCCATCAGGCACAGGCCCAGAGACGGGAGGAGGCAATTGTTTGAGGTCATGTGGCAATCGGCATGCCCAGGACTGGACTGTGGGCTCCCAAAGCCCAGGCCTGTAAAACCTCTCCTTGTTCTTGCCAAGGGAGGTGCCAGCCAGCACTCAGTGCCCTTGCAAGGCGTGGCTGGCGGACAATGGCTGGGATTCCCTCTCGGAGGCCAGGACCCTGGGGGAAGCCTGGAGTGGGGAACTGGCTGTTTCCATGCCTCTGTTTGTGTGTGCCTGGGGCCCGGGCCTCCTCCAGCTCCCCCAGGCCAGGCCTGCAGCCCCACTCCCCTCCTCTCCCCAGCCCTGGGCGCTGTCAGAGGCCCCGTTGTTTGCAGCGTGGAGTGGAAAATCCCACCCCGACCTCTTTGTGAATCATCCCGGAGTCACCCGCTCAGGCTTGGGGCCCTGGAAAGAAATGGCAGCGTTTTTCCACTGCATGGGAACAGGCAGGGGCTCGGAGCAGGGGAGAGAGGAAGGGGGCAGGGGTGGCCGCCCTCGCGCGCCCGCAAACAAAGTCAGCTCTGATGGGAAGAGTCAGGCCGGGGAGGCCTGGCCCAGGTTGGTGGAGGGAGGGCTCGGGCCAGCCCGGGGGTGGGGGCTGACATCACCAGCTGGGCCGTGGGTCCTGACTGGCACTTGGAGTCTGCTCTGCAGATGTTGTGGATGAGCTCAGACTCCAGCCTGGACGCCCCCATTTCTGGGGCAGAAGGAATGCCAAGAGGGAGTGTCCGGGCCTCTGCAGCTGTGACCCGGACCTGGGTCCAGCGAGGGAGACACACCCTGTGGAGCCTTCACTCCCCTTCACCCCTCCCTCCCCTGGGCCTTGACCTTCTCCTCTGTGAGATGGGCGTGAGCTCACGGGCCAGCTCCCACCTGATGAGCTTGGGGAGGAATTTACTCCTTCCCCGGCCTCCACAGCTCGGGCACTGCCAGTGCCGGCGACAGCCTAGGGGAACATGCAGGCTCTGCCTCTTGGTAGCTGTGTGGCCTCGGGCGGGCCACTTGCCTCTCTGTGGTTCTCTGATGAAGGCCCATGGTATCCCTGCGGGTGAGGCTCAGCCTCGGCCCCCTGCGTCTCCCCTTGCCACTCTGGGAGAATGAGGCCCAGGAGGGCCTTTTGGAAGGGGCACCTTGGGCTCTGTCCCCACCACAGCTGCGCAGGCGGGAGGCTGAGCATTCTGAGCTGGGGAGGAGCCAGGGCTTCGCCTAGCAGAAATAACAGCTAACATTTTTGGAGCATGAACTGTGTGCCAGGCCCCAGGATTAGCACTTTTTATAGATTATCTGTCGGCGTCATGCTATTCTTATCCTCATGTTACATTTATGGAAACCACAGCTCAGAGACTTGTCCAGAGTCACCAAGCTAGTGAGTGGGGGGCCCCGTAGGCCCCCCATTGGACATGCACCACCATCCACTGCTTCCACCGAAGTCAGCTGGAGAGGATGAGACCAGGCTAGCCTGGCCCCAACTCCTGAACCTGCAGAACTGGACACAGGGCCAGAGACCCTCTACTCCGCCCGTGAGCCCAGATGGAAGGAAGACAGGTGCCAGTTTGGCTAGAGGAAGCCGGGTGCTCGGAGGCGACTGGGACTTGCAGCATGTCCTGCCTCGGCCCGGGGCCCTTGCCCTGCGACCTGAGGCCTCGGTGCCCATATCTGCCTGTCTGGATCTCTGCTCTGGTTTTTATTCACGGGCGAGCAAGCGTGTGGCGTTTGCAGGCTGAGAGCCGAGGCTGCCCTGGGTGAGCTCTGGATTAATTACCAGCCAAAGCGTCCTGGGTTTTCAACACCGATTCTAACTCCGGGCAGGGAACCTGGCATCTCCTTGATGGTGATTTGAAACAAATGAATTCCCCAGGCCTCACACATCCTCGAAAGCCCTGGCATGCTTCGAAGGCTCCAGGCTCAGGTCTTCACATCAGATGCTTGGTTAAGCCTCGGTGATTCCTGTGGGGGCGGCTACCGAGCCTCACACGGGCGGAAGGAATTAACTGCACCAAGTCCCCAGCTGTTGAGTGGTAAAAGCAGGAGTCGATCAAAGGTCAGGCACAGCCTTATACAGCTTCCCTCCCCGGGTGGAAAGCAGAGCCGCCAGCCGGACAGGTGCTCCATCAGTGCCACACTTCGGGGTCAGGCCTGCCTCTTGGGGGAAGTGGGGAGCCACTCATTGTTGCTGAGCAGAGGGAGTAGCCTTGAGAGAGTGGATGGGGCTGCGTGGTGGAGGCAGTGGGGGCAGGGAGGCCAGTCTCAGGGCTGCTGTGGATTCTCGGGGTGCAGTGATGGGAGTTGGGCCAGGCTGTGGGAACGGGTAGAATCTTGTGCCAGCCACTGTGCTAAGCACTTATGGTCTCTCATTTCATCCTTGGAGTACTCAGCAAGTGGGGTCTCATCACGTCCAGCGGGCTGGAGGACCTTGCCCGAGCCCAGCAGGTGCATGGCAGTGGGGGTCTGAACCCAGGTTCATGGCTCAAAGCCTGTGCTTGGGCTCTACCTGCTGCAAAGATGCCTGGTGTGACCTTGGTCCAGTCTCTGCTCCGGCTCTGCAGAGAACTTGGCTGAGCTGAGGTCTCACACTGTTTTATTTGATCAAACTTTTGGCTGAACCCTGGGGAAAGAGAGTGATGACTCATAGCCCATTAGTTCCTTTGAGGAGCCCACGATCTGATGGGAGACACAGGCTTCTAAGCAGGCAATTCCCCAAACAATCGAGTGGTCTTTGAAAGAGAGGACTTAGCCGGCGCCGCGGCTCACTAGGCTAATCTTCCGCCTAGCAGCGCCGGCACACCGGGTTCTAGTCCCGGTTGGGGCGCCGGATTCTGTCCCGGTTGCCCCTCTTCCAGGCCAGCTCTCTGCTGTGGCCAGGGAGTGCAGTGGAGGGTGGCCCAGGTGCTTGGGCCCTGCACCCCATGGGAGACCAGGAAAAGCACCTGGCTCCTGGCTCCTGCCATCTGATCAGCGCGGTGCGCCGGCCGCAGCGCGCTGGCCGCGGCGGCCATTGGAGGGTGAACCAATGGCAAAGGAAGACCTTTCTCTCTGTCTCTCTCTCTCACTGTCCACTCTGCCTGTCAAAAAATAAAAAAAAAAAGAAAGAGAGGACTTAGGGAAAGGATCGGGAATGACTCCCTGGAGGAGGTGACAACCCGTGTTTGCTGACTGATAAAAGGCGCAGGCTAAAATGGTGGAGAAACTGCAGCTGCCCCGCGTGGCTGACCTGCCTGAAATCCCCAAGGGGCCTGAGTTCCTCAGGGCAGGGCCCCAGGGGACCCCTTTTCTCAGGCATGGGGTCTTCACCCGTGTAGCGCTGGCAGGATTGTTGAATGCTGCCACTTGGTGCTGTCTCACGCTGTTCCTGTGCTTTCTCTCCAGGGTCCCCCTGGGCTGCCTGGGCTGCCTGGCCCCCCTGGTGCCCGAGGGCCACGGGTAAGTGAATGCACGTCATCCCTCAGAGCTCTGGTTGGCCCGCACCCCATGGCTCTGCAAGTCCCAGTCCTGCTCCCTCACAGTGGGGGTGGACTTGGGGCTCTGGGGAGGGGCGGCTATGTGGATGACATGGCTTGGAACAGTGCCCCTTGAAGGCTCTCAGTGACCCAGTGGGCATCGCCATTCGCAGCCTGGGGTGGGAGAGGGATCCTGAAGCCCACACTCCCCAAATGGATGGACTTCTGTGTTTGTTCTAGAAAAAAAACTGGCCTGGGACCACATGTCCGCTGCATCTCTCTGTCCTTTTCCCCAACGCCTTCTAGGGTGGATGACAGAGACAACCAGATGGGTGGACCCTGGCTTGGGGAGCAGGGAGGACGAAGACCCCAGGCTGGGAGGGTCGCCCAGAGGCTGAGGGCAGCGTGGCATGGCTGTGGTGACCATGAGCTGGCCCAGACCTCGGAGTGACAGCAGCTGATGGGCGCTGTCCCTTTCTGCTTATCTCCGCCCCTTCCGCGGGCCCCACGGGCAAGAGTGGTCATTCTCATTTTAGGTGTGAGGGAACTATGCAGAGAATGGCAAGACCAGGACGGGAGCCCGGGGGTGGGGGTGAGGCCTAACCTGGTGCTGGCACCCTTTGAGTCCTCGTGAAGGGAAATCTGCCTGTTTCCCAAGAGGCCCGGGGCCAGCGGCACCAGGCGTCGGTGCCCAGGCTGCATCAGCCTTCCCGCGCTGGGTGCCTGGCGAGGCCCTGGCAGAGATAACCGCCTGGGGCGTATTTTTAGCTCCGAGCCCAGCGGGTGGTTCCGGTTATGCGATTACTCCGCTCCCTGCAGGCCTGGCCCTGCGCTCCCTGGGCCCAGGGCTCTGCAGTCCGGCGTTTCCTTCTGGCTTCCAAGCCTCCAGGGAGCCTGGGTCCCGAGCTGGGGACCACAGAGGTTTCAGGAACACTGCTAGCCCGTGGGACTGTGCAGCCTGGGCCCAGGGTCAGGGTCTTCCACCTACCATCGCAGGCCCAGGCCATCAAATTCAACTCCCGACATTCCTCCGGGGCCGGGCCTCTGCGCCCTCGCTCTGGGCATGCGCTCTTCCCCGCGCATGCTCTTTTGCGAAGATCAGACGCCACGCCCCTCTGATGGCCGGCGCTGCTTTGAACGCCCGCGCCAGTGCCTCTAACGCTGTGTGTGGAACGAATCGTTTTCTCATCAAAGCTCCTGATGACCATGGGGCTGTTTCCCGGGCTGCACGTGCGTGAGCTCTTTCCATCCTGCTGGCCATTCCAGAATGGTCTTTTTATAGGTGAGGAAGCTGAGGCTGAGACAGGCTGAGGGACTCTGGGTAAAGTCGGAGTAACTGCCGGAGCCAGGCTCGAACCCAGGCAGCCTGAGCTCCCCTCCTACTATCTTAAGCATCCTTTTCCCGTCTGCTCAACGGAGCCCCTGCAGCCTGCAGAGCGGGCAGGGGTTCCGTCTCTGTCTCTTGCTCCTGGCGGGTGCGCTGAGTGAGTGCAGGGAACATCAGTAAATGCTTACTAAGAGTTTTGGTAACCACCTAGTCAGTGGTTACTAAGAGTTCTAATCTGGGCATGCAGAACATGTCCATCAAGAAGCTGCATGATCTCAGGCAAGTTGCTTCCCTCCTGCCAGCCTCAGTTTCCCCATGGTAAGACATTGCCAGGGGTCCCTGGAGTTCTGGGTGACTGCTTTTCCTGCCACGCCTGCAGGCTGTCTGCTTGCCCTACCTCCAGCATCGTCCTGTTCCTAGACTGGAAATTCCATAGATCCCCGAATTCCAAAGGTAATAGCATGCTGGCTGTAAACAGCCCCAGCTCCTCTGTGCGTAGATGGTGGCTCTGGGGTGCAGGGAGGGGTAGGCTCCCACCTGAGGTCACCCAGAGCTCCGTGCAGGCCCCTGCCCCCTCCACACACTCCCCGGCCCGTGGAGGGCCTTTGGGGAATCCCGGGCCCTCCCCCCGCCTGGCTCTCTGGGCTGCAACATTTATAGAATCAGTCTGCTTGGCTGCAGGTCAACTATGTGCCTGCACGCTGCAAAGCAGTGGCTGCAGAGGGCTGGGGAGGCGGGCTGGGGAGGCAGGAAGCCCCCACCCTCACCCTTGCAGCTGGGGTGGCTGAGCGCTCCGGCCCACCATCTGGGGGGCAGCTGGGGGCACGACTAGGGAGAGGCAGCCACCCTTGACCTTGTGCGGCCCACGCCTGGCTGTGGGGGGAGCTTGGTGCCATGGACCCCTCCTCAAACACTCCCGCCCAACCTGTGCTCAATTCCGGCTGAGCTCTGTGGCTAGACCCCCCAAAGGCCCCAGGCTGGGTGAACATCTGGGCTTTCCAGATTGCTTAGGGACCACTGGGGCCCAGGCACTCACAGGACAGATGGGGAAACCAAGGCTGGGGGTGCTGGGAGAGGTGTGGACACATCAGTCTTCCTGCGTCCTCAGTGGGCTGTCGGGGGCTGACTGTGGTAGAGGCAGCGTCCCATGGGGGTTTTCACATTCCCCAGGAGCATGCTCTCTGGACACTTCCTTCCTGGTGCCTTGGGAGAAGGGGAGGTGTTGAGGAAGAGGGAGGTATCTTGGTCGCAATGGGCCAGACAGGCTGCAGCTGGGGAACTGGAGGGGCGGAAGGAAGCAAGTTCATTCCCAACTGGCCCGATGGGTAGGGTGGGCAGGGACCAGGGCTGTGCGTCCTGAGGCTGGTGGCATCAGGGGACCAGTGGAAGCCCCTGAAGTGTCCCAGATTTTTCCTGCTACGCAAAGACCCTCACTTGAGTCTTGCCTGATTTGTAGGACTCAGCTTCGATTGCTGGGCTGCAAGACTCGAGTCCACGGCTCTTGGTAGAGAAAGTGGATCTAACAGGACCCAGCTGTCGCAGGGAGATTCGGATAAGGCCTGGGAAAATCCAGGGCTGTGAATCAGCTCTGGGTTCCATCTCACTTGGCCACAGCACTGCTGTGCGACCTTGACCGGGACTCTTGGGCTCTGGGTCTATTCTTCCCAGCTGCACGGTCTCTGGAGGACCCCTGCAAACTCAGAGCTTGGAGGAGTCTGAGGGGGGAGCTCCGACCGCCTACTGTAGCCACGGAAGGTCAAGTGCACTCTTCACTGAGCTCTGGGCTCCAAGGGCTCCTGCAAAAAGTCTGCCAAGGTCCCGAAAGAGTCCCTGGGGGAGTCGGGCCTTGGAGGCTTGGTCAGCTTCAGCTGGGCCAGGGGGATGGGAAAGACATGCCAGGTGCTGAGAGCAGAGGGAGCCCTCTATAAGAAGCGAGCTGCCCGCTGTGGTCTGAGCCCGAGGAAGCTGGGAAGGGCAGATGGGACCAGGCTGTGGGGCTGGGGGTTAAGGGCTTATGCTCTGGGGTCTCCTGGGTGACCTGAGATGGTGGCAGACCCCTGTGAGCCCTGGCTCCCTCGTCTGCTGTGAGTAGGAGGGGTGAGAGCACCCATCTGGTAGGACGGTGGGATAAAGTGGGGAGCTGTGTGCAGGGTGCTTCCTGCGGGGCGGGGCTCGAGTTGGGCCTCTTGAGCATAAGCTGAGCAGCCGGGACCTTGTGGCTGAGGCTGCCTCGGGAGAGGACGCTTGGCCAGCAGGCAGGAGGAAGGTGCCGGTGTTGGACGTGGACATGGGACAGCTCCTATCTTCTCTCATCTTTGTTTCTTTTCCCTGCTAGGGTCCTCCTGGGCCTTATGGAAATCCAGGCCTTCCTGGTCCTCCTGGAGCCAAAGTGAGTATTTCCTGTGGGGTCTGGGTGGGGTGGGGCTGCATCTGGGGACTTGTTGGGGCTCCTGCCGGGCGGCCCCCTGAGCAGCTTCCTGGAGCCGGGCCACACCAGGGAGCCTCGAGTTCTGGGTGGGAGAGATGTGGTGGGGGGAGGGCGGCTAGGATGTTACACCATCACGGGGCGGAGGTGCCAAGGGAACCTGTTGCCGAGGGAGGGCCTTGCATGTCAGACCGAGGACAGGTTTACTGGGTTTGTACTGTGTACTCCGGGGGAGAAGGACAGTGCTTCGGGGAAGTCATTGGATGCCCTGAGCAGGATGGCTGGCTGGTGGGGCCAGAGCCAAGGCCAAGAGACTAGAGGCTAGGGAGAGAGAGGAGGGTGGCCTAGGTAGGCATTGGGGTGTGAAGGAGGCAGGGCAAGGAGCGTGGTGCTGGGCAGGTGAGAGGCGGTGGCTCCCTGGTGGTAGCCTGGGTGACTGATCTGGGACTAAGACGATGGTGTCCCTGGGAAGCTGTGGGCCAGCCAGGTGCCCATCCGTCTGCACAGGGGTCTGAACTCAGGAGCACACTGAGTTGGACACAGAGCCCGAGGTTGAGGCTGGCACAGAGATGCCTTCTCCCCCAGGGAGCCCTCTTGGAATCCCCCAGTGTACTTTTCATGAGACCACAGTACAGTAGCTGGTGCTGTACTGCTGCAGGTGGACCCCAGCTGCCCAGCTCCTGGGTCATTCCTGAAGTGCAGGCTGAGGACCGGGTTGTCTGGGGTGGTGTCTTGGGTGAGAGGCTCAGGGAATGGCTGGAGATGGGGGAGGGCAGGAAGATGCTGGCATGGAAGTGGAGGGAACAGTGACTGGGCTGACCAGGAAGCTGGGCTGACCAGGAGGAGAAGAGGGGTGTGGTTTTGGAGGCTGCCCAGTCCTGCCTGTGGGGTAACCAGGTGAAGAACACCCCTGGGCTTTTGTTGGACCTGGTACAAGGTCATTGCTTTGCTAAGCCAACTGCAAGGTCAGTGGGTCATTCACCGATTGCCCTACCCCACCTCCACTCCCCCAGCCCAGCATTGGTGGCCAGAGCCCGCCACTATAGCCCACCACTGTCGGTTTATCTTCTGGTATTCATGGGACACCTGCTGTGTGTCGTTGTCAGAGAAGGCAGCCCCTCAGGGCCTGCGCAGGTGGCACGGAGCCTGCCCTTGGTCAGGCTGTGCTGTCATCCGCATAGCATTGTCTCCACTCTCGGGAGCTTTTACAGCTTTGTGGGATGAAAATTCACCCGCCAGCCTTGAGGATAGGAGAGGCAGGCTGGTGGAGGAGGGTCAGGAGAGGGAGAAAGAGCAAAGTCTGGGAGTGAAAGGTCACAGGGTCCAGGTGACCTGCCGGGGACCCTCAGCAGTGCCAGGGCGGTACATTGGATCCTGGGATCCGTCAGCCAGACAAGCTTTGTACGGGCCCCACAGCAGGTACAGGCCAGAGCCAGGCTGCAATGGACTCTCCCTCCCCAGAGCCCAAGGCTGCACCCAGATACCACATGCTTGTGGATGCCACACTCACATGAGGTGAGAAGAGGGCTTATCAGTTCCCACATGGGGTCAAGATCAAGGACTCCGAGGAGGCAGAGAGGCCGGAGCCTGGGAAGGCCAGGTGGCCAGAGCTCAGGGTTGAGTCCCTGGGTGGATTCACTCGTCCGCTGGCTGCGGAGTTGCAGCTTGAGGAGAGCATGGTGGTGGGGGCACAGACCCTGCAGCCCGAGGGCCCAAGAGTCGAATCAAGACTCAGTCACCTCCTAGTTCTGTGATGGCAAGAAAATCATTTGGGGGTCCCTTGCCTCAGTTTCCTCATCTGGAAATTGGAGTCATCAGTGCAGTGCCTCTTTGGGTTGTCCTGAGGAGTAGCAGTCGCTCTGTGACTGGTGCTGGGCTGTGGGCAGTGCTACTTAAGGGCCAGGGGTCAGCATGTGCAAGGTGCTGGGGGCAAGAGGTGCACAGACAGGCACGGCCCCTTCCCTTGCAGAGTGTGCAGGCCAGCAAGCAAGCAAGAGAAGGAAGCCAGTCATGCCCATAAATGTAGAACCATGATGGGGGGAGGGTTTGGGGGCTCTGAGTGAGAGGCCCAGTGTGCTGGAAACCTGACAAGGGGCCGGCCTTGTGGCACAATGGGTTAAGCTGTCACCTGCAATGCCATCATCCCCTGTGAGCGCTGGTTCAAGTCCTTGCTGCTCCACTTCTGATCCAGCTCCCTGATGATGCACCTGGGAAGACAATGAAGGATAGCCTGAGCACTTGGGCCCCTGCCACTGACATGGGGGACCCAGACGGTGTTAAAGGCTCCTGGCTTGGGTCTGGCCCAGTCTTGGCCTTTGCAGGCATTGGGGGAGTGAACCAGTAGATGGAATATCTCTCTTTCTCTCTCCCTCTCGCTGTAACTCTGCCTTTCAAATAAACCAATACATCCTTTGAAAAAAAAAAAAAAGAAGATACCTGATGTCTGGCAGGTTAGAGACCCCTTCCTCAGGGAGGTTGAACCTGGATCTAAAGTGCAGGGGGCACCTGGGCGAGGGGGCAGGAGGAGACGGGGGAGGGCAGCAGGCCTGGTAGTGGGTGACGGTTGGGTTTTTGGACTTCATCCGAAGAGCAGCGCAGGAGACAGGACAAGGACTGAGCGGAGGTGCCTCGCACAGGTGAGGGGTGCTGAGGCTGCTGCAGGTGGCTGGGAAGCAGGGTGTGGTCATGGCCAAGGGAGGCCACAGTGCTCCAGTGGGGGTGCTGGTGCTGAATGTGGTGGGGCCAGGTGGGCCACGGAGCTGAAGTGAGGTGAGGAGCCCCAGGCTGCGTGCACCCGGGCTGTCCGGTCCTCCCGGTGTTGGGTCACGTGTGTGGGTGTGGAGCCGCCTTGCCCAGGCTGGTGTCCCGTAAGTTACTTTGTGTTTCTACCACATGGGTTTTAGTGGCTGCATGGCATTCTGTTGGCATTGGCATCCCGGGCTTCTTATAACCTATGCCTTTTAAAAAAGCCACTTCCTTTTTAAACTAATATACAAATAAGATCTTGTTCTTTAAAAGATTTATTTATTTATTTGAAAGGCAGAGTTACAGAGAGGCAGAGGCAGAGAGAGAGAGAAAGGTCTTCTATCCGCTGGTTCACTCCCCAAATGGCCACAATGGCCAGAGCTGTGACAATCCGAAGCCAGGAGCCAGGAGCTTCTTCCAGGTTTCCCCTGCAGGTGCAGGGGCCCGAGGACTTGGGCCCCTTCTTGGCCATCTTCTACCACTTTCCCAGGCCATAGCAGAGAGCTGGAGTGGAAGTGGAGCAGCAGGGACTTGAACCGGCACCCATATGGGATGCTGGCACTGCAGACCAGGGCTTTAACCTGCTGCGCCACAGCGCTAGCCCCAGAAATAAGATCTTGAAGAATGTTAGCATATATAAATGTAGCGTTCTTTGTAGCTACTTCATTAGGATGGATTCCTATATATAGAATCGCCAGAGTAGATTCAGGGGCCCTTGTGCCTGAGTTTGAACACTGGCTCCACCACTTGCTGGCTCTGTGACTTTGGGCAAGTTATATAAACTTGCAGGGATGGTGATTGGTCCTCTCCTACAAGATTGTCCTGAAGATGAAGCTAAATGTGTGTGTGTGTGTGTGTGTATCTCAAGACACGTGTATGTATGCATGCATATGGGCACCTGCATGTGGGTAATTTATAGCATGCTTTGCATGTAGGAGCTCTGTGAGTGTTGAGGTATTTAATCACCAACTGCCGTCTAGCAAGGCTGACCTGATTCATGCTGCTGCTAACGTTAGAGAACAATGTGTTAGAAAGAAAATCATTCATTGTTTTGGTATTTTTTTTTTTTTTTTGACATGCAGAGTTAGTGAGAGAGAGAGATAGATAGATAGAAAGGTCTTCCTCCCTTTGGTTCACCTCCCAAATGGCTGCTACGGCCAGCGCGCTGCGCCAATCCAAAGCCAGGAGCCAGGTGCTTCCTCCTGGTCTCCCATGCTGGTGCAGGACCCAAGGACTTGGGCCATCCTCCACTGCACTCCCTGGCCACAGCAGAGAGCTGGCCTGGAAGAGGGGCAACCGGGACAGAACCGGCACCCCAACCGGGACTAGAACCCGGGGTGCCGGCGCCGCAGGCGGAGGATTGGCCTAGTGAGCCGCGGCACCTTCCGAAAATCATTCATTGTTGTGTTCACCCCTTCCTTGACCGTCCCACAGGGGTGGGGATATCCAGCCCCCGCCTGGGAAATCCTTTTGTCTGGCCCTGCCGCTGCAACCAGGCGGGACTCAAGATTCAGCAAACCTGTAGCAGCTTATGTTTCAGTTGATCATTTGGTGTGGCCCGTGAGTGATGTTAGAAATACCCGGATGGCCCTTGGCAGAAAAAAAGGTTCTGTACCCCTGAGAGATGAATGTGTTTCTCATGTCTGTTTTCCATTTTTACTTAACCATTTATGAATTGGTTTCTTTTTGATTTTGGCATGTTGTCCCATGTTACCGATTTGTAGAAATCATTCCTATTTATATATTAAGGTTATGAAAGCCTCACCTACCTTACAAATGTTTTCCAGATTATTGTTTGTCTATTAAGAGTATTGTGATGACTTTCAACCAGTGCTAGTGTTATGCATCCTTTTTTGTTTTAGATTTATTTATTTATTTGAAAGGCAGAGTTACAGACAGAGACAGAGACAGAGAGATCTTCCATCTGCTGGTTTATTCCCCAAATGGCTGCAACTGTGGGCGGTGGGACAGGCTTAAGCCAGGTGCCAGGAGCCAGGAGCCAGGAGCTTCATCCGGTTCTCCCACGTGCATGGCAGGGGCCCAAGCACTTGAGGTATCTTCTGCTGCTTTTCCCAGGCACATTTTTGTTAGCAGGGAGCTGGATCAGAAGTGGAGTAGCCTGGACTGGAATCAGTGCCCATTTGGGATGTCAGCATCATCGGTGGTGGCATTACTCACTGTACCACAGTACCAGCCCATATTATTTCTACTTTAAAAAAAAGGAGTATATGGGGAACATTTATTCCTGGTTGTTTCATAATATCATTTGCATCCTTAAGAATTTTTTAAATTTCTTTCTTTTTTTTTTTTGTAATATTTATTTGAAAGGAAGAGTGACAGAGAGAGGCAGAGAAAGAAAGAGAGCTTTCATCTGTTGATTCATTCACTCCCAAAATGGCCATGCCATTCGGGGCTGAGCCAGGCTGACGCCTGGAGCCAGGTACTCCATTCGGGTCTCCCACCCGGGTGCAGGGGTCCGAATCCTTTGCCATCTTCCGCTCCTTTCCTAGGCGCCTTAGTAGGGAGAGGATTGGAAGTCGGGGACCCGAACCTGTGCTCCAGGATGAGGTCCAGCATCGCAGGTGGCGGCTTACTTGCTTTGCCACAACACCATCCGCACCCTTGGCAATTTTAAACCATCTGAAATGAATCTTGATTGGGGTTCGGGGGTATGAAGTAGGCGCTAGCACTATTCCCTCCCACCCCAGGGAGTTAGCCAGTTATTAAGCAACCTTTCCCCCAGTGACTGTCATGTGGCAGAGCAGGGTCTGTGTCAAGCCATTCCATCGTGTCTCATTGCTCTGCTGTAGATCTGCATTCTAGTAAAGTTCTCTTTTATGTGGCTTTTACTTTCCTTGTCTCCCCTCCCCTCTTCTTTTAAAATATTTCTGGCTGTTTTTTTCCATCAAATGAACTTTATTGCCATCTTACCAATTTCCTTTAAGGAAAAAAAAAAAAAAAACCTCTTGAGATTTTTATTGGAATTGTATTAAATGTAGATACAAATTTGTGAAGAATTCGTATCTTTAAAACATTACATTTTCCTGTCTACAAAGAGCAAGTCTTCCCATTTGGTTGAGTTTTTGAATGTTACCTTAGTAAACCTTTTATAGGTTTTATTGCATAAGCCCTGCATGTTCCTTATTAAGCTCATACTCAGAAATTTGATATTTTTGTTGCTGTCGGGAATCGAATATTCTTCCCCCCTTATGTTTCCTTGCTGGCTCTCAGCTATTGAGTTTTGTATTTCTGTGCTTTCTGTGATTAATTTATAACTTTCCCCCTTCCTGAGTTATCTTATTCGTTCTAATAGTATTTCAGTTAGTTTCCTGGATTGTCTATGCTCTGGCACTCATATTATTTGCCAAGAAAGGCTTCCTTGTGCCTCCTTTCCCTCAAAGGTTAGCGGTTCCTATTTATGTTTCCTGCCTTATTGCTTTGGCCAGCAGCTCTAAACCCGTGAAACAGTCACAGTGATAGAGGGAATCCAGCAGCTCTTCGGAAGACATTCTGGGGCCGGATCTGACCCCATCCCGGCCCTCCCGAGGGCTCTCAAGGCTCTGTTCGCTCACTTGTGAGCTCTGAGTATGTCAGGCTTCCTGGAGACCAGGCCCTGCTGTGTGTTCGAGGCCAGCGATGACGGGGGTAGGAGGCATGCAGCCCAGAACGCCCCGTCCTCTGCGGTCTGCTCCTCCTCCGTCTCAGCAGCTCTCTGGGCCTCCAGCACCTGGAGCGCCCTCTCTCCTCCTCCTTTCAACCCTGCGTGCAGGAAAGCAGCTCAGCACAGTTCTATTCCTGCTGCGCTCTCCGCACTTAGGATGTGGAACGGGTCTGCCCACCTGTCTCCTCCCGTCGCAGCCCACTGGCTGCTCCAGGCAGCACCCGCCCTTCCCCACTCAGAGAAGGGCAGTGGTTTGCTCACAGCCACACGAGCTCGTTGGTTGGCGACCAGATTCTTGTCCTGGCCACGGTATAAGTGTCTTCCTTGTATCACTCCTGGGGGAGTTTGCAGGGGTCTGGCTAGGGAGACAGACAGTCTTCTCCATCCCGGAAGTCGTCCCTTCACCGGGACAGGAGTACCTCGAGCCTCCACGTCACTGTCACTGCTCCATGGGTCTGCCCTCCATCTGGGGAAGGCTCTCCCCGCCGCCTCCTGCCCTGTGCTGTCACTCCAGGGTGTGTTGCAATGTCAGGATCTTGGGCTCAGGACCCAGGCTGCCTGCCTGATCCTGGACAGGTGACTGATCCTTGCTATGCCTTCACTTCCTCTTCTGCAAGACAGGGTTAGTGATGGTTGCCAACTCTTGGACGTGAAGGATTAAATGAGTAACACTGATTTCTCCTTCAGAAATTCCCCGTAGACGTAGGCCTGTCTCGGCCTCTGCCCTGGTCTTCCTGTGTTCATCCTGGAACTTGGCTTGTAGTAGCTGTTTGATCAATGCTGTCCCCATTGGTGGTATGCTTGGGCAGGGTTTGTGTTCAGAGCACTGGGCTGGCTGGTGAGAATGCAGAGAGAAACCCATAAATTCCTAAAATGCCCCTGGGAAAGAAAAGGACCTGGGCAAGGGAGCAAATCTGTCATCTCTTTGGGACTCGGTTTTGCCTTTGTGTAAAATCACAGAGTGGGAGGCACCAAGAGCCACCCCTGCAAGCTGCCTGAGCCCAGCTCCTCCTGCAGCTGCTGACCGAGGTGGGCCAGGGTGGTGAGGAGAAGCTGCTGTCCTTTTTTGGCCATTGGAATTCTCGGTAGCCCTGGGCCTGGTCTTGCGCCATGGACATAAAAGGCATGGAGCTGGACTCGTGAACAGTGTGGGTGAGAGAGTGGCGGCGAGGGGCAGCTGCGTTGCCAGGTAGGGCCCAGAGGCAGCCCCTGCAGAAGTGACCTGGGGAGCCCAGGTACACTGGCTGGAGTTCTGGGGGGCCCACTGAGGAAGGGCTGGCCTGCTGGGGCCTAGAGCCTTGGGAGAAGTAACCAGGCTCCCCATTTGCAAATGAGAGCCAGGGGACCTATCTGCCCCTGACCTGCCAGGTCAGCCCAGGCTGGGACTGCAGCTTCCCAGAGCCCCAGTCCTGTCCTGCATAGGCACAGGTGGGTGATGTGAGGACTACAGGAACTGGTGCAGAGAGCGCCCCTAGCGTGGTACCTGTGCGTAGCAGGTGGGCAGCGAAAGGGCGTTCCTTTCCCTCTCCTCGCTCTGTCCGGCTCCAGAGGCACTGATTTCAGGAGCAGAGTGGCCACGTCAGGGTTCGGAAGGGCCAAGTTCTGATGAAAAGAAGAACCCACTGGGAATTCGTTCCAGCTGGGCCACACCAGCCCCCTGCCTGTATCACAGCCATTGTCCCAGTGCCTAGCAGCCTGGGGAACCAGCGTGTGTGTGTGTGTGTGTGTGTGTATGTGTGTGTGGTGTGTGTGTGTGGTTGTGTGGGTGCTCACACATCTGCACCCCATTTTAGAAGTGAGGAAACAGAGGCTCCGAGAGACAGAGAGAGAGAGAGAGAGGTCCCACTGAGAGTCCGTGGCACCCCAGGACTTCTGACTTTGAACCCCACTGAGGCAGGGACGGGAGGGACGGAAACAGGGATTAAGAGCTCTTAGGAGGTGACATCGGGGTGGACCGACTTTCCAACGGGCTACTTCTTCAGTAACTCAGGCAGTTTTGGCCTGCAGAGCGCCCCAGCCCTGGGGGAGATGTGGCTGCAGTCCCAGCTCACAGGGGCCCCTCCCACATGCTGGACGGGGAGTGCTTGCCTGTGCCCGGTTACACTGCATGTTTCAACCCCTCGGGTCTCAGGATTCCTGGAACCCAAGTCTGAAAGGTAGAAGTTCAGGGCTTCATCTTGGGGCCTTAGCTCCTTTCCTGGCCCCTGCCTAGTTTCCCCCAGTGAATCAGGAGGGTCATCACACTTCCCTGGCCCGTGTCATCAGCCACTTGTGGGAAAGCGGCAGGCAAGCGACACCGCCACCTGCTGTGGCCTCAGGTAATGAGAGAGCAAGGGGTGGCCATCCGTGCTCTGAAAGCCGGAAGGGCTCAGTGAGCTTTCAGATGCCCCTCTCAGAAGCTGCCTGCGAGGAGCCAGTCCCAGCCACACGCGCAGGCGAGAACTGCTCACCTGTGGGCCAGGCCCAGAGCTCTCCTGGTGGGCAGCACCTGTTTAGGGCTTGACTAATGATGGCTGGGCATGATTTTCTAGCTGGGGATGGTGACCCAAGCTGAGGACTGGCCGCTGGACGTGCAGAAGTGGCTGGCCTGGGTCTGGGGACAGAGTCGGGGACCCTCTGTGTGGGTTTGGCTGTTGCAGGAGAGCAAAGTCAGGACAGGATGGCCGGGGCCAGGTAGCAGAAGAGGTGGGACACACCAGAAGGAGGGGTTTGGACCTTGTCGTCATGTGGTCATTGCGGAGCCATGGCAGGTGTCAGAGGATGGGAGTGATGATGGCAGGTGTGAGTGGGGACGGGTGGGAAGGCACTTAGTTGGGGAGTAGGGCTTCCTGCAGAGGCTGTGGGGAGACATCGGCTCTAGGTGACGTGGTGGCCAAAGTGGAATTGTTTTTGTTTCAGGGACAGAAAGGGGACCCGGGGCTGTCACCAGGAAAGGCCCATGATGGGGCCAAGGTAGGTTCCAGGGCCCCAGTGTACAGGGAAGAGGGGGCGTGGAGGGCAGAGAACGTGGCACAGGCTGTGGCCGGCTGCCCTGGCCCAGGGGGTGTTTGGAGAGGTCAGGGTGTGCTTTGACCTGCCCCTTGAAGCCCTTTGGGCTCGCCCAGCCCCAAAGCCACGGTCATCAAAGCTGCCTTCTTCCTGGGGTGCAGCCAGCACACCCGCTGGCGATGCGGTCTCCAACACATACCTTGAGTGTTGTCCTTCTGCTGAACGCACTGCGAGAGTTCCTGTGGGGCCTGCTTGTTGACCGGGAGCATCCAGAAGTTTCTTGGTAGCCTGGGCTCAGGGGGCTTCCAGCAGGTCCCCCTGTAGTGGTTAATTGCAGCAGCAATACCATGGCTATGTCGAGGGGGGGATGGGAATGGGCTGGTGATGCAGGGCCCAGCAGAAACCTCGTCCACCAAAGAGAAGACACTTCGGCTAAAGGACTCCATCCATTCATGATGCGTCTACCCAGTACATGGAGCAAGGGCGCTGGGGAGTGGGTGGGGAGAGGGGAGCCCAGCACCCCACATGAGGTCACCCGGCATCTCACTCGGGCTGTCTGGCCTCCCTCTGGCCATGGCCAAAGAGCCCCCCAATACAGAGAACACGCTGCTCTTCTCGGGTCCCATGCCAGCGCACGAGCACGTGGCTACTGCCCGGGACTTCCCAAAGACACCAGGAGCTCACCGCTTCGTGTTCTCACTGCAAACACGCACTGGGTGACCCAGGCTGGTGGCCCTGGCCAGCAGCGGGAGCAGAGGGAGCACTGATTGGCACAGCACCGCTGTATGGCTGTCAGGCTCAGCTTCAGTATGGGAACCTGTTCTCCACGTGGATGCCTCTGCACAAGCCTGGGAGTGGGCTGGGGACCCTGCGTGACTTCTGCTCTCACTCCACCGGGTGGCTCCTGGGTCTCCTCTGAGGCCCATGTGGGGTCACTTGTGCGGCCTAAGCAGGGCTTCTGCCCCTGCTGCCATCCTCAGCCTCCCCGCTTGTGTCTTGCAGGGTGACGTGGGCTTGCCTGGGCTCGTCGGGAATCCAGGACCTCTGGGACGCAAGGTACACCTTGGCTTTGGCACCTGGCCTTGCCCGGTCGGGGCTTCCTGCACTGCAGGTGTTGAGGCTGTGGAGCTGTGAACTCACCTGTCGTTCCCTGGCCCTACCCAGGCCAGTCCCCTGAGGCCCAGGGCGTAGGGGCAGGAGGGAGCGAGGTGACCTTGGCCTTCCATGGTCAATGAGGTGCGATAAGAAGCAGCCTTTGGTTTGCTCGACTTCCTCTTGGGGGCCCAGCTGCTCCTGGAGGCTGACCCCAAGGGCGTGTGTGCGGCTGCAAAAGCTCTTGCTGCCGAGCTGGGAGGACCCCGTGTCAGTCCCGGCTGTGCTGCCCGCTGGCCGAGTGGCCCTGGGCATCCATCTCTGAGCCTCAGCCTCCTCCTGTGTGAAATGGGGAGATGACCCCCTGTCGCTGATCCCCCACAGCCTGGGGCTGGATGACCCAGGAGTCAGGCCTGGGTCCCAGAGGTTGAGGGAGTGGGTGCTAGGGCCACTCCTCCCCTCAGTTGGAATCCTTTCTGAGTGCAGGGTCCGTCCCTGTGGATGGCCGAGGGGACTCTGTAAAGGCCACCTTCGTGGCACACTCCTGGCCCTTCTGTGTGGGTCCACAGCCTGCAGTACCCCCTGGACTCCTTCCTCTCCGACTTCTCCAGCCAGGGTCTCCCATCCCTCAAGATTCTACTCTACTTGTACCTACTCCAGGAAGCCCTCAGGGAGCTCCCAGGCCTCAGGCCACTTAGGTCAGCTTAGCTTAGTTGTTTTCAGCCCTGAGTCTCGCCTCGCCAGCCAGGGTGTGAAATCCTGGTCCCCTGCTCTCCCTGTTGAGCCTAGCAGGGGCCTTGCACGTAGCAGGTGTCCAGGAAACAGGAAGGCCTCACAGGCATGACTCCCCTTGTTGATGGGTCATCCAGTAGATACACGGGCCAGGGCCACGTCCTAAGCTTCCGCCCTGGCTCCCAGCTGTGGCCACAGCTGCCCCCTCTCTGGGCCATCTGGCTCTCATCTGGACAGCTCTGGTGTTTCCGGGCTCCATCCTGCCCTCGCTCCGCGGGTCCCCGTGGCTCAGGGGGACCAGCAGGACCATGTGCCCACACCCTCTACTTCCCCTCCTCCCTCTGTAGCGTGAGCAGGCCACGCCTCAGTGCTCAGAGGCCCGGCTGTGTGAGAGCTGGAAACGTGGTCTTCCTGGCTCCGGGCATGCTCAGGCACTCCCTCTCCCCCTCGCTTTCCCTGCAGGCCCCAGCCCTCGCTGATGGATGAGGTGTGAGTGGAAAAGGCTCCTTCCAGACCTGGCTCATAAAGCAGCCAGTGGTGGTCTCGTTCGGCATGGGGCTGGGAGTCCAGTGGAGGTAGCGGGAGATGGGAGACTTGGCCTGGGCCTGGCTCCTGCCTGGGGTTCCGGGTCTCCCTGCACGCAGCAGATGTCCAGGGAGGCCGACAGCCCTCAGCCCAGCGGAGCCGAGCAGGGAGAGGCAGCTTTGCTAAGTTAAGCAACAGCTTGCAGCGCAGCCAAGTCATTCACTCCGTGAAGGAATTTGGTCTGTGGCCAGCTCGTGTGGCCCCTCACAGGGGGTGCACGGGGAAACTCAGATCCAAGGCAGGGGCCCCCTGCCGGTGGGGGGTCCGGGAAGAGACGATGGGTGGGCAGCCCTGTAAGAGTGTCTCCTCCCCTCAGCGTCTTTGGTGACACCAGTGGCTGCTTTGCCCTGGTCCCCCAGTGTGGCCTTTCTGTGTCATCTCCGTAAGGGTCCTCAAGGGGGCAGGGACATGCCTGAGAGAACAGGGAGGTTGGCAGCCCCTTTGCACACCAGAGGGTTGAGTTTTGAGGCCATTCCAAAATGATCCCAGTCATCCTGTGTGTTTTGTTACTCAACAAGCGTATGTTCAGTGCCTACTGTGTGCCAGCCATGGAGCTGAACAGAGACAAAAATCCCTGGCCCCTCACTGAGCCGGCATCCTTGTGTGGCATGGCAGAGGATGGAGAAGGCTGGGGCTGGGGGCAAAGCAGGCAGGGGAGAGGGAGGGCTCTTGGCAAATGAGAGGCGGCAGGGAGGTTTCTCTTTTGGTTCACAGTAGCCTCTGGGAGTAGGGCAGTCTGTGCCCATTCTACAGCTGAGAAAGCTGAGGCCCAAAGAGGTCTCATTAGTTCACTCACTCAGGCATTCAGTTTTCCAGTCGTTCTGCAAATAGGCACTGAGGTGCCAGGCCCTGTGCTGGCTGAGGTATTAAAGGACAAGTGAGATCACTGGGGAACCTCCAGGGGTGCAGTCCACAGGGGTGCTCCCAGCCCTGCTGCACGTTAGAACTGACCGGAGAGTGGGGTCCTCACCACCAAGATTCGGGTTTGGTTGGCCTAAGAGAGGGGCCCAGCCATCAGCAGCTGTGATTGTCACCTGCAGGCAACCAGGAGCCACTCAGGCAGGTCCCTGGCCTCAGGCCCTTCAACAAGTAAGGGCTCATGGAGTCCAGAGTCTCTTTCCCAAGAGGGTTTAGCCTGCCGGCCCTTCCCATACTCCCTGCTGGGGAAAGGCTCAGAGCAGACCATCCAGAGCCCCAGCTCCGTCCCTCTCCTGCTGGGGGAGCCTGGCACAAGTGACCTCGGTCACAGTTGAGGGCTCAAAGGAGCTGTCATGTCCCGAGCACGCAGCAGGGGGCTGGTGCACGGCAGGGAATTCACGTGCATTTGTTGCATGAATGATTGATGCATGAGTGCATGCGTGATCGTGAGGACCATGGAGAAGCAGCAGCTTCTCTGGTGTCCCCTTGCTGGACACCAGGCCACACTCCACCCCCCCCCCCCAGCTGGGCGGGTTTGTCCAGTAGGGAGCAGTTAGCAAGGCTGGAGAGCCACGTTCCAGAGAAAACCCCCTGCTGCTGTGGCTTCTGTACCCAGGGTCGCTGGCATCTGTCCTATTGCATCCCATGTGTCCTGTACAGCCCCAGCTCCTCCTTCAAGCCTCGGTTTCCAGAGCAGCCTCCCAGTGGAAGCACCCGCTCCTCGCACCCGGCTCTTATTCATTCCCCTTAGCCTGCATCTAATGGCTGTGCTTCCTTCTATAAGGCAGAAAGAGTTTGCTCTGTTCACTGGTGTATCCCTGGCTCCTGACACGGGGCCCTAGTCATTGTCAGGGTTCAGCAGACATCTGTGGGGTGAGTGAATAACTGAATGAATGAATGAATGAATGAAGAGCCACACAGAAACTATACCTTCCTGCCCCACCTGTCTCAAGGACCCGTGAGCGGAATTAGGTGAGGGGCACCTGGCTGTGTGTAGACCAGCCACGGGTTTCAGAGTCCCCGTACTGTATCCGTGGAGAGGCTAGCTGGGGAAACTGAGGCACAGAGGGACACAGGGACTTGCCCAGGACTGTGGCACGAGTGGTGTCCTCTTCCGTTCTTTCTGTCCTGCTGACTGCCCAGGGCGGCAGGTGAGTTCAGCGCGAGGACTGGAGTGTTAAGCAGTGGGCAGAGTTCCGTGTCAGGCCAAGGAGGGCCAGGGCCTCCCCCAGGCTGGTTCCCAGGACCCCTCCCCTGCTGCTCCAAGCCCGATAGCCGGCCGGGGCGACCGTCTGCAGCAGCAGTGAGGTGATGTCTGGTTTCCCCGCGCGCATTGTAAGCAATGATTAATCTGGCTCCCAAACCAAAATACAGCCCGAGTGCTGTTATAAACACAGGTCCTGTGGAGACCCGCCTGCTGGGCGGCCAGAGGCCCCCAGCGCACACGGGGGTTCCCAGCACCCCCCACCAGCACCAGCCGGCCCCCTCGCTAGCTGGGAAACCACTGCCTGGGAGTCCACCTTGTGGTCAGTGCCTGCCTCCTAATTGCGGGGCCCTGGGGAAGACAGTGTCTTTGATTTTCCAGGCCCTGTCATTTGAAGCTGTTTCTTGGCCCCTAGTGGTAAACACCATGAAGGTGCTTCAGGGCACATAAGCACCTCTTGCCCCCACCCCCGCCTTGGCCTTGCTCAGTCACTGTTGTGCTCCACCAGCTTGCAGGCACTGCAGAGTTCAAGGCCATGTTCAAGGCCCTTCAGGGCCCACCGATAGGGAGAGACTTTGGGATTGTGGTCTTTTTTAAAAATATTTAGTTTATTTGTTTAAAAGGCAGAGAGAGGTCTTCCATCTGCTGGTTTACTCCCCAAATGACCACAGCATCTGGGACTGGGCCAAGCTGAAGCCAGGGGCAAGAACTCCATCCAAGTCTTCTGTGTGGGTGGCAAGGGCCCAAGCACTTGGGCTGTCTTCTGCTGCCTTCCCAGGTGCATTAGTAGGGAGCTGAATCAGAAGTAGAGCAGCCAGGAGTCAAGTCAGTGCTCCTATGGGATGCCGGCTTTGCAGGTGGTGGCTTAACCCACAGCACCACAATGCCAGCTCAGAATTGTGGTCTTGTGGATGAAACCCAGCCCAATGAGTCTGGGGTCCAAACTGGCTCAGTAACTTTGAGCAAGACCCTCTCTGGCCCTCGCCTCTCAGTCTGTCCAGTGAGAAAGCATGTCATCCAACTGAAGGCTTAGGCTGCTTCCGACTCATGTGCTCCCAGTCTGTGACTGCCCTCTGCCCCGGTGACACGGTGACGATCCAAGAGCGGCTGTCCCAGGGAAGTGGGTCTCTAAGGAGCCTCTCTGTGGGTGGCCCTGTGGCTCTCTTGGGCAGGCCTCAGGCCTCAGTGATTCTGTGGTTAGGGACATAGAGACTGGAGTCACAAGCCTGGCTCTGGTCCTGGGAAGCTGTGTGGCCTCAGGAAAATCTCCTTAACTCTCTGAGCCTCCATTTCCTCAATGGGCAGATGTGCATGGTGAGTCCTTCCTCCCAGGGAAGTTGATGAGCTGGTGCATCAAGGCGTGGGTGCGGAGATGGCCTAGGGCTGTCCGCGAGTGTTTGTGTCCTTAGCTGCGTCCTGGGTTCCCCTGGGCGCCTCTACCTCCTGCAGAGGGAGGGCCTGCAGAACTGCGTTTCAGCAGGTTTCTCTGAGGCTGCAGAGGAAGCCCCCGGGCTCTGCTCTTGGGGCTCTCTGGGGTCCTTGCCCCCTGTGACTCCATTAGCTCAGGCACGGGATGGCAGAGAGAGGTTCCAAGAGGGCGCCCGGCCATGCCAAGTCGCACAGCCAGGAGGGCCAGGCTCGGTTCAGGTCTCGGCTGGGAGCAGCCTCTGCGTGGGCCTCCTCTGGCAGCTCCACGTGGAGAGTGCTGGCAGAGGTGGTGAGAGGCACTGCGCCTGGGGAGGACCCTGCCCCACGTCCCCATGGGCTTCCCATGGTCTCCCCAGCAGCTGCTCTCACTCCTGCTGCTCCTAGGACCCTCACCCATGCTGTTTCTGTCCCTCGGACCTTGTGCTCACAAACCCACCCGGGCCTCCCTCCCTCAGGGCCTTTGCACTGCCTCCCGTGCCACCTGGGGCCTCTCCAGAGGGGCCCTCCCCGCTGCCTCCCCCGTGCTGCCCTGCCCCTTGCCTCACTTGGCTGACCTTGCTTCAGCCTTCTGGTCACTACCAGCTGCTGCTTCTCTTTCTTAATTGTTCTCTTTGTGGTAAAAAATACAGGACATCCAGTTGGCCATCTTCACCTTTTGTAGGCGAGCAGGTCCATGCTATTAGACACATTCGCCTGGTTGTGTGCCCAGTCTCCAGAACCTTCTCCTCTTGTATCCCTGGAACTCCACACTCATTCAATTCTTCCTTGGCCCCCTTTACCCCACCAGGTGTTATGGTTATATTTCTTTGGCTTTTATAGCTCCTTAATAAGAATGTAAACTCCATTATGGCAAAGGATGCTGTTGGCGCCTCTGTCTGTCCTGTGCCTGGAACGGTGCTGGCTGAATGGATGGATGAGCAGTGAGGATGACGGTGCTAAGAGCAGTCTCTGCAGGGCCTTAGAGCCAATGCCAGAGACTGCGCTAAGTGGTTTATGCACGTGACAGCGTGGAATGCACACTCCAGCCCTTACATACCCATTGTACAGTTGAGGAAAACATGGCTCAGAGAGGTGAAGTCATTGGCGCCAGGTCCCCCAGGCACCCAGTTGGGGAGCAGCCCGGGAATCCAGCCCAGTGTGAAAACCGAGCCCTCACCACTCGCCGCTGGCTATGGGCCGAGCCCCAGCTAGAAGATGCTTCCTTGGCCGTGTTGCCTCTGTCTCATAGGCTCCAGGATGTGAGAGTGATGGTGTCACTGGGCACGCGTGCGTGGGTGCAGAAAGAATGCTTGTTAAACGCCTCAGACCTCTTCATCCAACCGACTCGGTTGTGGATAATTGGGGAGTTGGCGGGGCGCTGTGTGTGTGTGTGTGTGTGTGTATGTGTGTGTTCCTGTGTGCCTTGGTGCAGGTGCATGAACAGGACGCATCTGGGGAGTTTGCAAGGCACCCCATGTGGCCTCAGGTGTCAAAGAGGTCTGGCAGCTGGGTGCCTACTGCTCCTTAGTGACGGGATTCGGCGCAGGTGGCTTCTGCTCCCTGAGACCCAGTTTTCTCCTCCATGCAGTGGAGGTGAGAGTCCCCTCTACCTCGTCTGGCCGGATGAGCTCATCTGCTACCCCCGCAGTGCCCTGGGGGAGCAGCGGCGCATGCAGGGAGTCTGTGGGTGTGTGTGGGTTCAGGAGTCCTCAGTGCATCTCCAGACCTGTGTGTGTGTGTGTGTGTGTGTGTGTGTGTGTGTCTGTTTTGGCCTCTGGAGCAGTCTGAGGACCCTATTATTCTAAAATGACAGAGCTGAAGGAGACTCAGAGTTTTAACTCCCCCATCTGAGGTCCAGAGAAGGGCAGTAACCCACCCAAAGTTGCACAGTAGGGCAGGGCCATGTCTAAACCAAGGCCGGAGCTCCCTGGATAAGGGCGTCTAACGGGGATGGGTGTAGTCTTCCCCGTCGGAAGTGGAAGCCCTTGCTTAGTCTTACTTTCCCAGCAGCCTTAAGCTGGCAGAAGCTTGGAGTCTGGGGTCTCCCCCAGAGAACTCCTAAGGCTTATAAAATGGCCCGGTGGTGGCCCCCTGTGTGGCCCAGAGGCACACACACACAGCTTGACCCGGGGCGCTGGCCTGGACATGCTGTGATAATTGGGCCATCAGGACAGAGGTCAAGGTTTGTACTGGGGCATTGCCAGAGCATCTCAGTCGGGCAGCTGGGTGGCCTCTTCCTCCCTGGCATAGGATCCAGGGCCAGCAGGCGGGAGGAGACACATGCAGGCAGTGTGTGTGCAGTCAAAGGGGAGAGAGTCCCAGCATCACAGGGTGCTGGGCTGGTCCCCTCTGTCCACACCTGCTTCTGATGGTCTCCCCAACCCTCTGGCTTCAGAAGCAGTGGTTGGGACCCAGCACCGCTTGGTCAATGTCGCTGGAGCCCAGGGCAGCTCGCAGACGCTGCCGGGAGCTGCTGGCCCTGTGACTTCTTCTGGCCCAAGAGCCACTGAGAGCAGAGATGAAGTTGCGGAATCTGCTGAGCTCAACACTGTGTGCAGCTGGGGAGTGGCTGCGAAGCAGGGTCTGTGTCCCAGGCATGGTGCGCCCAGTGCTGACCGAGGCAGGCAGGGAGCCTGGGCCCCTGTAGCTGTCCACACAACCCCTGGTGTCTTCCCTGCCTCATGCGCCTTCTCCCCCCTACAGGGCTACAAGGGCTATCCTGGACCAGCGGGGCACCCTGGAGAACAGGTGAGGCCCAGCCCTGCCGGCTCTGCCCACCTCTAGCCCCTGTGGCTCTCTGGTCTCCTGGCTGCAGCAAACCCTGGAGCCAGGTGGTTGGGCTGCATGTCCTGCTGCCCCCCAGCCTGCCCCACCTCTCCTCCAGCCACATTTGCCTGGGAGAGCAGAGTCCATGCCGGCCCAGGGTTGGCACGAGCCTCTCCACTCCGGTTGGAGCCATGAATGGCTGGCCTGTTCTGGGCAATGTTAGGGGATATTATCCACGCCGCCGCGGGGTTTGCAGGAATTTGGGCTGCCCTGGCCCAAGTTAAACAGTGGCCGTGCCAGCGTGGGAGCGCCGGCCAGGCCTCCTCAGTGCTTTCTTAGTCCCCGGCTGCAGGCAGAGGGGGTTTTGTCCCTCCAAGCTGGTCTGACCGGTTCCACAGAAGGGTGGGCTTGGGAGCCCTGCAGGCCCCTGGCCTCCCTTTCCTTCTGTTTCATCTCACATTCCTGCCGCTCCTTTGTCCATTGTCAGCCCCACTGCCCGCTCCCAGCCCCCCTCCACCACAAGGCTGCAGCCGGGCAGGGTCTCTCCTTTCCTCACGGTTCTCTCTGTTGCTTTGCAGGGGCAGCCGGGACCTGAGGGCAGCCCAGGGGCCAAAGGTTACCCTGGCAGGCAGGTGCAGTATATGGCTTCTGGAAGCTCCGTGGCCATGGTGAAATGGAGATGGCCATGGGTGCCCCAGGCAGAGGGAGGTGGCGGGCCGGGAGCCAAGGAGCGGCACTGCTGGGTGGGCTTCCAGGAGAGGGCATCCAGGGGCTGGAGCCCTGCAGCCTCTCTGCAGGCAGCAGTGCAGGATGCTCAGGAGGGGTCCTGCTGGGGGGTGCAGGGACTTGGGCTCCTCCCTCCCTGGGGCTGTCAGGGCTGGGCCTGACCCATTCTACCCCACACCCACTCTACAGAGGGAATAGCTGAGGCCCAAAGGAACCAGGACTGGGCAGGGCTGTGGGCAGCAGGTAGACTGTCTCCATATGTCTTTGCCCTGCTCTCCTCTGTGTTCCAGGGACTCCCCGGACCAGTAGGAGACCCTGGCCCCAAAGGCAGTCGGGTAAGTGGTCCTTGGTCACTCACAGGTGGGGCCTGGGTGAGCATTGCGGATCCCTCTTGTGGGCTTGATGGGAAATCAGGGCTCTATGGAGGGACTGGGGCTGGGGCCCCTGCCTGAGTGCTCCCTAGAGAACAGGGGGCCAGGTCAATCCACGTGGTTTCCAGCAGCAGTTGAGCACTTGCTTGCTGTGTGCCCCGGGCCAGCCTGCAAGTGGCCCAGAAGCCAGAGCCAGGCCACTTCAGTTGCCTGTGATCCTTAGATGCCTCCCACCTGCTCTGCCTCCTGCCTGCTCCCAACTGAATGGGTAACCTCTGGAGGACACTGGTGCCTGGTAGGTGCAGACTGGCCAGGCCTGGAGGCTGCTGGAGCTGCTGGATCTCCCCTTCCATAGAGATTCCCATGGAACACACCCTGGGCCTTGGTTTGCCTATCTGTAAAATGGGAGTGAGGTCCCATCTTACCTCTAGTGTGATTATAGGGATGCCAGGGATCTAAGGCGGGGGCATAGCTCTGACCCCCCAGGCAGGCTGGCAGTTTGAGGCATGGCTGGGAGATGGGTGAGTAGTGGATGGGCCCGATCCCCAGAAAGTCATTGTGCTGTGTGGGGCCTGCCGAGCCCCTGTCCAGGGTGCTGGGCCCCCTCCCTTTGTCCAACTGTTCCTGTGAGCTCAGCCCAACCCCAGGCCCCTGCACGGGAGGACAGAACATGCCAGTGACATCTGTGTTCTTGGTGTTTGCCTGGCTGGCAGCATCATCAGGCTGCCTGGAGGGAGAGGCCTGTGTGGCCGTGGCTCCCCTGACTCCTACAGGTCCCAGGGCCCCGGGCAGGCTGGTGAGCGGGGGCTCTCCAGCTGCCCTTCTAAGCCGCGTCCACCCCAGCCTCATAGAACACCAGAATGGTTGGCTTTGAAATCTGCCTGCCACTTACCAGTGCTGGGAGCTCCTTCTCTTACCTACATGTGGTATAAGTCCTTCACTGAAGGGTCACTCAGTGTTATCCAGAGCTTGTGGGTGTTAATTGCACTGGATGCCTTCAAGGGAGGGGGAAGTGTTTGTGAGCCCCCATTGTTTGCTTGACTGCAGGAGGCAGCGTAGCAAAGTGGGCCCAGAGCTCAAATGCCAGTTCTACTGCATTCCAGCTGTGTGACCCTAGGCAAGTCACCTCACCTCTCTGGGCCTGAACATTCTCACATCTACAGGGTGCTGGCTCCTCATGGCTTCTTCCTAGGGCCATGTAAGGAGGCAGGAAATGCTTGGATGCAGGCGAAGAACGCAGAGTGCTGGGCCTAGCACATAGTTGGTGCCCGATAACTGTTAGCTTTTGTTCGAGTTGTTAGGAAACTCGTTCACAAACAGCAAGAGCATGCTGATAGTAGGAGCAGCCCTGGGCTGTGTCCCTGCCCTTGCTAATGGGGGACATGAAACGTGGGCACAAATAATGAAGACAACTGGAGCAGATGGGGAAAGTGCTGGGAGCTGCAAAGTGAGGTGCAAGTGGGGTGCCAGAGTTGGGGGTGGCCCTGGCTTGGGCCCTCAGGGATGCGTTGGCAGTACAGGAGGCAGGAGAGCCGGCTCTGAGGCCAGAGTGCTGGGAGGCCCAGGCCTGCTGGAGGGAACAGAGTGAATGAGGGCTGGGTAGCAGGAAGTCAGACCCGTTCTAGGCGAGGGTCCTGGGCTGGAGGAGCATCCAGGCCTCCGTGTCGGCTGTCAGAACTTTGCTCAGGGCGCTGCCAGCCCCACCACTGACTCACTGAGTTGATTTAGCTCCCGAGCCTCACTTTCCTTGTGTGTCCAGCGAACAGGACGACAGCCGATCTGTGGGGTCTTCAGAAAGGTTTAACACACTAGTAATGGACACACAGGCCAGGCTGCAGGCATGTGGAGGCCTGAGAGGAGTTGCTGCAGGAGCCACGGGCACCCACGAGCATCTCTGGGCGTGGGTAGGACTGGGAGCCCTGCTAGCTTCTAACCCAGCCGCGAGCTTCCTCCTGCAGGTCCTGGAGCCCTGGCACGGGGCAGGCGCCCGTGCCCTTCCCTGGCGTGAGGGTATGTGCCTTTGGACTACATCGTGGAAGCCAGCACCATGCAGTCCATGGGCATATACACTTGCCTCAAGGCCTATGTCATCGAGGAGCCACCACTGCCACTGCGAGGAAGAGGAGCCGGGCGTGGGAGGACAGGGGTGGGGGCGGGGCTGGGATGTGCCGGGTTGGCCACGCCCTGCCTCTTGACCTTCCTGATCTCGCTTCTGCTCTTTCCTAGGGCTACATTGGACTCCCAGGGCTCTTCGGCCTGCCAGGGTCTGATGGAGAGCGGGTAAGTTTGTGTCTTCTGTCCCCACCTCTCCAGCCATCCCCTGCTCAGGCAAAGCAGAGCCTGCTGGTGCCTGCCCAGAGAAGTCACGGAACCCCTCCTGCAGGAGGTGGCCTTGGGTTGGGTAGGAATCTGCTAAGGGGACGAGTCAGGGCAGGTGTTTTCCAGGCACAGGGAACAGCATGTGCAAAGTCAGGGACGTCTGGTAACTTGGCAAGTTCACCTGTCAGCTCAAAGCACTGAGTTAGAGGGGACTGGGGGGTAGGGTTATATGGGCACCTGGGACTGGCCCCCACATTCCAGATCAGGGGTCTGATGTATTCCAGAGACAATGGCCTGAGGGCCTGCTGCAGCCTGCTGCTGCCCGGTTCCTGTACAGTTTTCTGAACTCGCCTGGGCTGCTCTGTTGGCTGTTGCCTGGGGCTGCATTGCAGAGTTGGGTAGAGCCACGGAGACTGCTAGGACCTACAGAGCCAGAAATAGCCCCATCTGCCTGTTAGAGAAGCACCTGCTGCCCCTCGTGTCGGACAGATCTCTGTCTACTCCAGTGGACACGGCTGGGCGCGGAGGGTTGTGGGCAGGAGGCCCCTGTGACCATTGTCACTGGCGCCCAAGGCCAGGCTGGAGGCAGCTGCCACTGGCTGCGGGTATTGGAGCTGGAGGGCGGGTGTCGGGGACCAGGGGAAGGGGAGGCTGGAGTGGGCACCTGGTCTCTGGCATGGAAGCAGCTGTCTGGGCACGGGACTGAGTCTAGCTTAGGGATGGGCAGGGGTGCCCACAGACCTTGTGCCCAGGGTTGATGTCTGTTAGAAGCCCCTGGCCAGTGGCGTAGAGACCGTCCTCCTCCCAGCCCCTTCCATGCCTGAAACCGAATTTGGGAACTCAGTTGTAATCTTATCAATAAGTTGAGGATGGGAAATCTCAGGAAAGTGGGAGGAGCACTTATTAAGCACCTGCTGAAAACCAGGAGCAGGGATGGGGCTTTTATTTCCCCAGCATAGTTCTGTGCAGCCCCCAACCCTACAGAGTGCAAGGGCCGGCTATACTGTGTGCATGTAACTGGTGCCACTGTGTATGTGGCATAGGTTCCAAGCCCTGTGGGACTTCCTCCTGCAGGCACCTTTGGGGCTGCCTTGGGGTGGCTCTGGCTGTCCCTTCCCAGGGTCCATCCTAACCTTTCCCTTGTCTCTCCCCCTACAGGGCCTACCTGGCGTTCCTGGCAAGAGGGGCAAGATGGGTAGGCCGGTAAAGATTTTCCGTGTCTATTATGTAGACTCTATGGGTGAACCGCCCTCCCACTGGCCACGCTGCCCTCACCCACCTGCGGCTGGCATCTTCCACTGCTCTGCTGGCCCATTTCTCTGCTTTGGATGTCCTGCTGCCACTGAGTGGGGACTGGGGCTCCCACAGGTGGCTTCTCTCTCCCTGGGGCCAGCGCTGGGTCTGGGGGCTTCTGTCCAGCGTGTTTGTGTCCAGGGGCTTGGGCTGGGCTGGGGATGTGCTCCCTTCTCAGAGAACACACAGCGTCCATGCTGTCCTGGGGCCCCTCGACCCTGTCCAGTTCTGCTCATGCACTCATGAGGCCTGAGGACAGGGCTGTGTGGCCAGGTCCGTAGCAGGAGAGGCTCCAGGAGGGTCCCCAGCCTTGTCTCTGCCTGTGTCCTCATGGTAGGAAGAGGGTTTTCCTCTTGTCGGGGCACTCACTAAGTGGCCACTAGGGATCGGCGGCATCAGGTTGCCCAGTCAGGGCGTTTTTGTCCCCGGGGTCTCTGAGCTGGTGACACAGCTCCTCGGGGTCCCCAGCTGGTGGGATGTTGCAGAACTAGGGTCCCCAGAGTCTTCACCTGGAAGAGGCCATTCCCATTATGTCTTTATTCAGAAGGGGAAACTGAGGCCCAAGAGGCAGAGCCACATGTCCAGGCCGCCTCTGCCAGGCTGAGGCGGGCCCAGGACTGTCACTGAGGCCTCTCTCCTGGACCCAGCCCCCATCCGCAGCTGCCCAGTGGGTTCAGCGTGGCAGCCCTGGGGCTGGGCCTGCCCAGGCTGTGGCTGATGCACAAGGCCCTGTAGGGGTGGAGGCAGAATGAGAGGGCTCCAGGAGCCGGCGAGGGCGTGGCCTGTGGCTCTGTGGTGGGGGAGCATCTGGGGCTGTCTTCCACCGTGACAAAATCCCTGAGACTGGGTGCCATATAAAGCCAGGAGGTTTGCTTGGCTCATGGTTGTGGAGCTTTGAGGCCTGATGCTGGCCCTGGCTGCGTTCTGGGCGGAGCCTTACAGGTGATGGTGCGCATGGGAGAGATGGGCTGGGGAGCCAGTGAGCGAGGAAGCCAGAGCCCTGCCTGCCCCCCCCCCCCCCCTCCTGGGAAAGGGAAATTGAGATCCTCTCCTGCCCTGGCTCCCCTGCCCTAAAAGGTAGTAAGCCTCCTGGGCTGAGCAGTGCACATACTCCCTGTGACCACGTGTGAGGCCAGGCCCTTTGCAGGCTCAGCAGGGGGTGCATAGAAAAGCAGAACCCAGGTTGTGGCCTCAGGGAGCTAACAGAGAGGTCCCCACCCTCAGACTTGGGGCTCTGTGTGGTCTCTTGAGGGCCTGCTGCAGCGCTTGGCCCACTCTCCTGGGGCAAATGGACAGACACGCAGTCATTGAGTGGGGAAAAGAAGGTGTGATTAAATGAGGGTCGGGTAGTGCTGACTGCTGAGGCCGGGAGTGGGCACCCGAGTCCTTGAGGTATGGGCGGCTGGCTAAGTTGTCCTGGGAAGCATCCTAAGTTAAGAGACATCTGAGTAGTGAGGGTGGGAGCCATGTGACTTTCTAGGGAAGGCTATTCCAGGTCGAGGTAAGAGCAGGTGCAAAGGCCCTGGGCTCACACCTTTTGGAATGTAGTGTTTTCATGTGGGAAATGAGGACAGCCGTTCTAGCTCACGGGATCGTTGTGCACATAGCGAGAGCTGAGTAAGCAGTAGCAGGCTTTCTTTCCTGGGTGGCCGAGGGGGACTGTGTGTCATGTGACTCTGGGCCAATGGCGTGACCTTCTCTGGGCCTGGTTTCCCACTGTGGAAGTTGCATGGGGCGGGGGTGGTTGCCTTAGAGTCTCTAGCTGCACCCGGCCTCGTCACCCAGGCCTGCCTCCCAGCCGCCTGGGGCGGGGTGGGGGGGGATTTGTTCAGACTTCATCTTGGGAACTTCACAGGGGGCCGGGCTCTGGCCCTTGATGAGATCGGACCTCAGAGAGGTGAGTGTCTGGGCCAAGGTCAATAGTGGCTGAGGGTCAGAACTGGATCAGGAGGCGGCTGCAGCTGTCCATGTCTGCCCCAGAGCACAGCCGTGCAGAGTGTTCTGGCCGCAGAAGACGCAAGATCAGTGCATGAGGGCACGTCACGGCTCCCCCTGCCCTGACCCGCAGAGGCACCTGCTGCAGCCGTGCCCTCCCATCTCCTCCTATCTCCTCCTCTGCTCTCCCAGCAGCAGCCACCTCCCTGCACCTTCTTGGTTTCTTCCTGGAGCTGAAAGCCTCCCTGTTCAGGGTCGCAGAGGCAGCCCCCAGTATGAGGCGCTCGGCACCATACAGCTGCCTGGGCGTGACCCAAGGGCACCCGCAAGTGTCTCAGTCCTCAGAGGTTTACCGTGTGCCATGCGCTTTGGGTTGCACTATAGACCAGACACAAATCTCTGATGTCAGGGAGCTAAGTGTTAAGGTGGACACTGGATAAATAATAAGCCATCCACCGAGTGTGCTTATGACTCCACGTCCCCCTTAAATGGACAGAGCACTGCTTACTGAGGCCTTGCTGTGCATGGTGTTTGAACCACAAAGGATTCTTCCACTGAGCCAAGGCAAGGTTCACTGTCTCTGTTCCCCAGGTGAGGGAGCAGAGGCTCAGACCAAAGGTGTCTGTCCAGAGCACCTCCATGGCCTTGGCATGGGAGCAGGGATCCCAGAACCCCATTACTGATCCTTCCCCAGCCTCCCTGTCTCCTGCCTCCTTCCCTTTCGCTTCATAAGATCAGCCCTGGCCTCCAGAACAGGGGTTTGCCCCGGCACCAGGGTGCCAGTCACAGGCAGCAGAAAATGCCCTTCTCAGCCAAACTGCCCCAGGGCCCCTGCAATGCTCGCGAGAGCCTTGGAAGCAGCCTTGACTCTGATCCAGCCGCCGTGGCCAGCAAGTTGGCAAGAGCTAATCAGATATGATTTAATATGCATGTAATAGGCAGCCTATCAGCTCTGTCCCTCTGCTGGGCCTCCAGGTCTGCCTGTCCCTGGGCCCCCACAGCCCCTGCACTGTCTGCAGGGTTGTCTGTAGCCAGTGCTGCCAGCTTCGTCATCTGCCAGGGGCCCGGGGGTGGAGAGCGCCTGCCTTAAGTGGTTGTCCCTCCTCGTCCCAGCTCCAGGTCAGCCTGTTTCTAGGCAGTGTCAGCAGAGTGACCGTGGTGGACTGTGTCTCTCGTGGGGCTGGGGATGGTTTGTCTGTGGCTGTGGCCAACCCTGGGGCCCTTGCATGGGGTCCCCCTGCTGCTGACCCTCAAGGAGGGTGTGTGGGGGTCTTGTGCTGTAGGGAGCTGAGAAAGACAACAGAGGTTGAAGCACAGTGGAGCTGTAGGAATCTTAGTGGTAGCCTGGTCAGACAGATAAGCAGATGTAGCTCAGAGAAGGCAAGTGACTTGCCCGCGGTCAGACAGCGAGCCAGTGGCAGGGCCAGGATTGGAACCCAGGCCTCCTCCCCTCCTGCAACTCCTGCTTGAAGGCGAATGCACGGTGGTTTTCTGCAGAGGGTGAAGGTGTTAGCAGCTTGGCTGCCGTGGAAGAGGTGTCTCCTGGCTGGGCCTGGCTTTTGTGGGGCGTGGCTGCCAGCGGGAGGCTGAGCCACGCCTCCCAGCCAGGGTCTCTCCCAGGGGCTGGCAAGGTACTGCCCACTGCGAGTCTTCTTGTCTCCCACACTCGGAATTCGCCACCGGCCTGCTGCCTGCCCTCCTGGCCTCTCCTGGCCCCTGGCCAGCTCTGCCAACAGACAGCTCTTTGCTGTGCATCAGGAAAACAGACCCGAAAGCTTAGAGCTGAGAGGACCCAGCCCCAGTTCCAGCGGCCTCATGTGTGGCTCAGGGACCATTGCCTGGAGTGGCCCAGGGCTTTTTTTTTTTTTTTTTTTTTGACAGGCAGAGTGGACAGTGAGAGAGAGAGAGACAGGTCTTCCTTTACCTTTGGTTCACCCTCCAATGGCTGCTGCAGCCGGCGTGCTGCAGCCGGCACACTGCACTGATCTGAAGCCAGGAGCCAGGTGCTTCTCCTGGTCTCCCATGGGGTGCAGGGCCCAAGCACCTGGGCCATCCTCCACTGCACTCCCGGGCCACAGCAGAGAGCTGGCCTGGAAGAGGGGCAACCAGGACAGAATCCGGCGCCCCGACCGGGACTAGAACCCGGTGTGCCGGCGCCACAGGCAGAGGATTAGCCTGTTGAGCTGCGGCGCCGGCCTGGTCCAGGGCTTCTAACACTGTGCATTTCAGCTTCAAGCTCAGGGCCATTTCTGCTTCCCGGTTTGTGCGGAGCAGGGATCCCAGGGACTGAAAGCTCAGATTTCGAGTGTGGAAGCTGAGGCCCAGACAGATTAGGGTGATGCTCTGTGCCAGAAGTGTGGTGCCCAGTGACCCAGACGTGAGCCGGAGCCTTCCCAGGGCTGTTGGCAACCTGGGATCCTGGGGACAGTGCTGCCTGCCTGTGTCCTCGTCTTTCCAGAGGTGACGTGGCTTGGCTGCCTTTCCTAGCAGACTTCAGCGTGCTGGGTGCTGTGGGACCGCACACCTGGTGTGCACACCCCTCTGGAAAGAATGCAGGCTGCTACAAGGGCAGAGTGAAGGATGCACGTGGGAGGAGCTCCAGGACTTGACGGAATGTATGCCTCGCTGAGGTTGCCCCCTCCTCTGGCTCCTCCTCCTCCTTGAAGAGCTGAGGTAGTCTGAGAGTGGGCACAAACCCTATGGAGCCTAGGGCGCCTTAGGGATGGTAAACACCTCCCCTTTTCCCCTGCCCCGCCCTGCCTGCAGAGGAGGGTGGGGCTAACTGTTCTGTAGGCCAGCGAGCCAAGCCTTAGAGGCCTCAGCTTCCCTTTGGATCATGGATGCTCCGTGCTTCCTGCCCCCACAGCCCACCCTCCGGAGCAGACAGCTGGGGTGGACCCTGCCCAGAGGCGGGGGAGGGGCCGAGATGGCCGGAGGTCTCGGCAGCCCTTGGCCTCCAGCTTTGGATATGGTGATGAGGACTGTCCCCGTCCTCACCTCTGTTCCTCCGAGTTGCAGGCCCGCAAGAGTGTGGAGTCTCCTCCTGGGCCTTGTTGTGCTCCAAGTACGAAGCGTCCAGTTCCCCAGAGGGGCCCGACCTGGGGAAGTGCACAAACCACGTGGCGGGGGCTCGGCAGGGAGCCAGGCTCCTTCCTTGGGCCTGGAGCCAGGCTGTTGCAGCCAGAGCTCAGGCCTGCAGAGGACCGTCCCTGCCGCTGGCCAGGCTGGGTGTGCAGGCCATGTGGTTGCCTGGCGCGAACAGACGCAGCCAGAAAGGGAAGCAGACAGGGTGGACATGGGAGCTGCCTGCCCAGCTCAGAGGCCGCCTGTCTGAGATCCAGAGGGCCAAGCTTTGAGGGGTCTTGGTGACCGCTGGACATGGGATCTTCTACATGAGAGTGGGGGGACTGGGCCTCAGTCTCCCCACTGGTGCAGCGAGCAGCTGAAGTTCAAGAACATCCAGGGTCTTTCCATCTGGGACCGTCTGGTGGTTTCAATCCAGGATTTGTTCCAGTGCTGTGAAAGTGCTTTCTTTCCGTGCTCCTGATGACGTACCCCAGGTTCCTAGCGGCCGCTGCTGGACCCTTTGTAGGAAGGAAGAGTGAAGACCGAGGCAGGAGGCAGCCTCAGCCAGCACGCCCCAGCAGAGTCAGTATCCATCCTGCCCCGGAGAGGCCTTGGAGAGGCCACAGGCCTGCTCCATTCACAGCCGTAGCCCCAGAGTCAAGTTCAAGTCCCAGCCTTGCTCTTTCATAGCTGTGTAACTTTGGACACACTTCCTAACCTCTCCAGCTCGTACTTTCCTCATCTGTAAAAGGGAGCCGGTAACAGCCCCTGTCTCACGGGGCTGCCGGGAGCCCACCCCACGTCGCTGTCTGTTGTCTCCCACCGGCGTCACCCACTGCCTGTCCTCAGGCTTTGTCTTGTCTGCAGAAGCGACTCCCATGGGATTTTGGCTCAAAATCCTGCTGGCAGGGTCTCCCTAGGTGTCTCTGTTACTGAGCCTAATCCTGGCTGCAGGGCTCACCCTCAACATCTCGGCCCATTGTATAGCAGACAAAACTGAGACTCGGAGAGGCCTGCAAGTGATGGAGCCAGGGCTGAGATGGGGCCTGGGCTGGGCCGCTGGATCATAGAGGGACCCTTGAGCCTTGAGCCTGCCTGGAGCAGTCTCAGGATGCACACCCCTGGGACTGGATCCGGGTCAGGTGGCCGCTAGATGTGGACCTGTTGAATGTTGCAGGACGGGTGCTGAGACGGGGCCGCTGGCGAGGTCCCAGAGCCCAGGCTGAGTGGCTGGCATTCCTGTACCTAGGGGAGGAGTCTCCCCTCTCCTGGGCCTTGTGTAGCTGTCACCCCTGACCTGAGAGGGACATGGCCAAGGAGGGGCCGCCCGGGCCATGCAGCCAGGTGGCAGGATAGCCAGGGCCCTCTCCAGGCAGTTCCACACACTGGTCTTGGAGAACAGAGAAGGGACATCTCGAGTCCCTGCAGAACAACACCCCTCGGATCCCCTCCCTGTCCTGCCGAGGCCAGAGGTGGGAACTCAAGGCCTCCCCAGAATGCCCCTGTCTCCTGCCCCAGCAGGTGAGCCAGCTCTCCCTTCAAGCATGGCCAAGAGGGGTTACGTTGGGGTGAGGCTGGCATTTTCCAGGAGGTGACCCCAAGGATGTGAGGAAAAGAGGCTTGGGTGGGGTCAGATGTGCCCCTGCAAAGGCATGGCCTAGAGCTGGGCGCCCACCCACACAGACACCTGCGCCTCCCTGCCCCCCACAGCACACACCTTCCAGCAGCTTTTGTATGCGAGGCTCTGCCCATGCACAGCTCGCAAGAATCTGACAGTCCAGAGAGGTGGAGCTCTGCTTATGGCCTGGGCCAAGTGGTGTTTCCTGTCTGAGCCTCTGTTTCCCCATCTGTTAAATAGGACCAAGAACCTTTTTCTCCTGAGGGTTGCTGTTGAAGGCAAGTGACAGGTTGCCTGACCCAGCTTGGTTGGAACCTCAGTGTCGTGTCCTCATGTCCTCCTCTGGTGTCTGAGTGCAGCCATGCCTTCTGGGTGGTGAATGCCAAGCCCTGCTCTTCTCATCCAAGAGAGAGGGACACCTCATACTTGGAGCACAACAAGGCCCAGGAGGAGACTCCATGCTTTCCTGACAGAGGAGGGATTTGAAGGGGGCAGGCGATTGGTTGTGGGTGTGAGTTTTGTTTGCAGGTTTGGTCTTTTGGGCTTAATCCACCCCCTGGGTTCCCCCTGTGGTGTTAGAAACCACAGCGGTGATGACCTCCAAGAGGCCTTGGCACTGGGGAGGCAGCTCAGGCATCCACTTGGTCGGGAAGACACGTGCTTTGTCTTTTATTAGATTTCCCTGGAAAAACAATGGTTTGAGTCCACGGAGGGGAGGAGAGGAGGTTTCCCCATACTCTGGACTTGAGGACTTTCTTCTCCTTTTGAAGTAGGACTGGCATCCTCCCCAGGCCTGGAGGCGGCCCCGTAGCTGATGTTTTCCCAGCTGTGCGCTCCCCAGAGAGCGGGCAGTGGGATCAGGCAGGGGCTGAGGAGCCCGGCAGCTCCGCCTCTCTGAGCCGAGGAAGCTCACCTGTGCAGGTGCTGCTTGTGATGTTGGCCAGCGGTGTGGCCTCCTACGTCCTGTGCAGCCTGGGCCCTGACTGTTCCCAGCCTCACTTTCTCTCTCTGTAAAATGGGAAACGTGGTTGCACAGTGCAGTGGTTGGAGAGCAGCATCACAGGCATTGCCAATCTGGACTGGAACAAGCCACAGAGGCCTTCCCCTCTTGGCCAGTGGGGAAACTGAGGCTGCGAGTTGGGGAGGGGTGCTGGTGATGCTACGGATGCTCTTAAAACCCTCAGCAAGCAGTGGTCCAGGCCCAGACCCAGGCTTCCTGCCCCTGCCACCTGGTCCATCAGGACCAGGTCTCAAACTGGGGCAGGGGGAGGGAGGGGGGAGTACAAAAGAGGACTCCCTGGCCTTGGCCCCTGCGTAGCCTGGCCCTGAGCAGTTCTGTGTGTGTGCTGGTGTCCGCTGATGGCAGGGGGTGAGCGCAGGCCCCAGGGGGAAGCAGTGAGAGTGCTCAGACGTCGTCCTTGTGTTGTCCCCCTGGGGGTCGGGATCCCAGGCCTCCTGCAGGTGTGAGCACTGACCTTGCTGTGTGTTCTCTCTCATGTCTCAGGGCTTCCCTGGAGACTTTGGGGAAAGAGGCCCTCCCGGACTGGATGGAAACCCTGTAAGTATTTAAAATGTTGGAGAACAGGGAAGAGATTCAGAATGAGCCCTAAGCTTTGGGGTCAGACAGACCTAGGTTGGATCACAGCCTCGCAGCCTGCTCACTGAGGGCTCCTGGACACTTTGCATCACCTCCCTGAGCCCCAGGTCCCGGCCTGCTGTGGTCCCAGCTGCACCAATCCCTGGGACATCGGGAAGTTCATGATCACTCCCCACTGGCGAGGCTCTGGCTGCTGCCATCTTACAAAGCATCAGAAATGTTTATGAGCCCCAGCGGCTGGGAAAGTGAACAATTTGCAGGCCCTGTTTGGAGAGAAGAGCCGACTTCTAAAGGCTTCTCCACCACGGCTTGTTTATAGATTTTGTAAATAATCAGAGGCCTAGTCCCTATCCCCTCTCTGAGCCAGGTCAGCCTGCCCCGGGGAGCCGAGGCCGCCTCTTCCAGTCTGTCCCAAGCAGGGAAGACGTTCATTTGTGTCCAGAGCTCTGGGACACCTGCCACGGCCCCCACCTCTCCTTGGGGCTTCTTGCCAGAATGGCCCTGCCTGGCCATGCACTCTGCACCTGATTATGTGCTAATTCACTGCCACAGGTAGGTACCCCCTGAGCCTGACCCAGCCAGGCTCCCCTGAGGGTCAGCCTTGACCTCTGAGCCCAATGCACCTGGGTTTAAATCTTGCTGCACGCCTTGCCAGGAGTATGAGCCTGGACAATCAGTTCGTCTCTCTGAACTCTCATTACGCTGTGAATCGGGGTAGGGCAGGAGGGATCAGAATGCCAGCCTCATGGGGCTACGGGGAGAGTGAAACTGAGGCCTGGAGAGGGGTTGGGCCCACCATGGGTGCTCAGTGGGTAGAGCAACTGAAAATACTGGGTAGGGACAGTCATTTGGCCCAGCAGTTAAGGTTCCATGGGAGACACCTATATCCCTTATCAGAGTGCCTGGGTTCCAGGTTCCTACTAATGGGTACCCTTGTACTGATGGGTATCTTTGTCCTGACAGATACCCTTGTACTGACAGGTACCCTTGTACTGATGGATACCTTTGTCCTGACAGGTACCCTTGTACTGACAGGTACCTTTGTACTGATGGGTACCCTTGTCTTGACAGATACCCTTGGAGGCAGGCAACAGGTAGTGACTCAGGTAGCTGGGTCCCTGCCACTCATCTGGGAGACCTGGATGGAGTTTCCAGCTGCTGGCTTTGACCTGAGCTAGCCCTAGCTGTCGCAGACATTTGGGGAGTGAACCAGTGGATAGGAGCGCTCTCTCCCTCTCCCTCTGTCTCTGTTTCTATCTCTCTGCCTTTCAAACAAACAGCAGGAAAAGAAATTGCTAGATGATGAGAGGGGGCATGGTCCCTGGGCCCCTGGGGTTCACAAGCCACCTGTCCAGCCCATTGCACAGTGAGGTGGGTGGGATTGAAGAGGGAGGCAGGAGCAGGGAAGACGGGATGGTAACATTAGCACTGGGATGAGAAGGAAAGTGAGGGTACCTTCCAGGCAAAACAAGGAGCGCAAGCAGTCACAGAGGGAGGCAGAGTCAGAGCTTTCTATCCGTGCATGACTGACTGGATGCACCAACACAATAAGCCACATCGTTCCCGAAGTTTCCTTGGGCGGGGGTGAGGGTGTCTCGCCACTCATGGCCTGGAATTGCAGAAGGACTTGAAGTCCGTTGTCCCCTCTGCCTCCAATTTACTAAGTGACCTTGGACGAGCCACTTCCCTTGGCAGAGCCTCAGTTTCCCCATTTGCCCTCCTTGTCCCCTTCTTGGTGGCCAAGGTGATGACCTCCCACCTGGGCAGCCCCATGATGGCGCCAAGGGAGGCAGATACCCCCTGAGGGTTGTGGTGGTTCTCACAACTCCTAGAGCCCCAAGTTTTCTTTACTCTTCTGTTCTTTCCCACCTTGACCTTGATGCTACCCCCTGCACCTGTCCTGGCTGGTGCGAGCAAGGAAGACTCATTTTCAGAGGTGCAGTGACTGAGCTGTAGGGGACACATCACACCCTGAGCCTCCTCCCCTGATGCCCCTGCAGGAACCCCTCTGGTGTCTCAGAGGCTCCCGATGGAGGAAACCCAAGGGCCTGGTGTTGGGGGGGGTCCTCCAAGGGCCCCCATCAGAGAGAGAGGTAGGATGATTGGTGTCACTCAGCCAAGAGCACCCCTAGCTTTGTGATTGCCTTGCACCTGACTCTGGGCCAATCACGTCACCTGTGGAGCTCCAGTTTTCCCGTCTCAAAGGTGGGCATGAAATGGCAAGCACTCTGCATACCTTTGTTACCATGACTGCGATGCCACCCACACCCCCGTTTCTACAGATGTGGGAAGCAGAGGGCAGAGGCGGGGGGGGGGAAGGTCTTGTCCAATTTCAGGCCAGACTTGGGAGAGTCAGCTGGATGCTGTGGTCAGGAACAAGGAATGGTGGCTCCAAAAGATCCGGCCAGGTGCCTTACTGGAAGATGGCATGGAGGGAGGGGCCCTGGAGGGACAGGGACAGTAACCGCCCACTCTCTCTTCATCTGCAGGGGGAGCTGGGCCTGCCAGGGCCCCCAGGAGTCCCCGGCCTCATTGTAAGTACACAGACCACAGACGCCTGGGAGTGGGGACTGGGTGGAGCCGGATTCAGGAGAGGGGGGAGCTTGCAAAGTCCCTTGTGTGACCAGACCCCAAGAAGGGCTGAGGGGGGGACGCCCTACTGTGTGGCCTCAGGTGAAGCACCTACCTACTCTGAGCCTGTTTCCTCATTGGTTCAATGGCATGGTGTGTGGCACGTGGGATTGCCCATGTGTTTTCCCACCTGCTACCTGTTTGTCACCCTATAAAGTCTGGGGCAGGTGCTGGCATGCCCGTTCCCTGAGGTCTAGGGGGGAAACTGAGGCTTGGACTATGTTGGGCAGTCTTTGCCCTCTTCCTCAAAGCACTGACTATGCAGCCAGACCACCAGAGTTCCGGTTTCAGATCTGCCATGTCCTGGCTGTGTGATGGGGGCCACGTCACTCTCACCTGTAAAATGGAGGGGAGGAGTGGTTGTGAGGATTAAAGGAGGCATCACCTTATTGTCCTTGGCACAGGATCTGGTACTCGGGGAGTGCGTGATTTGTGGCAGAGGTCATTCTGTTCATTAGTGTTGTGACCCCCAAGAGAGGCTGGTGTGCAGTGGGCAGAAGGTGGCCTGAGCTTGGTTTCCATCCCACCTGGCCAGGTCTCGAGAATGGTTCTGACCTTGGACTGTGAGTCCTGACCTTGCCCTCAAGAGCCTGTGAGAGGCCCAGGCCTGGGAAAGGACTCTGGGGACATCTGGTGCCCCCTGTGCTCTGTCCCCTGGGTCATGCCTCAGGAGGCTTGAGGCTGGGAGGCCATGTCAACTCTCCCCTAGCTTCACAATGAGTGGCCAGCTTTGCCACTCTGGCAACTGCGCCAAGACATTCAGCCCAGAGGGAGGTTGGAGAAGTCCTCGGGAGCCTCACTGCCCGTCCAGTCTGAAGCTAAGGGAGCAGTCCCTAGAACAAGACTGCCTGTGTTCAAATCCTGGCTCTCCCTCCTGTTTAATCAAAATCTTGAGCAAATGTCTTAACTTCTCCGTGCCTCAGTTTCTTCATCTGCACAATAGGTATAATACTGGTAATGGAGGACTGTTGTGAAGTTTGAAATGGACCAGTACCTATGCAGTGCCTGGTACATAGTGAGCACTTGAGAAGTCATTATAATAGCTGTTGTTACTCTTTTACAAGTGTGTTGCACAATCACAGACACTCACATGCATATGCACACAGGATGTTTTATGCCTGGTAGCAGCTGTCTGGATTGCTGAATTGAGAAGGATTGCATTCCCTTTGGAACTTGACAGGAGAGGCTGCTGCAGTTGATTAGTGATGCCTGCCTTGGCTTTGGATGGGCAAGCGTTAACATATGAGTCACACACTTGTCACCCCTGGTGCCCATTCAACAGCACTTTGCTGAGTACCTTCTTTGGCACAAGGTGCTGACCTAGATGTTTTGGAAACAGAAATATTTGCCACGGGGGTTAGAGAACTCTCTAGATGTCTTGTAGTCCAGCTCCCTCTAAGCCAGCAGGAAACTCCCCTGGGCGTCTTGGTCAGTTGAACCCCTCTGGTGTTAGAAGCTCCCTCCGTGCCCTGGAGCCCAGGCCATTCTAACGGGGCTCTCATGGTTCAGTGTTTTCCTGTGCAGGGAGCCCAGGCAGCTCTGCTGTCCCTGGGAGGGGTCAAGATGCTCTCATTCTTCCTCAGGCCCCTGCCTCGGGCTCAGCAAGCCCAGTCCCCACAGGTTTTCTGCATTTCCTGGCTGTCGTCCTTGGCACAGCGTCCCATTTGTCATTGTCCCAGCGACTGCTAGGTGTCCCGAGAGAGGCAGGAGTATGTGCTGAATGAATGCACATTCTGGAGATGCAGACTTGGCTGTCCCAACCCTTGGCCGTCCTGATTCTTGGCAACTCATTCCCACCTCTGCTGTCCATAGTTAGCGTAGCCAGAGAAAATATAAGACGCCTGGTTCCTTTGAAAAGTCAGCTGCCATATTCAGAACACGTTCATTGTAAGCCATCATTTGTTTATCTGACATGCAGATGTCGCTGGACATCCCGTCATTTTATGCATCCAGTCTCGCAACCCCATTTGCCATTGTCTCTCTTCGGACAGTCCTGTCTGACACTTGGTAAAACTGAGGCCCTCGGCCAAGGTCACATGCAAGGCAAGAGAGGACAGAGGTGTAATGAGGCTGTGACTCCCGACTCCAGTCCAGCGCACCGAGTGACCTGAGCTGGAGGAGCACCCTGCCTGTCTCAGAGCCTGTGCCCGCTGCGTGACACCCCAGCCACAGCGCGGCTCTGTGCTGCCTCGTGGCTCCCTCTTGCCCTGTGCCTTTCTCTGCTTTCAGCCTCTCTTGGGCCCCATGCTTAGATGCCCTTTGCAGCCAAACAGAATGTCCCTTCCAACTTGTGCCTTGGGGAGAGGGGGTTGTCACAGGGCTGGACCCGGGTCCCCCGTGTCACCACGGTTCCCCAAGCGAGTGCCTCCCTCCCGCTCTGGATTTTTTTGGGAACAGCAGCTTCTGTGCCTGGGGAAAAATTTGCCTCCCCAATGAGTTGGAAAAGAAAGGAATTTTCTAACCGGGAGGAGGCCTGGTGAGTCACCTCTGGTTTTCCAGGGGATGCACATGGGACTGGCGTTTACTGAGTGGAGGGTCGCACGTGTCCAGCGCCTGCTGTCTGGTCAGCCGACATGATTTGCATGCAGATGGAAGCTCAGATTCCCCCCCCACCCCGGGGCCCTTGCAGCCGCAGGAAGGACTCGAGACGACAGCCGAGCATTTATTGAGCTCTGCGTGTGCTTGACACGCATTAGCTGTGCAAGCATCGGGTGCCCTGGGTCACCAGCCGGGGAGCGGAAGTGTGTGACTCCCAACCCAGTTCCCATCAGCCGCCAGGGGCCCCCTGTGGCCTCCGAGGTGCGAGGGCCTCCCCAGGGCCCCTTTGAGTAACTGAAACCCTTTGGCTGGCCCTCAAGCAAATGGCACCAGGTTCCAGAATCTGCTCAACAAAGACAATGTCTGTCTTTTTGATTCAGAGTGACACAGAGGGAATTTTAGCTCATCCATTTAATGAAACCCAAAGAACACACAATCTGGCCAAAAGCCCTAGCCTGTGGGGTCCACACGTTCTGTCTACCACATCCTGTCACAGAGCTCATCTGGCTTTGTTTCTTGTCTAGAAAGCAAAGTCAGGAGCCCCACTAGTTGCCACCCACCCAAGCCTACCCTCTCAGGGTGGGGAGTGGGATCACCATTTCACAGCTCAGGAAGGCTCAGAGAAGGTGAGGCACCTGCCTAAGGCCACACAGCTGATACGCTGGACCCAGGCTTGACTGCCAGACCGCACACTCTTCCCCGCTGCCCCATGTGGCCAGCTCTGCAAGACTTGGAATGCCACAGCAGGTGTGTGGGGCCATGCTGGGGCCTTGGAAGACCACACAGAAGCTGAGACCAGCCTCAGCCCACTCCTTTTTGGGGTTTTTGGGAAGAGGTGTGCTTTCCCCCAGAGGCAGTCCCCTTGAGGGTTTGTGAGATGTGCAGATCTCTGTCACTGTCCACTGAGCTGCTGCCAGTAAGTGCGTCCTCAGGGCCGTGCCCTGTGCTAGGTGCTGGGGTTGCAGAGGTGAGGTCCCCAGATGCCACCTGCCCTCAGTCTGGTGCCAGCCGTGTCCCCACTGGCATGCACAGAAATGGCAGTCTGTGTGGGGAGGGTCATGAGCAAAAGGCAGGGGGCTTTTGACCTGACAGCTTGGCATGATATGGTCCCTGAGGTCAGGGAGATGACCTTGGCCTTGGACAGACGGTGTAAGCAGGGTGACAAGTACAGTAGCAGTAAGAGCCAGAAGCTGGGGAGGTACATGGCCTGGTCTGTCCAGCCGAAGGGGAGCAGCAGGGCAGCAAGGTGAGCACCGCTGGGGGTGGAGCAGGTCACTGGAGGCGTCCCGGCTGGGGTTCCCGCTGTGTCTAGTCTCAAGCTGGTGCTCTCGGCTGATGGTGCACGAGCAGCAGCGACAAAGCAGCCTTGGGTCCTTTATTGGAATCAACGGCCCGTGACACTGGGGTCAGACAGGCGGACAGACCTGGATTCTGGTCCTGCCTCAGCCCCTGTCACTGCTTGGTTGTGGGCAAGGTTCTTCCTCATCCGAGCTTCGGTTTCTCGTCTGTAACATGGAGTGGGGTCCGCCCCGGTGCTGACCTAAGGGGGTTGCCCTGGGCAGTGGGTGAGTGTCTGAGCTGCCAGCACTAGTGCTGCTCAGGGTCTGGCACGCCCGGGGCCTTGAGCCGTTGCTGGTGCAGTTGACAGTGGCCTTGGCAGGGGTCAGAAGGCGGGGCCAGAGCATGCCATGCAGTGCTGGCGGCTCAGAGCAGAGGGGAACAAGGAGCTGAATGAAGGACCTCGCTCACTGTTGGCTTTTGTCAGGAGTGGGAATTGTGCGTCTCCCTGGCCACACTGCCCTCCAGGGGTCTAGCCAGCAGTGGATGGAAGGTGGCCTGGAGTCTCCTCTGCCCCTCCCCACGAGGCATTTATAGCCCAGTGCCCCCAATCCTGCCAACACCCAAAGACCTCCTCTCTTCCAGCCACCCCAAAGCCAGCAGCCCTTTGCCCTGGATTCCTGGCCCCAGCACCCATGGACCCCTCTGGAGAGGCCAGCAGAGGCAGCGACTGTGCCAGCCGGCACTGCACCGAGTCCCCACGCATCATGCCGCCTGCAGGCCCTGTGTGTATTCCCAAGCTGCTGGCTGGGCCTGTGCCCGCTGCCCGGCCTGTGTGTCGCCTCCTCCCGCAGAGCTGGCCATTTATTTGCACACCACAGGCACCTGGAGGCGGCCACCCCTCACTCCCTCAGGTGGCCAGGAGGGATACGCCATACCCCTCCCCGCCTCCTCTCCGGAGAGTACCCAGAAGCTGTGGCAAGGGACCTCCTGGTGCGGATTCCAGGACCTCCTGGTGCGGATCCCAGCTCTCCCCTGGCTCTGCAACCTTGCTGCAGCCCGAACTCCTAGCAGGAGTCTCCTCCTCTGTAGAGTGGTGGTAGCAGGACCCATCTTTTGTGCCGTGGAAAGGACTTGGTTGCTTGCTCCCTGGCACGAGTATGGCCGTGGGCGGCTGTGACTGCTGTTGCCCTCTTTGCCGCAGGTCACACAGCCCCTCCGCGGCATGGCCAGGGCCGGGCTCCTGCCACTCTGGGCAGGGCACAGAGAGCGGGCCTGTCTTTAGCCAGGCCCTGCTGCATGTGGGGCCCGCACCATCCCTGGGTCTCTCTCCTGGGGACATTCTGCTGCCCGCCTGTCTGCTGCAGGACCCAGGCAGGCATGCACTTGCTCACGCTCGGCCCGGCATCCCTCTGAGTGTCCAGGCAGCTCCGGCAGGAACCTGAGTCCCAGACTTGTGCCTCCAGTGCTTCCCAGCTGTGCCCCTGACCCTGTGCCCCTGACCCTGGGTACTTGCTAGGGGTCTCCACAGAGTCTGATTTGAAGTCATAGGAAATTGAGGCCCAGAAAGGGCCAGCACGTTGACTGAGGTCACACAACAGCCATATGCCTAGAGCAGAGGACAGGCAAGGGAGAGAGGGCAGTGTGTTCAGGGTCCTCTGTCTGTGTGTGGGCTTTGCTGTGATGGCTGTGAAGGGGCGGATGGAGGAGACTGGGGGAAAGGAAATCCAGTGGCCTCCCCTCCACCAGAGTTTCTTGGCCTTAGAACTCTCGGCGTTCGGGGCTGGGTATGGTTTCCTGTGCCTTGTGGGATATTGATCAAAACCCCTGACCTGTATCTACCAGCTGCCATGAGCACCGCTTACGCTGAGACAGCCGTGTGCGCTGAGTCAGGACTCCTGAGGCTGTGCTGGGAGGGGCACAGGACTGTTGACTCACTCACTCACTCATTCATTCATTCCCATTTGTCCCACGAGGACACTGAGGCAGGGAGAAGTTGAGCCAGCAGTGGAGCAAAAGGAGGGCACGCGGCCCGACTGACTCGAAGCAGTGCCCCTCCCACCTTCCAGGCCCTCACGGGAGAGCTGTCTGCGAGTCTCAAACCCCACACCATCCCTACCCGAAGCTGGGTCTTCCTACTTTGGCCAGGCTCTGGTGGCTGATTTTAGCCTCCTGAGGGTCCATTTCCCATGCTGGGGTTCCTGGTTGCAGAAGCAGAGGGTCTCCCCCTCCCTCAGCTCAGGGAGTCAAAACTCCTGTTTCCATTTCATTTAACTCTGCAGCGGCTCGGCAGGCTCCATTTTATGGAGAGGAAGACTGAGGTCTGAGGAAGTCAGATGAAAGGCCTTGAGTCCTTTGGTAGCTGACGTGGAACGAAGCAGGGGGTGGGGTGGGGGGCAGCATTGAGGCCGTGAACCAGAAAGCATCTACGTGAACTTTATTCCAGCGCTTGAGTGGCAGTGAATGGAGTGAGGAACACTCTCAACGCCCAGATCAATCCAGTGGAGTTGTGTCCTTGAACTTGAAACCATGGGACTGGTCCTCCTGGAGCCGCCCGTCACTCACACAGCATCTTCTCTCTCTCTCCCCAGGGTGACATGGGAGCGTTGGGTCCAATTGGCTACCCAGGACCCAAGGGTGTGAAGGTAAGCAAGCTGACCCCCAACTCGGGCCTCATCCCAGCTGGGCACACCTCCCTCCCCCTGCCCTGTCCCCACGAGCTCCAGCCCATGGCAGCCCGGGAGGAAGGGTGACCTTAGCTGATGCTGCAGGAAATGCTCCGTGGGGGTGGGGAGTACTGGGGCGGAAGCTGGAGCTCAGCTCTCTGGGCTGAGCGCCAGCCGTCATCTGCGTGTCATTTAGGCCAGACGTCTTTATTGGGCAGCAGTCGTTGGGCTGAGCAGGAGGCCGATTTGTTCCGGGCCTCAGGGCGCTGGAAGTCTGGTAGGGGCCATCGCCAGGATGGCGAACCGGTGAACTCCGACCATCCCCGAAGGGGAGGGGCGTGCAGGAGGACAGGCTAAAAGTGCTGGGACAACCCAGTTTGGCCAACGTCTCTGCAACACAGCTCACTGAGCCCTCCCCTCCTTCCTCTGGAGCTGTGCCCAGCGCCCCTGCTCCTAGCTCTTTGTCTCCACACCCGTGCCCTGTGCCCTGGGAGTGCTTGCCCCAGTTTACAGATGGGAACACTGAGCCTTGGCTTGGGACACCTAGCTCGGGGTCTTGTGGCGAGGGCGTGGGTGAGGGCCGAGGCTGCTGACTCACAGCCCACCCCGGGGCCTTTGTCTTGCAGGGGCTGATGGGCAGCGTGGGGGAGCCCGGACTGAAAGGTGATAAGGTGATCTGAATGCTCCCTTATTGCACTGTGGGTTTTCTGCATGCTGCCCCCTCTCCGCCCGCCCGCCCGGAGGCTGCTGCTGGTTTCTCGCCAGGTCCACACCCCTGCACTCTGCCTGCCTCCCTGTGCTCCCCGGCTTCTTCCTGGACACTCTGGGCAGGGCTCGGGCAGGTGGTTCTGGGGCCTGCACACCTTGGCAGACGGAGCATGGGCCGCTGTTGCTCCAAGGGTGAGGGGTGAGTCAAGGTGGTCTCAGGGTCCAGGGAGCAGAGAGGGGGCCAGTGTGTGTTCCTGAGGGCCCGTAGCCTAGGGGAGGAATAGTGGAAAAACAGATCTCCAGGGCGTGCTGTCTGCGAATGCAGCGGGAACCCACCCGGGCCTCTGAGCCATGGACCTGCCTCTCCTCCAGCTGCCACGGGGGAAGCCTCTTTACCACGTGTCCTCTGATCAGCCCGGCTCCTGAACCCTCCCTGTGTCAACCTGTGCCAAACCAGAACTGGAGGTGGGGGAGGGGCCCAGAGCAGGCAGTGTCTGAATGACATGGGCCGCACTCCTTGTGCTGTGCCCCAGGGCTGACTTCCTGTCCCTACCTCCAGTCCCTTGGCCAACCAGGACCCCTCAGAGAACTATGGGAGGGCTACGGGGCAGCGTTCCAAGTACCCACAGGGGATCTGAGGGGCTGACTGCCTCGCAGCCGCCCGTGGCCAGACTCCTGCACCTGTCTTCAGACCACTGCTTCCTCCTCCACCTGAGTCGTAGCAGCAGGTGCCAGGGGCTAGGCACCCCCTGAGGATGCTACGGGGATTAACCCATTCTTCCTCCACCCCCTAAGACATAAGCTTGCCCCAGGCCACACACAGGTAAGTAGAGAGTCAGGATTCGAACCAGGCACCTGTCCCAGAGAGAAGGAAGGTTGGAAGGTCGGAGAAGCTGAGGCTCTGGGGACTCCCCTCCCGCTGTGCCTGGGGAAACAGACCTGAAAGGGGTTAAGAGCTTTGTCAAAGATGTGATGAGTTCCTAGGGGAGCCAGCGCAGGCCCTTGATGGGCAGCAGTGGGCACCCCAGAGTTTGATCATGCCCGCTCCCAGGTAGCCAGCCAGGTGCAGCACTGGTCCTGGTCCTTGCTCCACCTGCTTCTTCCCCCTTCTGCCTCCCCTGTTGTGGCCGTGCTTCCCGCTGCAGCCCCCCCGCCCCTGCAGGGCCTTCTCTGAAGGGACATCCTGGTGGAAGCCGGGTTCCCCACACCTACCTGTTGATCCTGAGGCTCGAGACATCAGTGCCCTGGAAACGAAGTCACCAACCGGGCGCAAGGCAGCTGGGGAAGTGAGACGGAGCTTTTTATAGGCTGCTTCGCCAAGCTGGCCTCGGCTCCCTGCTGCTTCAGGAACATGGAAATAAATGCGCTACATGGAAGCGGCTGGGCTGCTGCTGGGGGCTGCGGGGGACGCTTAGCAATGAGAAAACTCTGGAAAAAAAGGGGGGAGGGGTAGGACATTATTTTCATGCCCATAGTTTTCAGGAGAATCAAAGAAGTCTTGGGGGAGCAGGGCACAGAGTGAGAGCAGTCTTTTCTGTGCCCTTGCTGGGGCGGAGTCTGAATGTCCTCTGATCCCAGCTGCACACCGTGCCCCCACCCCCACCCGCCTCCCCTGGGATGACCCAGCTGTCCCTTCACTCTCTGTGGTCACTGCTGTCCAGGTCGCTGGTTTTCCATGACCCAGCCCGGCTTCAGTCCCACTTACAACCACTTGGCTCCCTCCCCAGCGTGGAGGCGCGCTCTGGAACCGAAGCTGCTCCCGCCCAGCTCATTCTCCAAACCCCTGTCCTGATTTCCTAGGGGCCTTTTTCCAGCTTTGCTTTTGTCCCATTTGAATTTTATTTTTGAGCCTCTCGTTCCTCTTTTGGACATTCGAAAATGTTTCTGGGTTTCCAAAACTCCAGAGTGTTGTACAGGATTTTCCAAATTGGAAAAACTGGAGTAAGTTAAAAAATAATTTTTATTTTCAATTCTGGCTTTTGTTCTGCCCAGGAAGTCCGTCTGCCGGGTCATGGCCCTGGCTGCACAGGGTGGATTCTCGAAGATTCTCCATTCTGCCTGGGCTTTTCTCCCACTTCTGCCAGCTCCCAGGGCTGCAAAGGGTGTTTTTTTTTGTTTTTGTTTTTGTTTTTTTTTTGACAGGCAGAGGACAGTGAGAGAGAGAGACAGAGAGAAAGGTCTTCCTTTTGCCGTTGGTTCACCCTCCAATGGCCGCCGTGGCCGGCGCGCTGCGGCCAGCGCACCGAGCTGATCCAATGGCAGGAGCCAGATACTTATCCTGGTCTCCCATGGGGTGCAGGGCCCAAGGACTTGGGCCATCCTCCACTGCCTTCCCTGGCCACAGCAGGGAGCTGGCCTGGAAGAGGGGCAACTGGGACAGAATCCGGCACCCCGACCGGGACTAGAACCCGGTGTGCCGACGCCGCAAGGCGGAGGATTAGCCTAGTGAGCCGCGGCGCCGGCCTGCAAAGGGTTCTGAGGCCTGAGGCTGATGGACTGGCATTGGTGGGGACGGGGTGAGGTGGCTCTGGGCCTGAGGAGAGCCATCCCCCAGTCTATGCTATGGCAGCTCATTTGGTGTAACCCAGCTAAAAGCAGGAGCGCCCAGGACGCCTCTCAAATTCAGTATCCCCGAGGGCTGTGCTATATACACTGTCTTAGAAAAGTGCCGGACGGAAGTGAAGACCGGTTTTCTTGCTGGCATCCGTTCATGGCGCCCAGCTTGAAGGGTCCAGAGGGGTCCAGTTCCTTTGCTCTGCAAGAGTTCATTCTGACCGGGGCTGCTCAGTGTCTGTGGCTGCGTCCCCTGGCAGGCCCTCACGTAGGATCTGCTGTCCCCATCCGCGCGGCCCATCCTGTCTTCTGTCGTCCAGGCTGCTGCTGGTCACGGGGACTCTGGGCCAGCCTCAGCCTAGCTGTACCCCGCCCGCGGGTCTGCAGGGGGCGGTGCGTCGTGAGGGCTTGTGGTTGCCATGGTAACCTTCTTCGCTGGTGTGTACTTAGGGTGAACAAGGGCTTCCAGGTGTGTCGGGAGATCCCGGCTTCCAAGGAGACAAGGTAATTGTATCACACTTTCCCAACCTCTGCCCCTGCCCGGCTGCTCCCTGGGCCTGGCCTCCCTCCCAGGGCCCCTCAGGGGCCGGGACACCTATGACATGGCTCCGTGTCCGACAGTCCTGTCTTCTGCATCCTCAATCCATTTGTTGGTCACCTCCCAGACTTCACAGTGGCCCCTTAACTTATTTTCAGCTTCTTCTTCCCTCCCAGTCTGTCTCCCTCACTCATCATCAGATTATTCTGAGGGCTCTCACACCTTCCACGGCTGCCTCCTCCTCCTCACCCTGGCACGCAGGACCCAGTTCAGTGGGTCTCTCTGACCCTCTCCCGCCCTTGCCTCTCACTGTTCTGGGCTCAGCCCCACTGCACCCCAGGCCTTTGCTTGCACTGCCACATTGCCTGGGTCACCCTCTGCCCAGCCTGTCGGCACTGTCCTATGCAGAGTCCATTTTTGCCACCCGTTGAGGAAGTGGCTACTTCCCTCTGCGGTCCCCGTGCAGCACTTGGGGTCCACCCCTCTCCCCTGGTTTGGGGGTACTTGTGCTTAGGGCCTAGGCTGCCTTAATGGTGGCTAGCTAGGAATTGTTGGAGGGAGTGAGGAACTGGCCTTCCTGACCGACAGGTTGCTCCAGGGCGTGAACCATAGTAGCCTTGACCTCCAGAGCCCAGCCATGGGCCTGCTGAGGCTGGCTCTTTGGTCCTGTGTCCTGCAGCACATGGCCACGTGTTGACCTCTCCCAGCCACTCTGAGTCCAGCACCCAGGCTCCTCCCTCTGTCCTGGCTCACCCACCCTGAGCCGGCCTCAGTGTCCACAGCTGTGAGCCATGCTGCCTGGGCCCTGTCTGCGGAGTTCCCCCAGCATGAGTGGAGCCCCAGGGTCTCTGGGTCCTAGCGAGGGTGGGGCTGTGGTCTCCCCTTAGCCTTCCTGGAATCCAGCCTCCAGAGTGCCAGGCAGGTTGTCCCAAGCCGGGGCCTGTGGCAGAGAAACCCACAGAGGACCTGCTCGCCCTCAGACACGGGCTTCCTCCAGGCCTGGGGCCAGCCACTTCTCTTCCTCACTAACCCGGGCTGCTCTGGTCTTTTCCAGGGGAGCCAGGGGTTGCCAGGGTTCCCAGGTGCACGGGGGAAGCCAGGGCCTCTGGTGAGTACCTTCCCCTCACACCCCCCTGCTGGCCGTGTGACGTGTCTGGGAACAATGTGCCCATCTGACAGATGGGGGCACTGAGGCCAGGAGAGGCCTTACAGGCAGCACCCTGACAGGAAGCAGAGACCCCGGTGCCCTGGAAGCAGTAGTCCCGTGACTCCTAGGAGCCATGGGTGTCACTCACGGGGGGCACCAGCCTGGGCTGTGTTGTTTGCTTTGAAGGCTTCCACCGCCCCCTGCTCCCCTGTTAAGGATGGCGGAACTGGTGAGGTCACTTGCCCTCTGCCCCACAGCTAGTGTGTGTCGGAGGCGGGATTTGAACTTGTTGCTGTTGAGGCAGATTTTCATCTGCATCTTCTAGAACTTCCTGTTCCACCCCCATCCAGGGGGGCGGGGTATGCGAGGGCTTGGTGGAAGGGGGAGTTCCTCACTCACCTCACCCGCACCCCACACTCTCTTCTCCGCAGGGCAGAGTTGGAGACAAAGGATCTCTCGGGTTTCCTGGGCCCCCTGGCCCCGAGGTACGTGATGCCCCATTTCTCTGTGTCTGCCTGCGGCTCCATCAGGGTGGGTGTCCTTAGAACCCCGAGGCCCAGAGAGGCAGATGGACTGGCTCAGGCTCATACAGCAAGCGAGAGGCGAGACACAGAACAGAACTTGCTCAATTGGCCGTCTCTTCTCGTCTACTTCTGCTCTTCCTGTCCTACCCAGAGACTCTCAAAGGCGGTGGGGACCCAAGAGCGGGACGAAGAGTCCTTCCCCAGCCTTGTGGCCACTGGGCTGTGTGGTTCCCATAGAGCTCCAGGCTCTACTGGCTGGGCCCTCCCAAGAGACAGAGGCCCTGTGGGCCTGACCGCTCACAAGCTCCCTAGGAGGGCACGGCCCTCAGGGCTCCCAGCTATGGGGAACGAGATGTCAAGGCTGAGTCCTGGCTTTTGAGTGCAGAGAGGGCGGTAACGAGGGATGGGTCTAGCAATGCACGCGGCTGTTCCCCTGGGAGTTTCGGATGGCCATGAAACTTGGCATCGGTCTGTCCACTCAGCTTACACGTGGTGGATGAGGCAAGCTGGCCGATTTCTCCATGACACGGACCAGGCCTGGGAAACTGGGCCTAGCAGGAGCCCGGGCTGCTGGCTCTGCATCCCAGGATCGCTGACTCCCAGGCCAACCCCAGCCGGAGCCCCGCCACCCCCACCCCACCCCACGCATAGCCTCCTGGCCTCTGGGCCTTGCTCGTCCCCAAGACCGCTGCATCCAAGACAAAAGTCTGGCCCCGTGGGTTCTCCAGAGCCTTCCAAAGAATACTTCTGGATTCGCCCAGCTGCATGAGGGAATGTTTCCTACAAGCCGCGGTTCTGACTTCCAGCCCTGTTGACTTTGGCCCTGAAGCTGTCCTATCTTTAGACGGATGGAGTCGGCCTCTCCTCCCCTGACCACTGACAGTCTGGGTTTCCCAGCCATCCTGCCAGAGAGGATGGAGAGTGTGCCGTGCTCCTGCATGTCCCCGAGGCAGCCCCTGGTGCCAGGGGGCTGTGTGGCATCTCAGGGATGGCACCTGCTGAGTCGCTGCCACGATCCGTGGCAGGAGGGGAGGGGCTGCTCCCTCTCCATCTGCACATGAGTCGGGGTCACTCTGCCATGTGGGAGTAGGGAAGGCCTCCTCTGGCTCTCCGCTGGGTGCTGGGCCAGTGCAGGGGGCCGCCTCACCCATCGCCGCGTTCTGTTTGGCTTTGCTGATGCCATCACCAGGAGACACTGTGCGGAAGGCAGGAGCTGCTGGGCCTGTCAGCGCCTTCCCTGGCTCCTGCGCCTCTCCCCAAAGCCAGGGCGGGGCCCGGGAACTGGGCAGCACCCGGGTGGATGATCTCCCTTGCTCGTTGATGAGCCAGATGTGTGCGATCAGCATCCTTGCTGCCAAGGATGGGGCCACTCTGGCAGGCTCCTTTGCTGTCACAGGGGACGCACGACCTCTGGGATGTGGCTTTTTATGGAGTGCTTATGGGGAGCCGGGTCGCACACGATGCTCTCTGCTTGCACTGTTCCATTTGGCCCCCAGAACAGCCCTGTAGGCTGTGTTAGGGTCACTGCTTCTCAGATGAGGGTGCTGAGACCAGAGAGGCCACTGAGCTGACCCAGGGCCATGCGGGGATGGGCGGTGGGAGGGGATTCTCTGCCTCGAATTTTGAAGAGAAAGATGGAGCTTTGACTTCCTGTATTAGCTCCAAATTCAGGACCATTTTTGCCTTGGCCAGGGAAAGGGTGAGAGGATGTTTGAGCTGGAACTCTGACATTTATTTTATTTATTTGGAAACCAGAAAGACTATGCACGCACACACACACACACACACACACACACGGGGGAGGAGAGAGAGAGAGAGAGAGAGAACGAACCCTCCCATCTGCTGGTTTAATCTCCAAATACCCACAGCAGCCAGGACTGGGCCAGGCCAAAGCCAGGAGTCAGGAATTCCATCTGGCTCTCCCATGGGGATGGCAGAGACCCCAGTACTGGAGCACATGCTGTGCATGAGCAGGAAGTTGGATTGGAAGCGGAGCTGGGAATTGAACCCAGGTATTCCAACGTGGGTCGTGTCTTAATTGCTATGCCGAACACCTGTCTCCTGAGCTGGAAGTGAATGGGAATTACTAGAAGAGGACAAAAAAGAAAAGAAAATCCAGTTTATGAAGGCAACATGGGAGGGCACGTTTTTGTCACGGTGTTCATTAAAAAAGGCTGGCTGAAACTGAAGGAGTCAGGGGACTGCCCCAAAGCTAATGGAGTCCTAGGCTGAATTAGCAGAGGCAGGACACCTAAACCAAGGGAGGGGATGTCCTACCCTGGCTCATGCTGCTCAGACCCCACCCTGAGAAGCACAGGTGTCCTGGAGATGGGCTGACTGTCCCTTGAAAGGACAGAAAAGAGCAGGTCCCTGGGAGTGGGGCACTGGTCCCCAGACTGTGCAGAGACCCTGGTGCAGAGGGAGCCCTGTGTTTGTGCAGTAGGGGAGGGGTGGTTCTGCTCCATGCCAGGGAGAACCTTCTGTTGGCCTCATCAGGGAACAGTGAGCCCCCGGGGGAAGCACGGGGCAGAGTCACACAGCTGGCCAGACGGGGCAGGGCCATCAGCTTCTGACCCTTTCAAAGTCACAGGCCATCCTGCAAGGCATCACAGCTGGCTGTGGGCAGCAGTGCGTCGGGACGCCAGTCCCTCATGGTCCCTCGTGGGAATTCTGGGTTAGACAGCCTTGTGTGGGATGAGCTCAGCGCTTCCCTAGACAGTCTCATGGCTTTTCTCAGCAGCTCTCTGAGTGTCAGGGCTGGCACCACCATCCCTTTTGAGGTCTGTTGTGGCCATTTGGGGGGTGAGCCAGCAGAGGGAAGTCTGTCTCTCTCTCTCTCTCTGCCTTTTACATAAATACTAAGTAAGAGTCCACTTTAAGGACTGAGGACTACAGTATCCGAGTGTTTTCTGACCTGCCTGAGTCACATCCTGGCTAGTGTGGGGGGTGCGCCTCTCGCCCCCAAGCCCTTAGCACTACCCTGTGCCGCCCTCTTGGTGACCCTCCTCTCTGCTTCCCCTCAGGGCTTCCCAGGAGACATTGGGCCCCCTGGGGACAATGGCCCAGAAGGCATGAAGGTGAGTCCCCACCCAGCACAGCGCTAGGGGCAGGAGCAGTCGGCTCCCTGACTCGCCAACTGTGATGGAGATGGAGGTGCCACCTCTGAGACCACCTTCTTGTTCTCTTCTCTCCAGGGTAAGCCTGGAGCTCGAGGCCTGCCAGGACCCCCTGGACAGCTGGGGCCCGAGGTGAGACCATCTGGCCCTGTCCCCACACTGCCCTGCTTGGCCCGACTGCCGCCTCCATCCTGCTCTGTCCTGGGTGCTGAAGGCCCAAGTTGCACCCGGAGCCCCTTAGTGGGGACAGTCTGGGGCTGCCTCAGACTTACCTGCCAGATCATCCTTTACTGCTTTGCCCCTGAGGCCCTTCCAGGATCTTCTCTGCCTTGGCCTGGCAGGATGGGTCACCCCATCGTCCTGGGCCTTTCCCAGAGTGGCTGTCACTGCTCATGTGCTCAGTGGCCATTTATCGAAGCCTTGATATGGGAAGGTAGGCGTTGTCAGCCCATTTTACAGGTGAAGCCACTGAGACCCAAAGAAATACAAAGACACCACTGGGTCCCTGAGTTAGTAGCAGGCAGGGTTGTGCAGCTAGTGAGTGGCACGGGGGAACTGGCTCATTTGCTTACTTGGTGCAGGGGATTGAGGGGCCTCTCTGGGCTGAGGGAGCACCTGGACTGTAGGGCACCCCATAGATGCATGAGGCCCCCACGGCTCCCCCCTTCACAGTCCACCTTAGCTCAGGCCCCTGCCTCAGGGGAGGGTGTGGGAGATTCAGAGTCATCCCGACCACAGCCCGGCAGCCGCTGACACGGATCCCTGCTCAGAGCTGCTTCTGGGTCTGGCCAGGTCCCAGCACTGGCTCGGGGCACTGCCACGTGGGGCTGCTTTCCTGGAAGCCGGGGGAGAGGAGTTGGGGGTTGCTCTGGAGGGAGCTCCTTGGTTAGGCCTGGCCTGCCAGGAGGGGCCAGTCTGGGGGTTGCCTGGGCTTGTGGGGGGCCTGGAGACTCCTGTGGGCTAGAAGTGGGACGGGAGCGAGGAGAAGGCGGCGCCGGCCATGCAGTTCTGTCCACACCCCCGTTACCACTCCCAGAAGGCCGTCTATGCCTGCCTCTTACTCATGCCCGTTCTCTCGATCGCTCACTTACCCAGCATCCACTGTCCTGATGATGTCAAAAGGAAGGCATCATTGCTGTTCTCTGGGGACTCCCCTAAAGCCAGGCCGGGGTCGGGGTGGGGGTCTTCTCCACGATGGAGAAACAGATACAGCGAGGCTAAGGTCTGAAGTGAGTAAGTAGCAGAGCCCAGAGCCCAGCCCGTGACTTTGAGCCACAGTAGGAGGCTGTTCCTCATTGTGCACTCGCTGAGAGTGGCGGTGGGGCCTGGCTGCTGGGCCACAGCTCATAACACTCTGTCCCCGGGCAGGGCCGGCAGGTGGGCTCGGTGTGTCCTGGGCTCTCCGTCCAGGAGGGTTCCCCTCTGGCCTCCGTCACCCTGCTCACAGGACAGGTCTCTAAGAGCCCCACTGGATTAACTTCTCCTTTTTTCCTTCCTCTCTCTCATGTCTCTAGGGAGATGAGGGCCCCATGGGACCACCAGGGGTCCCGGGCTTGGAGGTGAGTGCCGGGCTGGGGGAGGTGAGGTTTTCTGGAGCCGAGTCAGCTGGGCACAGGCAGGGCAGCATGTGGCCATTGCTCCTGAGAGCAGACATCAGTGAGGCCTCGGCTGGCCACAGGACAGGGACGGGCCCCAGAGGAGAGGGACAGCAGGCAGGAACCTGCCTGCCACTGCCCACCTTCTGTGTTGGCAGTTTCATGGCCACTGTCTAGCTAGGGTTTCCCAGGAAAGGCACTGCTTTTCATGGGTGTACAGAAAGGAGGCAGGTGAGGCTCAGGGAGTGAGGGCTGAGCACAGCATCTCGCAGCCGGGAAGTGGGGCTGCTCTGCCTGGAACCTCAGCTGGATTCTCTGCATTGCTCTGAGCAGCCTTCCGGAAGCTTCTGGCCCCACTCTCATCTTCATCCCAGCCACCATGCAGAACAGCAGCATTCATGAGTCTTTTGGTCTCTGTGCCTCTCTGTAATCTTTTTATTTTTTAAGGATTGATTGATTGATTGATTTGAAAGGCAGAGTTAACAGATTGATTGATCTTCTGTCTGCTGGCTTGCTCCCCAACTGGCTGTAACAGCCATGGCTGGGCCCAGTTAAAGCCAGGAACCTGGAACTCCATCCAGGTCTCCCACAAGCATAACAAGGGCCCCAACACTTGAGCCATCTTCAGCTGCTTTCCCAGGCACATTAGCAGGGAGCTGGATCAGAAGTGGAACAGGCAGGACTCGAAGGGGCACTAATGCGATGGCAGCTACGCGGGCGGCGGCTTAACCGGCTGCATACACCGCCAGCGTACAACTTCCTCTTTATACTCCTACAAATGCCTGAGGATCCAGTGTTTCTGTGTGTATGGTTCTGTCTCTTGATATGAGTCATTGAAACCAATAAATTTCCAATGTGTTTATTAATTCACTGAAAATTAGTAACATACCCGTTTCATGTTAACAAAAATAATGTTTTCACCAAAAATCACTCTAATTTCCAAGGCAAGACAATTGAGTGGAAAGAGTGGCATTGCTTTAGCATCTTTTGCAAATCGCTTTCATGTCTGGCTTAATCGAAGTCAGCTGGACTCAGTCCTGCCTCTGGCTGTGATCTGGGATCCCACGCGTCCCGCAGCCTCTGGAAAACTCCACTTGCACTCCTGGGACTGAGAGTAGCATCTTAGTGTTGTTATGAGAATAGCCTTGACCTTGTAAACCTCCTCCCCAGGCTGCAGGATCAGTAGCGTCAAATCTGTGTTCCCCTGTATCCCTGGGTGTTATAGGCCACACACCTTCCTCCCCCCACCCCTGGAAAGCAGCTGTCCTGTCCTGAATTTCAAAGGAACCGGCCTGGGGAGGCGAGGCCACACAACAGGAGACCCTCCCTGTATTCCAAGACAGCTGGCTGCAAAGTGGCATCAGGGCTGTGTGTCCCAGCCTTCCCAGGGCACTGTGGCTCTCTCCAGCCCATGGAGACCCCGTGCCAGATCCTCCGAACTCCTGGACCCCAGCAAGACTGTGCCTCCCCAACTTCCCTCAGCTCTCTCTCTCTCTCTCTGTTGCAGGGTCAGCCTGGCAGGAAGGGATTTCCTGGGAGGCCTGGTCCAGATGGCTTAAAGGTGAGAGACCTAGTGATGCCTGGGGATGAGAGAATGAAGGGGAGTAGCAGGGGCACAACATAGGAGCACCCGGGGACCAGCCTGAGTCCCGTGCCCAGTTGTGAAAGGAAGGAACAGTTGATTCCTACTTATCACAAAAGTGTTGGTAACAGAGGAGGGGAAAAAAGGACGTAATCTAAGTGTCCAGCGATGGGGGATTTTTCAAGAAATGGGAAGTAGTTGCAGCCACACAAGACAGTGCTACAGAACAGTTTCAAGATGGGAAGCTAGCTGCCCGTGTGCAGCGTGGTGCTGCTGGGAGGAAACAGGAGGGAGATGGAGCCCTGAGCAGGGCTGCATTGCAGAGTGGAGGCTGGACGTGGACAAGGTTATCTCAGGATGGCTGGATAACAGATTTTCACAGTCTTCTCTGACACCCTGTGTTTTCCCCATTGTGTCCAGTAGGTCTGTTTTGCTGTTGTTAACAGGTTGGGTGTTCTTTTTATAAGTTAGCAGAAAGGGCCAGGGTAGAATAGTGATCCCAGCGCATGGGCAGCCTCACGTAATGGTTTTCCAAGGACTCCCCTGGAGGAGTTGGATGTCTCCAGCCATTTGGGGCAAGAGCTTGTTGGGGCAGGCTTGCAGATAGGCAAACCCACAGGAGGCAGAGCCCGGTGAGCCCAGGCTGGCCACAGCTCCCTCCCTTCGAGGGAAGGGCCCAGACGTCTGTCCCAGCCCACCCTCTGGTTTGCATGAGTGTGAGGCTGAACAAGAGGAGCCGCCTGCACCGTGGGCCCGGACTGCTGGCGAGTCTGAGCCCACTTCCTGGCCTCTGAGGTCTCGGCCCTTTTCCCCCAGATGCCAGCAGGAGACCTGTGGCAGGGGTGCTGACAGCCTGGGTGGCTCTATCCCATGCATCTGCTCTCTTCTCCAGTTCATGCTGGAGGATCCCAAGGCAGCTGTGGTCATCTGCGGAGCAGGAATCACCCCAAGCATGGGACCGAGCTGACAGGCCAGGCTGCCAAGAATGAAGCCTGGGAAGAGGCAGAGTGTGCTTCCCTGCTCTACAGCTGGGGAGGCGGAGCCCAGAGCAGAGACAGGACTCACCCTGGACCTGGGGGCAGAGCCCTGGAGGGTCCTTGACAGCCCTAGCTCCCTGCTGCAAAGCAGCCTGGTGCAGCGGGACTGGGTGTTCCATCAGGCAGACCAACATTCCAATTCCAGCTCCTCTCGCTCGCTGTGTGCCCCAGGCAGGTCCTTGCACCTGTCTGGCCCCCACAAAGTGCACTGGGTTGCTGAAGGACCCACGGGAAATGTAAATCAGGGTGCTGGGAATGCATGACCGTGGTCACGTCGGCCCCAGGGGTTCTGTCCCAGGGCTCTTCCATCCCTGCTGTTTATTTGCAATCTGGAGACAGGCTGCTGGTCGCTCCCCACTGGGGTGGTCACCAAGGCCAGGGGCCCTGGGAGTGCCCAGGCCCTGCCTCCCGTCTCCCACCCCAGTGCATCTTTCTCTTTGTTTCTTTGCAGGGGGAACCAGGCAATCCTGGACGGCCGGGGCCCGTGGGCGAGCAGGTGAGTGAGCCACAGCCTCTGAACCCTTTGTTGAGCACTCAGTGTGTGCCAAGCCCTTCGCCAAGCTCACGCCACGCACTGCCTCACTGAACCTTCAGCACGGCTCCAGAGCAGGGTGATTCTCAGAGACCCACAGTCCTGGCACGAGACGCTGGGAGAGCCGGCTTGGGATGCGGCCGCTGTCCTGGTCGGTGTGCCTATCGGGATGCCGATGGTCAGAGGAACATAACCATGTGCTAGGAGCTCTTGGTCTAGGCATCCCAAAATTATAAAGAAGATGAAATTCGAACCAGTAGCTCTGGCTAGCTGGGAAGCGAGGCCAATGTCTCCCAAAGAACGGAGGCTGCAACCAGTCATTAAAAGGGGGTTTGAGGACGGCAGGCTTCAATTATCCAAGTGCAGAGACGCAATGCTGGGAGCTGGGTAGACACACAGCATCCGTCTCGCTCCCCCACCACTGGGCTCCGAGGTGCAAAGGTGGCAATGTCCCCGCTCCCCCCGAGACCCCTGAAGGGGCTTCCTCAGCAGGAAGGAGGCTGCAGGACGCTCGGGACCCACACCGATCAGTGTGTGCTGCCGTCTGTGGCGTGAGAGTCGCACAGCCTGGGCTTCCTCACCAGGCCTGCAACATCTGTTGGGGGGAAGAAAGGAATTGAAGCCGGGGAGGCCTGGATTTTTGACATCTTTCCAGTGTCATTCGAGCACATTTTGTGGGAAGCCCGGGAGTCTGGAAAGGCTGCGGTGGCCTGGATGTATTTCCTGATTGGAAAAAAAAAAAAAAAACGCAGTGCGATCAGCAAATTCAGTGTCATAGCTATGCTAATGGCGGGGCCCTGGGCTGGGAGGGGATAGATGCTCACCTCCCAGGCCGTGGGCCCCTGCACCTCACGCTGTTGTCCGGGGTCCTAAGCCCAGGGACATCCCTTCACAGAGTAGAATTTTTTTTTTTTTAAAGATTTATGTATTTATTTGAAAGGCAGAGTTACAGAGAGAGGGAGAGACAGAAAGAGGTCTTCCAATTGGCCACAATAGCTGGAGCTGTGCTGATCTGAAGCCAGGAGCCAGGAGCCTCTTCTGGATCTCCCACGTGGATGCAGGGGCCATCTACTGCTTTCCTAGGCCACAGTAGAGAGCTGGATCTGAAATGGAGCAGCTGGGCCTTGAACTGGTGCCCTATGGGATGACGGCACTGCAGGCAGCAGCCTAACCCACTACGCCACAGTGCTGGTCCCCAGAGTAGAATTTTTTAATGCGTAAGATAAAAAGTAAAAGAAAGCAACTATGTTGAAAATAGGGAAATATGTTGAAATGTGACATGCTCTGATATAAGTTTTTTTAAAAAGATTTATTTTGTTTTATTTATGTGAAAGGCAGAATTATATAGAGAGAATGAAAGACAAAGAAAGATCTTCCATCCTCTGGTTTACTCCCTAAATGGCCACCATGGCCAGCGCTGGGCCAGGCTGAAGTCAGGATCTTAGAACTGCAGCTGAGTCTCCCAAGCTCTTGGTCCATCATCTGCTGCTTTCCCAAGTGCATTAGCAGGCAGCTGGATCAGAAGCAGAGCAGCTGGAACACCAACCAGTAGAGGATGCCGGCCTTTTACATGGTGGCTCCACCCACCGTGCCACAACACGGGCCCCTGCGTTTCTATATTAACACATTAAGCAGTGAGATCTAGCAGCAGGTCTCACAGCAGCCTCAACTGTCAAGTGGTCACAGCCTTAGGGATGTGTTTTGAGATCCGCGGTTTGTTGCTTACACTCATTTTTGCAGGAAATGCTCAATGTCAACAAGAGGATATTGCAAGGCAAATTGTAAATTTTTCTAATTCAAGTTCAAATTCATGGACCCTCTGAATTCTAACCTTAGAGCTTCACAGAGACCCTGGATTCCACCCATGTTGCTATTCCGGGGATCATGGAGAGGAAATGGCTCTTCCAGGGTGACAAGTGGGTGGGACAGAGGCAGAGCTGGGGCCAGCAGCGGGGGAACCCTGCCTGGTTTAGCCTGGGCTCACTTGGTCCGCAGAGGCCCAGGCAGCTGGGACCATACAGAAAGGAGAGGCGCTTTCTGAGCTAGGAATCAGAGCTGGACCCGGTGGCTGACCTGCGGTGCGCTGGGCACCACACTGGCCGTGCCCTTGACCCCTCCCTCTGTGGTCACAGTGTAAAGGGCAGGCATTTCCCACGCATGGCAGAATCAGAGGATACTGGGAAAGAGTTCCCAAGCTCATGCCATGGGACCTCCTTATAGTCATAGTGACAGCTGCATCGACGGGTCACCTGCCGGGTACCAGGCCTGTGCCAGACACTGCCTGCACTGTCACCTGCAGTGCCCTCAACACCCCGTGGCTGTGGGGCTCATTTCCCCCGTGTTGCAGGTGAGGAACCCGGGGCTCTGAGAAGTTAAGCGTCTTGTTCAAGATCTTGCAGGCAGAAGCAAAACTGTTCAAGCCAAGGCTGACACTGAGGTCTGCTGGGCTCCCCAGACCTACCCCCCCCACACACACAAGGGCTGGAAAGCTCCCATCTCCCAAGTGCATTTATCTGCCAGCTGCAGACGCCTGCCTGGCCCTGTCCTAGGTACTGGGGACAAGGCAAGGACCTTGCCTACAGGAAGTTCTGTTGGGGGAGAACTGAGCATGGGAGCCCCTAACCCTGCGTGTGCAGCCAGCGGAGCATGTGCAACCATCTGTGCTGGGGTCCAGCAGAACGTCACATTTGAGAGGGGCAGGGGGATGACAGACCAGCCCCTGTGCAGACCCTGGCCCTCCATCTGCAGGCACTGTGGGCACCAGGCCTGGGGACTCTGAGCCCACCTGTGCAGTGCCCCCTATAGGCAATGGCACCAACTCTGCCCTGTACCTTCTGCCAGCCCAAGTGGAGCCAGCATACCTGTGGCTTTCACAGCAGCTTCTCCCCTTGATCCGCCAGGCGGCAGCCCTCGGCCTCCGGGGCTGGCTTCCCTGGACCATCCATAGCACAGGGTGCCAGGATGTTCCCGGACAGTGCCCCAGGGGGCCTCCGGAGTGGGACGTGGCGGGGGGCAGGGACTGGGCACTTGCTGTATGGTCTTTATTCATTAGGATCCTGTTTGGCTTCTTGTCTGAGGTTTATCACCTGCCTGCGTTCCAGGACCCCGCAGCTCATAAATTTAAAGTAGCTATGAAATTTCTCTTTCTGTGCTCCATCAGGCAGGGGCCTTTTAGCAGAGCAATTTTATTCCCTTTCCTCTGCGTCTTCCAAATGCCTGTCTGCTCCTTTGTGGGAGCCTGGGCCTCTGGCTTAACCCCGTGCCCTTTTGAAATAAACCAGGATGAGATGGGAGAAAGCTAGCATTTATTGGGTGCCTGTATGTGCCGTGCATAACCTCGGATGCTTGGAGCGAGCCCAGCAGGGAGGGAGGGAACTTTGTTATGCCCATTCTGCAGATGAGGCTCAGAGAAGACTCTGGGATTGGTCCAGACTCTGCAAACCCCGAGGCTGAATGACAGCGCTGTAGATAAAGTGCCAGGCACAGGGCTTGTGTAGTCTGTGTTGGTAATACTGCTAGTACCCTGGAAATACCCTCATTGATTTTTTTTTTAATGTAAGCTGTTGCAGAAGTCAGATACCTACTTTGTTATTCTCTGAGACACATTGGCCACGGTTAGCTGGCACGTTACCTTGTACCAGCTCCCTCTCACCTCCTGCTTCACCCCTGCAGGGACTCTTGGGGCAGACCCGGTTCCTCCCATAATGGCAACATGTGTCAGGGTCTCAGGGTGATCTGGGGCCCCCCTCACTGCTTTGGGGGCCTCAAGGCGCAGAGGCAGGTACATGGGCTTTGCAGCCACAGCCGGCGACACAGTCCCAGGCTGGGGCAACCATGCACAGCCGGTCCTGGCTGAAGTTGCCCCTGTCTGGGGGGCAGGAAGCGTGGGTCTCGGGGAACTGGCGTCTCCAACCCCTCTTGGGTGCAGCGCAGGTCTCATTTTGCGCTGGCCAGGGTTTGGGTGACAGGAAGCAGATTTTATGGGACAAGTCTGCTTATCCCTCATCTTTCCTAATTCTCCCAGAAATTTTTGGCTGCAAATTTAGGTGCTTCCAAAACTACTTTTGCACTCCTAACCTACACATTTTTTTCAGCAGGGAAAAGGGCGGGGCTTCAACAAGAAATGGCTCCGCCCTCCTGGGAGACTTGTATTAGGCCTCCCACCTCCCCTGTGCCTGGTACCTGCTCAGGGGGACTGCAAGGCAGAGCTGCCCAGAGAGCCCCAGAACACAGAGGCAGGTTGTCACTGTGTGTATGTGCACACGTGTGTGTGCATGTGTGTGTTTCAGAACACAGTTTAGAGGCCTCCACTTCCCACATTTCAACCTGATCTTTTGGCGGAGACTGTCAAGGCATTTCTGCCCCAGCCAGCAGGTTCATTTCCCTCTTTGAAACCGTCCCAGAGGTCCCACAAGATGGGGACAGATGGCGTCTTCCCAGCCATGCTTAAAGGCCGCCTCCCAGCCTGCTTCTGGCACGGGAAGAATGTGTGGCACTCCTGGGGGTGTTGGCAGTGGCCCTACTGCTTGGCTCCAGGATTAGAACCATCTGGCAGAGCAAAGGAAGTCGGGACGGTGCCCAGAAAGAGGCCAGGCGCTCCTCGCCGGCACTGGGCGGGTGGCACCTGGGCCGCCACACTCAAGGGGCAGGAAGACACAGGTGAGGGACACTGAAAACACAGCAACTCCAAGTCACCTTGTTTCCTCTCGCTTTTGCCTCTGTGCCTCCTAGGGACTTATGGGATTCATCGGGCTGGTCGGGGAGCCAGGAATCGTGGGAGAAAAGGTGAGCCATGCTGGGGACCAGATCGTGCCCAGGGTTTCAAGTTTTCCAAGGATGTCCAGATTGAGGCCACTCTCCCTGACATTCCAGACCCTCCATGGGCCCGTGCCCCTTTCCTGGCATCCCCCTGCCCTCCCGACACCACCCTCAATTACAGTCAGACTTTTGTGTGACAACCAACTCATGGGTGTGACTGGGGGCCCCCCGCAGTTGCCTGCTGGTACTGCACAGGGGCGGACGACTGAGGAGGGGACGATTCCTCTGCTATCGAGAGGAAGTGTGAGCTTCTCCTAGGCTGCTTTGTTTCCGTTAACCAACCCCCCCCCCACCAAGCAGCTCTGGTTTGCTAATGAGATGAGTGGGGCCCTGATGGAGGGGTGACTTGCTGAAGGTCACCCAGGTTGTAAGTGACAGAGCTGGGATTTGAATCAAGTTCATCGCGAAGGCCACACTTTGCCTGCCAAGTCACACTGCCTCATCTTGGCTCCAAAGCAGCCAGTTTCCCACCATGGGCCTAAGGGCACCTGCCTGCCTTTGTACGCATTTGTCTGATTCCCAGCACAGCACGGACTCTGTGCCTGGCCCTGTGTGCCACACCAGTGTTAGTCCCATTGATAGCTAGAGCGACTGGGGTCAAGGGAGGCAGCATACCGTCTCATCACACCTGGCCAGCCAGGCTCCACTGTGCTCCACTCTTCATCACTGCTGAGCCCAGACCCTCTGGCTTCTTGAGTTACAGAGAGAAAGGGGGCAAGAGAGGGCAGGAGATTTTCCATCTGCTCGTTCACTCCCCAAATGGCCACAATAACCAAGGCTGGACTAGGCCTAAGCCAAGAGCCTGGAACTCCATCTGGGTCTCCTACGTGGGTGGCAGGAGACTTGGGTCATCTTCCCTGCTTTTCTGGCCGCATTAACTGCGAGCTGGATCAGTTGTGGAGTAGCCGGGATGCAAAGCAGCGCTCATACGGGATGCCAGCGTCCCAGGTGGTGACTCAGCCCGCTGAGCCACAATGCTGGCCCCAACACCCCACCCCACTTCTTTTAAATTTATTTTTTTAAATTTTTTAAAATTTATTTGACAGAGTTAGACAGTGAGGGAGAGAGAGAAACAAAGAGAAAGGTCTTCCTTTTCCGTTGGTTCACCCCCCCAAATGGCCACTATGGCTGGAGCTATGCTGATCCAAAGCCAGGAGCCAGGTGCTTCCTCCTGGTCTCCCATGCGGGTGCAGGGCCCAAGCACCTGGGCCATCCTCCACTGCCTTCCCAGGCCACAGCAGAGAGCTGGACTGGAAGAGGAGCAACCGGGACTAGAACCCGGCGTCCATATGGGATGCCGGCTCCGCAGGTGGAGGATTAACCAAGTGAGCCACAGCGCCAGCCCCTTCTTTTAAATTTAATTTTTTATTTTGAAGTAATTACAGATTGATGAGAAGTTGCAAAAATCCATCCAGGAACGTCCTGTGTACCCTTCACTCCGCTTCCTCCCGCGGTGAAGTCCCGCACAGCTGCAGCCCACCAGCACGCGGCCCCTGGCCCTCCTCACCTCCAGGCTGTTGCCGTATCTTTCCCTGGGCCGGGTCCACTCACCCTACTCTACCACTGCCTCCCTGGATTACTCTTAAGCATCCTTTAGCTGTGGGCTCCAGCCAGACTCCTGTAGGAAGCCCTCCCCTGCAGCCCCTCCCTCTGTGCACCTGCTCCAGACTGCAGCTCTTACGTCATCCCCCTGTGACATGAGTGTCTTGCTCCACACGACCAGTTCTGTCTCTGTTCAGCATGCTTCAAGCAGGGTCTGGCATATGTACTTTTCAGTTAGGAGGATACACAAAAACAGAGCCAGGATTTGAACCCAGAGCAGTTGCTCTGACTTCCACACCCACCATCTTTGCCCTGACCTGATTGTGGAGAGGGAGTGAGCCATGTCCCAGCGTCCCCAGCGTCTCAGATGCCTTCCATGTCTGTTTTTCCTCAGCAAGCCCAGCCCAGGGGATGCCAGGCCCAACAGGGACCATGTGACATGGGTCCAGACCAGAGGGGACATCGGGCCCATCCTGGCCTGGGGATAGACCTGTGGCCAGCTACAGTGGGAGCTGCCCAAGGTCTTGGTGTCCACTGAGTGAAACCCTAGCTCCCCACCTGAGTGCCGTGGCCGTGAGACAGGCAGGAACTTTACACACCTTGGGCAGGTCCTTGTCCCGCCCTTCCCCCACCCTCCACCCCACCCCCGACAGAGGCTGCCACAGCCATGACCTTCCTGTACTGCTGTCTCTGCCACAGGGTGACCGAGGCGTGATGGGGCCTCCAGGGGCACCTGGACCCAAGGGGGCGATGGTAAGGAGTAAGTCTGCATCCTCATCCCTCTCTGTCGCAGCTTCAGGTGACACCCCTGCCCTTCCTGCCCCAGCCATTGGGATGACTGGGGAGGCCTGGCTGCTGGCCCCGTGGCCCTGGGCTGGGGCTGAGCCAGCCGAGGTGGGACTGAGGGAGGAAGAGGCACTTCTTTCTGGTGACCTCTCCGTTGTCTTCTTTCTTGGCAGGGTCATCCTGGAACGCCAGGTGGTGTTGGGACACCCGGAGAGCCTGGACCCCCAGTAAGCAAAGCCCTGGGTCCCCTGAACTCAGGCCCATTGCCAAGGGTAGGGGCCGGGGTTGGGACAGATAAGGAGGTCTTGGCCTCAGACAGACCAGGGAACGGATCCGAGCTCCACCGCTCCCTGGCTGTATCTGCAGAGCAGATCATTTTACTTGTGGGAGCCTAAATATTTGCTTATCTAAGAAAAGAGACAGGAAGGGTGGTCGTGACTGTGTGGGCGAAACACAGCCGTGGCTGTTGGCCGCTACTGAACGGTCTTCATCGCTCGAACTTCTTGGGCATCCGTATCATTGCTGCTTTTGTCCTTTGGCTCAGGAACTGCAGGGAAACCTGTGCCTGGGCAGGTGCAGGAGCTGAGGCCCAGCAGCCAGCATGGCAGAAATAATCCCTGCCTGGTGGAGAGAATCCAATAAACCAGGGTTACCTGCAGCTGAGGCAGAAAGACGGCATCTGCTCGGGCCAAAGAGGCTGAGCTCAGAGGAGCAGGGCTGTTTCTAGGCGGCGAGCATGATGGGCAAGGCTGGGAGGCTCGGACATGGGTCAGCTGGGAGCACCCAATGCGGGAGCCCCCTCCCTGCCCCTAAGGCTGCTGAGGACTGGGGGAAGGGTTGTTCTCATTTGGAGCAGGTGGAACTTGCTTGGGGTCTCTCTGCTTCTGCTGATGGGGGGAGGAACCTGGGCAAGGACTCTCACTTCAACCCTGGTCAGGGCTTGGGGCTGGGAACCATTCCAGGGTGGACATCAGGCAGGTGGAAAGTCAGGCTTGATTCCAGGACAGAGCTGCCGGGCGATGAGCTCAGGTTGCCCGAATCCTTGGGGTCTGATGAGAACATGAGAGCATCTGAAGGGTTGTACCCCAAGGAACGCTCACAAAGGTTGCCTGCACCGATCAGGAAGCAAGGCCAGCTCAGATCTCATCTTGTTTGTGCACCTGCTGAGTGCTGGGCATATATGCCCAGGCTTGGAGGTGCAAAATACTAAGAAATGGGTCCTTCCCTTCAGATTCTCCCTGTCCAGAGTGGGTGCAAAGGGCAAACATTCTCTCATTGTTGAAAGACTTGTGCTGAAAGACTTGTACTTCTGTGCCAGGCAACACGGGGTGCCAAGGAGGGGTATGAAGGGACTTGTCCCAGGGGAGAGGCCTGAACGTAAGTAACTGGCATCCAAAGAAGCCAGTGCCAGGCAGCGGGGACCCTGCCATTCCCACGGTTCTTTAGATGCACTGGGAAGTTTGCATCGTTCAGGGTCAGGAGCAGCGTCTGGTGTGGGGAGCAATCCGGACTAGACTAAGTTACTCGAATTAGGACTTATTCTATGCATCTGCTCTCCCACAATATGGCGCTGGGAGAGAAGTAAACAGCTTCCGCACAGCTGCCTCCAGTTCAACCAATTAACTGTAGGACTTGCTCCTGATTGGAGAGCAGCGTACTCAGCCGAGTTGGGATTGGCGGAGGAGGACTATAAAGGAGGAGAGAGACGGCATGCACCAGGAACATCTATGGGGAACATCTAGCTGAAGGAACACCCGTGCAGCCCCCGAGAAAGCCGGCCGGCGGTGTGCCGCTCCCCTGCGGAAGTGGGGAATGTGGCCAGGGGGAACTGCCCTTCCACGGAGGTGGAAGGGATAGTAGCCAACCCGGGAAGAACCAGCAGCAAACCCGGGGAGGGCCGAGCAGACGAAAGAACAGCGCAGGGTCCTGTGTCGTTCCCCCACGAAGACGGGGAGCGACATAATGGTGCCGTGACTCGGATAGGAAACTTAGGACGGATAGCAAACCTAGGAGGGAAGAACTGGGAAAATACCGGAGAGAGAGACTAGCAAACAGCCTAGGGAAAAGCCGGACGAAAAAGGAGCCGGAAGAAGCTATTGAAAGCCTAGGCATAGATTCGGATACGGACTACGGGGGGAAGCTGGGAGAAATCTCTAAGGTCGAAAGCGAAAGTGAAAGCTAGAACAGACAGACTCCGACGCGGACTGTGGGGAGAGGCCAGGAGAAATGAGGGAGGAGTATTGTTGGAGGAAAGTTTGGGGAAACATACCGGGTAGAGAAAAATGTTAGGGAAATTGAAGCCGCGGGGGGCAGGCCGAGGCGGAAACGAAAGCCACTTTGGGATTCTCAAGTTAGCCCGGGAATAGGGGGCGAAAAGTTGAAACTAGAAGCTGAGACGTAAGCCAGATTGGGATCCGTCTGATTAGCCCGGGGAGCAAAGGACGGGAAGCCAGATCGTGGGGCGGAGACGTACGCTGGGTTGAATTCGCCAGGCTAGCCCGGGGAACTTAGATTGAATCCTAGTGGCGGAGACGCAAGCTACGCTGTGTTACTCGCGGAAGCCGCCGCGTGCAGAGAGAGCACGGGGCGTGAATAGATAGGGAACGCTGGCGTAGGCCGTGGTTCAGACGCGAAAGGGTTAAGCGTGGAGACCGCGGACCGCGCAAAGCCGGGAAGCCGCGCAGAGAGGCGCGCGGGCTGAAGCGGCGCAGAGCCGGGAACCCGCCGGCGGGGCGAGGTGCCGGAAAGCCGCAGGGATAAGAGAAACAGAAGTTTGGAAGTGAAGTAAAAGAGAAATGGGAATGCTGGAAGATAGAAGTGAAATGGGAGAGGTAGGAATGCCCGGAGATAGAGAAATAGAGAAAAATAAGGCCTCCCCACAATAAGGCAATGAGAAGGCTTGGATTCGGTTTGCCTGATAGGCCTTGTAAGTCCCATGCAGGCAGAGCAGAGCATGCGCTGCAGGGCGCCGAACACAGGCACGCATCAGCGCCTAAAAACCTCCTCACAACACGGCGAAGAGAGGACCCAGGATTCGGTTTTCATGATTGATAGGACTTGTAAGAGCCTGTGGCAACTCTAGCAAGTGCAGCAGAGTGTGTGCCGCGGGACACCGAAGACAGGCGCGTATCAACGCCAAAAAATAAAAAGAAAGGGGGATCTGTGGGGAGCAATCCGGACTAGACTAAGTTACTCGAATTAGGACTTATTCTATGCATCTGCTCTCCCACAATATGGCGCTGGGAGAGAAGTAAACAGCTTCCGCACAGCTGCCTCCAGTTCAACCAATTAACTGTAGGACTTGCTCCTGATTGGAGAGCAGCGTACTCAGCCGAGTTGGGATTGGCGGAGGAGGACTATAAAGGAGGAGAGAGACGGCATGCACCAGGAACATCTATGGGGAACATCTAGCTGAAGGAACACCCGTGCAGCCCCCGAGAAAGCCGGCCGGCGGTGTGCCGCTCCCCTGCGGAAGTGGGGAATGTGGCCAGGGGGAACTGCCCTTCCACGGAGGTGGAAGGGATAGTAGCCAACCCGGGAAGAACCAGCAGCAAACCCGGGGAGGGCCGAGCAGACGAAAGAACAGCGCAGGGTCCTGTGTCGTTCCCCCACGAAGACGGGGAGCGACAGTCTGGAACTCCGGGTTCCCAGTAACGTGGGGCTTTTTGCCTGTTCATCAGACGGAGGAAAAGCCACGGTGGGCAGGGGCTGGAAGGACTGGCGATGTGCAAGTGGCTCTGTGGGCAGGTCAGAGGAGGAGAGTTTGGGAGTTCCAGCCCTACCAGCCAAGAGGCCGCTGCCCAGCCTCCCTTTTTGGCATTGGAGCCCGTTGGGATGGCAGGTGCCCAGAGTGGGACCGAAACCCAAGTACGACAACCCTTGTGGTCCATCACCAAATTCTGCCTCCTGTGCTTCAGATCTCAGGCTCCTGAAACCTCAGCCTCCCTGGCTGTCTGGTGGGAGGAGAAACTCCTGGACAGGAGTCACTGGGACAAAAGGGAAGGCCAGTGGGACCTGGAGGCTGGTGGGGCATCCAGGCCAGGGCACAGAAGGAAGACACAGGCCTCTTCTGAATCCCTCACCGCCCCGCCTCCACCTCTCCCCATCCCTCCCCACTTCCTCAGTGCTGCCATCTGCTCAATGGGTTCATCAGATGTACTGAAATCAGATGCTTACTGTGGTCAGATCCCAGGGTTGCTGTTGACCCTGCAAGGTACAGCAGGGGCCCGGTCCGTTGGGTCTTGTGGGGTTCCTACTGCCCCTGAAGCTGCTGGAGGAGCAGGCTAGCACAGAGGGCTGTCAAATCCTGGCCCCCCCTGCTTAGGCTGGGTGATGGTTAGCAACACTGTAGCTTCTCCAAGCTTCAATTTCCTCCTCTGTAAGTTAGCAAGGTGTTGGCACCTTCACCGGGAGACTGTCCGTGAGACTGTTAGGAGAAACGCACGGGATGGCGCAGGATGTGGGGCTCCGCAAACTTCCTGCACTGAGAAAGCGCTGTGAAGCCAACCGTAACAGCTGCTTGTTAGATACAGTAATTAACACCATGAGTAGTGAGGCATCACCACGAAAGGAACCTGGTTCCAGCTAATCGATTGGCATTTTAACATCACTTTAACATCCCTGTTCTCCTGTAGCCCCCTGAGGTCAGTCAAGGTGTTTATCCCATTGCAGGGAGCCCCCTTGGACCAGAGCTGGGTTTGGTGTCGTCTGGGCCCCGCCCTGGCTGGGAAGGAGTGCATGGCCACCTCTTCCTGAAGGCTTCCTGTGCCATTATGCCTTCCCAGCAGCTCCAGGAGGCAGGGACTTTTCTTGGCCCCATTTTTTAGGTGGCAAGACTGAGGCCTAGCAAGGTTAAGTAACTTGTCTTAGGTGACGCGGGAAGTAGGTGACGGAGCTGGGATTTGAACACAGGCTCCCTGGTGCAATGAGCTTGCTTCAGAAAGCTCATGGAGCCCGGAATTCAGAGCTAAGTTTTATTTCAATGCAAAAATGTTTGTAATCCATGCAGATTTGTTTTTAATTACGTGCCTATAAATGGACCTCTTCAGGGCCCCTCGTGTGTCTGCATTTCCTTTGCTTCAAAATAAACTCGTCTTGATGCATTTCCCATGAGCTGTGTGCAGTGCCCTGGCACAACCCAGTCTGTCGGCCACTCCGCTGCCTCTAAGTCAAGACTTGGCTGCTGAGGTGTGGCAGACACTCATCACGTGCCCTCGCTCTGGGACCTGGTCCCTGCTCACCCAACCTTCGTGCCCTGCTCCGTCAGGCAGTCAGATCCACCTTTTTATTGGGCTAGGTCGGCACCCATGAGGTCTGCCGGGTGGTGGCACCCCTGGAGGCTGGGGGCGGGGTGGGCAGGGGAGAAGTGGGAGCAGCAGTGTCCCCAGGCCCCCCAGGTGTTGGGCCTCTGTCTGCAGTGTGGCAGACTTCTGACTTACAGGATCCCGCCCTGAGCATCAGTGCTGAGCAGGGAGCCCTGCAGCCATCAGGGGTCCCTGTCCGGTGGATGTCAAGCGGGGCCTGGGACCAGAAGAAGAGAAGTGAGGCAGGCTCTCCACCTTCCTTCTCCTGCCCTTGGGTCTTGATTCATTCATGTATCCTTTGTCCATTCATCAGATCCCTAAGGGCTTGGCACAAAGAGCCAACCCTGCCTGGTCTCCTGACCCCGTCTCCCTTCTCCTTCCTGCAGAAATCCGAGACGACTGGGTGGCTTCCCATCTCTCTGCCCTACCACCCTCCTCCTTGGTCCCCCTCACCTGGCCCCCTCTGCTTCCCACACTTGCCCCAGGGCTGTTCCTGGGGCGGGAGTGCGGTATATTCCCGTGGGCCTCAGGGCCGGGGCTTGGGCCACCGCCTTCCCTGGCCCATGTGGGAGTGAAAGGGAGGAAGAGGGCGCCCAAGGAGCTCTTTGGTTTACAGGGCCGGTGTAGCTTCTACATGTTGGTTTCAGATTAACAGGAAGGATGCGGCTCATCCTGGGGAGCCTTTTTCTGCTACCTGGGCTCCCAGAAAGATCAGGGCCTTCCCCCCCAGGTCACCCAGGGCATGGGCCATGTTCAGGGTGGCGGCCAGTCCCACAGATGGTGCCTGTGGGAGCCAGGGCTGAGGCTACGCGCTCTGCCCCCACACTCCCAGCTCTATGTCGCTCTCGCTTCCTGACAAAGCCTTCTCCACACTCTCTCCTCCCCACAGGGTCCTCCGGGGTCACGAGGCCCGCCAGGCCCCAGGGGCACCAAGGGACGCCGGGTAAGTCAGGCCCGCGCTGGCAGTGGAACCCCCTGCCCGACATCACTCTCTGGGCCCTGGCCCTGCCCGGCGGGGACGTCGGCCACTTTCACAGCACCAGGCGGGGTTCCGGCTCGGTGGGGGCCCCAGCCATCTTTCCAGCCCGTTTCTCAGCCTCAGGCCTTGCCATCCAGTGGGCACAGACAGGTTCTCTGGGTCCGGTGCTTGCTTCATTCACTCATTCCTGTGCCAGCGGTGGTGGATCTACAGAGAGCACAGAGAACAGGACAGAGGTGACCCTTCAGGAGGCCAGAGCATTGGGCAGATGCAGGTGATGCCACACCAGGGTTATCAGCAGGTGGATGGTGGAAGCGCTCGAGCTCAGAGGAGGCCCCTGTCCTGCTGCCCAGGGAAGGCTTTGAGGAGGTAGCAGAGCTGAGCTGATACCCGGTTTGGGGCAGAGAGCCTGGCAGGGGAACTGCACTAAGGTGCGAGAAGAGGTGGCATGTCTAGGGATCCCCATGATCAACAGAGACCCAGAGGAGAGGCACAGGCCAAGATGTAGCAGGAACCAAGCCAGGCAGGGCCCCAGATGCCACAGCTGGGCTCCCGGAGGAGCACTCTACCATAGGGCGCTTTGCACGAGGGCTGGCCTGAGCCCCGTAGAGCCTGAAGCATGGGTGACCAGCAGCACCTACTCTGCCAGGCACTGCCTGTCACGCAGGAGCATCAGGGGCAGAGCTGGGCTCCGAACCTGGGGAGCGTGCCTCCTGCACCTGCTGAGTGTGCCTCCTGCACACACAGAATCCAGCCTCATTTCCAGTCGTGCAGGGAAGGTCTGTGTAATGGTCTCCTGCTGCCAATGGGGCCCGGGTGTCAGGCCAGGCAGTGTTATTACAAACAGGCAGCTCAGGCAACCCAGGCCCGGTAAGTGACCCCACACAGGGGAGTCCATGGCGCTTATTCTCGGGATTGAGTTTCACGTGGATTTCCCCAGACCCAGCTGGCCAGAGCGGTCAACCTGAGATAGAGGGGAGGTAAGGGACACTCCTCCGGCCTGTCAGGGCCTCCCTGTGCCCATGTCTTTTGGTCACTTTGAGTGGGCTGAGGCCCAAGGACAGCTGGGGCCCATTCTGACCCCGTGCATGTGCCCTGTGTCCCAGGAAGCCACAGAACTGGAGGGTGGGCTGTATCGGCCCTGCCCCCATCCCCACCCCTGCCAAACCCACCCTTGCACCCAATGATGGTTTCAAGGATGCATTTCCTGCTGAGACCCAGGCTCTGACCCCATCCGAGTCTCGGAGGCAAACGGCCCCTTTCCCTGCTAGGTTGGGCATGCTCAGCTCTGGGCTTGCCCCGTGCCCTTAGCAAGGGCCTCTGCTCTCTGGGCCTCGGTTCCCCCATTTGTGCTGTGGGGGTCTGCAAGCTTTCCTTCCTCTATGTGAGAGGGGTCCTGCTCCCACTCACCCCCAGCCCTGGAAAGAATGGGCTCTGAGAACTTAAGACCAAGTGGGGACTCCACTCTCCGTAGGGCTATTGAGTAGGGTCTGGCTCCACCTGCCCCAGCCGAAGGCACAGGGGCTTAGGTCAGGCAGGCCTAGGGGCAAGGCTGAGCCTTCCCAGTTGCCGGCTGTGGAAGCTCAGGCCAGTTTCTTAACCTCTCTGAGACTTTTTCCTATCACTTATTTGGGGTAGCTGGCACGGCCCCTTCCAAGGGGTGCCCACGGCTGCATGTTGCTGCTGTGAGCAGGGAGAGAGCTCAGCAGGTCTGGCCTCGCCTCCTGGCTCCTCCCCTTGGGCCTGGGGCCACCCACTGTCACTCCCCGAGCTTCCTGTTGGGCCTCTGCAAAATGGGCCAACAACAGGACCAGCCTGGTGAGATGGCCGCGGGGATTCACTCACTCAATTCAATCACTGTCTTGAGCTTAGTAAGTGCCTCAGGCTGGTGAAGTTTGCCTTTCTTCCTTCTCGTTCCTCTATCCCTTTTCCACAAACTGCTGTGGCTGGCCAGCTTTTCCTCCTCCCGGCCTGGCTGGAGGGCAGCCCCAGCTGTGGCTACAAACTTCTTTCCTTGGGGAGCTCGTATAAGACAGCAGACATGTGCCTCCGAGAGAAACCCAGGCCTGCCTCCAGCAGCATGGCCTGCCCCAGTGCAGCTGGGGAGGGAAGGGGCAGGACTGGGGGACGAGCCGCTGAGTGGCCCAGAGCAAGTGTCAGGGTTTGTAGCTGCCCTGGCCCCTCTCCCTGCACAGGAAGACATGGAGACAAGGGGGCTGGGGGCTGGTCCTGTTTCCCCCACCTCAGTCCCCAGCTTCTCTCTGAGCCCCTGGGGATTGTGGGTCTCCCAGATAGGATGGGGTTTACACAGTTCTTCCCCAACCCAGGCTCCTCCATGCTTTGGCTTGCATATTCCCAGTGATGGGGAGTTCACTCTTTTGCCGATCAACAGTGACAGGCAGTTGTGAAATGAAATAGGCAGAAGCTGACAGAGGTTCAGATTCTAGCTCTTCCTCTTCTTGCTAGCTGTGTGACCATAGACAAGTTCACTGGGTGCCCCCCCCACCCCCCGCTCCACCTGTGGCCCCGGATCAACATGTGACCTGCCAGTGTCCCTGAGAGTCTGAGGTACCCTTTAAAGCTGAGGTGTGGAGGGGCTGTGTTGGGAGCCGCAGGTAGCTGCTCTGTGGAAATTTTGCTTTTGCAGGTTCAGTTGTTAATTCAGAATGTCTTGTTTGATTTGTAAATAACTTTCCCTCATTTAGCTTTCTCTGTCCTCATCTTCACGTCCCCACTCAGACACGTCCCCAGTGCTTTGGTCTGGGGGTGTCACAGGCTGGTCCCTGCAGCTGCCCAGACCCCTGCACAGGATCCCCTGTGACCCCAGCCCAGGCCTCCTCAACCCCTCCAGAACAAACCCCAGCCATGGGGGCAGTGGGAAACCAATGGGGAGTCCCAACTGCTGATGTGCAGGGGGACCTTGGCTGAGACTCGGTGTTCCCATCTGGGCAAGGGGAACAGGAGAGGGACTCCACTAGCCTCTATCTGGGGGTCAGACTGTGCCCCAGGGAGCAGCAGCTTGGTCGCTGGTCCCTGCTGCAAGCCCTGCCCTGGTCCTGCTCTCTCCTCACGTCAGTTCCTTCTCTGAGCTGGGCCATCTAGCTTACACATCTGGCTACCTGCAGAGCCTCCCCAGATCTGCCTCTGTCCCCCCCCCATAGAAGAACAAGGAGCAACAGCAGAGCTTGAAGAGCCATCTGGGTGACTTGGCTACATGTCTCTGCACTCTGGCCCTCAGTCTCCACATCTGCGAGATGGGTTAGCTGGGGGACTCTTGAAACAGGCTTGTTCACGCCTAGCCCCATTCTGCAAGGGCTGGGCCTCCAGCCAAGTCCGCCCCTCCTGTGCCGCATGCAGAGCTATCTCAGCAGGTGTTGCATAGGTGACCTGCCTCAGGTGGCAGGTGCGTGGGAAGAGGGAGGATACTGGGCCCCAGGCTGTGCAGAGAGGGGCCCCAGGCTGTGCAGAGAGAGACCCAGGGCGCTGGGCAGCCCTGCCTTTTTGGTTCTTAGCCCGAGGGAGACCCCTGCTGTCCACTGTGCTAGTCCTTTCTTCCTGTTCCAGGGCCCCCGAGGACCAGATGGACCAACTGGGGAGCAGGGGTCCAGGGGCCTGAAGGTACCAGCCCCCACACCCTGCCTTTCCTCATGCCTCCCGTGCTGGGTCAGGAGTCTGAGCACCAGGACCCTCAAAGCCCCACCAGGCTGCTGAGAGCTGGGCCTACCTCTGGCTGCCCCATGGACGGAAAAGTCTTCTGTGTACCTGGAGGCTATGGCGAGCCACACCCCATGGGGCGGGGCTCAGTGTTCCCACCTGCACAGAGGGGAGAGGGTGCATGCTGTGGTCTCGTGGGTCCCTTTTTGGGGAGTGGTCCTCCTAAGCATGGTCTCCCTCCTTCACGTGCTCTGCTTCCTGCAGGGTCCTCCAGGACCACAGGGCAGACCGGGCCAGCCTGGACAGCAGGTAGGTCAGGCCAAGGCCAAGCTCACTAGCCCCCTCCCCACCCCTGCCTTGTGCACCTCTAAGGACCTCCAAATCTGCTTCCAGGGTGCGGCTGGAGAGCGAGGCTACTCGGGCGCACGAGGCTTCCCTGTGAGTCCTGCCAGTTCGTGAAATTCCCTCTGCGGGGGACTTTGGGGTGGGGTGAGGAAGCTGCAGGGTCCTAGCTGCCCATCCCTGCACTGAAGCCCCTCCAGTACCCCCCTCCCCTGTGGGAGTGGGCTGGGCCCCTAGTCCATTGTGGCGGCCACCCTGAGCTCACAGGGTCAGGCAGATGCAGACGGCTGCGGAGGGACCCAGTCACCTTTGTCTTTCTCCACAGGGCATCCCAGGCCCCTCCGGCCCGCCTGGCACCAAGGGCCTCCCTGGAGAACCGGTATGCATCTTTTTTCCTTCTTCTTGGGACTTTTGCCCAGGCAAGCTGGCCTCAGCTGGCCCACCCACCCAGGGTAGGGGCCAGGTACTCAGACATGGAGATGAGTGAGCAAGGGCTGGGCCTTGGGCAGGTGGCTGGGGCCCTGGCTGGGGGGCTGTGGGTCTGAGTCCCAGCCTGCTTGCTTTCCGACCTGTTTTCCCACGGGGAAAATGGAACAGTTGTCCCCCACCGGCCGCTCTGTTGTGAAGATGAAATGAGAAAATGTACAGAGAGTGCTTCGCCAAGGCAGGACTGAAGGAGGGTGCAATGGAGGAAGATAAAAGCTGTCAGCTTCCAGAGGGCAGGGGGAGGTCACAGGCCAACAGCACAACAAGGAGCCATGGAAAGGCTTGGGCCCTGGCCCTGGGGGGGCCGTATCAGTGGTGCCTCTTATCCCCACCCTGGGAAGGAAGGACTTGGGGGTCAGCCCAGGTGTCGGGGAGCCCTGTGTAGAAGCTGCTGGAGACAACAGGGAGAGGACAGAACTCAAGGGGCTTGGTGGATGGATCCCAGGTCACTGCAGGTGGTGGGCAGGGGCCTCCCACACCCTGGGCCACTGCTGTATTCACTCCCACGTCTAGAGGCCCAGGAATCGCCCGTGAACCCTGGGTGGGCTGGGGGCTCTCAGAGGTGGACCTGAGATGAAAGGAGCCAGAGTGAGGCAGGCTGGAGAGCAGGAGGGTCCTGGGCAGGAGAGGCTGCAGGGTTTCACCCTGGTGACTAGCAAGGCGCAGGTCTGCTATTGGGATGCAGTGCGGGGCCAGGTGAGGCGGGCGCTGCAGGCTCAGGCCCTGGGTGCAGGCTGCACAGTCCCTGGTTCTGCAGGTCTCTCCCTTACCACCTTCTACCCTGACCCCCCAAAGTGGCTGCTTAGCCTCAGACCCCAAAGAATTCCCAGACTGCCTTCTCCCAACTGCCTGTGTGTCTGTGTGTCTTCCAGGGCCCTCAGGGACCCCAGGGGCCAGTAGGCCCTCTGGGAGAGATGGGACCCAAGGTGAGTGGTAAGAGACCCCCATTTGTTGCCGTTGCTCCTGCAGATGCCCGGGTCCCTGTGTGCCCTTCCCTGCCCTCACTTGGGAACTGCAGAGAAGGGAGGGTGAACATGCGGGCAGAGAAGGTAGAACTGGGTGCGGGGAGCAGGATGCAGGGGTGCAGGGGCCCTTGAGGGGGGCAGCCGGGGCTCTTCACGCATCCCTAAAAGCAGCAATGCCCCTATTTCTACCCCTCCTGGCACTTGGCCTAGCGCCACCCCGCTGGGGGCCACTCACAAGGACTTGGAAAGGGTCCCCGATGCCTGGGCCTTATCCCCAGGACGAAAGCAGGCCTCAGGGTGTGTGCAAAGCCCCGTGCCAGTGGGGCTAACTCAGGACCTCTCCCGCCCTGGCCACCCTGGCCATGCCAGCTCAGCCACACAGAGCAGGGCTGGAGGCAGCATCATTGGGCTTCCTCGCCGGCCCTACGTGAATGTGGCGTCTTCCTCCCTGTGCTTGCCCAGGGCTCCCGCTGTGGTCAACCACACTCGTGTGGGAGGGAAAGGGTTCCAGCCACTGTCGCCGGGCGGTCCTGAGGCTCTGCCAGCCTGGACCTGACCGCCCCCCTGCCCCCCTAGTCCCAGCTCCAGGTTCTGAGAAGCTGCAGCCTGGCTCGCTTGCCTCCTGCTGGTGACCACAGGCGCACTGTTTGCCCTCTCCTATCCCCCTCACATCCAGCCAGGGGCCAGGCTTTGCCCTAGGAGGGACCCATGGCATTTTCTTTTAGGGGCCGCCGGGTGCAGTGGGAGAACCAGGCCTTCCTGGGGAAGCCGGGATGAAGGTGAGCGGGATGAGAGCAGAGAAAAATGACTTGTTGAAACCGGCTCCCAGCTGGCGGCCGTGTCCTCCCTGCGAAGGAGAAATGGGCCTTTCTTGTGCCAGGATAATGGGTTCTCTGTGCTCCTGGCCAGGGGAGTGGGGGCCCTGGCCGTGGCCACCGTCGAGTGTCCAGCTGGGCCCGGGGCCCCCACCCCTGCCCCCTGCCTGCTGCTGTTTTCCCTGGCACCTGCCCCCGCCTCCACGCTGGGGCAGCCGTCCCTCCTGGCCTCAGGCGATAGCATCTGCATTTCAGCACTGCTGCCACTCATTACCTGCTGAGAAACAGGCGCCCATTGATCCCTGGGCTCTGGGGAGCGCTCCCTCCCTGCGCTGCCGTGGGAAGGTGGCCCCACTCCCCATCCAGGCGGGGCCAGGCCGAGGAGCCATGTTGGCCGGCCTGGGCCATCGTGGAGGCAAGGCCCAGGGGATCCAGGCTGAAGGGCTGTGGGCCTGGAGACCGAACACCCCTTCTGGGTGTCCCTGCCATTCAGAGAGGGAGCTGGGGCAGCCTGGGGCTGTCACACTTGGCTTACTTCCAGGACGGGAGGAAGTCAGCCCTCAGAGCAAGCAGCTGGAAGTGGAAGTGGGCTTGTCCCATTTGGGGACCGCTCAGAGCTCTGCCTCGCTCCTCTATGCCCCCAAATGCCAGCCAGGAGCGTAGGCCAGAACCCCCGGAATAAGAAAGACCCTTGTTTCTGGACTCCTCTAGAGGGCAGATGGCCTCAACTCTGGCTCAGGAGGGCTTCCTCTTCCAAGTCTCCCAGGGGAGGGGAGAGGGGGTGATGAGCCCCACGCCCGCGCCAGATGCCTCCCGAGCCTCCAGGCCTAAAGCTGTCGTGGGTTAGTGCTCTCAGACCGGGGCTGCTCCCCGTGCCTCATGTCCGAAAGGAAACCACTGTGGGGATGGTCGGGGTGCCCACATTAACAGGGCCCCTAGAACAGGGCTGTGGAGGTGAGCTCTGCTGCCACCACCCCTGTGGATGGTGGTGGTGGCGGTGGCCCTGGTGGCTGTCCCTCCGCCCTAGCATGGGAGAAGCCTGTGGCCGGGGCTGACTTGGAACAGCGGCTCGGGCAGGTGCTCTGGGATTTCCCTTTTATCCATGGGAAGAAGGCCCTTCCGCACTGCCCGTCCCCGACCCTCACTCAGCGCTGGGGGAAGCAGGCCTGGCCGCTGCTCCACGGTGGCTCACCTTGTGTTTGTCTCTCCTAGGGTGACCTTGGACCCCTGGGCACCCCTGGGGAGCAGGGCCTTGTTGGGCAGCGGGTAAGTGGAAGCCAATCCCTTCTCCCTGGGAAGTCTGTAGGGAGATTGTGGGCAGGGGGCAGAGCAGGGCTCTACGCTGCCTCCAGGACTTTGATTTGAGCTTGGTGGAGCTTGGTGCCCTGAGACAGCAGGTGTGACAATTGATCAGTAGAGGCTTGGAGGGCTGTGTTAAAAGGGATCTTGGGGGTCCATGGAGGCTCAGTGGGAGAGAATGACGAGCACTCATGGGCCGTCCACTGTGAATCAGGTGCTTTTCTCACGGCACTGAGTGCACAGCAGTGAGGGAGAGGCCTGTGTCCTGGAACTTATGTCTAGGTGGATTGATTAGTGATGTCTGCCACGGGTGCAGGAAGAGCAGAATCTGCACACCTGTCACAGCTTTGCCATCCCCGCATCTGACTGTGGGGAGCAACTCGGACTAGACTAAGTTACTGGAATTAAGACTTATTCTATGCATCTGCTCTCCCACAATATGGCGCTGAGAAGGGAAACAGCTTCTACACAGCTGCCTCCAGTTCAACCAATAAACTGTAGGACCTGCTCCTGATTGGAGGAGAGCAGCATACTTGGTGTGTGGGTAGCAGAGTTGGGATTGGCGGAAGAGGACTATAAAGGAGGAGAGAGACAACATGCACCAGGAACATCTAAGAGGAACATCTAGGGGGAACATCTATCTGAAGGAACACCTGTGCAGCCCCCGAGAGAGCCAGCCGGCGGTGTGCCACTCCCCTGCGGAAGTGGGGAAAATGGCCAGGGGGAACCGCCCTTCCACGGAGGTGGAAGGGTCGGTAGCCAACCCGGGAAGAACCAGCAGCAAACCCGGGGAGGGCCGAGCAGACGAAAGAACAACGCAGGGTCCTGTGTCGTTCCTCCACGAAGACGGGGAGCGACATCTGACGACCCCTTCTGGCTCTGAACTGCAATGAGCTCTAAAAGCAGAGAGAGCCCCTAACTTCACTGGATCGGCATTAGGGAACCCAGGCATCAGGGGCATCTCCAGTGCTGGCAGAGCAATCCAGGCGCCTAGCTGAGGGTCCCAAGGTTACCAAGGCTCTTGCTATGGTTCTCGTGCTTGCTGGCACATCCTCTGAGGGCTGGCCTCACCTTACTCAGCTAAGAAATGGGCTTCCGCCAAGAAGGGCTTGCCCCAATTCTAGGCATCATCTCTCAGATGGCTTCCATAGTGGGGTGCTTGCGCTGTGTGTGCCCCACTGCCACCCCTGAAGGCAGTGCTATCAGCCCACTTTTTAAAGAAACCGATGCCCGTGGAATTGAGCGGTTTGCTTGCGGTCAAAAGCCAGCGAGTGGGAAGCCGCGATGTGGTGGTGAGGCCTGTCTCACAGCAGCACCTGCTCTGAACCGCTGGGCCACACGGCCTCCCCTGCCCAGCCAGCTCCAGACATGGGTCCAGGACAACTCTGTGACAAGCTGACTCCATGTAGCCTCTACTCCACACCTCTGCTGACAGTAGCCGCCCAGGGTCTGTTTCTGATTCCTAGAGAGCTGAATGTAGGACCTCACCCCTCGCTCGCTCACTCAGCTGTGGCTCTGTGCACCCACTATGTGCAGGGCCCCCAGCTCCCACTGCCGAGGATCCGAGTCCTGTGGCAGGGAGTGGCCCCTCCCCAGTAATGTCTCCTTATCTTCTCCTCCATCTCCAGGGAGAGCCTGGCCTGGAAGGTGACAGCGGCCCCATGGGGCCCGACGGGCTAAAGGTAAGTGCCCCATGGGCAGGACTTAGCTAGGCCCCGCCCTCCCATCCAAGACCTAGGTGTCCTCCCAGAAGCCCTGTGTGTTCCCACCAAGCTCTGAGATTGGACCCCTGGCTGCCTGCTGAGGTGGGCCTGGGGCCTGGGAACCTCACCCGTCCGTCTCCCTGGCTGCTCCTCTCCCAACGTCAGCTTCTCTTGGCTACGGGTGGCTCCTGAGCACCCACTCTCTGTTCTCTTCCAAACTTCCCCAGAGGTGGAGGGAATAACAGCTGTGCCTGCAAGGCCCCATGGGAGGACTGGTCATACCTGTGCCAGGTCTGCCCTAAGCCCTTGATGATGTCACGCCTATCAGTGCTTTGAGCGAAGTCCTGTCTTCCCGTGGGGAAACAGACTCAGAGAAAATAAGCAAGTTGCCCATGGATACACAGCAGTAATTGACATCCAGGACCCAAATCTAGACTTGTGTGGCCCCAGCCCCTCTGCTTGCTCTGCTGTTCCATGTGCCCATTTTAAAAGGGGGAAAGACTGAGGCTCAGAGGAAGGCAGAGGTACGGTCATCCAGGGTCCGCTGTGTGAGTGGAGGATCTGAAGTTCAAACCCACGGTTCACAGGCACCAAACCTGTTGGCTTTACTTGGGCCTGCTGCTCGCTTCAGAGTCTCTGTCAGCCACAAATGCTGGGATCTCAAGGCAGCATGGACCCAGCTGAAGTGTGGGTGGGCAACTGGGCAGGCCCTGCTCTCTGACCTCGGTTTCTGGCCTCTGTCTCTGACCCACCCTGGCCCCCAGGGCTGGGATGTCCCACTGTGCAAGTCAGTTCCCCAGCTCAGAGTCCCATGTTCCATGTCCCTGGGTCCCCTCTGCCACCCACCTACCATGTGATCTCAGGTAGGCACCTCCTTCGCTGGCCTCAGCTTCCCCATCCCTAGGCCTATGCCCTCTACCTGCTCTCCGTAGTCCCCTGGTGCCCGCACTCCCAGAATGCCTTAGAAACAGGCCCCTGCAGGCTCTTGGTGTTTTTCTTGCAAGGATGAGAGCGCCCCCTGTCTGTCGTCATCTGCCTTTTCTCTCCCCCAGCCCTGATGCACCCTAGGGAGCAGCCGGGTCCAGAGCCTCTGCCAGTTCCCCCACACCCTTTGCCAAGGGCACACTGCTCGGCACTGTGTGACGATGGCGGTGTGCGTTGTGGCTAAGATGTTCTGAATGCCAAGCATTGCCCGATGCATTGCCCCACTCACTCCTCCAAGCGAGGACCATCACCCACCCCACTTGACAGACCAGGAGACAGAGGCACGGCGGCATGCGGCCTTGCTCCTGGCTCTGCCCCCTTTCACTCCCTCCACAGCCAATTCTCCCATAGTCCTTGAACCAGAGCCGTCACTCACACAGCATCTTCACACAAATCCCAGGAGGGACTGTTTGCTTTACGGTGTTTGTCCAGGAATCGCCTTCATGGTGAAAAGAACATCTTGATGGGCACCACACCATAGAGTCCCTCTGTGCCCGTTGTCTCCTTGGTGACAGCCAGCTGATGGTGGCCATGGTAGTGGTGACCAGTAACAGTGGACCTTGCCCAGCGCCCACCCGCCAGACGCCCTGTGCAGCTTCTTGCCTGGTTCCCCTCTCCCAGGCCTCCCTGGGATCCTTGTTTTACTGAGACTTGCCCCGGGGTCACATGGCTGTTGAGGGAAGGCAGCAAGACCTGGAAACACAGGGGCGGAGTTGTCCCCTGAGCAGACAACCTGGGGATAGGAAGGAGCCAGACCCTGGGGGCTCACCCATGCTCTACCATTCTGCATGGGGTCCACAGGGGCTGCCACTCCAGCTGTGTAGCAGCCCAGGCCGTGGGGGTCTGAGTCATCAGTGGGGCCTGGGCTCATGCGGGACCAGGAGCATGCTGCCTGCCTCTGAGCAGCAGGGCAGCAGGTGGCCAGGCTGAGCAGCCAGAAGCAGGGCTCTGTCTTGGGGAGTCTGTGATGGGCACCTGGACCAACTCCATCTTCATGCCAGGCTATGCCTGGAATCTGAGAGTGCCGGTGGGAAGGAACTGAGAACCCAGCCTGGTGCCCAGATCTGCTCTGTGCTGGGCCATGCCCCAACTTGGGGTCATCTGCCCCTTACCTGGGTCATCCATGGCCACGCCCCCACAAGCTAAAGGTGCCCTAGAGCCCAGGCCTCAGGCAAGGGTGAGCACTCGGTGATCATGACCCCTAGCCTGTCTTCTCAGCCAGGCCAAGTCCCAGGCTCCAGCAGCCTGCCCTGCCCTCTCTCCTCTGACACTCACCTGTGTGTCAGTGTCCTTTGTGAAGCGTGGTGCTGTGAAACAAGCCCGGCAGAGACGCCCTCTGCTGTTCCCATCATGTCCCCTTCCCTCGCCATCCCCTCCTCCTACCTGGGACTCCATGCCCTCTCGCACAGGGCTCCTGGGCAGGTAGCAGAGCCCTGTGCCAGCTGGCCACAGACCCACGCAGCCTGCCAGCCCTGCTGGTGGCCACTGCTCTGTCCCCTGCAGCCACTGCCCAGCTCACAGCTCTCGTGCTTTCTCTGGCCCTGCCTCACACTGCCAGGGCCCGGTCTGCCCCATCTCTGCAGGAGCAAGTGAAGGGGACAGTGATGAGACAGGGCAGGCTTGGGGACGCACGGGGTTGCTCGCTTCAAAACTGCTCTGCAAAGCCAGGGCTCACAGAGGAGCATCAGTAGTCTGCCCTTAACTCCCAAAACCCACGCCAAAGGCTGCCTTTCCCAGGATACAACCCCAGCTGCCCCACACCCCTGAAGTCCCAAGCAGACCTTGGATCCCCCCCAGTAACTGCAAGCAGGTGCCCCCCCCAACCCAAGCCAGGAACTGGCCAAATGTCTCAGTGGCTGTTTCAAATCCCAGCTCTGCCCCTCCTGCTCTGGGTCGAATGACAACTCCACTCGGCCTTGACTTGCACCTCCCTTGGGGACTTCTGTGAGGGTTCAGTCAGAGACCCCCAGATACAGTCAGCACGTGGTCCAGGGCAGGGCTTCAAAAGAGGAGAAAATCACACATGGATTTCAAAACTTTGGGTGACCAAGGGGAGGAAGACAGGAGCAAGGGCCGGAACGGCGGGACCGGGCAGCCCACCTGGGGGGTGCATTCAGAGCTCAGCTTGCTGCCACGTGGCTTCCTTAGCTTGGAGTAGGCACCTCCCTCCTGCGCCTGGCACGCGACGATCGTGGCTGTTCCGGCCGTCGTCGCTGTTCCGGCCGTTGTCACCAACAATTTCTGCGCGCAGCACTGGATGGAGTTGTTTCTGAGGGGCTTGGCCCTCCCATGTGTCAGCCGGGGAGCAGTAACCCTGTCTCCCGGATCCGACCCCTTCCTGTGAACTCCGTGGGCGTCTCTCGGAGCTGAGGGCGTGTGGCTCCCGCCCTGGCTGGGTTGTGCCCTTTGCCAGCTGCCCATGCTGCCCTGACCCTCTTGGTGGTTCCGGGCACTGCCAGGTGAACCCAGGGACCGGTGAGCAGAGGATATGAGAATGGAGACCTAGGGTCAGGGGCTCGGGTGGGCTTGAGGACTAATTTCTCTCTCTCTCTCTCTCTTCCCTCCTCATTCCCTCGCGATCCAGGGGGACAGGGGTGACCCTGGGCCTGATGGTGAACGTGGTGAGAAAGGCCAGGAAGGGCTGAAGGGCGAGGAGGGCCCCCCTGGCCCCCCTGGCATCACCGGAGTCCGGGTAAGTGCAGGCTGCTTCTTGGCCCTGAGGATCCTGTGTGGGGAGTGCCCCTGCCTGTTCAGACAGCGGGCCAGCAGTCTCTGGGCAGCAGCCCCCTGAGCACACCCTGCCGTGGTCCTTCCTCCTCGGGGGCTTGGCCAGAGAACTCCTCAGGCCATGTCCCTCCCCTACTCAACTGTGCATGGCTCCCAGGTTAAGACGCTGCTCTGCCCTACACACACCCAGCCCCTGCCCGCCTCATCCCACCCGACTCTCTGATTGTTATCAGAGAGGTCGCGGACCCTGCCCAGACTCATACAGTAGAAATGGCGGGGCTGGGGCTTGCACGATGCTCTCATGTGGTAGAAATCTAGGCCTTCGGCTGAAGAGCTGTGAGGCAGAGGCTGGGCGGAGGTGCAAGCCTGGTTTTAGAACATCTCAAGCGTTAGACTGACCACGTGAACTTGACTTTGGAGTGGGGCCAGGGCAGCTTCCACGGCTGAGGAGGATGTGTGCCATGTCGGGGGAAGGGGGTCGGCTCACTCACCCTGCCTGGGAGCAGTGGACGAGGTGGCCCCGCAGACAAGCACCTGAGTGTCCAGGCCTGCAGGTGTGTGCCTTGAGCTGGACCCAGCAGGTGTGAGACGGCCGCTCGGCTGCCGGCCGCCTCCCCTGCGGCGCAGTTCAGCCTTCAGGCCCAAGTGCATAGATCGAGGTTCCTGCCTGGCCCAGTGGCCCAGCTGCATTCAGGCTTGCTCATGACAGCCTTTCTCCCTCCTGGAGGGCTCCCATGGCTCACCCAGGACGGCTCCAGATTAGTCTGCAACAAACTGCGGGTGGTGGGGAAACATTTGTTTCCTAAAAATAGAACTGAAGCGCTAATGTCCTAACAGCTGCTATGGAATGAGCTCACCCAACAGCTAGAGGAGCACAGGAGGTGCTTGGTCCCACAGCCACGCCAGGAGGCGCCCCTGGACCTGACTCAGGGGTGCGGAGGGTGGCCGGGGGTGGGGGGACTGAGCTGCAGGGGTGCTGGCCCTGGCCCCAGTTCTCCATCAGGAACTTGCTGTGTGACTTCTCTGACTCCTCGCCCTCTCTGGCCCTGCCCTGGACATGATGGAGGGGTTGGAAGGATAGTGGGCTAAGATTACCCCGAGTTATAGTGAGCTGTGAGTATCATGACTGAACAGGCAGCACGTGTGGCGAAAATCACCTTGGAAGCAGAATCCCAAGGCTGAGCCCACGTTTGTGACTGAAGCAACCTCTTCTCTGTGTGGTTCGGGGCAAATCACTGCCCCTCCCTGGGCCTTTCTCGTCTGTAAAGATTGAAGGAAGCTTGAGATGAGAGGGCACTTTAGAAAATGCACTGGAAATCTAAAAAGTTCTCTATGGATTTGGAGGACGAAATGACTAGAAGCTGATGATAGTGGTGGTGGTGATAACAGTGACCTAGGTAGTGTTGGCGGTGATGGTGGTGGCTTTGGTAACTGGTGGTGGTGATGGTGATGGTGATGATGGTGAAGATGATAATGGGGATAGTAGTGGTGATGGTGGTAATGGTAATAGTGTTGGTAGTGGTGATAGTGATGATGATGGTGATAGTGGTAGTGATGAATGGTGATGGTGGTGGCATTGGTGATGGTGGCAGTGATGGTGGCGGTGATGGTAGTGGCATGGTGGCATGGTAATGACACTGGTGGAGCGGGCGAAGGCAGCGACAAGAGTTGCAGTTGTGGTGGTAGTAATGGTGTTGGTGGTTCTGTCGGTATTTTGCTGTCACTTGCAATTCTCCTATGCTGAGGTTGGAAAGGGTCGCTGGGGCCAGACTGAGTGTGTGTCGGTGTGGTGGGGGTGGGGGAGGCTGTCCCTGAGTCTCCCAGGCCTCAGGGCTGCAGGACAGATGCCTCCTGGTCTGTGGCCTGGGAACAGCTAGATGTTTAAAAATAGAATTTGAGTCATCAGGGGCTTTCCAGAAACACATACACGAAACAGGGCCCTGCTCGGCATGGGTTGCATCTGTGACACCGGCTCCACCAGAGTCGCGCCGTGACACTATCGCCTCGTGCATGTGTCCTGCACTCTGGCGCTGATGTCCTCACAGTGACACAAGCGCCTGACTCTGCATTCCTCAGAACGTGTCCCCATCCAGGCAGCAGTGCCCCTGACCAGGCACAGCCTCACCCCACCGAAGGCTCCAGCCTGGACTGGGGGTTTCCACCAGGGGGACACTCTGGGTGGGAGAGGGCCCAGCAGAACCAGCGTGGGGCCTGTCCCCCGGCCCATGCCACGGGCTTTGCTACTAACTCCTTCTTCCCTCAGAGGGAGCAGTCCGCAGAGCCCGCCAGCCACAGCTCAGCCAGCACAAGCTCAGGACAAAGCTGCCCCCAAAAGCAGGGGTCCCCGGCTCCTTCTAAGCAGCCAGGTGACCCACAGGTGGCACCTCCTGCCCCCGGATTCTAGTTGCTTTAGCTCAGACCTGGGCTGAAAGGTGTCTTCCTCCCCACACTGTGGTGAGCATTCAGCGAGAATTTGCCCCGGGGGCAGACACAGGGCCTGGCCCTTGGGGCAGGCAGCAAGGGCTGCTCCGGTTTCAGAACTGGAGGAGCCGGAGACCTTGGGATTGCCAAGGCGGCGCTGTCCAACAGCAACAGAGCACATGCCACACACGTCATTTTGGATTTTCGTTTAGCCACGTTGTAAAAAGGTAAAAGGAGACAGATGACATGAATGTTAGTAATAGGTTTTATTCAGTGCAGATTTCCAAAACAGTATCATTTCAACACATGCGCAATATAAAAATCGTTGAAATACTGGGCATTCCGTTTCTTTGTACTGTTTGAAATCTGCTGACACAGCACATCCCCACTCAGATGTAAATTTTCATGGGAAATACTTGATCTGTATTTAGATCTCATGACTTTTTAAAAGCATTATTTATTTATTGACTTACTATTTGAAAGGGAGAGAGAGAGAAAAAGAGAGAGAGCTCTTCCATCCTCTGTTTTACCTCCTAAATGACTGTAAGAGCCAGGGTTGAGCCAGGCTGAAGCCAGGAGCCAAGAGCTCCATCCAGGTCTCCCACTTGGACCATCTTCCACTGCTTTCCCAGGCATTTTAGCAGGGAGCTGGATCTGAAGTGGAGCAGCCGGGACTTGAACCGGTGCTCGATGTGGGATGCCGGTGACCCAAGTGGCAGCTTAACCCACGGCACCCCAGCACGGGCCCTGATAATTTTGCTGTTGAAGGTGTGTACCTTCATGTACACGAATTGTTCCCAACACATGTAAAAGCTTTCCAGTAGCTGAATTGCATGTCAGCTTTTAAATGAAATCTCAACTCATTAAGTAAGCTGGTGAATTCACTTCCCGAGTCACTGGAGCCACATTTCAGAGCTCAGTAGCCACATGTGGTTGAAGGCCCTGTATCAGGCAATGCAGCGCTGGCCCAAGACCTCCAGGAAACAGGCCCAGAGAAGGGTCATGCGGGAAGCCCAGCACCCTCCCAAGGCCTCTGTCCCGCCCTTCTGAGGCCAGTGTGGGCTGACCTGGGACAGAGGCGTCGTCCGCAGTCACTGTTGCCATGTGTGTCTTTTTTTTTTTTTTTTTTTTTTGACAGGCAGAGTGGACAGTGAGAGAGAGAGAGACAGAGAGAAAGGTCTTCCTTTGCCGTTGGTTCACCCTCCAATGGCCGCCGCAGCCAGCGCGATGCGGCCGGCTCACCGCGCTGATCCGATGGCAGGAGCCAGGAGCCAGGTGCTTTTCCTGGTCTCCCATGGGGTGCAGGGCCCAAGCACCTGGGCCATCCTCCACTGCACTCCCGGGCCACAGCAGAGGGCTGGCCTGGAAGAGGGGCAACCGGGACAGAATCCGGCGCCCCAACCGGGACTAGAACCCGGTGTGCCGGCGCCGCTAGGCGGAGGATTAGCCTAGTGAGCCATGTGTGTCTTTTGAGCGACGTTTCTCCCTCCTGCAGAATCGCAACCAGACTTCTACGTGCTGGGCCCACAGAGGACACAGCGTCCCTGCTCCAGAACAGCCATGCCCAGCCCACATGTTTCCCTGTTCCTCTAGGACCTGCTTTCCTGACCCTCGTCACCATCAGCGACACCCGATCCAAGAGGGGACCTCACCTCCCTCATCCTAGAGCTCATTCCAGAGGGACTGACCAAAGCCAGCCCTCTGGGGCTTGCCAGCAGGGCGCATGTGCTGCCCGACTCCACTGAGGCCTGCGGTCAGGAAGCGCCTTGCAGGCCAGCAAGGGCGGCCTGCCCTACCCCTCTGTGTCCCATGCTCGGCTGGCCCAGGGCTGGCCCTTGCCCTTCTCTGTAACTGGGTCTGTCCTCACATTCACACACACTCACCCCTGCTGAGCACTGGCTTCCACTGGGGCAGGGGCAGAGTGTCCTGTTAGAGACCCCAGAAGGAGTCCAGCATGGTGCCTTGGGCCACAGCCTCCAGGGATGTACGGAAGTGACACATGGCGTCTCAGAGACGCGGGAGCCCAGCAGATGCCTCCTGCTGCCTGGTGCCATTATCGGGGACTCTCAGCCGGGTGGTAGAAGAGTCCCTGGCCATGGAGCCCGGAGGGCCTGGGGTAAAACTGAGACTCTGCTGCCCACTGCTGGCCCTGGGCAGGTCACAGCACCCTTGGGTCCCTTGCTGACCCAGTCTAGGCCTGGCATCAGGGTTGGCAGCAGAGTGGAACAGTGCTTGTCACATGGAGAGAGCTCAGTGCTTTGAGTGACAGGCGGTAACCATGGCGACAGCAGAGCCTGCACAGGTGCTGTGCTTGAAGAAGCCCCACCCTGCGCTGGTCCCAGCACTTCCTGTGGGCAGGCGCTGTTGTCAGCTGTTCCCATGTCCCTCAGTGGAATCCTTAAGCTGGCCATGGGAAGGTTAGGTCATGCTCAAGGTCACAGGGCACCGAGCTGCAGAAGGCACCGGATGGATCTACCTCAATTTCATGTCTATTCCTAACCTTTCTCCTGCTCTTTGCCTTCCTCTCCCTACAGGGACCTGAAGGAAAGGCGGGGAAGCAAGGCGAGAAGGGCCGGACAGGGGCCAAGGTAGGCTCCCCGCCCTGCTGTGCTGGCCCAGGCCCCGCCCCTGCCCGTCACGCTGGCCGGCTCACAGCTTGTCTCTCCTCCTGCCACCAGGGTGCCAAGGGCTACCAAGGACAGCTGGGCGAGATGGGTGTCCCTGGAGACCCTGGAGTCCCTGGCATGCCAGGCCCCAAAGGCTCCCGGGGCAGCCTGGGACCAACGGTGAGGACTCTGTGGTTGGGGTGGGGGAGTCAGGCATGGAGGAAGGGGGCCAAGGGCAGGAAGGGAGGCACTGGGTTCCCCTGCACAGCTGTTGCCCACTCCCACCACTGGCCGAACGCCTGGCTGTCACCATCCCAAGGTGTCCCATGATTCATTGTCCTTTAACTCCTCGACCCTTTGGGGACCCGCAGAGAGGTGCGGCCCATCGCTCTGGGAAAACTTAGACGACACAGCCCGTTGTAGCCACGTGAGGGGCCTCGGGGTCTTTGGGAGCTCTCTGTGGCCCCAGAGGAGGAAGCCCTGCTATTGGGGCGGGGACAGCTGCTCTTGGAAAGCAGCTGCAGGAGGATCAGGGTGAAGCCACTGCAGGGCCCAGGAAGACCATGACAGTGTCTCAGGGCATTGCTGGGCTGCCCTGGAGGAAGGGGCATGGGGGGCTCTGACAGCTGCTGGGAGAACTGCTGACCCCAGGGAGGGGGGACGGGCGGTGTGCGACAAGCACCTGCACTGCTCTGTGGCGTCTGCCAATGACCGTGGCGTCACGGCCGATCTCAAGCTGCTGTGGTGAAATCTTTGCAGGCTGAGGTGGGGACAGGGTGCGCAGGTGGTGTCCCCACCACCCGGGTCCCAGCCCAGGGACTAGGCAAACACAGGCAAAGCTCTAGCCACTTGTCTTTGATACAATGGGTTTAACTGTAGGTCTGCAACATTTCATTGTTAATAGGGGTTCTGTTCGACTGGTGTGAAAATCCCAGGAGACCCAGCCGAGGGCAGCCACAGGGTGCTCCAGAGAGGAGGGCTGGGGTCACTTGCTGCCCACCTTGTCCCCTGGGCAGTGGAGCTTAGTGGGGGCCAGCGGCACCCTGCTGTGAGAGCCACACTCTGTGCCAACGACAGCTTCCTCCCTTCCCAGGGTGCTCCAGGACGGATGGGGGCCCAAGGAGAGCCAGGACTGCCTGGTTACGATGTAAGTAGATGCCACCTCCCTGTACCTGCTCCAGGAGGCCCCGGGACCCACGGGTAGGACAGGCGGGGGTGGGGCAGACGGCGAGACCGCCATGCCTGAGCTCCGACCCGGGAGACCCCGACTGCTCTTCACAGCAGGGAGTAGCCCACTGTCACCCAAGCTAGCACCTCCCCAAGGGTGGCTGAGCGAAACTCATGTCCCACTTCTGGGGAGACCAGGGCCCAGAGAGACATGTGGAGGGTTGGGGCAGAGGCAGGCCCTGCTGCACAGCCCTGTGACTCTGTCTGTCCCTGTCCTTCATTCCTCCGGAGTCCTAACTCCCCCGTGCCCCCGCCTCCATCTTGTTTGTCTGCAGGGACACAAAGGCACTGTGGGACCCCTCGGACCTCCTGGACCCAAAGGTGAAAAGGTGGGTGTCTGCTCTCAGGGAGGCAGCACCGAGGTCAGCTCCGGGGCCAGCGCCAGTCCTGGACTCCTTGGGGACCATGGCAGCACAGAACGTGCATGGCGATGCCCCCTGCAGGCTGGAGCCAGCAGGTCCACGTTCAACACTGGATCAGGTGTCATCTCCGTGCCCAGCACTGGAACAAAAGCAGACGCGACCTCTGTCCCCATGGGGCCTAGGGCCGCGCAGGGGAAGCAGACATCAGTCATGTGACGGGTCAGGCAGTGCCGAGCCATCTCCATGAGACCTGGCAGAGAGAGTGAGGACGGGGCTCTGAGCGAGGAGAGGGCTTGGGCTGGGCAGTGGGGAAGCCCAGCGGTCACAGCGAAGCGGGCACCACAGCGGCACAGCCACAGGTGTGTCCACCCCAGCCTGTGGCTCCGCAGTGGGTCGAGTGACGGCTGGACGGAAACTTGCTTAGCGTACCACCTGCCCCACTGGTGGTGGTGCAGGTTGGGGCGTGGGGGCCAGCAGGTGCCAGGCGTCAGCGCTGGGTCCCATCCGCAGGCAGCACAGCCCACGCCTTGAGTCCCTCTGCCTCCCCGGCTGCTCTGCCATAGCCACTCCTCGCAGGCGGCCCTGTTGCTTTGCACCGTGCCTCCCCAGCCCCCCTTTCTCTGGCTGTATCAGCTTCCCATGAACTCCCTCCTGCTGTGGGGCCCGGCTGGCTTCCCCGCTGGCTTCACCTCCTGCTTGGAGGAGGACGGGTCTGCGATCAGAGTGGGCTATAGCCCCGGGGTCCTGCTGCTGCACCTGGCATAGAGAAGGTTAATGGGGACCACAAAAGAAGGAGGAGCCAGTGTGCCCCCAAGGCCTCCACTGTGCAGCCGGCAGGTCCCAGGGCTCCTGGGCCTTGTCTGTCCCATCTGGTAAGTGGGTGAGTACCTTGGAAATGTGGGCTGAATGGGACACCGCTTACCTGTCAGCCAGGTGCATGCTGTGGCCTCCAAGGTGTTATCTGTTCATTCCTCCAGCTGTCCAACTTGGTGTGCTCCAGCCGCTGAGCTAGGGGCTGGGCAGGGGGTCCCGAGGGGCTCATCTGTTGTGTGTTGGTTCCTGGTGGCGTGCGCTCTGAGAAATGCATCACTGGGTGGTTTTGTGGCAGCAGGGACGCTGTAGAGTGGGGTCACACAGACCACAGTGGCTAGAACAGCATGGGGTGCTGATATTCTGTGGGCCCAGTGTATACGTGGCCAGTCACTGTCCCACGCATCTTTACATGGTCATGACCACGGTCACAAGAGTCCTGGCCACAACCTAGATGGCATCGGGAAAGGAGAGAGCAGGCAGAGACCCAGGATTCCCCCAGAGCGCTCTCTGGGACCTGTCAAAGTGTCGGGTGGGGAAAGTGAGTTTCCATGATGCTCAGGGACTGATTCATGCCCTGAGGGCAGGGCAGGGCGGGGCCGGGATCCAGACTGATCACAGGACCTGCTCCCCAGGCCAAGATCAGACCTGAAGGGACGGGCTGGAAACAGGACTCCAGCTCTCCAAGCTCATCCCCAATGGCAGCTGCGCTATGGGGCAGTGAGGGTCTACATGGCTGGCTCTGGCCGGAGGGCCTTGGCAAAGGGCCTCAGTTTCCCCCCTAGGCCGAGCAGCACAGCTGTGGAGCCTATGGAATTGTGTGTGAGACAAACCTCAGGATGTGCCCAACACCCTGAACATTCCAGGGAAGCCTGGGCCTGTCCCTGGAGCCCCGGCGCCCAGGCACCCCGCCTGCCTCCAGGCTCTGCCCACAGGACCACAGAGGCTGGTGGCCAAGTCGTGTGGCCGCCAGCTCCCAGCATTGCTGCTGGCCAGGGATGCTCTCAGGCCCCGGATGCAGTTTCCCTTCTGCTTCTCCAGCTGCCCCTCCCATCCCTGCACCAAAGGGCCCCCAGTTGTCTGAGGCTGCGGTGGCCAAGCCCAGGGTGACCCCCCATGCCATTCTGCTTATACCGTCCGTGCGGCTGGCAGGTGGCGGCGGGTCCCTGGGGGGCGGCCATGGCTGACGCCCTCCCGTCCACACTGCCCCTGCCCCAGCCTGTCCCCTGTCACGGCTGTGTGGCCCACGGCCACCGCCATCTTCATCAGCAGCGGCAGTTCTCACGGCCACGTGCTGAGCCCGTGTGAGCGGCCGCGTGCTGATAGCACCGCGAGGCATCCCAGTCCCGCTTGTGCTCACAAAAGGGTGTCGCGTGCAGGACCCCGAGGTGGCCTTCGCTGGGGTGGGGGTCCCTGGCCACGGGGAGAGGGCTCTTCATCCAGGTTCTCCCAGCCAGGACCAGAGACAGGGCCCTTTCTTGGGGCTGAGGAGTAGGTCTTGTCCTCCCCATGGGCCTCTGCGGCCTCACCTCTGAAATGGGGATGATGTTAGCACCTGCCTCGTGGGGCGGCTGGGGGTCTCTGGTGAGCCTGCCTGTGCGGGGCCCTTGGCAGTGGCCGAGCGGAGGCAACTGTTGCTAGTCTGGCCACGCATGGTTCAGGATCTTGTGTGTCATTTTTTGGGATTCCTGCCACTTGCCAGGGGCTTCACCACTGTCCCCATTCCCATTTCCCAGCTGGAGGGACCCCCGACTTAGCTCCCTGACTTTGCGGGGTCTCACTAAGGGTGGGGGGGTGAGAGATGGACAGCGAGGCGCACTTTCTTCTGCATGCTGCAGTCCTGGCTCCGCACCCCCAGGGTCTAGCTCAGAGCCAGCTGCCCCTTGTCTCTCTGGCCTCAGTCTCACTGTGTGTAAGTCCAGGCCAGGCTTAGCTCTGCCCAGGCCCTGGGCCCAGCTTCTTGGCGTTCTGTAGCAGCAGGCAAGTGTTTGTCCTAAAGCCGGTTCTGTGTCTGCAGGGCGAGCAGGGCGACGATGGTAAGGCCGAGGGGCCCCCTGGGCCGCCCGGAGATCGGGTAAGCACCTCTGCCCCTGTTGAGGGGGGAGGGGGACACTCCCAGGGGGTGTGGCAAGCAGTCCCTGCACCTGCACAGGGCCCATATTCTGCTGTTGTCCTTGTCATTCAGGGCCCTGTGGGTGACCGAGGAGACCGCGGGGAACCGGGGGACCCTGGATACCCCGTAAGTAACGGAGCACTCCGTGGGCAGGAACAGGAGTGTCTAAGGGGGCTGTGTCGCTGGCCAAGCCCTGGCATTCACCTCAGGACCCTTTGGGTGGCTAGGACCTCCCCTTCACACTGTGAGGGGGGATGGATCATGTGTGCTGGGGGCACCTGCCCCTCCTCCTCCCCCCTCTCTGTCCACGCTGGGCAGGGCTGGGGTCTTCGCTTCACCCATCTGACCTTTGAGGAAGCAGAGGCCGAGAGTGACAGCGACACAGGACTGGGGAAAAGCAGGGCTCCTGGCCACACCCCGCTCCTAGGTGGCCCTCACCTGTGTCTCCTTGGCTTCCAGGGTCAGGAAGGTGTACAAGGCCTCCGAGGAAAGCCCGGCCAGCAGGGCCAGCCCGTGAGTGGTGCCATGCCTGTCCCATCCCTGCCCCGAGGAGGGGTGGAGCGCTGGGAATTGAGGAACTGGGCCCTTTAAAGCTTAAAGTGACCCTTCTTGCTGGGGAGGCTGGGGCAGCCCCCAAACCCCTCCCCACCCTCCCCCTCCAGGCGGAGACTGGCTGCCCACTCTGGGAGAGAGTCCTGGGGCTGCCTTGCGTCATCTCACCTTGGTTTGCAGGGGCATCCGGGACCCCGGGGGCGGCCGGGACCCAAAGGATCGAAGGGTGAAGAGGTAAGAGGTCTCCGTGCACCCCAAGGAGGCTGAGGCCCAGTGAACGGGAAGAGAGCCCGGGGCCCCAGCAGCAGGGCCAGGAGGGAGCCGGACCCGTTCCATTCCCTTCACGCAGCCTGGGGCAGGGGGCAGACCGGCTCCACATTCCAGGGCAGCCCCTCTAGGAGGTCAGCCAGTGGGACTTGAACCCAGGCAAGAGTCAAAGCCAGCCCCTGTCCAGCACGGAACAAGAGAATGGGACCAGCGCAGCAGGGGCTCTCCCAAGGCACGGATGCGCATGGAGAAGCAAGTTCGAGCCTTGGACCCAGGGCCCCTGTGCTCCCACCACTGAGGCTGGGCCAGCACTGCCTCAGTGCCCTCCCCTGCCCCTAGCCCAGCCCCTCTGCCCACACCCAGGGACATCATGCTCCTGGGGGTCAGATGGGCCAGCCAGCAAGGAAGTGGGCAATGGCCAGAGCCTCCGTGTGTGGGACCACGAGGGGACAACTGCGGTGGCAGACCCCAGGGCCAGCTGGGTGAAGTTGAATGTCCACAGAGCCCCATGTGCCTCTCAGTGCCCCGTCCCAGCACGCCTAGGGTTCGTTGCCGCCTCCAGGCAGGCCTCTATCATGTGGCCTTTGCTTTTTCAGGGACCAAAGGGAAAGCCAGGCAGGGCCGGGTCGCCAGGCCGGAGGGGGCTCCAGGTGAGTGACCCGTGGCTGCTGCCCTCCCGCCGTGCCCCTGCTCTCCAGGAAGCTCTCACCGTGTCTTCTGTACTCACAGGGCTTGCAGGGGCTGCCAGGGCCCAGGGGCGTGGTGGGGAGACAGGGCCCTGAGGGCGTCGCGGGACCAGATGGGTTTCCTGGCAGGGACGGTCGAGCTGGACAGCAGGTGAGTGGGGCTCGGGCTAACAGATGGTGTCTCTGTTGGAGACCAGGTGTGTGGGGGTGGGGGGTGGGGCATCCATAGGCTGTGGGCCAGAGCTGGCTGGGCTGGGGCTGGGCAGAACCATCAGATCCAAAAGTCCCCTGGAAGGCGTCGAGTGGAGTGGCCTCACCCCTGGGGGGCTGGGAGTAGAGTCCTCCGCTCATCTGCCCGGCCATAGGGCTCCCAGTTTCAGGGTCTCCTGGTCCCTACACCCTGCCCCTTCTGCTATACCCAACACTCTCCCTTGGGGTGAGGACGTCACCTGTGCCCTCCCAGTCGTCCCGTCCCGCCTCCCTGGCTGCCGACTTCCTAAATATGAGAAACCTTCCTTGACAGGGGGAGCAGGGGGACGATGGGGACCCTGGCCCTGTGGGCCCCGCTGGGAAGAGAGGAAATCCAGGCGTGGCCGGCTTGCCTGGAGCACAGGGACCCCCGGGAGTCAAGGTCAGACCCTGCCCTCCCCTTCTCCTCTCCGTCCTCCCCACCCCCACCCTCATCTCTGCCTGGGCACTGAGCACCGTGGTGCCGAAGCATCAGGCACACTTGTCCTGGGCTCGGTGACCCGGCCACAAGCTAGAGCAGGGGGCAGCGGGTGTTTGGGTTGTCCGAGTGCGCCCTCTCGTGGGGCTTTGTGGAACAGCAGGTGCTGCTGCCGGCCGCGGGCTCCTCTCCGAGGCACTTTCGGGAGCTTGCTGGATCGGTGCGGTGCGTGGTGGAGGCCACCGTGTGTCAGCCCAAGCCCAGAGCTGGGCGCTGAAGCGGAGGTTGGGAGGAAGGACTCGGGCCTTGGCTCCGGCCTTCCCCAAGCTCGAGGTCTGGCTGGAGCCCTCTGAGAGTGCAGGGCTTGGCCCAGGGAGGAGCGGGAAGCAGTGCAGGGTGGGAGCTGCGTGGCGGGTGTGGAGAGGGGCCCTCTCCCGGATGCTCCTGCCTTGCGCTCCCTCCCCAGGCCCTCACCGTTGCCCCACCCTCCTGGGAGTCACCCTTCTCCTCTCCCAGCCCCTTCCCTTCTGCCACCCCTCACCGCCTCCCCCTTCTGACTGCCAATGTTGGTGTTTCTTTAAGGGTGAAAGCGGGCTCCCCGGGCAGCTGGGACCCCCTGGCAAGCGAGGGACAGAGGGCGGAACCGGACTTCCTGGGAGCCAAGGGGAGCCTGGTTCCAAAGGCCAGCCGGTGAGTGAGTCCCTGGGCATGCACAGCCCACACGTTGTCATGCATACGCCAGCATGTCCGCACACACACGTGCGTATGTGCACACTCGGGTACTCACGTGCACACATACAGTGCACCACCCTCCTGCACACTCAGTGTACACACATGCTGGCATGCACAGCCCACACGCTGACATGCATACGCCAGCATGTATGCACACATGTCTGCATGTGCACACTCGGGTACTCACGTGCACACATACAGTGCACCACCCACCTGCACACTCAGCGTACACACATGCTGGCATGCACAGCCCACACACTGACATGCATACACCAGCATGTACGCACACATGTCTGCATGTGCACACTCGGGTACTCACGTGCACACATACAGTGCACCACCCTCCTGCACACTCAGCGTACACACATGCTGGCATGCACAGCCCACATGCTGACATGCATATGCCAGCATGTATGCACACATGTCTGCATGTGCACACTCGGGTACTCACGTGCACACATACAGTGCACCACCCACCTGCACACTCAGCGTACACACATGCTGGCATGCACAGCCCACACACTGACATGCATACACCAGCATGTACGCACACATGTCTGCATGTGCACACTCGGGTACTCACGTGCACACATACAGTGCACCACCCGCCTGCACACTCAGCGTACACACATGCTGGCATGCATACACCTACACACACGCATACTCACACACAGACCCACATGAATGCACCGATGTGCACACATGTACATTTGCATGCAGTGCTCACATGTGCACACACTTACAGGGATGCACACGTGTTCCGTCATGCACAGCCAGACCAGAAGCCCTGGCCTGCTTTGTGACAAGGGCAGCGCACCTCACGCTGGCACGGGAGACCATCCTGGCCCACTGGACGCGGTGTGGGGAGGGAGGGAGGAGGGCCTTCACAGCAAGGAGAGGGGCAGACAACCGGAAGCCGGGCTCCGCGAGCTCCTGGCACAGAGCTGCCCTGTCCCTGGAAAGGGGAGAAAGTGAGCCAAGAACAGGCGGCCGAAGCAGAGACCAAGCAGCGCCTGCTCTCGCCACCCCATCTGAAAACAGATTTTAACTTAATTAAGCACGACCAGGCTGAACACCTGCTCCAAGACTCCATACCCTTTAGTCAGTGTTTCTGCAGAGTGGCCTGCAGATTCAACACAATGTCAACCAAAATCTCTTCAAGCTTTTCTTGGGGAAAAATGGCAGGCTGGTTCTAATAATGAAGTTCGCATGGAAATAGGAACTGCAATGACAGGAACGCCTTTGGAAAGGAGAGCCAACTCGGAGGACGGTGGTGCTGCTTCCCGGACTCGCTGCCAGTCGGTGATTTTCATGTCCTCACAGGCGGGAGAGCAGACTAGAGTCCCAGAAACGCACCGGCCGTTCGGACAGCCAGTCCGGAGCAAACAGTTGCTAAGGCAATTCAGTGAAGACAGAATCGCGTTTTCCAACACGTGCTGCAGGACCAGTGGATCCCTCACTCCATGTACAAAGCTCAGCCCGGATTTTAGATGTGAGACCCAAAACGATGACACTTGTAGAATAAAGCACCAAGGACAATCTTTGAGACCTTGGATTAGACAAAGATTTTTTTTTTTTTTTTTGGATATGATACCAAAAGCATGGGCCATAAAAGACAAGCTGATAAATTAGGATCCATCAGTATGTAAAACTGTTGCTATTTGAAGGACAGTGGCAAAGCCCGGGAGTGCAGTGGAGGATGGCCCAGGTCCTTGGGCCCTGCACCCGCATAGGAGACCGGGAGGAGGCACCTGGCTCCTGGCTTCGGATCGGCGCAGCGCACCTGCCACAATGCGCCAGCCATAGCGGCCACTTGGGGGGATGAACCAACGGAAAAAGGAAGACTTTTCTCTCTGTCTCTCTCGCACTAACTCTGCCTGTCAAAAAAAAAAAAAAAAAAAAAGATGGAAAGACAAGCAACATCCTGGGATATATTTACAAGTCATCTCTGTGATAAAGCATTTCTATCCAGAACATATAAAAAGTCATCAAAACTCAGTGTTTAGAAAATGATCAGCACAGGAAAAAAATTACATCGACGATTCAGAGGGATCCTGTGAAGAAGGTATACAAATGGCCAGGGAGCTCACGGATTGAAAATTAATGTCCTTGGCTACTGGGCAGATGCCTGTTAAAACCACGCCTCTGAGCACGGTGATTCAGAGACTCACCATACAAAGTGTTGGCAAGGAAGTGGAGCGTCTGAGCTCCCACACTCTGATACCAGGCATGGAGAATGGCCCACCATTCTTTTTTTTTATTTTTTTGACAGGCAGAGTGGACAGTGAGAGAGAGAGACAGAGAGAAAGGTCTTCCTTTGCCGTTGGTTCACCCTCCAATGGCCGCCGTGGCCAGCGCACCGCGCTGATCCAATGGCAGGAGCCAGGTACTTCTCCTGGTCTCCCATGGGGTGCAGGGTCCAAGTACTTGGGCCATCTTCCACTGCACTCCCTGGCCACAGCAGACAGCTGGCCTGGAAGAGGGGCAACCGGGACAGAATCCAGCACCCCGACCGGGACTAGAACCCGGTGTGCCGGCGCTGCAAGGCGGAGGATTAGCCTAGTGAGCTGCGGCGCCGGCTGGCCCACCACTCTTGACATAGCTGGGTAGCTTCTTTAAAAGCTAAACATCCGCTTACCATATAGTCCAGCCGTTGAGCAGTTTACCAAAGGCAAATAAGCACGTGCGCATAGAGAGTACACTTGAAGCTATTATGTGTGATAGCCCCATGTGTGCACATCAGAAGCTGAGCACATAAACTAACCATGGTCTGTCCACACGCTGGGGCCCTGTTCAGTAGTAGTAAGAGTCAACTACAGATGCCCCTCAATCTACCATGGCTTGCCTCCCAAGACACCTATTGTGTGTTGAAAATACATTTCCAACGCCCGACCTGCTGGCTGTCGGAGCTCAGCAGTGCGGTGCGCTGTCTGGGAGGATTGCCTGCCCGCGTGATGGTGCACCTGGTAGGGAGCTGCCCCTGCTGCCCCACTTCTGCAGGAGGGTGTCAGGCAGGCGCTGCGAGGCCGGAAAGAGACCCCAGTCAAAGGCGAGTTTCCACCAGATGCACCATCATGAAGTGAGAAGCCTTAAGTCGAACCATCCTCAGCTGGGGGCTGTCTGTATTGACCTGTGCAACAACACGGATGAGCCTCAGAACCGTTGGTTGGAGTGAGAGAAGTCAGATGAACAACAGCACCTGCCGTGGGATTCCGTTTATACAAGAGACAAAATGCAAAGTGTGCTGCAGCGAGGGAAGCGGTGGCTCCTGGAGATGGGGGGGGGGCAGGCAGGAGGAACGGGCACTTGGGGGCTGGGCGATGGGTATATGAATGTGCACACGTGTGAGAATTCGTCAGATTGCACAGTTTATGCAGCTGTTATTCATCTCCGGTTTTACTAAGGAACAGCTTTGAAAACGTACTTGCTCTCTGCACCCGATGATGGAGTAGGGGAGACAAGGTACACAGGTGAACAGGGAGGAGGGCTCACAAGCCCACCTCGGAGCCACTGCCAGCCCAGTGCCCAAGCCAACGGCATCACAAGATAGGAAACTCACGGACTCGCATCCCCAGTGAACACAGACGTGGGAATCGTAGTGGCGTACTAACACAGGGAACCCAGCGACGTGTGTAGAGGGCTGTCCACAGGGCAGAGAGAGTCTCCCCGAGAGTGCAAGGCTGGTTCATCCTATGAAATCGGTGCGGCACCCCACATGAATAGAATACAGCACAAGCATCATTTGGTCATCTTGGCAGATGCCAAGAGCCATTTGGCAAAATCCAGCATCCTTTCTTGAGCAAAACAAAGCGGCAGTCGAAGGGACTTGCCCAACTTGCTCGTCTGTCCAGGATCCACCCCTGTCTCACAGGTGACGGTGAACGGTGGCAGGCTCACCCCTAAGATCAGGAGCAAGCCAGTGTGCATTTTTACCACTTCTAAGGGACAAGTGACATGGCATGATCTATGGAAAACTTAGAAAATCATAATGAATGCACAAAATAAAACTATTAGAGCTAATAAGATTGTAGGATGCAAGACTAATATACAAAATTATTGCTTTTATGTACTCATACAATATATAACAATCCATTGTGTGTATGTTAGCAACAAAAGTGAAATTTAAGAAAATAATTTTAATAGCATCAAAAAGAATAAAATAGGAAGAAATTTAACAAATAAGAGTAAGACAGGCATGGTGAAAACTTCAAAACGTGGTCGGGTGAAAACTTCGAAGCTTGTTGAAAGAAGCTAAAGAAAACCTGAAGGAATGGAAAGACAAACCCTGTCCGTGGGTAAGAAGACTTCGGATCACGAAGACGGCACTACTCCCACAGCCTGGTCTGCATATTCGATGCAATCCCTCTCAAAATGACTTTCCTGTCAAAAACCGACAAGTCGATCCTGGAAGTCATATGGAAATTCAAGGATAGTCTCCATGAAGATCGAAGCTGGCAGACTCACATTTCCCATTGTTACCATGCTTTGCGAAACTAGAGTGATCAGTAAAATGCCCCCTGGCATGGGATAGACAAAGATCAATGGAGTAGCATTCAGGATGCAGAAATAAACCCCTCCGTGTTAACTGCCTTTCAACCGGGGTGCTGAGACAATTGAATGGGAAAGGAACAGCTTGTGTGTTTGTGTTCAGTAAATAATGCTAAGATGACGCCGGCGCTGTGGTGTAGCAGGTTAAGCCGCTGCCTGCGATGCCACATCCCATACAGGTGCCAGCTTGTGTCCCACTGGCTCCACTTCTGATCCAGCTCTCTGATAATGTGCCTGAGAAAGCCGCGGAAGATGGTCCAAGTACTTGGGCTCTGTCACCCATGTGGAAGACTTGGATGAAGCTTCTGGCTCCTGGCTCCTGGCTTCAGCCTGGCCCAGCCCTGGCTGTTGCAGCCATTTGGAGAGTGAACCAGTGCATGGAAGATCTTTCTCTGAATCTCCCTCTTCTGTAACTCTGCCTTTCAAATAAGTAAATAAAGTAAAAAAATAATAATGCTAAGACAATTACATATCCACATACCAAAGGATAATGTTGGACCCCTGCCTTATACCACAAACAAAATTCAGCTAAAAGTGATGAACTGGGAAAACAGTGGAAGATGGCTCAAGTTCTTGGGCCCCTGCACCCACGTGGGAGACCTGGAAGAAGCTCCTGGCTCCTGGCTTCAGATAGGCACAGCTCTAGCCTTTGTGGCCAACTGGGGAGTGACCCAGCTCTCTCTCTCTCTGCCTCACCTTCTCTCTCTGTGTAACTCTGAGTTTCAAGTAAATGAATAAATCTTAAAAAAGAAACATAAGTTTAGCTTCAATGGACAACATCAAGAAAATGAAGAGACTCAAAGGATGGGAAAAAGTGCAAATTGTGTGTCTGATAAGGAATTGTGTAGCTGGGATGTATAAAGAACACTTATAACTCAAGAATAAATGGACAACCCAACTTTAATGTGGGCAAAGTATTTGAATAGGCATTTCTCCAAAGAAAATCTGCAAATGGCCAATAAGCACATATAAGGCAAATCAGAACCACAATAAGACACCATTTCATTCCTCCCACGATGGCTACAATAAAAACACAGCTGAAAGTGTTTGACAAAGTTGTGGGGGAAATGGGGCACTTGACTCCCAGCTGCACACCCAGGAGAACTGAACCCAGGCGTCCACACAAAACCTGCCCACCAGTGTTCATACCAGCATTGTTCGTGCCAAAATGCACACTGCTGGAGTGTGTGCCAGCTCACACATGGTAGTAACCTGCTGTGTCTGTGTGGTGGAGACCGGCAGGGAAGCCGACATGCTGACGCAGTCTGCAGCATGGATGAACCTTGCAAGTGCCACGCAACTGAAAGAAGCCAGGCACCAAAGGCTTCTTGCGTGGTCCCCTTATGTCCAGAATCAGCAAATCCGTAGAGCCAGAGAATAATTTAGTGGTTGCCGGCAGCTGGAGGGAAAGTGGGGAGGGGTGTGGCGAATGCTCATGGTGTGGGGTGTCTTTGGCGATGGTTGAAAATGTTCTGAAATTGCCCATTTGTGTAGTCAAGACACCATAAGAAGATGGATCTCGTGCAGTGCAGTAACTCCATGAGATTCTGTATTGAACAGATACAGCAGGTGGAATTCAGAATGTATGGGGCCCTCCCACAGCCTGACCCCTCAGCCTCCCCTCCCTCCCCAGGGCCAGCTCTTTACCTGCGTGAGCGCACCATCTCCTCCAGCTTACTTACAATCCTGTTTTAGACAGAGAAACTGAGGCAGGGTGGGGGGAGTGGTTTGTCCCAGGTGTCACCACGTAGGGGCAGGAGGTTCCAGCCCGTGGCTTTCTCACTTGTGAGCATGAACGTCAAGCCCGGGGAGTGTGCTCATAATGACAGCTGCAGCGTCCCTGGAGGTCCAGGCCCTGCCTCCTCGGCCCAGGCCCGGCAGGCTGGCTGGCCTCCTCTGGAGATGGGAGCCTGGGCGCCGGGAGCAGAGGCACACAGGCCCTTGCACTGAGTCTCACGCACTCCACGACTTGGTGTCGTGTGACTTGGAGCCGGTTCCCACCCTGCAGCTTCCTCCTCTGTGGGCAGGGGCCAGGTTGTCTGCTGGGGGTCATGAACACGCATGCATAGCAGTGCGCAGGACACCCAGCAGGCCCCCAGCCAACGGGGTTACCTTCGGGCACTTACTTCCTTATGGAGCTTTTGGGGAGGAGTCCGCAGGGGCTTCACCCTCTTCCCTGAATCCGCGGGGCCTGAGCTGCTTGCGTGCCCCCACCTAGTGGAGTCCTCCGAACTGACCGAGGGTGCAGGTGCCTGCCCCGTCCCAGCCCAGGCTGCCAGGTCTGTGAGCTGCGCGCACTCGTCTGCTGGCTCCGCGGTGTAGTTGCAGGTGTCCCTGGCGTGGCTCCTGCGTGGCCGGCCAAGCACCCCCACCCTGCTGCCCCTCTCCCTACCTCTTCCTGTCCTCCCCACAGGGCGACACTGGCGAGATGGGCTTCCCGGGAATGGCTGGCCTCTTCGGGCCCAAGGTACAACCCCTCTCCTCACTGTTCGTGGCGTGGGCCCCATGTCCTGTTCAGCCACCTGCCCCTTCGTCCATGTGGTCATTCAACAGATAGCTGTGGAGCTCTGACAGCACTGGCTGAAACAGCTGGACTCAAGCAGGGACCCCCCCCCCCACCATGCCCACTCTTGCTGCCGCAGACCTGGGCTCCAAGCCCAGCTCCGCTGTTTTCCTGCTCTGTGCCTCCGGCAAGCCACATATCCCCTCGCGGCCTGGGTTGACTCCTGCGTGAGATGGGGCTGAGCGCAGCAGAGGGTCATGGCGAGAACCAAGAGCAGAGCTTACACCACGCAGCTCCCCAATGGCACCTGCTCCACAGTGGCTGTTTCGTCCGGGAGGCGGGTCCGGCCCTCGGGGATGAGGCAGCAGTGAGGCCCTCGCCCAGTGGCTCCTGTGGAGAGACACCTGTTCCTCTGTGTCCCGCAGGGCCCCCCTGGAGACATCGGCTTCAAAGGCATCCAGGGCCCGCGGGGGCCTCCTGGCTTGATGGTGAGCCCCCTCTCTGTGGCCCCGGCCCCAGCTGCATGCACATCTGTCCTCCTCCTCACTCTACCCGGAGTCTTCCCGCCCACTCCACACCTCGCTATGCTCTTCCTGCCAACCACACTGCCTTCCTTCCCCCCTCCCCCCATGCTCCCCTCATCCCACTCCTGTAGCTCACTTGGGCACACCTAGCCCTGGCAACAAGGAGGACATGCCAGCTTTTCCCTCTCCTTTAGGGCAAGGAAGGCATCGTCGGGCCCCTCGGGATCCTGGGACCTTCAGGACTCCCGGTACGTGCGGGGGCCAGGGCGCCAAGACTGCTCCCTCCTCTTCCTGGATCCACACTGTCTCTGTGACTCTGTGCCTCGGTTTCCCCATGAGGGGAGCAGAGCTGCCCTCTGACCCCTGTCTCCCTGGGCTGTGGTTTGTTGCAGGGTCCGAAAGGGGACAAAGGCAGCCGGGGAGACTTGGTGAGTGGACGGGCCGGGAGCCGTGCAGCGGGGGTGGGGCCGTGGCTCAGCCCCGCTCCCTAACTCTCCCTCTTCCTGCTTGTGTCTCCCTCCAGGGATTGCAAGGTCCGAGGGTGAGTGGGCTGGGCGTGAGGGCTGGGGGTGGGGCAGTGGGGCACGGGCACCCCGGGGTCCCCTCCCTATGACTGCTGATGTCCTTGGGTTCCTTTTGCTCTGGACCTCACCCAGTCTATTTATACCCATGTGTGCCAGGGGCACCGTTCTCCCTGGGGCTCAGGGCTGCTGGAGGAGCCTGCGGTGGGGGTGGGGGCTGGGAGGCCCGCGCCCAGCTGTAAGGCTCACTGTTCTTCTCTTCCCCCAGGGTCCTCCCGGCCCGAGAGGACGGCCTGGCCCACCGGTAGGTGACCAAGTGCCCAGTGTACCTTGGGCTCCTGGGAGCAGGCGGTGGGCTTCCTTTGAGTGCGACTCAAGGCTTTCCTGGCAAACCAAGCCTTGGCCCTGACCTCACAGGACTTGCTTGGCTCTTATAGCTCAAAAACACTTCTAGGAATGTGCAGAGCAGCCTGGGAAAGGGGTGGCCAGGCTTCCAGGAGAGCAGGGGTCAGCTTGTCCCTGATAGCCCCAGCACCCTGGCACCCAGTCCCCCAGTCCCCCAGCCCCCCAGTCCCCCAATCCCCAACAGATACTGACCCACGGTCTTCTTTTCCAGGGTCCTCCAGGGGGTCCTATCCAGTTTGTAAGTTGGAGAACATTCCCTTTGCCTTCCAGGGGTGAGGCCTGGGGCGGGTAAGAGGGCAGGAGAGGCCGCTGACTCCTCTCTGACCACAGTGGACAGAACCCTATACAGGGCCCGGGGGGTGTCATGTCATGTTGTCCCTTGGTGGCGCATACAAGAGGTCCTCAAAAAGCTCATGAAAAGTGCATTTTATGAAAAAGCCACCCAAAAGTCTTGCATCCAAATGAACTGATCCTTTTGTTCCATTTTCCGGGAGCTCTTTGGGGTCCCCTGACACGTTGGATCATGACAGTGCAAGGTCGGGGAGAAACAGGGTGGGGGGGGTGGGTACACAGAGCAAAGGGGCCTCCCCAGCCTGGGGGTGTGAGCATCATCGGGAGTAGCTGCCTTCGGAGTGGGTGACGGGGTCTCAGCGAGCACCGTGGACATGACACCACTGTTAGCAGGATGTTAGCAGGGTGTGTCTGCTGGCCTCTAGCCATGTCCCTTGCCCCGGCTGGGTGGTCCCTGGTGGAGAGCCATTGGTCTAGGAGGGGGATGCGGCTTGAGACCATAGCACTCAGAGTGGACCCTGTCGCCATGCTGAGGAATGACACCTGAGTCCTGAGGGCAGTGGGGAGCTGTGGAAGTGCCTATAGGAAGGGAGTGGCCAGAGCGGCTTTGGCTCTGTCTGCAAAGGGAGAGAAGGAGTCCCACGGAGGGCCTGTGTGCTGGCCAGCATCTCCCCAGGGGAGGTTCAGGTGGAGAACTCGGGCCTGGACCCCAAGGCTCCCATGTGGGAGGTCCGGGGGACCTGGAGGCCGGGATACACACCCTGTCTTACCCTTGCACAGCAGCAAGATGACCTTGGGGCAGCTTTCCAGACGTGGATGGACACCGGTGGAGCACTCAGAGCGGAGGTACCTCCAGGAGCTCCGCCCGCACGGGCTCCCTTCTCGGGGAAACACAAGTCGTGGCCTGCGTGTGGTCACTGCTCGCCACGTGGCCTGCACCAAGCTTTTCCCAGCCCTGGCCTTGAAGGCCTTGCACAGCTGTGGTCAGGGTTGTTACTGAGGCTCCAAAGGAGCAGCTGCGGAACTTCAAGGCCACATGGCTGCTGCATGCGGAACTTCAAGGCCACATGGCTGCTGCAGTCAGAGCAGGGCCAGAGCAAGGCCACAAGCAGGCCCTGGGGCGCCCTTGACCTAACAAAGGCCCCTCGGGGTCTTGGCACCCTTGCTGAGCTGTGTCGGGGGTGGGGGATGCTCCCTGGAGCCCAGAGGCCACACCGGCTTCGCATACCTTGCCTGGGGTTCCTTTAGGAGCAAGAAACTTGTGGGCAGCCCCACAGTGTCTCCTGAGACTCCCTGAGCCTGTAGCTGGCTCCCTTCAAGACTCCGGGCTGGGAAGGACCTCCGGTGTCCCCTAGTCCAGCCCCCATCAGGAGCTCCCTTTGCAGCCTTGCCTCCTTCTCATGACGGGGAACTTACTACCTGCAACATACCGACCTCCTACAAGCATCATGTTGGTTCCCCACGCCGGGTGCTGGGGCAGGTGGATGCCGAGTCACAGCCTTGGCTTTCTCGGGGTGCACAATGCAGGGAGGGGGAAGAGAGGCATGAGCCCTTGGCGAACTGTCCATGGAAAGAGATGGGGGTGTGGAGCAAGGCCTGGGGGCTGGGCGGGGACATAAGGCCCGCTGGGTCTGCCGTGACAGAGTTACAGCCCCTCGGACCGCCTGGTGCTGGACCAGGGAGGGCAGATCTTCAAAACCTTACACTACCTCAGCAACCTCATCCAGAGCATTAAGACGCCGCTGGGCACCAAGGAGAACCCCGCCCGGGTCTGCCGGGACCTCATGGACTGCGAGCAGAAGATGGTGGACGGTACGAGGGCTGGGGGGGAGGGAATGTTCTAGAAGGAGCTGGCATAGTGGGGAGACGGAGTGTCTGTTTCTTATCCTCAGCTGAGATTCTGTCCTCTGGGCTAAGTCATGTAGCAGTCACTGAGCCTCGCGTGCCAGGCCTGGTCTTCCTGGGGTGTGGGGACAGAGTGGGGAACAAGGAGGAGCGGTCCCAAGACATAGCCCCTGGGGATGTCCACACCACGGCAGGGAGACAGAGCTTTGGCAGCACAAGGCCCCAGGCCCACCATAGCCTCTCAGGCATGCTGCCTCCTCCTGGGCTGTCACGTGCCAGCTGATTGGGCGCCATGGACAGACAAGCGTGGAGACGGACAGTGCTGGGTCCTGGTGTGGGCCACATCTCTAGCTGGCTGTGAGCCTCCTCTGCTGAGGCCCGCCACCATGCTGGCCTTTGGCTCCCTGGGAAGCCCAGTGGGAGGCCGGATGTAAGCCCCTGTGCCTGGCTCATGGGGTGCCAGCTCGGGAGGAGCCCTTGGTCTTAGAAAAACCCGTTCCGCAGGATGATCCCTAGCTCCCTTGGGCAAGTGACTCAGCTCCTGCCACCCGCTGCCATCTCCTGTGTCAAATGCACACATCCCAATAGCATCGTAGCACCTGGATGCGTGACCTGCTCCACACTTTGCCTGCTGGGAGCTTCTCCCACAAGGCTGCCTTTTCTTCCTACCTCACCCCCAGCTTCGTACCCATCTGGGGCTCAGCGGGTCAGGGGCTCCTCCCCACAGTCATCCACCACCCTCCTCCCACACGGCCCTCAGGTACCTACTGGGTGGACCCAAACCTCGGCTGCTCATCCGACACCATCGAAGTCTCCTGCAACTTCACGCACGGTGGACAGACATGTCTGAAGCCCATCACGGCCTCCAAGGTACCCCGCTGCCCTCACCCAGCCCAAGGCTGAGCCTTGGGGTCCCTGGGTTCTGTCCTGACCCCTGCCTGGCTTACTGCATGGCCTTATTGTGTGCAGAGGGGGTGAGTGGCTCCCCTCTTGTGGTTTCCAAGTCTGATCCTGATGCATCTTCAAGTCGCCTCTCCGGCCTCATGTCTGGAGCAGAGCACTTGGCCAGGCTGGCGTGGCTTTAGAGAACCAGGCCTCACCTGCATGAAGCCAGCCAGGGTGGGACTTTTCTGGAATCGGCCACACAGAGTCGCAGGTGCAAATGTGTCAGTGCTGCTCAGGGCCTCCTTGCCTCGTGCCTCTGTCTGCGCTGCGCATTATAGCAGGGTAATCCAACAACAAAATGAGGCGGGCAGCAGCAGAAGGGTGTGACTGCCCCCTGCCCAGGTACCCCTCCCTCGCTGGAGGGTGGGTGTGTAGCTCCACTAAGCCTCCACTGTGTGGGAGCCAGTCCTACCATGATAAGCTTGTCTGGCCACTAGGGAGGTGGAGACTCAGAACCCCAGGTGTCCCACCCCCAGGGTGCCCCTGGAGGTGCCTTGTGCTAACCATGTCAGCCCTGGAGATGGCAAATTCCAGGCTAGGCAGGCACCAGCTGGCCAACACGTCTTTGTTGGGCCCCTGCCCTGTGCCAGGCAGGGGAGGTCAGACTCGCTGCTGCCCTGTAGCCAGAGCTCACGGCCAGGAGACACAGTGGCCTCTGCAGGCCCCGTCCCCCAGGGCTCACAGTTTGGGTGAGGTGGAGCTGGCGATTGGGTTGGCAAGTGTAACTGCCCTTCTGGGTTGCCAACCCCACCATGCACTGATCTCTGCTGACCTCGTGCTGACCCTGGCCTGTCGTTCATGCGTTCTACAGGGATCTTGGGACTGCAGAAAGTGCCTCTCAGCTCCTCTGAGCCTCCAGACCTCTGAACCTTGGGCACAGTTTGCTCTCTCGCTCTCAGTCTCTCCCTGGGCCTCTGGATCCTGGCTCAGCCCCTAGAGACCTCCGTAGCATGGGGTAGGGGAGCAGAGGACACCAGGCCCCTCGGAGCCCTGGCTGTGCAGTCGAGCAGAGCTGTGCTTGCTGCACACCCAGGGGCCGTGGCACCTGCTCATGTAGCGCTCACTTCCTTGTCTTTCAAGAGGGCACACCTGTGGGACCGTTGCTGGGCAGAGCTTACCAGGAAAGGGCATGGCCATGGCTGCCCCACCAAGCGGGGAATTCCAAGGGCTGCAGGCAGCCACCGGGTCCCCACCATGCTGTCCCCGCCCCCTCCTGTGTCCACCCCGCAGGTGGAGTTTGCTGTCAGCCGGGTCCAGATGAATTTTCTGCACCTGCTCAGCTCCGAGGTGACGCAGCATATCACCATCCACTGCCTGAACTTGACCGTGTGGCAGGAGGGCACCGGGCAGACCCCGGCCAAGCAGGCTGTGCGCTTCCGGGCCTGGAATGGGCAGATCTTTGAGGCTGGGGGTCCGTTCAGGCCAGAGGTGTCTGTGGACGGCTGCAAGGTAACCTGTCAGGACAAGGGGACAAAGCCTGTGTCAGGCGGCTCAATCTAACCGCTCATACTTGAATCTGTTCATAGTGCCACACTTCACCTCCTGTAACAATTTTCATTCTTTTTTTTTTTTTTTTTTTTTTGACAGGCAGAGTGGACAGTGAGAGAGAGAGAGACAGAGAGAAAGGTCTTCCTTTTGCCGTTGGTTCACCCTCCAATGGCCGCCGCGGCTGGCGCGCTGCAGCTGGCACACCACGCTGATCTGAAGGCAGGAGCCAGGTGCTTCTCCTGGTCTCCCATGGGGTGCAGGGCCAAGCACTTGGGCCATCCTCCACTGTACTCCCGGGCCACAGCAGAGAGCTGGCTTGGAAGAGGGGCAACCGGGACAGAACCCGGCGCCCCGACCGGGACTAGAACCCGGTGTGCCAGCGCTGCTAGGTGGAGGATTAGCCTAGTGAGCCGCAGCGCCAGCCAATTTTCATTCATTTTAGGGATTTATTTGTTTGAAAGGCAGAGATACAAAGAGGGAAGTTGAGACAGAGAGAGGTCTTCTATCTGCTGGTTCACTCCCCAAATAGCCACAATACCCGGGGCTGGGCCAGGCCAAAGCCAGGAGCCTGGATCTCTATCCTGCTCTCTCATGCAGGTGACAGGAGTCCAAGCACTTGGGCCATTATCTGCTGCTTCCCAGGTGCCTTAGCGGGGAGCTGGATCGGAAGTGAAACAGCCGGGACTTGAACCGGCGCTCAGCGACAGTGTCACAGGTGGCAGCTTAACCTGCTTCGCCACATGCTGGCCTCTTATTGTAATAGTTTTACAACACTTTCTCCCTTTACTTTCCTCTCTGGGAACTTTCTGAGGAGAGATTGGAGCCAGTAGACACCATACTTAAAACACAATGTATTTCCTCTCTTCTCTCTGCACCATCCTGGCCAGGCTATTTGTTCTCTTAATATTTTATGTCATTTTCAAATGCCTCGCAGAGTGGGTTGTCAGGGGAGGGAGAGACAGAAAATTATCAAAAAAGTGGGGGGGGGGGCAGCATTCTGACACAGTGGATTAGGCTGCCACTTGCAAAGCCATATATGTAAGCATCGGTTTGAGTCCCAGCTGCTCCACTTCCGATCCAGCTCCCTGCTAACGCACCTGGGAAAGCAGCAGACCGTGGCCCAAGTGCTTGGGTCCCTGCCACCCACGTTGGAGACCTGGATGGAGTTTCTGGCTCCTGGCTTCAGCCTGGCCCAGCCCAGGCCAGAACAGCCATTTGGGGAGTGAACCAGCAGACGAAGCTCGCTCGTGCGCTCGCTCTCTCTCTCTCTCTCTCTCTCTCTCTCTGCCTCTCCTCTCTGTGTGACTCTGGCTTTCAGATAAATAAGCAATCTTTAAAAAGCAGAAACAACAATTACCAAATGAAATGCTGGTCATACACAGTGTTAGGGCAGGTGTGAAGAAGCCAACACTCTCACGTGAGGGTGTGGGGAAGAAATACTGGGAGCTATATAGATGTATATATATAGTACATGTAGGATAAATTTACAGCCAAATCAGAGAGGATTTAAATGAGTGTGTGTGTGTATTTAAGTAAAATATGTATCTGATACACAGCCCAAACCTCAGAAAGACCCTGGCCTTTAAGCCAGCAGTTATGCTTGTAGAAGTTCTTCTGGGTGCACAGAGGTTCGGCTGCCATGATTCCAGGGTGGCACCGCTTAACAGGAAACAGGACGGGACGGTGCCAGCACAGGTGCTGGGCAAGCCATGAGACCGCGGTGGACACGCGCGCTGTCGCTTCTGCCCTAGGTCCAGGACGGCCGCTGGCATCAGACGCTCTTCACCTTCCGGACCCAGGACCCCCAGCAGCTGCCCATCGTGGGCGTGGACAACCTCCCGCCCTCCTCATCAGGGAAGCAGTACCGCCTCGAAGTGGGACCCGCGTGCTTCCTCTGACCTCTGACCTCTGACCTCCAGCTCCTCCAGGCCTCCTAGGGGAGGGGAGGGGGGACAGGAGGAGAGTCAGAGGCAGGGTGGCTTGCAGGAGAGGCAGCCCCCTGCCCAAGCATCCTGGGGCAGGCCCCAGCTATGTTCTGCCCAGCAGGAGTGGGTAGGGGGTAGTGGGGAACGAGGTGTTCCTTGGAAACAGCCCAGCACAGCTTAGCCCCAAAGACCAACCAAAGAGCCAGCCAGAGCCAGCTGGGCCTGCAACCCGCCTGAACCCCGCGTGGCCCGTCCCAGCTCTGCGGCCAGCCCCTTCCCGCCCCAGATTCCTGCCCAAAGAGCCCCATGTTGAAGCCAACTCGAGGGAAGGGGGCATCTCGTCAGCTGGTCCCATGCCAGGGAGCTTTCGATGTGCAATATTACAAAGAAGACATGAAAAAAAAAGGAGAAAAGGAAAGAAAGACGTCTATATATATTATTTAAACTAAAACGGAAGGTGCGGTACTACGTTCCTCACCTGGGGAGGGTGAGAGGCGGAGGAGGAGCAGCCAGGGTGGGAGGGGCGGGGCCTGGGGCTGGGGGTGCCTGTGTCTGCTACCTCCCACTGTGAACTCGCTGGTGCTCGCCATTATCTCTCGTAGTATATGTGATTTTTTTTTTAAGAAAAAAAAAAACAAAAACCTTATTTAAGATTCTGAAGGTGCTACCGTCTTTGCTCCAGACTTGGACGACACGATCCGATGTGGGGCCTTGTCCACATCTTGCTCTGTCCTCCAGGTGACAATGTGTTGGGAATTTTTTATTTTCCTGGCGTCACCCTCCATGCTTGTCAGGTAATCTCTTAAGGAGGAAAAAAGAAAAGAAAAAAAGGAAAAAAAAAACTGCCAGAAACCAGAAGTAGAGAGATTGACTTTTTTTTTTAACTTATGGACTTGGGAATGTCTGATCTTTTACTACGCATTTTTCGTGGCCTGCCGTGGTCCTGGGGGAGGGGGCGTGGCCTGGTAGAGCAGGCCTTACAGAAGTCCTGGGGGAAGGCTTGACCTTGAAGAACACAAGAGTGCCGAGTTGGGTCCGGGCTAGCCTCGAGCCCTCTGAAGCTGCCCCAGGTCCTCCTCTGTCCCAGAAGCCCTTGTGCCCCGAGTCAGTGGCCATTCCAGCTTTTCCCTGTAGAAGCCTGTTGTCATTAGCTCCGTGTGTACCTTTGGGCTGAGGAGACGAGAATAACCCTGGGCCTTCCCGAGGTCCTTGTGATAGCCACATTCAGCTGTCACCCGAATGCTACCCTGGCTTGCATTCCGAGGTTATGTCACCGATGGCATCGTTTTTATGGAAGGGGGACATTTCTGTGAAAGTCTCTATTTGTGCATTTCTCTTCCGTAGTTGTGTCCCTGGGGGACTTGGATCTGGTTTTCATTATTTAATACCTCACTCTGGCCCGCCCGCCGCCTCTCGGACCCCCGCTGTGGCCCTGGACGCTCCCCAGGGAAGCGCCCTTTTGCAGCTACCCACTCCCCCACGGCGTCGCCACCAGTGCCTGCCCGGCCTCTGTCTCGTGCTCGGATTTTCTGCTGTCCTCGTTTTTCGTCTCTGTCCACATGTCAGTGTGATAACCCCCATGGGTTCCATTTCTCCTTTCTCTTCTGGATTTTAAATAAATATTTAAAACTGAGGCAATGGAACGCCGTGTCTATGGCCGTGTGCTCCTTGGATGGCGGGGCAGGTGGTTTCTGGGGGGGGTGGGGCTGGTGGAGGGGAAGATGCTCAGAGGGCCCCCCACCCCCGCTTATTCTTCCGCAAACACTGGAACTTCGGTGCCTGAAAGCAACAGAAATGTGCTCTGTCCCAGCTCTGGACGCCAGAAATCAAAGTGTTGGCAGAGCCCTGCTCCCCTGGGAGAGAGCCCAGCTCCCCGGGGAGGTCTCCTCCTGGCCTCTTCTAGCTTCGGGTGGTCTCAGACGTTCTTGGGTTCCAGCTGCAGCATTCACTGCTCCCTCGGACTCCCCGGGGTTCTGCCTGGAAGGGCAGGCAGAGTCCCACGTCCAAGGCACACCCTCCCGTTCCATGTAGAGGGAAGCCAAGGTCAGCGAGGAGGGCAAGGCCAGGCTGTGACAGCACTGTTAGGTGCATTCAGCCCAGGTCAGCAATGGCAGCCCCTGGGATGTTCATTAGAAGTACAGATTCTCACGGGGCCCATGTGGCCCTGTGGCATAGCGGGTAAAGCCACCATCTTGCAACACTGGCATCCCATATGGGTGCTGGTTTGAGTCCCGGCTGCTCCACTTCCGATCCATCTCCCTGTTAATGCACCTGGAAGCAAAGGAAGATGCCCCAAATGCTTGGGCCCTTGCACTCATGTGGGAGACCTGGAAGAAGCTCTGGGCTCCTGTCTTCAGCCTGGCTCAGCCCTAGCCATTGTGGCCATTTGGGGAGTGAACCAGAGAAGATCTCTCTCTCTCTCTCTCCCCCTTTCTCTGTAACTCTTCCTTTCAAATAAATAAATCTTTATTAAAATTTTTAAAAGATTTATTTGAAAGTCAGAGTTACACAGAGAGAGAGGAGAGGCAGAGAGAGAGAGGGGTCTTCCATCCGCTGGTTCACTCCCTAATTGGCTGCAATGGCCAGAGCTGCGCAGATCCAAAGCCAGGAGCCAGGAGCATCCTCCAGGTCTCCCAGGCAGATGCAGGGGTCCAAGCACTTGGGCCATCTTCCACTGCTTTCCCAGACCACAGCAGAGAGCTGGATCGGAAGTGGAGCAGCTGGGACTTGAACCAGTACCCATATGGGACGCCAGCCCTGCATTTAAATTCTCAGCCCCACCCCAGACCCTCCCTGAGTCACAGCCCCCCCCGGGACGGGGCCAGGCGATCTGTGCTCTCACGGCTCCACTGCAGATTCTGGTGCATGCTGAATCCTGAGACCCCCACGCTGTCCTGGGTCCCAAGGCTGGGAAGCGGTTTCCGAGCACCGGGGTGGGGGTGGCGTGGGAAGGGCGTCTGGTGCAGTGGCTAAGATCGCACTGTGAAGCCCACATCCTGTACCGGAGGGCCTGGGTTTCGGAGCGGACTCCGCTTCTGATTCCAGTTCCTGCCGATGCACATGCACCCTGGGTGGCAACAGTGATGGCTCAAGGACTTGTGTCCCTGCCATGCGTGTGGGAAGCCTAAATTGAGTTCAAGGCTTATTGGTTTTGGCCTTGGCCAACCCTGGCTCTTACAGGTATTTGGAGAAGAAACCATTGGAGGGAAGAGTCTCTCTAACTGCCTTTCAAATAAATAAAACCAAGTAAATAAAAATTTAAAAAGAAAAAAATTTTAAAGAATTCATTTTGTTTGAAACACAGAGATGAGAGAGAGAGAGAAAGATTGTCCATTTACTGGTTTACTCCCCAGATGGCCACAACAGCCAAGACTGAGCCAGGCTGAAGCCAGCAGCCAGGAGCTGCTGGGTCTCCCACAAGAGTGCAGGGGCCCAAGCACTTGGGCCACCTTCCACTGCTTTCCCAGGCACATTAGCAGGAAGCTGGAGTGGAAGTGAAGTAGCTGGGATTGAACTGGTGTCCATATGGGATGCCTGTGTAGCAAGCAGTGGCTTAATCCATTATGCCACAATGCTGGCCCCAGGAATATTCTTTTCATTCCTTTGACAATTAATCAAAAAGGAAGTTGAGTCAGCATGGCCCATTCCCCGAGTCGCTTTCGTGTTAGTAGCACAGAATACGACAGATGAAGTCATTTACAAAGAAGACAAACATGTTTGGCTCCGGGTCCTGGAAGCTGGGACTGTCCAAGGTTCAAGGTCAAGGGCCCGCCTGCTGTGCTGCCATGAGAGCACGCATATGAGAGAGGAGAGCTGGTGGCCACACTTGCTTTCCCCCCCACAGGCCCGCGATGGACGTCACGACTCCCCCGGTGAAGGCAGGAATCCATGCCTGAGGCAGAGCCCTGCGGGCCTGAGCCACCTCCCGACCCTGTGGCACTGGGACCAACTTTCCGACAAAGCAACTCTCCCTGCACCCGTGGCAGCCGGGCTGGGTCCCCTGAGCCAGGGTTTAGGGTTCTGCAAAGAAACCGAGCCTAGAGGATCGGCTCGGGAGTTTACTTTCAGGAATGGGCTTGTGTGTTGGGAAAGCGGCGAGCGCTGCAGCCGCCGGAGAGCCAGGAGAGCCCGTGGTTTGGCTGCCATCCATCGCCGCAGGCACCAGGCCCGGGAAAAGCCAGCGCCACCCTCCACGTGCAGAGGCCGGGGGAGCTGGTGGCCCCGCTGAGGGCGCTCAGGCAGAGGGAACTGGCTCTTCCTCAGCCTTTTTGTTCTATTAAGGCTTTCGACTGACTGCGTGAGACCCGCCCACAGTGCAGAGGGCAATCTGCCATGCCTTAGTCAACCGGTTACTTGTCTGGAACACCCTCATGCACCCAGCCAGAATAAGGTTTGGCCAAATGGCGGGGCACCTGTGGCCTGGTCTCCAGTTGACACATGAAATTAACCCCCACAGTCCCCAAGCTGGACTTGCGAGAGAACGAAGAGGAAGCAGGCAGTGCGCAGCCAGTGTTGCGGCACAGCGGGTTAAGCCACCGCCTCTGACGCCAGCATCCCATAGCAGAGTCCTGGTTCGAGTCCCAGCTGCTCTGCTTCTCTTGCAACTCTCTGCCAGCGGGCCCAGGAAGACAGCAATAGATAGGCCGAGTGCTTGGGCCCCTGCTGCCCATTTGGGAGCCCTGGATGGAGCTCCTGGCTCCTGGCGTCAGCCTGATCCAGCCCTGGCTGTTGCCGTCTTTTGGGGAATGGAGCAGATGGGAAGGGCACTGTGGGTGGAGGCCAGCAGCTGCCCTGCCGTGCAGCCTAGATGGTGCTGAGTCTTTGGGAGCAGCAGTGACTCAGTGTGGCGCTACGGGGCAGGGGGTGGGAGGTCTGGGGCACGGAACAGGGAGCACCGGTAGGATTGCATCAGAGAGCAGGGGTTTGGGTTGGCCAGGTGGGTTTTAGTGGCAATAGAGCCCTGGAGCTCACCTGTGCAGGAGGCGGCTGGCTGAGCTGAGAGGACCAGAGAGAGGTGGACACGTCCATCAGAGCTGCAGAGGCGTTGGCAGCACCTGTGTGGCTCTGAAGCCATTTGGAGGGGCAGGGAGAGGGCAGAGCCAGCAAGCTGGGCCAGAGGCGAAAGACAAGAGGGGTGGGGTACAGCTGTGCCCCTCACGACTCTCACTTGGTCCCCAATTCCAGGTGGGCCTGTGTGACCTGGCCGGCCAGGGAGGACGCTGGAGCCAGGTGAGCTCACGCCTGGCCCGTGTGGAGAGTGTGGTGTGGGGGAACCAGAGGCAGCGCCCACCGTTCCTAACCTCTTCTTGCACAATCGACTGTCAGGAAATAGGCAGGGTAGACTCCAGGGGAAAGCCCAGGCTGGCCTGTGTTTGTTGTGTCCACATGAACCGAGTCCAGCTGTGGATGGCCGCATCCAGAACGTGCAGCTGCCTGGTGCTGGGAAACTGAGGAAAAGGAGGAAGTGGGGAGAGCAGGGGAAAGCTGGCGGCTGGGGCCCAGTCTGCTGCCTGGCCGGGATGTGGCTCGGAGGGTGACTTTTCTCTCTGGGCAAAATGGGGCTGCATGCCCTGCCCTGCTGGCCAGCCAGGGACAGGACGATTGTTCCAGAAGGGCAGGGGGAACCGTACAAGAAGGCATGGTGCTCGGCTGCTTGTGACCTAGAGAATCTGCAGTGTCATACGGTTTGCCTGGGTAGCAGTGCCATGGGGAGTAGTAATGGCTGCAGGGCTGTGAACTCTGAACACAGCTCCGTGCTACGCGTGCTGTGTTCTGTCTGCCCCACGACCCGGGAGCTGCGTGTGAAGATCCTGGCTTTTCAGATGAGGGAAGTGAAGTTCAGAAAGGTTATGTAAATTTCCCAAGATCACAAGACAGGATTTGAACTTGAAACCTCTTTTGTGCATTGCCTCACCCCAGACACGAAGTTCCTAATTCGGACCGTTTGTTCTGCCAGTGTATTCCTCGTGGTTGGTGGAAGGGGACAGCTGGTCGGTTCTCAGACGCACAGCTAAGGGCTGCCCAGGGCGAGGGGAAATACAAGGTGACTGTTTCAGGAATCGAGCGGCTTCAGACGGGTGCATTTCCCTGCAGTATGGCCTACCGCCACATGGCCTCATCTTGCCGGGCCATTCTTTCCCTCCTCTGCAGAGTGGGGAAATCACCCCTCCTCCTGACCCTGCAGGACACCTGCTTTTGCCTTTTGCCTGCAGGAGGGGCATGGCCTGCAACCACTGAAGAGCACAAGCGGTCTCAGCTGTGAACTCCTTCCCGGCTTGAGGGCGACCTGATGGCGATGCTTAGGGTCTCAGCAGACCCTAGACGGTCTTTGCTTCACTTAGCAAGCACTGTACAAATACGAGCTAGCTGAAGCCTGATAATAACCCAGCGCAGTCAGTACTGTTAGCCCCATTTTACAAGCTGAATTACTGGGGCTCTGAGAGTTATGGCACTTGTTCAAGGTCACACAGCTAGGAACTGGTAAAGCCAGGGGAGTGCTGCATCACCATCCGCTCCTGCTCTGAGGATTCTTCTGTCTCTTTCCTTCCCAAAAACTTTTTTGGGAGAGGCCAACAGACAGAGAGAGAGAGGGAGAGAGATACTAACAAAGTGATCTCCCATTGGCTGATTTGTTCCCTAAATGCCAGCAACAGGTAGGGCAGGGCTGGGCCAAAGCCAGGACCCTGGAATTCAATGAGGGTCTGCCATATGGGGGGGCGGGGGCCCAAGTACTACAGCTGCCATCACTGCTTCCAGGGTGCACCTGAGCAGGAAGCTGGCATCAGAAGCGGAGCTGGGACTCGAACTCGCACACTCCAGTATGGGATATGCACCTTCCAAGCGGTGTCCTAATCACTGTGCCAAATCCCTGCCTCCCCACAAACAGATGGAGAGACAGGCTAGGCAGATCTGGCCCAGGACCTCAATCCACAGAGGCTCCGAGCTTGCCTGGAATATAAGGAGATGGGGAAATGGTCCTGTGTTGGGGGGTTGAGGGGAGAAACTCCGTGGATAGCATCACGGGTGGTCAGTGAGACCCCCCTGGGGCGGGGGCTGAGCAGCGTGAGCACGGTGAAGACCACGCACAGCCCTTGGTCTTTCTTCAGAAGGCGAGGCGCTCTCTGCTCACGCTCCTCCCACGGACACTGTCCTTGGCGTTCCGCCATGCACAAGCGGGGGGCCTTGCAGACCAGGCCTCAATAGAAAAACCATAGATATCAAAAGTATGTAATGAAGCTGACATTGAAAACTACTTTCTTTAATTTGAAAGAGAGACATAGAAATCATAGAAATATTGAGAGAGGGAGAATCTTCTATCTGCTGGTTCACTTCCCAAGTGCCTGAAACAGGTGGGGCTGGGCCAGGTCAAAGCCCGGACTCTGAAACTCCATCCAGGTGCCCCACGTGAGTGGGAGGGGCCCCAGGACATGAGCCGTCACCTGCTGCCTCCCAGGCTGTGTGTCAGTAGGAAGCCGGAATCTAGGGCAGAGCCAGGACTCAAGTCCTGGTGCTCCAATCTGGGATGTGCATGTCCCAAGTGGTGTTTTTTTTTTTTTTTTTTTTAAGATTTATTTATTTATTTACTTGAGGGACAAAGTTACAGACAGAGAGAGGGAGAGACACAGAGAGAGATCTTCCATCCACTGGTTCACACCCCAAGTAGCCACAATGGCTGGAGTTGGGCCAATCCGAAGCCAGGATCCAGGAGCTTCTTCCATGTCTCCCACATGAGTGCAGGGCTCCAAGCACTTGGGCCATCTTCTGTTGCTTTCCCAGGCCATAGCAGAGGGCTGGATCAGAAGTGGAGCAACTGGGACTTGAACCGGTGCCCATATGGGATGCCGGCACTGCAGGCGGAAGCTTAGCCCAGTACACCACAGCGCCGGCCCAAGTGGCATTTTAATCACTGCACTAAATGTGTGCCCCTGAAATTTTAAAATTGAAGTCAAAAAGCTTTTTGCAACTAAAAAGCATTCAGGAGACTAATATTCAAACGTTTGGTGTCAGTGTCACGGCAATCAGATTCATACTGAATGTGTGTGCCAACCACCTAGATGCAAACTTAGGAGTAATAGGACTGATTTAATATTGCAAAAATGTTTCTCAGCTGTCTTGTGCCACTGTTGCAAATACTGCTTATTTCTAACTCAGGAGGACTTCCCCACCCACGGGTTGCAAGAAGATGGGCTCCCAGCATGCCTGAGATACAATTTAATAGTGCATTTATTGCATGTGTGCTGATAGGAGGAATTAGGACGTCAATTAATTTGTATTTTCTCTTTTTAACAAAAATTTTATTTATTTACTTATTTGAAAGGCAGAGTGACAGAGAGAGAGGTAGGGACACAGAGAGAAAGAGTTCTTCCATCCACTGGTTCACTCCCCAAAGGGCTGCGATGGTGGGGGCTGGGCTGAAGCCAGAAGGCTGGAGCTCCCACCATGGTCTCCCACCTGGATGGCCAGGGCCCAAGCACTTGAACTATCACCTGCTGCTTTCCCAGGCACATTATCCAGAAGCTGGATCAGAAGTGGAGCAGCCAAGACTTGAACCAGTGCTCAGATGAGATGCTGGCGTCACAGGTGGTGGCTCAACCTGCTGTACCCCAACACCAGCCCCCAGATGTGAACTACAGACCACACAAAAACATGAGAAAGTATTCAATTTACAGGAAATGAGCAAGAATACAAAATTGTGAATATACCATCGCAAGCTGATTCCTGCGGCAGTCCACTCACTCCCGGGGTAGCAGTGCAAATGGGCAGTGCACCCACTCCCACAGCATTTCGCCAATGTTCGCTATCCGCCGGGCTTATTCCAGGACTGGGGATGTGGCACTGAAGTTCCCCACCTAGTGGCTGGGGGGTTGGGGGGCCGCACGGGGGACAGCAAGGAGTAGGTCTCAGCATACATTTACTGGAAACACAGGCTCCACTTGTGTCCATTTTGGGGAATGTCCCTGCCTCCAGCCCCGGGCTGGGGCTCCATTGAACTTCTGCCCTTTCGCACTTGTTCCCACCTTTGCTTGGAACTCAATGTCTCGTTTCCCACCCCCAGTATCCGGGGCACCTGCTCTGATGCATTCGGTGTTGATTTAGGTCTTGCTCAACTCTGGGAGCTCAGAGAATGAAAACCTGGGAGCCCACTGAGGAGGAGGAGGCTCCCTCTATTGGAATCTGTGGACTCACACACTCCAGGCTGCCAGTCACCTGGGCCTTGAATAAGCCAGACTCAGGTTTGGTAACCTCTCTCTCAGGGTCAGTCATCCACGGTAAACTTGGACTTGACAGCTGTACCTTGCTTCCGGCCCAGGGGAAGGTTTTGTGCAAAGTATTTCCTAAGCGTGCAGGCGGGATTGCGTCATGGCTGGGGCGGGGGCGGGGGCGGGCCCTCCCTGGGCCCCACCTGCCCTTCCCACAGCGCACTATAAAGGTGGCTGTGCCCTCCAGCCACCAGCTCTGCCTGGCTCCAGCGCCTCTGTGTCTCAGCATGGCCCTGCCCTGGGCCCTCGCCGTCCTGAGCCTCCTCCCTCTGCTGCATGCCCAGGACCCAGCGTGTGCCAACTTCTCGACCAGCCCTATCACCAATGCCACCCTGGACCAGGTGAGTGTCGGGGCCAGGGTGGGCAGCCGCTGTCCCTCTCGCTGTGCTCAGCCCCTTCATCCTTGCTCTGCCCCTCCCCTCCTGGTTCGCAGGATGAAATTCTGACAAGCTTGGGGAATCGGGGTGGCACTCCCCAGACTCCCTGCTGCACAGTCCCTCAACAAGGGACAATTCTGTGCAGGGCACGGAGAGGCCACTCGTGGGGGATGCCTGACCCCCGGCGTGAGCCCCTGCCTGTCTGCTCCCCACCTGGGGCCTCCGTTTCCCTGTTTGCAAATTGGATGGAAAGCTCTATCCAGATCTTGCGGCTGCCGACTGCCCCAGACTTAGCTCCGAGCCCCCGTCAGCGCCCCCTCTCCTCCCCAGCTCTCCCACAAGTGGTTTTTTACCGCCTCGGCCTTCCGGAACCCCAAGTACAAGCAGCTGGTGCAGCATACCCAGGCGGCCTTTTTCTACTTCACCGCCATCAAAGAGGAGGACACCTTGCTGCTCCGGGAGTACATAACCACGTGAGTCCCCACGCCAGCCCACCCAGGGCCCTGCTTCCGAGCAAGTCCCTCCGTCCCCAGGGCCTTGGCCTTCCCAAGCGTGGAATGGGGAGGGTCGACTCTAATCTCCACTCGTGCCTGACCGCTTTTCCTTGACCATCTTGCTGTTTGTCTCTCACCTCCCGTCTGGCTGTAGGAACAACACGTGCTTCTATAACTCCAGCATCGTGAGGGTCCAGAGAGAGAATGGGACCCTCTCCAAACACGGTGAGCCCTGGGCCCGAGGCAGGAGGCCTCGGACAAAGGCCCCGGAGGCTTCGGGCACGGAGAACATGGGACAGGCCGACTGTGATCACAGAGCAGCCAGCAGTTCTGACTTCTTACTCTGTGCCGGCTGCTGTTTGGAGGGCTTTGCATGAATGAACTCACTTGATTCTCACAAACAATCCTAAGAGGACAAGGACCAGAAAACAGGAATCAGAGATGCCAAGTAATTCCCCTGGGGTCACACAGCTCATGCTTAGAACTAGAATTCAAACCCAAGGCTGCCTCCCCGTCTTCCTCTTCCTCTTCCTTAAACCACTGTTTAAACACTTTGGAAGCTATGGGTGGAGCCTATTTTTTAAAGGTGATTTTTTTTTAAAGATTTACTTATTTATTTGAAAGTCGGAGTTATACAGAGAGAGAAGGAGAGGCAGAGAGAGAGGTCTTCCATCCGCTGGTTCACTTCCCAATTGGCCGCAATGATCAGAGCTGCGCTGATCCGAAACCAGAAGCCAGGAGCTTCTTCCAGGTCTCCCACGTGGGTGCAGGGACCCAAGGGCTTGGGCCATCTTCTACTGCTTCCCCAGGCCATAGCAGAGAGCTGGATCAGAAGTGGAGCAGCTGGGACTCGAACCAGTATCTATATGGAATGGCGGCACTGCAGGCAGCAGCTTTACCCACTACGCCAAAGCGCTGGCCCTGGAGCCTATTTTTTTACACACCCACTACTCCCACAGAGACAGCACACACACACCCATGGGGCTGACCAGACACCACTCAGCGGACCCCTGAGCCTCATCTCCCTCATCTGTGAAATGGGCATGTAGGCCCTGACAGCCAGAGCCTATATTTATCACCAAGCGCTCAGTGCCAGCCTGGCACACAGCAGGGTTGGGCACGCCAGGACGGCTGGGATCCTTCCCTGGTGGTCCGTAGCCCTGGCACGCCAGGGCCTCCTCCATTGAGATGGTGACCGTTGTGCCGTCTCCTCGTCTCACCGGAGGCCTCTCTCCTGCAGACGGCATACGAAATAGCGTGGCCGACCTGCTGCTCCTCAGGGACCCCGGGAGCTTCCTCCTCGTCTTCTTCGCTGGGAAGGAGCAGGACAAGGGAATGTCCTTCTACAGTAGGTGCCCCGGCAGCCACACCCCGCCCCCGGCCTGCCCTGACTCCACCCACCCTGGGGACTGGGCTCCCAGCCCCCTGGCCCTGCCTGGCCTCCCTCCTGGGCCTGCACACAGTTGCCTCGCTTCCCCTGCAGCCGACAAGCCCAAGGCCAGCCCGGAACAACTGGAAGAGTTCTACGAAGCCCTCACGTGCCTGGGCATGAACAAGACGGAAGTCGTCTACACTGACTGGACAAAGGTAAAGCCAGGGGGCTGCGCCGTGCCCGCCGCAGGCAACCTCATAGGCCCAGAGAGGGAAAGTGGCTCAGCCCAGGCTGCGCAGAGAGGCAGGTGGCTTGCTTTGAAGGACCCATCGCTGAGTCAGAGTCCCCGGGGCTGTGGGTCAGAGTCTGGCCGGGAGCAGTCCCTGTGAACTCGGGGTGCAGATGCCTAGGACCTGTCAGGCTTACAGGAAGGGAGCAGGCAGAACCAAGGGAGAGACATGGCCCCACCCCACCCCCACAACTGTGTAACACCTGCATCGCGGAGAATCCAGGCTGCGGTTTTCCATGTCACGCAAACTGCAGCAAGTCCCGGGTTTGTGAATCACCTGTGCACTGATCTCCTTACTACTTTTCTTTCTTTCACGCTGTGTTGAGTGAAAGGTTTTCCTTGGCATTGCCCTCGCCATCTTACCTGCAAATCCCCAGAGCCCATGAGCTGGTCACTGTTCCTCTGATGGATACACCTCGCTTTCATGACCATTCAAACCCAGCGGTCCCCACCTGCTTGGCCTCTGCGTCCTCCCCAGGACCACACCCCCTTCCCCACCCTGGCTGCCATCCTCAGAGCCCAGGGTTTAGGAGCCGCAGCCACAGGGGTGGGTGCCGCTGGTGCACAGCCTGCCTCCCCCACCAGCGGCAGAGACTGTCAGGAACCCAGCAGACACGCAGCGGGGGTTGGGGGAGGGGACGTGAAGGGATTGGGGTTGGGGAGTGAGCTGCCACACCCCAAGCGCTCAGGAAATGCCACTGGTCCTTGAGGGCCCGGGCCCCTATTTTAGGGGTGCCTAGACCAGGCTGCGGGAGGGAAATGACTTACTCGCCATGTTCCCTGCAGGGAGCGGCAGGGCTAGGGTTAGAACCCTGTGCCCTCACTGCACTTGCTTGTCCCGTCTCCTAGGATCTGTGCGAGCCGCTGGAGAAGCAACACGAGGAGGAGAGGAAGAAGGAAAAGGCAGAGTCATAGGGCACAGCACCGGCTCCGGGACTCGGGGCCCACCCCCTGCACCTGCCTTTTTGTTTGTTTTGTAAATCTCTGTTCTTTCCCATGGTTGCATCAATAAAACTGCTGGACCAGTCAGGTTGTCATTCATTCGTTCGTTCATTCATGGCGAAGCCTGGTCTGGGGGGAGCCCCATCGGGGTCCAGGATGAGCCCCGCCCCTGGTTGGGAGGGCCCCTGCTGGAGTACCCAGCACATAGGCCAGGCTGGGTGCCAATCACCACTGTGCTGCGGGTGCCCCTGCACCAGAAGCTGTGACTGGCAATCAGACATCGGGGAGGGGCCCGACAGCAGGCAGGAAGGCCTGGGAGGAGGCTGAGCCAGGCATCCTGGCTGCAGGAGGTTGCCCAGGCAAGGCGGGGTGATGCAGGGGACTTGGGGCCAAGGTCAGAGGGGCTGGGTCCCTCCATGCAAGTGTCCTCAGGGTGCCCACCTGAGACACCTGGGAGATGATTTGGGGCCCTTGAGGTGCAGCTGAGGCTTGGCACACGCTGGTGGCACAGACGCTGGAGCCGGATGCTGGAATTCCGGCTACTCCCTGACCCCAAAGGGGCTCCTGACCCGCGGCTGCTGTGGAGCGGGGAAAGCAGCACCACTCAGCTGGCAGGAGGGTTGGGCTGACGCGCCCAGGCCTGTGTGTGGCTGCCTCAGCCACCAGTGCAGGATCTGCAGCCCAGGCCCCAAACCCATTCCTGCGACTTTATGCACCTGCGCCCTTTGGGCCTCCCCTCTGAGAGCACAGCCCCCAGGCCCAAGAGTCCATCAGCTGTGGCCACTGCTGTGGCCGGGGACATCCCAGGTCCCCCACTTCCCAGCCTGGTGTCCTCAGAACATAGGTGGACAGAGGTGCCTCTCGGTGCCCAGAGGGTTTGGACATGGGGCTCAGAATCTATGCGAAATCTTTCTATGTTGCTGTCACTTGCGGTGGGATGCCACTGCGGAGACCACTCAAGGAAACAGACGCAGGTGCTGGTGAGCCGGGGACGTGAGAGAGCAGAGCAGTGAGGGCGACGGGTGAGGACACCAGGTGGAGAGGGGTCAGGGCTGCAAAGAAAAACCCCAAGCAGGTCCAGGGAGCAAGACACAGGCACAAAACCTATGGCCGGGGCATCAGACAGACAGGAGAGCAAAGCCCGGCGCTCTCCCCAGCCAGCTCTGGCAGAGGCCCCGTGCAGCCTCACTCTGCTTCTCCGTGAAATGGGGGCAGGCGGGTTCAAGGACACGCCAGGTGCTTAGCTCTGGGATCAGGGTCCGGCAGGTGCTCTGGGAGCGGCAGCTGTGTTTGCAACCGAAAGCAGCGCTGGAGAAGTCCAGGCTCAGGCTTTTGCAAACAACAGCTTGCTGTGTGTCTTGTGCTATCTCTGGCCTCAGCACCTGCCACCTTGGCCAGATGGACTCTCCTCGCATGCCTGCCCAGCTGGAAGGTTTGTGGTGCTGAGCTAAGCAGAGGGGGAGGGCTGGGAAGACGGAGCACCAGGGGGAGGCAGGCAGAGTCAGGAGGTGCGCACACCTGTAACAGGTGCACCGGGGAAGCTGGCCCGGGCATCCAACCTCCCATCTGCAAACTGGACTTTAGTAGGATTCCCAGGCCGATGGCACCCTCTCAGACATGGGCAGCTTTTTTGGAAAAGCAATATTCATTCATTTCTTCATTTGCTCTTATAATGAAAATAGATTTTTTAATGCCTCAAATATACATACATCAACTGATGCACACACATTCCAGAAATGCTGAGGTATGCGCTGCTATGGGGTGGGGAGTGGGAGATGGCCAGGCCTCACAGCCACAGTCCTGCCCCAGACCGGGGCCTGGCAGGCAGCTGGCCACTCTCAACGCCGCTGGCATCTTGGGAAGGGCTGGGGCCTCGGGAGGACACACCGAGAGGGACAGTGTGGACGGGGTGGTGTCCATCCCAGGAGGCCCACGGAGAGGCCTGTGCAGTCTGGGAGAAGGAGGCACGTGTCCCGCTGGGGCTCCAACGTCCCAAGATGGCCCACAGGTACCCAAATGCTAGGAGCCAGGTCTCCCGCCAGGCTGCTCAGAGGTGGGGGTGGGGGTTGCTCCAGGGGTCTGGGCCTTTCCTCCTAAGGGGAACTCAAGGCCAGGAAAATGCCCCAGTTTAGAAAACTGTCCATCTGTGTATAAAAGACATCTTATTAGCGGGAGGGGCACATCTGCAGGACCAGGAGAGTCCCAGAGGTGCCACTAGGCGCAGGTGGCCTTGGTCACAGCATCCCTGGGGGGCTGGTCCCCCTGGGAAGTTACTGCCCTAGGAGAGCAGGCCAAGGCCCCATCCAGTTTGGATGCAGGGAGACAGGGCAGGCGGGGCCCCTGCTGGAGGGAGACCACGCCCGGGACGTGGGCGTCAGTGGTTGCAGCTGACTCCTGGCCTGGGGGTCCGCAGGGGCACCTGCCCTCTTGTCCCCATCTGGCTCAGAGCCTCCAGAGAGAGTCAGAAGAGGCAGGAGCCGCGCAGGCTGCGGACCTGGCGCAGGTCAGCCGACAGCGAGCGGCTCATCTGGCGGCTGGTGGAGCGGACGCTCTCGGCGGCCCGCACGGCTTGGCTCAGGGCCCTGCTGAGCTCCTCCAGGTCAGCCGGGTCGAGCTGGACGGAGTGCCGGGACCCTCGGGCTGCCCGACCGCAGGCTGTGCCTGAGGAGGCTGAGGTAGGTGCTGCTGGGGGCGCATAGTACCTGGGGAGAGAAACGTGTGCTTGTTAGCTGCAGAGCGGGCTGAGAGTGTTCGGAGCCCACCCTCCTCCGAACCCCAGCTGGGCCACTGGGCCCTCCTCTCTGGCCCTCAGGTTCTTTGCCTTTAAAATGGGAATAGTAGGGGAGGTGGGTGCTCAGTGCACCAGTTAAGACTCTGCTTGGCAGTGGAGGATGACCCAAGTGCTTGGGCCCTGCGCCCACGTGGGAGACCCAGAAGATCTCCTGGCTCCTGGCTCCGGATCGGCACAGCTCCAGCCATTGTGGCCAACTGGGGAGTGAACCATCGGATGGAAGACAACCCCCTCCCCTGCCTCTGCCTCTCTGTAACTCTGCCTTTAAAATAAATAAATAATCTTAAAAAAAAAAAAAAAGAAATTATCAAAGACTCTGCTTGGGATGCCTGCATCCCATATCAGAGGGCCTGGGTTTGAACCCCGGCTCTGCTCTCTGCTCCTCCTTCCACCTCCCTGTGAATGTGCGCCCTGGGAGGCCCTGCCGCCCACACAGGAGATCCAGACTGAGTTCCTGAGTGCTGGTTTCGGCCTGACCTGGTCCAGGCTAAGTTGTGGCTGTTTTGGGGGTGAACCACTGGATGGGAGATCTTTCTTCCTCTCTCTGCCTTTCAGACAAAATAAATAAATAAAAACTAAAAATAAAATAAAGGAAGAATAACAAGCACTGCCCAAGCTCTGTGTGCAAGGGCAAAGGGAAACAGCAAAGTTTAGATGCAGAGCCCGCCTCTGGGTGGGTGTCTCCGTCTCTGGTACGCATGTGCCAGCCAGTACCGCCATCTGCCTTTCACAGACCAGCAGCAGCCACTCCGGCCCTGGAAGCCTGCTCCTAGTCCCGGTCACTCAGCTTGGTCAGCTGCAGGACCTGGGGCAGGTTGCATCCCTTTTCAAGGTCTCTGTTTTCCCAGCCAAAATGGCCATCGAGTGCTACCTCCCAGGGCAGAGCCCGTGGGCAGCTTCAGGTCAAGATCCTTGCACTGGCAGGCCAGGGCCCTGCGCTACAAAAATAGTGACTCAGGCCTGGCACCAGAGAGCTGACTTGGCACCTGGACCTGACTCTCCCCAGCGTCTCTAACAGGGGCTTGTTAGCAAGTGGCAGGAGTCGACAGCTTCTACACCGAGTGAGTGGGCCGCTTGCATCCTATGAATGACAGCACACACTCCCTCCCTCAGGGCCGTCCTGTGTGACCACCGGGTTCTCATGCCCCTCATCTCCTGTCCATCTGATGACCAGCCTGGTCTGAAAGTCACCCCCTAAGTTCCTAATTTAGGGCTGCAGGGCTGTTAGGGCAGCTCACCAGCAGGTGGCAGTAGAGGTCCGTTTAGCTTTCTAAGCTGCGCCCTGGCCCTGGCCACTGAGCATGCTCAGTGCTGCCAAGAGAGCAGCTTGGAGAAAGCCCAGGGCGGTCCCTGCTCACATTCTAGCAGCCTTAGCAGCACTAGGGTTCCCAGGCATGAGCTCATTTCCTCCTCACTACAACCCATTTCACAGAGGACGAAAGTGAGGCACAGGAGAGCAAAGTGACCCAAGGTTATCTGGCAACCACTGCCCACTAAAGCTGAGGGCCTTTCCCCTTCTCTGCGGCCCATCCAAGCCTGCAGACGGCAAGCCGGTTGGCTGTGCCCATGGAACAGAGCCTGAAAAGATACAAAAGGGGGCACCAGGGCAGTAGATACCCCATGGTTCCTATGGGGGCCACCACATTCCAGGCAAACCCTCTCCTGTCCAATGAGTCGGAACACGGGCAGGTGTCTGCACCCACTCCCACCAGGGCCTGAGCATGTGGCATGGGCTCACAGCACACGGCAGGACCTGCCCGGCCTCCGCTGGAAGAGCAGCAGGAAACTGTATGCCGAGGCGTAGCCCGTGGACAGAGGCACCGGGCTGGACGGACCCAGGCCCCTGCTCCCACCACACACCGGCTCTCACTCCCCGTGAGCCGGGCCCTCACTGCCCACAGACACGGACTTCTAAAGATTCAGATCCATTTTACAGCTGGGGGAAACGGAGGCAGAGAACCTGCTGGGGACGGTCGGACAGGCCGCCCAGCTGGCCAGGCGTCCCCCCTACACAATCCTGTCTGGTCGCACCCACTCACTCAGTCTTCTTACTCACGAACCACGGCGCTGAGCAGCGCGGTGACCAAGCTGCCGGGTCCGCAGCTCTGAGCTCGCCTCGGCTCCTCGCCACCCACTGCGTGCGCGTCTCCTCTGGTCCTCTCTCGGCTCCACTTCACGGAGCGGGAGGCTCGGGCTCAGAGCCGGAGCGGCTGTGCCGAGACCACAGCACCGACGAGGGACAGGCGGATTGCGACCAGCTCTGAGCCACTTCTGCCTCCACTGCCACCTCTTTTCCAAGGACCGGCAAAGGCGGCTTCCTCCTCCAGTGCCCACGCGCCTGCCCCCCGCACGCCTCCATAACGGCAGGGTCGGCGGACACGGTCACGGCCAAGAGCAGCCTTAGGGGGCGTGGCTTCCTGGGCGGAGTCAGCGGACCCCCAAGGACACCTCGGTAAACCCTGGACTCGCGTTTCTGGCGATGGGGTTCACTAATGGTGACAATGCCCCGCATTCACGTACAGGGCTGCCAGTAGGGGAAGCTGGGGGTGGGGCGGGGTAGATGTGACCTCTCCGCACTTCCTGCTCGGCTCTCTGTAAACCTACAACTGTTCGTGTCGGGGTTTGGCCTAGTGGCCGATGTGCCAGTTAGGGCACCCATGACCCACACAGGAGTACCTGGGTCCAGTACCCAGCTCAGCTCCTCGTCCCGGCTGCCCGCTAAGGCACACCCCGGCAGGCGGTGGTGATGGCCCAAGCAGGAGGGTTCCTGCCACCCGCGTGGGAGACCTAGATTATGTTCCCAGCTCCCAGCTTTGGCCTTGGCCCCGCCCTATTATTGTTGGCATTTGGAGAATGAACCAGCAGGTGGCAGCACATGCACACTTTCGCTCTCCCTCTCAAATACAAATTTAAAATCAATCAACAAAACTGGTCCTAACAAAGTCTACCAAATAAATAAATAAAAAAAATAACAGGAGTGGGTGCTCACTGCTGGATCTCTGGGAAGGGTCACAGGAAACGGAAGACGCTGAGGGTCCCAGGTCTCCCTGGGGGCTGTGAGTTCCCAGGAGAAGGCCCCTCTGCCCAGGACAGAGATGCTCCCCAGTCCCCAGGGTGCACTCGGTTTGCTGAGCAACCACGTGCGTGTCAGGCTTGTACCATACGTTACCCACACGAGGGCAGCACGGGGTACGTGGCGCTCGGGTTCTCAGCGGCCTGGCACAGCCCTCTGCCAACTCAGGCAGAGGCGGGGAAGCAGGAAGGGGAGGAGCTTACACGGTGGCTGGCGGGTAAGGCAAGACGGGAACTGAGGACAGGTAGGTGAAGGCTGGAGGCGCGGCTGGAGGCGTGGCCGCCAGGTACCACAGTCCAGGGGGCGGCCCTGCCGGCGACCCCGCCCGCTTGCTCCTCTGCTTGGGACTGGAGGCTGCAGGTGCGTTTCTCCTCGTGGCAGCCTTTTCTGCCCCTGTGTGGGGGAGGAAAGGCCAGAGTCTGACCACGTGGGCAGGCCCGGCCTCCCATCCCCGTGACAGCTGGACCCCGCCGTGCCTCCCCCTGGGGAGACCACTCCTCCCTGCGGGGGCAGCAACCACACCACCAGACTCGCCCAGGGCCCCAGCATTAGACACCCAGCGCTGTCCCTACCAGAGGTGGCTGGGCCTGAGCTGTCTCCCTCAGTGGGGAACCCAACTTGACCGCACAGGGGACATCGGAGCGTCTCCGTGGGATGGGGCCCCAGGGGGTCCTTGGTGGCAGCACTGCCTGGAAGAGGAAGGAGAGAGGTCAGGAGAGGACCTGGAGCCCCCTAGGCTTGCCTGGGCAGCACAGAGCAGACAGAGAGGGGGTGGAGAGAGAGAGAGACACACACAGACAGAGAGAGACAGAGAGACAGAGACAGAGATTTTCCATTGATGAGTTCACTCCCCAAATGCTTGCAACAGCCAAGGTTGGACCAGGCCAAAGCCACGAGTCCAGAACTCAATATGGCCTCCCACATGGGTGGCGGGGACCCGAGTACTTGGGTCATCTGCTGCTCCCACCCCCACCCTCATGCACATTAGCAGGAAGACGGAATAGGAAGCAGGGCTGGGATTCAAACCCAGACACTCGGATGTGGGAGGCGGGCTTCCCAAGCTGTGCTTTAACCACTGATCCAAATGCCTGGGTAACCTGTGTGCCCTCGCGCAAGTTACTTAAACTCTCTGAGCCTCAGTTTGCTCATCTGTAAGATGGATGTCATATTAGTACCTCATAGAATTGCATGGATGGATAGGCACAATCCTCTGCCTGATGCCTTGTGTACAGTGGGAGCCTAATCAATGACAGCTCCATCATCATCATCATCATCATCATAGGAAGAGAAGGCCTCAGAGACCACCTCCTCCAATGTGGACTCAGAGCCTGAGGCTCAGAGACAGCAAGGAACCGATCCAAGGGTGCACAGCAAGTCAGTGGCAGAACCAAGAGTAGGTGGCCGGTTCTCAGTGACTGGGGGACAGGGAGAGGTGTGGAGGGAGGATGGGGGCAGGGGTGGGGTGGGAGATGAGACCGAAGCACCACCTCCAGCTCCCTGCTACCAGGCACCCCCCTATCAGGACCTGCAGGGACTTCCTAGGTCGAGGAGGGCATGGCGCCTGGGGCGACAGGTGTAACGGCAGGCACCCTGCAGGGCTGGGAAGTCCAAAAGAATCCTGGCCCCTGTCTGCAGCTACCACCCAGTGCTGAGCTCAGCGAAAGCCCACTCTGGCCAGCGACATACTCCCCACACAGCAGGGAGCTACAGCCTCCAGGCACCAGCCCTTACCTGAGTCACGGGTCCTAACGGGCAGGCAGTTAGGACAGGAGGCAGCCCCACCATCTCTCGGCACAGCCTTGGGGGGCAGAACCTGGTACTCCTGACCTGGGGAAGGAAGCCACAAGGCTCAGTGTCAGCCCCTGCACAGAAGCAGAACTGGGGGAGGAGTCGTATAAAGACCCCTCTCCTCTTCCTCCAAATTTTTTTTTAATAGGTCTCTCTATCCGGCTGTCATGTGAGCAGACATGTGTCACGTACGTGCACAAGCGTGGACAAGCCATCACACACATACATAGAACACACGGATCTGATGAGTCCAAGCCTCTCCAGACTCCTCCTGGTTCCATCTCAGAGCCTGGGAGCAGCCGCCTGGCTCTGCCGCTCAGGGGCATTCAACAAGCGCGTCCCGAGTCGGGCCTGAGAGCAGGCAGGCGGAGGTGATGCTTGACTCGAACGGCTCGGGCGTGACACCAGTGGCGTCTTCCCCTGTGCTCTGAGTGCCCGCGGGTTTCCTAGTCTCGCTGGGAGGACAGAACGGGGTGGTTATCTGTTGAGGCTTCCCACGCGGGGCTGGCGGATGGAAAGCACTCACGGATATGAGCCTTGGGCGCCCCACCAGCTCCTGCCCGGCCCACGCCTAGGGCTCCGATGAGAGCCTCGGGAGGTTGCTGAAGCCGCTGAGAGGTGGCCCCGCCCCCTGGGTGTCGCACTAGGCCCTGCACTTCCTGTGCTCTCCCTGCCCCTCGGGCTGTCGTCTCACAGCACAACACAGGGCAGGGATGCGCCCCCTGCCTCCTGCCACACTCGGCCATGTGGACATGGCACTAGTGGCCCGCGGCCCCTACCGCCATCACTCCCTCACTGTTGCAAAGCTGGGATCGGGTTCGTGCAGCTGGCATCCCACGTGAACCATATCCTCGTCTGTATTCGGAACGCTAAGCACTCTGCGATGCTACCGGCTGTCATCTCAGGCTTCCCTGTGAGCCACGTGCCTGGCACACGGGACACAGAGGCCCTGGCACCAGGTCCCAGGGGTCAGTCAGGTGTGGGTGCTGAGGGTCAGTGTCCACCCTGGCAGGGAGCAGAAGGTCATGAACCTCTCAATGATCCACCTGATGCCCAGGACAGAGCACGAGCCCTCGCGAAGGGGAGGCATCAGGAACTGCTGAATGAATGAATGAGTAAATGAACAAATGCCCCCTGATATTTTTCCCATCACAGGACACATGGAAAATGGAATGTGAACGGCCCACCTGGTGAAGGGGGAAGGCCGGCCATTGTCGCTCCCCCTCTTCGTGGAGGAGCAACACAGGACCCTGCGCTGTTCTTTCGTCTGCTCGGCCCTCCCCGGGTTTGCTGCTGGTTCTTCCCGGGTTGGCTACTGTCCCTTCCACCTCCGTGGAAGGGCAGTTCCCCCTGGCCACATTCCCCACTTCCGCAGGGGAGCGGCACACCGCCGGCCGGCTCTTCTCGGGGGCTGCACAGGTGTTCCCTTAGATGTTCCCCTTAGATGTTCCTGGTGCATGCCGTCTCTCTCCTCCTTTATAGTCCTCCTCCGCCAATCCTAACTCGGCTGCCCACACGCCGAGTACGCTGCTCTCCTCCAATCAATAGCAAGTCCTACAGTTTATTAGTTGAACTGGAGGCAGCTGTGCGGAAGCTGTTTACTTCTCTCCCAGCGCCATATTGTGGGAGAGCAGATGCATAGAATAAGTCTTAATTCCAGTAACTCAGTCTAGTCCGGTTTGCTCCCCACAGGCCATGGCAGTAGAGGCTGGCCCAGGGACTGCCCAGCCCAGCCCAGCCCAGCCCAGTCCTCCCCCTTGCCTACCCACCTGTGTACTGGCCCCGGAAGGTGACCCTGTCCGGGCGCCTGGTGCTGCCCACCGCTCTCATTCCGTCCCGAGCCACCTGTGCCTCGTCCTCGGGGGTCCTGCTCTTCTCAGACAACAGCTGCGGGGAGGGAGGCTCAGATTCGGAACCTGGGGTGCAAAGAGGCGGGGCGTGAGAGGGGGCAGGTGGCTGAGGGCCCCAGAGGCAGGAGCGCGCCTATCAGGGGCTCCGGCTCCAGGGTGGATGCCTGGGTATTCATCCCCAGCCTGCTCCTTCGGAATGGCAGCACGCACCCGGAATCCTGCCTGCCTTGCACGGGGCCTTGTCCCCACACTGAGTGTGCCAGCCCAGGCCTCTGGGCAGCAGTCCCAGGAGGCGGCTGCCACTGTTACTCCACGGCTGGCTGTGCCTCTAACTCAGAGCCCATAAAAAGCCTGGCTGAGACAGGCTGGAGTGGAATCCTGGCCCCTGGCTCCTGAGCCATGTTCCTCCAGCAAGTGCCCTGTGTTCCCTGGCTTTGGTGTCATTATCTGAAGCAGGTGGATAACGTGACCCATTCCACGGTGAGGGTAAGGTGAGGTGAAGTACTTAAAGATCTGGCACCTGGTCGGTGTGCTGTATGCAATGGCTGTCACCAGAAGCACACCGTGGGGGCAGGTGCCGTGGCACAGTGGTTGAGCCACAGCCGGCATCCCATGCGTGCTGGTTCAAGTCCCAGCAACCCAGCTTCTGATCCAGCTCCCTGCTAAAGCACCTGGGAAAGCAGCAGAGGATGGGCCAGTCCTTGGTCCCTGCTACCCACGTGGGACACCTGATTGGAGTTCCAGGCTCCTGCCTTCAGTCTGGCCCAGCCTGGCAGAGGCAGCCATTTGGGGAATGAAGCAACAGATGGAAGAACCCTAAACCCACCCTGTTGCTCCCAGTCTGTCGCTCTGCCTTTCAAATAACTAAATAAGTCTTGAAAGAAGTGGGTTGAGATTTGGAGCAGTGCGATAGCCTACAACAGCCATGCAGAATCCCTGCAATCGGCATTGTTGCTGTGGTCCCCACCCGCGGTGCCAACACGCCCTGGTCTTCAGAAATCAGTCCTGGCAGGTGGCCACTTACCCAGGGGCAGCCGGGGCACCGAGGAGGACCTGGGTCGCTGCCTTCCTGCGGGCGAAGCTCGCTCTGCACATCCCGGCTCCCCAGACAATCTCTCTGTGGATTTACTGTGAAAGGAAAAGGAGGTGATGTCACTGGGTGTGGTTTTGTGCAGCCTGGTCACAGATGACCCAGAAATGCTTCCTCCACCATGGGAGGAAGAGGGCGCAGAAGCCAGAGCCCAGGACCCTGGAGACGGCTTCCCAGAAAGCAGCTCTGAGCCCCTCTGGCCCCCAATTCCCTTATCTGTCAAATGGGGATAAAAAGAGCAATGCGCTCTCAGAGGGTTCCTGGAAGGACAACTAGGACAATGGCAATAAAACCCGTGACCCAGCACCCTCCCGCAGAAACCTGCATGGGGCCGGCGCCGCGGCTCACTAGGCTAATCCTCCGCCTAGCGGCGCCGGCACACCGGGTTCTAGTCCCGGTAGGGGCGCCGGATTCTGTCCCGGTGGCCCCTCTTCCAGGCCAGCCCTCTGCTGTGGCCAGGGAGTGCAGTGGAGGATGGCCCAGGTGCTTGGGCCCTGCACCCTATGGGAGACCAGGAAAAGCACCTGGCTCCTGGCTCCTGCCATCGGATCAGCGCGGTGCGCCGGCCGCAGCGCGCCAACCGCGGCGGCCATTGGAGGGTGAACCAACGGTAAAGGAAGACCTTTCTCTCTGTCTCTGTCTCTCACTGTTCCCTTTTTCTTGTCAAAAAAAAAAAAAAAAAAAAAAAAAAAAAAAAAAAAGAAACCTGCATGGGAGTCCTGCTGGGTGGGGGGCGTGTTGGGGGCCTCTGGCTCTCCACCTGGGCGTGGGCTCCAGGACCCCCACCGTGTAGTGCTTTACTACTAACATGAGTTACAGGAGGGCTTTTGTGCACATGGAGGAGCTAATGAATGAGGGAACTAGTGAATGGGCGGTGTTTGAGTGCATGCTAGGTCCAGGGGGAGCCACAGTGCAGTCCCATCTATCTTCTATGGCTCCCATGGGCACAGAGAAGGGCGTCCGGGGTCACCTACCTGCCAAAGTGGGAGCCCCGGGTGGCTGAGTCCGAAGGCCGGTCCCAGGGCCGGGCGGGGGGGTGGGAGGCAGACACTGGGTGCACGGGGCTGCCCTGGGGCGGTCGGTGCAGGCTGCTCTCCAGACGCAGACGGAGCCGTGACACCTCCTCTTGCAGCTCACGGATGGCCTGGCTGGGGTGGGGGTGAGGACAGAAACAAAGCACAGATGCCCAAGGAGCAGAGCTGCAGCAGCGTCCCCCCCAGGGGCCGCCTGGATGGGCAGTCTTGTGGTCCTTTCCAGCAGGCACAAGCGTCCAACAAGCTGCCCGGGGGTTCCGGAACTCCCCTGTGTGATCACTGCTTCCGTGACACATCTCAGGGCCTTTCTGAGTTCATGTTCCTGCACATTTCGCAGGCAAAGGAGACCCTTGCTCTGAGACCGGCCCCTCCTCGCCCACAGGCGCCTGCATCTCAAGCCACAGAGAGGCATGCAGACAGCACTGGCTAGGGGTCCCCGTTCAGATCTCCATCCATCTATCCACACCTGGCTCCTTTCTGCCTGGCTCCACGGCTCACTCCCACACTCCCCAGGTTCCTGCTGCTGTCCCAGGCCATGTCTCTGCATCTGGCCCTTGGATGCACCTGTCTCCTGGACCACAGAGGGAGCCACTGGCAGGGGCTGGGCTTCCCCATCTCATAGATAGCCCTGGGACCCCACCTTACAGAGGCACACGGGAAACACTGTTGAATGGCACCCAGGCCACAAAAGGGAGCAGAGGACTGCGCACAGCTTACGGGCCCCTCAGAGCCTTTCTACATTGCTGAACTTGGAGGGGGGATGTGAGCAGGTTGGGAGGTGCAGGGTTCTGCTTGCCAAGCTGCTGTGACACCCCCCCCCCGCCGCCACCGTGAGACCCCAGACACAGCCCAGCCCCCCACCCACAGGTATGGCACCGAGCCACTAGGATCTCTTCAGTCAGTCCTGGCATCGCTAAAGTCTCATGGTCTGGGCATTGCTGGCTTATGACAGACAAGTCACACCGCCCCCGGCCCGACTCCCAGATCCACTACCCACGGAGCAGCGTACACGTCTGGGCACTGCATGGCTGTGCTGTGGGCTGGTACAGGCCACATCCACTCATTCGGGCTGGCTCCTGGGGTGCAGGCTCCCCTATGGGTTACTGCTTGCCTGGTGGCCCCTAGAACTGTGGGTGTCACCTGCACAGCTCTCGGATGAGTGGCCAGCAGGCGGGCGCGCCCTGTCTCTGGCTGTGTCTGTGTGGTGTGGGCAAGGCAGGGAGCTCCCCTGGCAACGCCCAGGGAGACGCTTGTTGGGGTTTCCAAGGTGAAGGCTGAGGGGGGCGGGGCAGTGGCTGCAGGAGGGTGAGGTCACCAGTTAACCCCTGCGAGGGAGAGCTCCAGCTTCCAGTCCCAGGTCCAAGGCGCTGACCAGGGCTTCGTGGGTCTGGGGCTTGAAGCGCTCACTGGGGTCACTTCCCGTCTCTGGTCTCCTGTGGAGTCCTCAGTGCTCCTGGCTTCATTCTGCACGTGCTCTGGGACCGCCCCGCCCTGCAGACTTGCTCCATCTCCACACGCAGCATCTCGGGCCACGGGCCAGCGACCTGAGACCTTCTAGATCTTTCCTTTCCTCCAGCAACTCTTGAAGTTGATCAAGCACCAAGCGCACAGATGTCTTCTCAAGTAACCCCTCCGCCTCCCTGCCCCTGTCCTGCCTGGAGTCCAGGTCCCGTCGCCTCTGCCCTGGCAGACACAGTCTGGTCAGCTGTCTCCTGTCTCCCGGCCTCTGTTCTCACCCACACCACTGCCTGCTAGCAGTGCCCCTCACGTCCTGAGGGTGAGCCTTTCTGCACTCAAGGGACAGTCAGCCAATGCCTTCTCTGACCGAGCTGCCATCCAAACTGCTAACCACGGCATTGAAGGCCCTGCGAGTCTCTCCCAGGCCTTCAGTGCTCCACACTCACCACCTCACACTCAGGGATGCAGCTATCATGAGCTCAAAGGGAATGGGCACTCTCTCGCCCAGGACCTTTGCACATGCTGCTCCCTCTGCTGGAGATCCTCTTCTCTCTTTCTTCTGATTTGGGCTGAGACACCACTTCCTCCAGGAAGCCCTCCCTGAAGCTTCTACCTGGGCTACAAGCCCCTTCCCTGTGTTCCCACAGTCCTGTACATCTCTGCCACTACCATACCCTCACACTGGGGTGCAACTGCCTGATTTTTGGTCTGTCCCTCTAACAAGGCCATGAGCCTTGTGAGGCCAAGGCAATGTCTGGTCCACTGTTGCCTGCCCAGTGCTCTCCCCGGGGCATTCCGAGCCTGACACCCCACCTGCAAATGCTTGTGATGGACATGGGCCCAGAGCCACCAACAAGGGGGTAAGAGGCTGGACCGGCTATTTTCCCATCTCTCCTCGCCAAGCAAGGAGCAATGACCTTATTGCAACAACTCCTTGGAGGGGAGGACAGACATGTACAGTGGATACACAAACTGCAGATAACCTATCCGGGCAGGGCAGACCTGCGGGGTGGGGTGGGGGTAGGGGTGGGGAGGGTCAGCGGCTAGGTAGGTTCCCGCCACCTGGAGCACTGTCCTCAAAGTGTTTGGATCGATGCGGCCCCACAGACACAGCCCTGAGCTGAGGCAGAGGCCCCGGGCACAGCTACCCCCTCCCCCTCCCAGGGGTATCAGTCTCCAGCCTGCACAATGGATCTGAACTCTGAGTACCCCACTTACTCTCGGCCCGCCCTGCTGAGAACGAAGTTGGGGGCGGTCCCCGTCGTAGGTGCATAGGGCAGAGGGGCAGCTGCTGGGGCCGGGGTCGGGGCTGGGCCGATTGTCCTGCTGGGGAGGAGCTGTCCAGCACTCTGCTTTGGCCTCTCGAACTCGGAGCTGGGGGTCGCTAGGCAGAGAGAGAGAGATACAAGTGAGTCGGAGCAGAAAACCCTCGAAGCTTAAACCTGTGTGGATAGAATGAAGGGTGGCGAGGAGACCACGGCAACAGAGGTCAGAATTGATGTGGCCCATGAGCTACAGACCTGAGAGCCGGAAGTCCTGGCTCTGGCTGGGAGCGTGGGACACTGAGCTGGCCCTGCCCCCCTCCTCCCAATACCACGGATCCACACGGTCTGGAATTGGCCCCTACAGAGAGTCAACTGCTCCGTCACCCGGGCCTGACGGTGTTGTTGCGGGACTGGCTGCAGTGCCTCACCTGTCCTTGGGAAATCACAGTGCCACCTTCACCCTGCGTGGGAGCGCCTGGGGAGAGTGCTCAAAAGTTACACACCGCCCATGCTTTTACAACAGTGACTCCGCAGCAACATTCCTGGGCTGGGCGATACACAAAGGACCAGCTCTGGGTGCAAGGAGCAATGGAGAGGCGTCTCCAGGGGCTGACGCAAAGGGCAGAAGCCCAGCCCCAAAGGCTACATAGTATACAACTCCATATATGAAACATTCTTGAAATGATAGTTGCGGAAACAGAGAGCAGATTAGTGATTAGGGATGGCGGGGGAGGGAGTAGCTATAAAAAGGCAACATAAAGAATCCTCAGTATGAGAGCTTCCTGTGTCCTGACTACATCAGTGTCAACATCTGGCTGCAACCTGGCCCTGCAGCTTTGCAAGCTGTGGTCTGGGGGTGGGGTGGGGGGCTGGGAAAGGCACTTGGAATCTCTGCAGTATGTCTTAAACTGCATGAGAATGCAAAGATCTCAAAAAAAAAGTTTAATAAAAATGACTGAAAAATGATGCACTGTAAAAAGAGGCAGGGTGCCGGTGTTTAGATGCAGAGCGCTAAGCTGCTGCTTGGGATGCCTGCGTCTTGGATGCCAGCTTCCTGCGGCCCTGGGCCCTGGCAGGCAGCCAATAATGACTCAAGTACTGGGGCCCCTGCCACTCGCGTGGGGGACTTGCACTGAGTTCCCAGCTCCGGGCCTTGACACGCCCACTGGGATACCTGGGGGAGTGAGCCAGTGAACAGAACTCTGCGTATCTGTATGCCTTTCAAATAAAATACACCCACCCGTCCACACCTTTTAAACAGAGGCAAAGTTACCGTGAGGTGTTAGAAGTCAGACAGGGGCTATGTTTGGGGTGGTTGGCAGGGCCGGGAAGAGGCCTGGGTCGGATTCTGGGATTCTGATCACACTGAGTTTCTGTTCTTTGTGGTCTCTGTTCTTTGTGAAAATTCATCAATGTCTGTGTGATTGTCTTGTTTCAATAAGTCTTTTTTTTTTTTTTTTTGACAGGCAGAGTGGACAGTGAGAGAGAGAGAGAGAAAGGTCTTCCTTTTGCCATTGGTTCACCCTCCAATGGCCACCGCGGCCGGCGCGCTGCGGCCGGCGCACCGCGCTGATCCGATGGCAGGAGCCAGGAGCCAGGTGCTTTTCCTGGTCTCCCATGGGGTGCAGGGCCCAAGCACCTGGGCCATCCTCCACTGCACTCCCTGGCCACAGCAGAGAGCTGGCCTGGAAGAGGGGCAACCAGGACAGAATCCGGCGCCCCGACCGGGACTAGAACCCGGTGTGCCGGCGCCGCTAGGCGGAGGATTAGCCTAGTGAGCCGCGGCGCCGGCCTCAATAAGTCTTCAAAGGTAAAAAACCAAATCACATACAGGTTTTATAGATAAGCCCATGTGTAGTGACCAGCCGCTTACACAGCGCGTGTAACCAAGCACACTCCCACTCGGGAGAAGACAGCTCCCAGATTCTACCCCAAATGTCAGCCCTGGTGCCTTCCAGTGTACGAGAGCGACTTCAGATTTCCCGACACGGGGCCTGTCACCTACGGCATATCCCAAAGGGTGGCGCAAGGTTTTCTCTTGGTTGATTTTTCCGCCACCTGCAGACCCATCCACTCACCCATCTCGGCCAGCGGGGCCCGCTCCCCGCGGAAGCCGGATCTCCTGGGCTGCGGCGGACTGCTGGGGCTGGAGAGGGGCCTCTGGGCTCGGCTCCGGGGCGTGCTGGGCTCCCTGGCTCTTCCGGCCATGGCAGAACCCCTGGCCTTGGGGTGAGAGGCTCCATCGTGAGGCACAGGTGCAGTTAAGGGCTGGCTTGATGTCCCTGGGGTGCTAGGGGACCACGGAGGGACAGACACGTTGAGGTCACGCAGAGAGAGCCCCTCAGGCCATGCTGGCCGATCCCTTCTGCACCAAACCAGCGCTCTCCCCGCCCACGGAAGCTCACATCCCAAGGACGACCCACGTCACCCAGCCACTTCTTTACAACCACCTAGCAGTCCACCTGGCAGCCCACACACAGGCAATGATAGAGCTCCACCCGCCTTCTAGAAAACAAAGAGAAATAGGACGTCCGATCCTTTCTGGGGGCACCTGTACCTGGTCAGCAGCCAGCAGGGTCGATGATGGCCCCCATGGCCCCTCTGCGCTCTCTTCTCCTCTTTGGGGTGCAGCCCGATCGCCGCCCCAGGTAACCACCGGCGCGGTCTTTGTCTTTGTCCCCTGTGCACCTCACGCAGCCCTCCCTGCTGCTTTAGTTTACTCATTCATTTGCTCAACAAATAATAATTCCCTGTCCTGCCGCTGACGGGCTGTGTGACGCTGGCGAAGTCGCTTGCCCTCTCTGAGCCTCTGCTCCCCCTATCAGGAAGACGGGAGCCAGGAATACTGCAGGGGGGTGGCGGGAACAGCGAGGGCCGGTATCCGCGCAGACCACGCACCCCTGTTCTGGGGCATCACGAACACTCTGACCCCCAGGCTGTGCCCTGTGTGTGACCGTGACGGGACAGTGGCAGAGTCCCAGGATACCTGACGTGGGCGAGCCGGTGTTCCGGGGTCTGCGTGAGGGGCGACACCCTGCTGGTCTCTGAGCCCACAAAGCCGCTGTCTGTCTCGGGGGATGCCATCCAGGGCTCCTGAAAGAGGCAGTATCCCTTTAAGTGTGAGGAATGTGCCCAGGGCGCAGCAGGAAGCCCTTCCCAAATCCTGGCCTGGGCCTCACATTCCAGCGGGTCACAGATGGGGAGCAGGCCCAGCCCCCCACAGCCAGGCCCACCAGGGGGTGAGGGTTCTCAGGTCCCTAGGCCCTAGGTGAAAGTGGCTGACAAATAGCAGGGACTCCAGAGCCCGACAGGACCCTCGGGCAAGTGGCAGCCGAGCCCTTGGGAGAGACAGTAGGGGAGACAAGAACAGAGGGAGGAAAAGGAGCAAGTCTTATTCCTGTATCTTCTGGCTGGGGCCTGGCCTGCTGTGGTCTCACCTGACTGCAGAAATGACGAGGCCCAATCTAATAGGAAAATAAACTCCATCAACCATGTGTACCTCCTGGGTCCGGGCTTTAATTCCGGGCAAAAAGAACAGAGAGACACAGGTGCCTGCACTCCGCAGGTTCACGGTGCGGAGTGCCGAGGGCTGCCCATGGGCTTGGCAGGACCACGGAAGTGTGTCTGCGTGTGCACATGTGTGTACACACGTGCATTCCCCTCCAACAGGATGCAAAGTGTAAGTTGCATTTCCACCAGGCCCCTTCAGAATCACTGCTCTCAGGATGCAAACCCCACTGTGTCAAGAACTGTAGGGTGCCCTGGCTTGATAAGCAGGCTCAGGGAGATACCAGCCTGCTTCAGAGGTCCATGGAAAATCATATTAAATGCTAAGTTTACTGGGGTACAAAAATTTTTTGAACCATGCCGAGTTTTTCCATGATAGGCTTTCTTCCCAGGAACATTTTGAAGGTGCCTCAGACGCTTGGATTTCAAAATTTTGCGTACCCGGTAAACAATGTGTAATTCCGTTTTCCACAGGTGTTTTGGAGGGCTCCCATATAAGCAGTGGGCTATAGGTTCTCTCAAGGGAGGAACGGGTGCTCCTGGAACAGGGGCGGGACAGTGGCTGGCAGGGACAGGTGCAGCAGGCGTTGCAGAAGGAGTAGCATGAGCCAGGGCCAGAGGCGGAGCGCCCAGGAGGTGGAGGAAATGTCCCAGGTTCCAAGGCCGGGTCCCCATGAGGATGCTCACCTCTGCATGGGGCCCGCCGGCGTGGTGCAGAGACTTCGGCAGCAGGCGCTCGGAGAAGCCACTTCCTGGCAGGCTGCTCTCACTGCTCTGGTGGGACGCCTCAGACTTGGCACCCAGAGCGGGGGACGATGGCACACCAGGGCCTAGAGTCGCCGTCCCAGCAGAGCCCAGGCCTGGCACGTGCCCTTCTCTGGCCATGGCTGTCTGTAGGCCTCGTGGCTTCAGGGACACCATCTGTTCCACGGGCTCCCTGACAGGGAAGGAGAGGTACCTGGTCCCAACACGAGCCAGACAGCCCCGACCTGGGGCTCAGCCTGTGCGGGGAGCCAGGCTGTCCAGGACATGAGCTCTGAAGTCAGATGCCCCTGGCTGCTCATCCTGGCTCTACCACCTGCCAGCTGTGTGACCTCAAGCAAGGCACTTCCCCTCCCTGCACCTCACTGCTGTCAACTGGAAAATGGAGATGCCCACCAAAGCTGCCCGTTACACCACAGCGGAAAGATGGGGAGAGAAGTGGGCTCAGGCAGCCCGGAGTCGGCCCTCCACCTTCCCTCTCTCAGCCACACCCACAAACTTCCCCCTCCCCAAATAGACAGTTGCCAACAGGAAGGCCAGGATTTTGTGCTAAAATAGAAACAAGCTTTGAAAATAAATACAAGAAACGTGAAAACAATACTACGTTCTAGATACATCCTGTGGCCTCCTGCAGGCTCTGGGCCGGAGGCCTGCTCACGCGCTCTGTCCTGCTCCCCCCTACCCCGCCCCTCTTCTTTTCAGAGGACCACCCAGGGAGGCATCAAAGATATGAGCAACTCCTCACTGTCATTAGAAGGCCACAGCTGGAGGACAATCGTGGTGTTCAGTGCACTGCATCTGCCCCTGTCCCACACCCCCAGGCCAGCTCCAGGGCTCTGGGGGACACACGCTCCACCCTGGGAGGCAGGCCAGGTGCTCCACACCTGAGCTGCCAAGGCCTAGCCAGCTTGCTCGGACAACCGTCGCCCCTCCAGTTTCAGAGTGGTGTGGACTTACTCAACGGGCGCCCCGTGACCTTTCTCAGCCTGTGCTGGGTGCTGCGTTCGGCACATCCTGTTGGCTTCGGCATTCCCTGGCACCAGAGCTGGCCCATCGACTTCCAGAGTGTGGCCTTCCTCCTCCTCTTCTTCCTCCTCCTCTTCCTCCATCCTCAAGACCTCTGAGAGAGACTTCACACTGAGGTTCCTGTAGAACACGCAGAAGGACATGCACCTCTGCCGGGTGGGAGCCGCAGAGACCCAGCCACTGGCTGCACACCCCAGCCCTCCACGGCGCAGGTGCTCACCGGTCCAGGAGGCCTTGGAAATCTTGCTCCATCTGCAGCTCCTTGCACCGCAGCAGGGCTGGGAGCTCTCTGGGCCTGTCCCCCACCTCACTGCTGCCAGAGGTCACCTCCACGTTCACGTGCAATGGTCCAGGGCCAGGGCCAGTGGCGGCAGACTGAGGCCAGAGAGGCAGAGGGGCAGAGACTCAGCAGGTACGCAGCCACCACCCTGACGCACCTGCCTCACGCCAGGCCCCTGCTGGGTGCTGAGGCCTTGCCCTCGCTAACACACAGCCCATCCACACTTCTGCAAAATGATCTTCAGTCCTGGCTGAGCGCTGAGCACTGAGCACCTCCTGTGTGCCAGTCACCATCCAGGCATCACTTCTCAAGCCCGCAAGCATGGATGCCTCCCTTCAACCCATTTGACGGACAGGAAATGGAGGCTCAGGTGATCTGCCCAAAGCCACAAAGAGCTGAGATTCGCACCCAGATCTCCTGCCATCAGCACCTCTCCTGTGCCCCTCCCTCTCCAATTCCAGCCTGGCTGCCCAGTACCTTAGCACCTTTCACTGCAGGAGCCCAGCGGCCCCTCAAAGCGACACACTCAGGAGATGCCGCCTGGTAGGGTTTGCCCATTACCTGGGCTGAGCACATTGTGGGGGAATTTTCCCCAAATCACGGGCCAGCAAGGCCTCCGTGGTCAGGGATGTCCCAGCCTCCCAACCCTCGCCGGACCCTGCCCCCCTAACAAGCGGAGTCATCGTCCTGCTCCGATCCTCCCCAGCGGGGACACAGGGACCTCAGCACTGCGCCTGGGTGGTCTTTGCACACTCAGTTTGCAAAAAGGAGATGGGGATCGTCTCTCGGGGGCTGCGATGAGCTGGAAGGACTTCTACAAAGCCCCTCCTGTGTGGTGCTCGCCTGGGCCGTCCATCTTTGAAGATGCCCCCCAAGCACCCAGCACGACAGGCTCGAAGCCGGAGGCCATTCCTGGTGCCCTCGTCTCTCACGGCCACTCCCGGAACAGTCAGCCGTGCTGCCACACCTGTCCCAAGCCCATGCACATCTCTCGCTGTGTCCTGCCTCCCCTCGCCCCGGCTCAGCTTGTTTCACCAGCAAACCAGCTTCCCTCGTCGCACTGGGAAGCCCAGAAGAGTTAAAGACCACACTCCCAACGTGATCTACAAACCCCTATGTCATGCAGCCCCTGCCCGCCTCTCCAGCCATTCTCAGATGGCTTTTCCCTTCATGCCCCACGTTCTAGCCACAGGGCCTTTGCACGAGCTGCTTTCCCAGCTGGAGTGGCTTTCTTCTTCTGCACTGAGTCATTTCACCCTACCTTCAGGTCTCATTTGAATATTCCTTTGACACGCCCCTCCCAAACACAGTCCTGGGGCCCCCTATTCTCTTTTCACAGAATCCCACCTTCCCCTTTCCGAGCACTGATCATGAAGCAACTGTGTACCGAGTTCAACCACACTGAAAACTCCAGGAGGGAAGAGGCCACTTCCCTCCCCTGTCCTCACACCTCCCTGATCCTACCATGCGTTGGGGTCCTGGCCTTGGTAAATACTTCATAAATATGCAAATCAGCAAAGACAGGAACAAATGAAGGAAGGCCCAGCCCAATATGGCTATGCAGAGGGGTACCTCCAGGAAGGCGGTCTCACTGTCTGGTGCGGGGGTCTGTCCCGGAGGGGTGGGCAGATGTCTGGGCTGGCGGGATGAGGGCATGGCTGGCGCAATGTCCGGCGCAATGTCCGGAGCTGAGTCGCACCCAGACGGCTCAGGGGCTTGCTGGGTCTGGTTCACGAGGTCCTTCAGCTCTTCCAGACGAGTTCCCAGATGGTAGATCTTCATTTCCAGCTCCCTGGGATGGGGCAAGGTCAGTGTTAGGAGCCCTGGGCGGCAGCCCCATCAGGCAGGTCTGGGAGGCCAGGTATCACAGCAGAGACCCAGGGGAGGCCTCAGCATTTGCATAATGGTAATGAACTCCAAACAAACAAGATGAAAGGAGACTGCACTGGGCATTGGGAGTCCTCGCCTGGGCTTTCCCTGGGCCACCCACAGGCTGCGGGACCTTAAGGAAACCGCATCCCCCTCTGGCCTCAGTTTCCCCACAACCCAACATGGGGCCTCAGCTCTTGTATCCAGAGTGTCTTCTCTCTGCAGTATGTCTGTCCAAAGAACACAATCTCAGTGTTCCAGTGGTCCACCATGTGGATGTGTCACTACCTGGGGGAGGATTTCTCTCTGCTTCTCTTGTGTGCGCATTATGAGGACCAAGTGACCCTCTCCAGGTGACAGAGGGAACCCGGGGGCCTGCTCCTTCCACCTCCCCCCAGCACGTACCTGCCAGGATCAAATTTCCCAGGTGTCCCCTCGGAGCCTGCAAGCTGCCGGGCCAGGTGCTGCGCCCTGCTGGCCTTCAGGTATTCCTCCTCCAGGGCCCTATGGGCAGCCTGTAGCCGCTGGAAGCCCTGAAACCAGACCAAGCCACACGACCTGAGTGCCCAGCCCCAGGTGCAGGCTCTGTTCCTGCAGACACAGCCCCATGAGAAGGCTTGGGGCAGGGAAAGTGGTGGTTGGGAGGGGGGATGGCACTCAGGGGCCCCTGAGTCACCAGGAGCCAGAGGCTGGGGGTTGGAAATCTCTGGAAGCTGCCTGTACTGGTGGGGCTCTCTGTCGTCAGACTGGCATGGCAAAGGCACCACTTAGGGCCTGGGCACCAGCTGTTCCTGGGTAAACAGACAAGGATTGCAAGGCACCATGACAGCTGCAGCGCAAAACACAGTATCCCTATGTTCCAGACAGACCTCACCCCTGGGAGATGCTGGGTCCTTAGCCTGGATTTGCAAAGTCAGTCATTCTCTTCCTGAATCCTTGTGAACTGCCAGGACAGATGGTGTCCCCCTTCACACTGTCAGTAACCACACCTAACACACTGGGCCTCAAGGCTGATGCCCTCTGCACTTCTTCATCTCACCTTCAGCACAATCCCAGTGAGGGGTCATTTACCATCTGAGTGCAAAATGATGAAACCAACACACAGAGAGGCTATGCAAGTTGGTGCCGAGTCAAGACTGGAACCCAGGTCCTAACAATGACGCTGGGCCTCCAGGGTTAACGTGACCACACGCAGTATGTGGCTAAAACCACAGGAAGTAGGGCCCTGTGCTCTGCTGGAAATCGTCCCTGTCCTTCCCAACTCTGACAGGGCACGTGGGGGCCAAGACATCCCAGTCAGGCCTGATCTGCCTGCAGGGAGGAAGAAGATGAAGGGCTTTACGTGATTTGTGATTCCATGGAAGGGACCAGAGCAGGTGAAGTGCAAGAAACCAGACTCAGAAAGACAAACACTGGGGCCGGCGCTGTGGCGTAGCGGGTAAAGCTGCCACCTGCAGTGCCTATGGGTGCTGGTTCAAGTCCTGACTGCTCCACTTCCGATCCAGCTCTCTGCCATAGAATAGAAAAGCAGTAGAAGATGGCCCAAGTGCTTGGGCCCCTGCATTCACAAGGGAGACCCAGAGGAAGCTCCTGGCTCCTGGCTTCAGATCAGCAGAGCTCCAGCCATTGCAGCCAATTGGGGAGTGAACCAGCAGATGGAAGACCTCTCTTTCTCTCTCTCTCTCTGCTTCTCCTCTCTGTGTAACACTGACTTTCAAATAAATAAATCTTAAAAAGAAAGAAAGAAAGAAAGAAAGAAAGAAAGAAAGAAAGACAGACAAACACTGCAGAGTCTCATGGGGATGTAAGAAAGCTGGATGGCCTGGGAGCAGGGGGCAGCACCGTGGGCCACAGAGGCCAGCAGGGGCAGAGGCGGGGGATAGGAGGTGGCTCACAGGGAGCAACACGGGATGAGAAAGGAGGAATCAGGAGCAGTGTTCTCCTGCACAGTAGGGCGGCCAGGCTCTGCAACGATGACTATATTTCAGAAAGAACTACAAGAGAGGAGACAGAAAGAAGCTGTCAATGTCGAAGCAGACGGACGTGCTAACCCCTGACGTGGTCACTACGCATTGCATACATGGTTGGAATCGTCACACCGTGTGCCACAGACACGCACCACTGGTGTCAAGTAAGAATGCAAGAAAAGGCAGGGTGTTCATTTTCAAGGCCCCTGATGGCGCGTTTGCTGATGTGACACCCATCACCCACTGTGCAACTGGCAAGCATGTGTGCCATCCCCGCGACAGCACAGGAGAACACTGACGACGTTGCGTGTCTTTAGAAACTTCCCGTGCTGTGCCCCACCTTCTTAGCTCCTCTCCCGACCCTGCCGTGTCAGTGGGTCTCCCTGCCTGCCAGCTTCTGCCTGGGTCTGTGCAGAGGGAGGGACCTACAAGAGACCACAGTGTGGGAGGGGAGAGGCCTGGGGGTGGGGTCCGCTCAGACAGCTGCAGCTCCCTGGGCTCAAGGCCTGGTGGGTTCCCCGATGCCACCCCCAACTGTGATGACAGCCCCTTCCCCGACCCCTGCACTGCCAGCTCCGAGGTCTCCACCTGCTCCTCACTGGGATGCTGACTGATACATCAGGAATCTAAATTGGATGTACGGCTAGAGTTACCTGAAACTCCCAAGCCCAAAAGGAAGTAACAATCTCCTCTACTAGGCCCAACTTCCAAAGTCCTAGCAACCACTTTTTTTTTTTTTTTTTAAGATTTTTATTTATTTACTTGAAAGTCAGAGTTACAGAGAGGCAGAGGCAGAGGCAGAGAGAGAGGTCTTCTATCTGCTGGTTCACTCCCTGGATGGCTGCAATGGCCGGAGCTGAACCAATCTGAAGCCAGGAGCCAGGAGCTTCTTCCAGGTCTCCCATGTGGGTGCAGGGTTCCGAGAGCTGGGGTCATCTTCCACCACTTTCCCAGGTCATTAGCAGGCAGCTGGATTGGAAGTGGAGCAGTTAACTGGCGCTATACAAGCGCTGGCCCCTGCAACTACTTTTATAATGGGAAAAAAGACAGGGAGCTTTTCTGCTTGTTGCAAGGCAGTCTGAGCAATGGGAAGCACTCCCTGGCAGTGATCATGACCCTGGACTTGGGAGTCAGACCTGGCTACAGGTTCTGCTGCCCACAAGTTAGGAGGCTTTCAAAGCAGCTTTCTGGGTGTTAAGTTCCATCCTGGTTAAAGAAGATGATGACTGGGGCAGGTGCTGTGGCGTAGCAGGTAGAGTCACTGCCTGCGATGCCAGCATCCCACACAGGCTCTGGTTGGGGTCCTGGCTGCTCCACTTCCAATCCAGCTCCCAGCTAATGGCCTGGGAAAAGCAGTGAATTCCCAAGATACTTGGGTTCCTGCCACCCAGGTCCAAAACCTGGATGCAGCTCCTGGTTCCTGGCTTTGGCTTGGCTCAGCCCTAGCCATTGTGACCACCTGGGGAGTAAACCAGCAGGTAGAAGAGCGCACTCTCTCTCTCTCTCTCTCTCTCTGTAACTTTTTCAGATAAATGAATACATCTTAAAAAAATAATACGGTGGTGACGAGAACTGCCTCTGCAGGCTCATGGGGGTGATGGCAGCACCTGGGGCACCACCATGGCTTCATCGGCGGTAACTGCTGTGCTATCAGGATGGCTCCCCTGAGGGTGCTGAGCAGGAGCCGCTTGCTCTGAACACAGGCGCTGTGCGGGATTCTCCCCTCTGCCTCTTGCAGCAGAACCGGCTCCAGACACTCAGCTATGGGAGACGGGCCATCTCCCGACTTGGGCCGTACCTTGAGCTGGTTCCGGGGCGTGAGCTGGCCTGCCTGCATCAGCCCTTCGAAGGAGTCCACCTGGACATTGGGAGGGGAAGGAAAAAGGCTCCATTAATGCAGACCCTGAAGATGAACCTTGCACAGCCCCCACTCTCAGCCACATTCCTGCTTTGGCACAAACCACTGGGTCTGGCCTTGGAAGACAGGCTTTCTACCATGCACAGATTCCACTGCTGGCCTCAGCCAGAGCAGCCTTAGAGAAAACCCTGGTGGAATCTGCAGGTGTTCACAGACAACAAAGTACACTTATGCACGTGTATGAAGACCTGCAACACCAGGATACGGCTGTGTGTGTGTGGAGGGCGGGCAGGGGTGGGGGGGCAGGGGAGCAGGAAACAGCCTAAATGCCTGTCCATGGAACAGCAGGAGGAAGGTACATGTGGATGCTCTGCTGTGTAAGTACCCCCTAGACCTGTTTTTCAGGGTCAAAGCCAGGTACATGGTTTGCTACCATTTGTATCAAATACATAGGGAATCACAAAGGAAGGTGCGAATGCATTTTCCTGTACGATTGTCCCTTAGTATGCATAGGGGATTGATTCTAGGACCTCTCTCCACCTCAAGGACACCAAGTCCCTTATGGAAATGGCGTAGCTGGGCCTGGTGTCGCATCCAGTTAAGCCGCCGCTTGCTATAGCAGCATCCACTAACAGAGCGCTGGTTCGAGGCCTGGCTGCTCCGCTTCCGACTCAGCTCCCTGCCAATGTCCCCGGGAAGGTGGTGGAGGATGGCTTAATGCTTGGGCCCCAGCCACCAATGTGAGAGACCCAGGTTGTGTTCCTATCGCCTGGCTTTGGCCTGGCCCAGCCCAGCTGCTGCAGTCCTTTGGGGAATGAACCAGTGGGCAGAAGACACGTTTCTTTCTGTCTCTGTCCCTTTCTCTGTCATTCTGTCTTTCAAAACTAAATCTTTAAAAAAAAAAATGGTTTGCATTTGTACATGACCTATATAGACATCTCATATATTTTAAGTCACTTCTAGAATATTTATGATATCTAATGCAATGTAAGGAGTCATTCTAATGTACTGTTTAGGAACAATGACAAGGAAAAAAAAGCCTGACCATTTCCAGCACAGACACAGCTTTCTAAAAAACATTTTTCACCCGTGGTTGGTTGCATGCACAGATGCAGAGTCGTGGATAGGGAGGGCAGACTGCAGAGGCCAGACTATTTCTAGGAGGACTCCAGGGGATGAGCCCTGGGTGGCTGGCAGACAGTGACAGAGGGGGATTTTCTACGGTATGGTCTTTACCTCCGCTGAACTTGGAACCATGTGATTTCAGAATAAATAAATACCCCCAAATCCATATTCCAGTTTGGGGCATTAAATGAGCCGAGGCACAACACAGCGTACGTGCCATCGCTTCCACGGGTGCGCGTGTGTGCCCTGCAGAGGTTCTCGTGGGTAGGAGGGAAGTCTGACTTTCCACTGCAAATGGCCTTCGCACTGTGTGATGGTCTTTGCTACATGCGTCTTTTGCCTTTCTAAAACATTGCTTTTTTAAGATTTGTTTATTTATTTGAAAGGCAGAGTTATAGAGAGGCTGAGGCAGAGAGAGAGAGAGAGAGAGAGAGAGAGAGAGAGAGAGGTCTTCCATTCACTGGTTCACTCCCCAAGTGGCCACAACAACCGGAGCTGCCCCGATCTGAAACCAGGAGCCGGGAGCTTCTTCCGGGTCTCCTGGCCTTGGCCTGACCCTGCTCCAAATGTTGTGGTAATCTGTGGAGTGACTGGGGCCATCTTCCACTGCTTTCCCAGCCTGTAGCAGAGAGCTATATTGGAAGTGGAGCAGCCGGGACTCGAACTGCAGGCGGCGGCTTTACCCGCTACGCCACAGCGGTGGCCCCTCTAAAAAATTCTTAATTAAAAAATAGGCAAGGACCAACTTTTTAAAATCTAATTTACTTCCCTAACATAAAGTGACTGGCTCTCATATAAATAAATATTTGAAAAGGAAATCAGGAAAAGGAACGAAGTACTTGTCCATGCTATCCTAACCTGGATTAAAACCTTTGAAAAACCTCATGGTGAGGGTGAGGGAAAGGCATCAGAGAGAAAAACACAAATGCTGAATGAATCCACTGACGCATCCATGAAGACAGAAAGTAGGTGAGCAGCTGGCAGGAGCTGGGGGACGCGGAGTGGGGTGTGACATAAACCGCACGGGGTTTTTCCCTGGGTGATGAAGAGGTTGTAGAACTGGGTGTGGGGACCAGTGCAGGGGCGTGGTGAACTGAGCTGCTGCCCACGACACCAGCAATCCCATATCAAGCACCACTTCAAGTCCCAGCTGTGGTGCTTCTGCTCCACTCCCTGCTAATGCACCCGGAAGGCAGTGGGTAGTGGCTCAAGTACTTGGGCCCCTGCTACCCAGGTGGGAGACCAGGATGGAGTTCTGGGACTCTGGCTTCAGACCAGCCCAGCCCTGGCTGTTGAAGCCATTTGGGGCGTGAAGCAGCAGGTAGAAGATCTCTCTCACTCTGCCTTTCAAATAGTATTATTATTATTCAAATATTATCATTTTATTTATTTATTTGATTTGATTATGATGATAGCTGTACAACTGTGAATACAGTAAAAGCCACCAAAATACACATTTCAAATGAGTGAATTGTATGGTATGTGAATTACAGCTCAACAAAGTTGATACCAAAAAGAGAAGCAAAGCATGGTGGCGCTCTCTGAAGGAATTGCACCATGGACACAGTGGTGCATGTAACAGTTGCATTTCCCTTTTTGCACTGGCAACTAAGACACTCAAAGCCCAGTGTGTGAGTGCGGTCCCAGAGAACACTGTGTTGGCTCACTTCACACTAAGTTTAGTTCTTCTGCCTTTACTTCCCCCGCCCTAGTTTCTTCACTTCCGCTTTCAGAAAGCAGCAAAACATAATGTTTGTCCAATCTGCTTTAGGGCACGTTTGTAACAGGGCCAAGAGTGCAGATGTAAATAGACCTGCCCACAATTTACAGTCACTTGGAACTGTTATGAAAATGCCCCGGTCCAGGGCCGGTGCTGGGGCGCAGTAGGTTAAGCCTCTGCCTGCAGCACTGGTATCCCATAGGGGTGCCGGTTTGTGTCCCGGCTGCTCTGCTTCTGATCCAGTTCCCTGCTAATGCCCTGGAAAACAGTGGAAGATGGCTTAAGTGCTTGGGGCCCTTGCACCAGCATGGGAGACTCAGAAGAAACTCCTGGCTCCTGGCTTCAGATCAGCCCAGCTCTGGCCTGTGTGGATGGAAGACCTTTCTCTCTGTCTCTCTGTCTATAACTCTGCCTCTCAAATAAATAAATACAATCTTAAAAAAGAAAGCAAAGAGCACGCCACGCCCTGTGAGAAGTAACGGAGAACTGACTTCCACACTGACAGGAACTGAGAAAGTGAGGTGACTCATCCCGGAGGGGACAGGCAGAGTGGAGGTCCCCCTGCCAGAATCCTGGAAAGGCCGAGCCTCCCAGGAGGCCAAACGGGACAGCCTTTCAAGCCCAGCTGAAGGATTTCTGATGAGACCAAAAAGGGGGCGAAACCCAGCGCGGGGGCTGCGTGGGAACAACCGGTGGGAGGGTCACGTTTCCCGAAGGCCACGTTCACTCGGCACAGACAGAGCACGCGGGGGTCTCGCGGGCGGTCTCAGAGGTCCTGCCCTCTGCAGGTGAGTTCAGTCCTGCTGGGGTGCACCTGCGGTTCCACTCACCTGGGCCAGGATCCGATGGGCCTGAGAAGCCAGTGCCTCGGTCCACTCCGCAGGGGGCTGCTCCGGGGCGATGGCCTGGTCTTCTGGGAGCCAGCCTGGGGTGGGCAGGCTGGGGGGCAAGGAGGCACCCAGGTCTCCTCGAGCCATCGGCCACCCTGTAACACACAAGTGTTGAACACTGGGGCCCCAGACAGCTGTTGTGGAGGCTCCAGGCACCACTGCCATCCACAAGCCACAGCTCAGCCGTCTTGCATGCGTGAATAATGAGGTGCAGATGCGCCCTGGTTGGCACAGCTGGAAGGAGTGGAGCCATGCCAGGCCTCTGGGTTTCCAGCCAATGGGATGGGCCTTAACTCAGGAGACGTGGGGTCAAGTCCCCATCCCTCCCCAACACAGCTACGTGACCTTCACCGTGTCCTCACCTCTCTGAGCCCTGGTCTCTGTGACTGTCACTGGGGCAGCAATGGTGCCCATCTCACCAGGCTGACACCCCAGTGCAGGGCCTGGCCCCTGCGTGGACTCTCCAAGGCCGGGCGTCTTTGTCGTGCAACTCACTCAAGATGGCTAAGATGGCACATGCCAGGGCCGGGGCTGCAGGTCAGCGGTACACTTGGCAGATCGCCAGGTGACCCCAGGTCAGAGGGCTCAGGGAGGGGCCTCGCCTAGCTCCGTCCCCTGCCCGAAGCTAGTGCTGTCCCCAGGGCGAACCAGGGCCCCTCAGAGCAGATCCACAGGCGGGAGGTGCCCCCAGCCACACACCCCTCCCAGACTCACCTGAGGCCTCCGAGCTCTGGGGCTCTGTGGCGGGGGCTGGCCACCACTGTGCTGAGCGGGGCTGCGGAATGGTGAAGGACAAGGCCTGGGCCCCCTGCACCGGCCTCCCCTTGTGCTGGGTGCTGTGGCTGGGCTGGGGAGGGTCCCAGTACAGGTTCACCTGTGTGGAAGAGCAAAGGCAGGGCCTAGTCAGAGGCGGGCACACCCCACCAGAAAGGCCACAGCGCCACCTCCACTAGGGAGCTCAGCAAACACGCGGGCAACAGTGACTACCCTGTCCTGGGGCCCGTGGGCGGGGGCTGACCTGAAGGGGAGGCAGGGCAGGGGCCGTCATCCCCATTTTATAGATGAAGAAACTGAGACTCAGAGAGCTTACGGCACCTACTCAACATCTCCAGCTGGGGACTCAATTCAGCCTCAAAATCTACAGTTCGGGGGCTGGCGCTGTGGTGTAGCAGGTAAAGCTGTCACCTGCAGTGCCGACATCCATATGGGCGCCGGTTTTAGTCCCGGCTGCTCCACTTTGATCCAGCTCTCTGCTATGGCCTGGGAAAGCAGTAGAAGATGCCCCAAGTCCTTGGGCCCCTGCACCCGTGTGGGAGACTTGGAAGAAGCTCCTGGCTCTTGGCTTCCGATCAGCCCAACTCTGGCTGTTGTGGCCAATTGGGGAGTGAACCAGTGGACGGAAGACCTCTCTCTCCCTCTGCCTCTCCTCTCTCTCTGTGCAACTCTATCTCTCAAGTAAATAAACAAAAATCTTTAAAAAAAAAAATCTACAGTTGGCCAATGACTTCTACTAACAATAATGGTTACAGTATAATTATAACAGAATGACTATACAACACTCATCACACAATTATTATGAAACTGTAAACATTTCCAACCATTTTATCATATTGGTAATATTGTAATATAATATTGATAATAGCAACTAATGGATGAATGAGCCACCAAGTAAACCAACAAATCCCTCCCTCCCTGGTAGCAAAGCTCCGTCATTTGAGGATGGATTTTTTTTTTAAATTACTTATTTATTTATTTGAAAGGCAGAGTTATAGAGAGAGAGGTAGAGACAAAGAGAGATTTTCTATCTGGTGGTTTACTCCCCAAATGACTAGAACAGTTGGGACTGGGCCAGGTCAAAGCTGGGAGCCTGGAACTCCACCCAGGTCTCCCATCTGGGTGGCAGGGCCCCAAGCATGTGGGCCATCTTCTGCTGCTTTCTCAGGTGCACTAGCAGGAAGCGGGATCAGAAGTGGAGCAGCAGGGACTCCAACTGGAGCTCATGTTGGATGCAGGTGCTGGGGGCGGTGGCTTAACCCCATGTACCACAACGCAGGTGCCCAGGGAATGGACTTAATTTGTCAAACAGCCCAGGTTGGGAGGGAGAAGTCTGGAGTCAGGCAGATGACCAGGAAAGACCCTTTGGAGCTCACACGGGGAAGCTGGCTTGGAGCTGAGCTTACAAAGTGATGGTCTGGGGTTGTGACTGAGGCTTAGTGGGCACAGCCATGGCTATAGGTTGATGTTTCCACATGGCAGAAGCACAGGTGAGGAGTGGTGACGGACGTTGGATGGCCCACAGAGGTGGAAATATTCACAACCTGGCCCTTCGCAGACAAAGCTTGCCAAGCCTGGCTCAGCATCCAGGCTCAGCTGGCCTGGGTTCATGTCCAGGCTCTGCCACTGCACACCTCTGAGTCCTAGGGTAGCTGACTTATTTATCATTAGCTGGCTGCTGGTCTACTTTCCAAATGCCTGGGCTGGGCCAGGCCGAGGTCAAGAGCTGGGAACTCAATCCAGGTCTCCCAGGCGGGTGGCAGGAACCCACTGCTGCCTCCCAGGGTCCTCATTAGCAGGAGGCTGGAGTCAGGAGCCAGAGTCCAGGCACTTCAATATGCAACAGGGGCGTCTTAACCGCTAGGCCAAACACTTGTCCCGGAGCAGCTGATCTGGCTAACCTCTGTGTGCACAAGGTAAATGCTCAGTAAATCTCAGTTGCCAACTCCGCATTCATCACCATCACCACCACCACCATCATCATTACCATTACCAGCACCAATATCTCTGCGGCCATCGCCATCATCACCATCACCATGGAGTCTGTGGTACCTCGGTGGGACCTGCTCCTCAGGGGGTCAGGTGGATCCTCTTAACTGTCCCCTACAGCCCCGAGGTGGGGAATGGGCAGCTTAGGGTGGGCCTGCTGGAGGCGGCTCCCTGGCACCTGGCCAAGCAGTACTTCCTGTTCAAGCTGAGCTCTGATTCCCAGCTGTGGCAGAAAACCCTACCCCGGCACGCCCGGGCCCCCGCCACTCCCCCTCTCAGGCCCAGCCTGGCTAGATGAGAACAAAGCTGGATTTTAATAATCCCCCCACCATCTGCTCTGAGGCCTGCCTGCCTGTGGGGCTCGCCACCAGCATCCTCTCCCCAAGAGGTGACCTGAATCCTGGGGAGCCTTCCCCAGCCCTCCCTGGGGCCCAGGTGGGGAGCACCAGGAAACCCGCAGCTCCCAGGCCAGGCGGCGCCTGGGGAAGCCCCTTTGTTGGAGGAATCCAGGAGGGGCTTAGAGCAGAGAGGCCCAAAGCCTGCAGCTGTCCAGGACTTGAGATGGGGCGGGGTTTCGGGTGGCAACTGCCCTTTGAGGATGCGGCCTGGCCTCCCAAGACCTGTCCCCTGGACACAGCCAGACCCACCCCAGGGAGCTGGGGGGGTCCCCTCCGAAGCCAGGGTGTTCCCGGCGGTACTCCCAGAGGGAGACATTGGCAAGGTGGTGGGTCAGGGAGTGTGGGGAACAAAGGGTTAAACAGATGACTGTTCTCTGCACAGATGGATTTCTCACAGCCTTCAGAATGCTAATGGCCTTGATGAATGGGGCGGGAGGGGCAGGGTGGGGGGAGCAGGAGTCCTTCCCTCAGCTCCTTTGAACACAGGAACCCCCACCCCCACCCCCACGGGGGCATCTGGACCAGCCAGCAGCCATCAGAACACACTTTGGAAAAGATGGCTTTGATTCCCCCTCTGACCCAGTAATTCTTTCTAGGGTAATATTTGGTCACCTCAGCCCTTCTGCAGGCCCCTGAAGCCCAGACCGGGGACAGGGCTGGGTGGAGGTGGCAACAGGACAGTGAGATCACCATGCATGCTGGCCAGAGGCCAGGCAGAGAACAGAGCCCACCACTGATGCCTGACTCGCCAGGCTCCCTGCCCCACGCCTCCCAGCTGCCCAGCCGGGCTCCCTGGTCCTGCCCCAACCCAGCGGCTCCAGATCCATTGGGGCTGCCCAGCCAGGCCTTGGCACTCCCTTCTCAGCCTCCCGAGACACAGATCCTGCAGTTATCTGCTCCTGGTCTGCCAGGGATGTGGGCACTGGGGCTCCATTGCAGGGTTCGAAGTCCAGCTGTGGCACCGACTCACTCAGTGATCGTGGGCCAGTTACTTAGCCTGTCCGTGCCTCAGCTTCCCCAGCTGTAAACGACTTGGGAGAACCGGCAACAAGCACCACCCACTCGTGTTCTTGGGATTTCCACGCCAGGGCTTGCCCACCGGGGCAGGAGTCAGGCAGATGGGGGCTTAAGTCCCAACTTGCCCCTGACACCAGCTGTGCCATGTTGAGCAAACCACTCCACCTGGCTGGGCCACAGTCGAGAGGGTTGGATGCAAAGACCCTAAGCCTGGGGCTTGGCCCTCTGAGTGGCTTAGGAATGTCCATCTCCTTCCCATGGATCCTCACCTGCTGCTGCCCTCCTATCTGCTGGGCCTGGCCGCCCCCACTCTGGCTCCCTCCCACACAGGTTCAGGCTCCCCACGGGGGCTCTGAGCATAGCTAAGGGGCTTGGCAGGTCCCGGCAGAGACAGGACTGTCTCATGTCCTGGGCTCCCTGACCAGGGCTCTGAGCGGGACACTATCTTGGGGTCTCCTGCACCGAGGTGTCCAGAGCCCACCCCAGGCAGAGGGCAGAACCACAGCTGGCCTAGACCATCCTGGACCTGGGGCTCCGTTTTCTCCTCTGCATGCTGGGACCACAGCGCCGCCCCCTAGACACCCCAGGGGCAGCTGGGAGATGGGGGAGAGGAGGCCCTGCCTCTGGACCGTGCCCAGCCTCGTCCTGAGGGCACCTGCAGGCCACAGAGTCATCTTTCCAGAAAAGCAGGAGAGGGGGGCTGAGCCCTTTCCGGCCCCTCCTACCTTCCCTCCTGTGACCCCTTGCACTCAAGCTGGGTCTGGGTTCCAGCCGGGCCGGGGTGAGAAGGGCTCTATGTCCCCCTGTTCAGGGGAGCAGCTACGAGGGGAGACCCCACAGCTGTGCTCCCCATGTCCACCCTGCCCAGCTGTTCCTTACCCTGGACACCCTGGGCATGCAATGGCATTGCAATGCTCAAGTTTCCTAACTGCACGTGCCAGGTGCATGGCCTCCATAGACACTGACCCTCTCCCTAGACCACCCCGTGACCTGTGGCAGCCTCCAGCCCCACTGGGGCCCCAGGTTCTCCATTTGCAAAGTGGGAGAGCCAGGTGCCTTCTTGGAACTTCCAGGAGTCCACGGGCCTGAACAGGTGGTTTCTCCACAGAGGACGACCTCACCTCGGCGCCCCCTCCAATCCCCCCTGGATGTGGCCCAGCTGCTCAGAGACCTGGAAGGAGTCTTAAGACATTGGCCTCCAGGAGGAGGGTGTGAATAATCCCCCCTTTTACAGATGTGTATGATGCTGGGGTGGCTGGGAACCAACTCCAGACTCCCTTCTGCTGTCTCGCCATGACCACTGGTGCCCACGTGTCCCAGAAGTGCCTCTCAACACTGAGAGCAGCGTGGCAGGGGGTAGCGGTCCTGCTGCATGACAGGGCCAGGCCTCTGCAGAGGCTGGGGGCTGAGTCTGGGGAGGGGGCATCTCTGCACCAACGCTGCCACCTGCCACCCCTCCTCCGCTGCCGCCTGGTGGGGCCACAGGGACTATGAGGAAAGCAGGAAGCCACGAGGGGCCGCAACAGGTCCCACTTCCTGCCTCCCCCAGAAAAGCGGAAGGTGCAAATTCACAGCCTCCTGCAAAGCCGGTGGGGGCTGGGTGGCATGGGGAAGCTGCCCTCTGGGGGCATGCATCTCCCTCCACTCTATCTCAGCCACACTTGCGTCAGGGCCTGGGGAGAGGCTGTGGGTGAAGACGGGGGACGGAGAAAGGCCAAGATGTGATCCAGGAAGAATCAGGCCAGGAACCAAGCACCAGAAGCTGAGCAGACTATTTTGGCTACTGCCTTGAGGCTCAGAGAGCCCAAGTGACTGCCTTAAGGTCGCCCAGCTGGTTAGTAACGGAGGCGGGAGCCGAGCACAGGTAGGGTCACTCCAGAGCCCGTCTAGAAGGAAACAGCTTCCTGTGATAGTCTGCACTCTGGCATTCAAGGATTTCAAGGCTCATCAGCGGCAAGGAAGACTGAGCCCACACAGAGCATTGCCAATGCATGGAACAAAGCCCGGGGTTCCACTGCCTCCAGGGTCTCGGAGGGCGCGGGAGGCAGTGGCCTCCTCTGGGGCTGTGGGCCCTCCCCCCAGCCTCGTACCTTGGCCCCGAGGCGCAGCTGGTCGATGGTGTTCTCGGCCTCTGCATACTTGGTGAGTAGCTTGTGGTAGTCCTCCTGTGGGAAGAGGGCCGCACGGTCACCGCCCCGGCACACGGCACCCGGCTCTGCAGGTGCAGCCCTATCCGTGAGGCTTCTGGGTTCTTCTGAGCAGACAGCCTCAGATCCTGTGCGCTACTGACCCCCAAGTCCAAATCCCGCACACCGGGCAGCAGAGGGGGTGCTGCTGTTCCCACCTCTGAGTCCGGCACGCGGGGCTCGGGCTGCCGCTACTCCCTCACTCGTGCAGGTTCTCTGCCCACCTGTGGGGAAGGCCTAACCCCACCTCCCCCAGAGCTGTGGTCATGCGTGCTTAAGGTCCGGCTGAGGGACTCCTCCAAGAGTCGTTTGGGAGAGCGAACCGTGACTTCAAAGCCACGGTCCCTGCGTCTCAGAACTCACCTTCGACACTCGTCACTGGACCCCTTCGCGAGGGAAACGACCCAGGGCTCTGAAAACGAGTAACTAAAAGGGCAGAATCTAGCTTTGCTCTACTCCTTCCCATTCGAACAGGACCTTGGTGACTCCACAGCTGCTGAGGGCAATTTCTACTGCTCAGAAGAGTCCCATCAATGAATGCGGCACCACCATTTAAGTCACCCCCAGTGAAGGGCTGGTTCAAGACACAGCAGCAGGGACTGCGGGCGTCTTAACAGGTGTCCTAGACTCTGAAGACAGCAGACAGCCACGGGTGATGTGCCCTGGCCCCACAGAGGTCACAGCCTGGAGCGGCGCCAGTCTCCCAAAGCAGGTGCCCGCGACCTGGAAAAGCCACTCCCTCTAAATCTGCCAGTGACAGGAGAAAGGGAAGGCAGTGGACACAGGCAGAGATGTGCCGGGTGATGACAACAAAACCCAGGACAGGAGGTGGACAGCTGGGCTCCTCGATGGGAAATTATGAGCAAGGAGGGAGAGGCAAGGAAAGATGTCTGGGTAAACAGAGACTTGACAACAAAATGCAAAACCAGGAACAGCAACAGGGGGAGGAGAGACTTGAAAAGCACACGGACCCACTGCACTCTACGGGATTCGGAGTCCAATAGGCTGCAAGAAGTCACCTATGAGACACAGGGACAGACTTGGGTGCCGACCGGCATTTGATAATACTAAGAGAGTGGTGTTGACTTCCAGGTGTGATAACAGTTAGGTTTTGAAATGGTTATTATCTCTGGACTTTGATGCACTAGAATATGTTTGGGTAAACTGATGGGCTGCCTGAAGTGGGGTACAGGTCAGGCCACAGGTCCAGGAGCTGCCAACAGTGACACTGGGTGCATGGAGTCCAGTACATCACTTGCTCTCATGTACATGTTTGACTTTTTTTTTTTTAAATCTAAGGTGAACATAAACAAGAAACATTACCTACAAGCACAGCTGTTCTTGAGCAAAGGGCTGGGGGCTCAACCCTCCTTCTGCCAGCAGAGGGCTCCTGCTCAGACCCAACACCTCCCACCCAGCCTGCGCCATTCCAGGCCAACAGGTGCCTCGGCAACACCTAAGGGCCTGAGCCCAGCTTACCTGCAGCTGGTGGACTAGCTCAGTGGCTTGTTCCGGCGTCTGAAACTCTTGGGGTACCCTGGTGATGGGGTGGGCTGGAGGGGGGTCCTTCACCGGGGAGGCTTCTCCGCTGCTCAGCAGGACCTCTCGCACAATCTCTGCCGGGGACTTGAAGATCAGGGGCCTGGCAGGGCCCTGAGGCTGCCCTTTGTGGCTCCTGGACTTGGGGGGGCGGTAGCTTTCATCTTTGGGGAACTTCACCCGGGGCCCCACCTTGGAGAAATCAGGGAGTGGGTAGTTCAGCCGCCCCCGGCCATACATGGGGACATCAGAAGACGAGTGGCTGGCCAGAGTGGCTCCCTGCTTGGGCGGCATCTTGTTCTTCTGGGCTGGCCTAGGCCGAGGATTCATGGGGCTGATGGAGCCGGTGAATCGGGAAGGGAGTGGTTTCGGGGATGTCTTTGTCCGCTTCCAGGTCTGGTCCTCGGGCTGAGGGCAGGAGACGCCGATGGTGTCTTTGCTCCATCTGCCTGCAGTGCACCCAGAGCGCTGGGCTGGGGCCGCTGTGTCCTGGAATTCCGTGGGGGTCACCGGGGCAACAGTGCCTCCAGTTCTGACATCTGGGTTTAGGGGGTGGTTGCTGGGGTTCAGTGGCAAGGTTTCCTCCAGGGCGGGGGGCCCGGGGACATCGAGGTCTCCTTCCCAGGGAGAATCAAGACTGTCACTAAGGTGGCCAAGGCTCACGGTTCCACTGCTCCAGGACCTTGCCGAGTTGACCTCAGAATGTTCTAGAAGTCTGTTTCTGCTGCCTTGTCTGCCAGAGGCCGTCCAGCCTCTGGCCTGAGCCTGGCCCAGGGCCACGAGGCAGGTGTCTCCATCGCCCTCCGAGCTGGGACCAGCCTCCTCCTCCAGTGACGGGGAGCTCTCCCCTCCCTCCTCAGCCTTGGCACTTGCGAGGGCCTCATCTGGCTCTTCTTGGGTCATGTCCAAATGCGGGTCCGGCGGGGGCAGCCAGCCGAGAGGCAAGGTGGAGGCAGCTGGGCTGTCCACATCCTCGGCTCCAGTCTCTGGAAAGACAGGCCCCCTCGTTGCTTAGTCAGCAGGTGCCAGCCAGGTCCAGGCTTCCGGGAGGAAGCTCCCTGGCTTCTGCTCCCTGGCTTCCACGTTGGGGTGGCGAGAAGCCCCCTGAGCCCCTAGATGGCCCAGGAATCCTCTGACAGCTCCATGGAGGGCCTCAGAGGTCCTCCAAACTCCAAACCTGGCTGCCCTGCAGTGTCTCCCGTCTCATCACATGCCAAGGCCATCCCACCCAGTTACGGGCCAGAGGCCTGGGAGACACCTTGGCCATCTCTGCCTCCACCCCCCACCCCACTTCCTCCATCCAGAATGTTACCAGGTGCTGCCACATCCACTCCTGCTCTAAGCCAACACCTGCCTGGCTTGCCTGGACTGCTGCAGTGACCCCCTAACCCTCCCCTCAACCCTCCCCTTGCCCCCACTCTGAGATTGGAACTTCATCAAAATCTTCCCTCTGTCCCTAGGACAACAGCAGAGCGCTCGCTCTGGGCGGGGGGCCTGTGCCACCTCAGTCCCCACTGGCTCTCCTGGCCCGTCAGTCTTTCCCTGCTCCTGCTGAGCAGCCCACACAGCCCATTCCCTCCCCACGGGAACTGTGCCCAGGCTCGGCTTCCGCTGGGGCCGTTCTCTCTCCTTCTCTTTGCCTCATGGACCCTGGTTTGCCCTCCAGGGATTAGCTCAATATTGAGCTCCTCAAAGCAGTCTACATCCTGGCTGGGTCCCGCTCTCCCTTTGCCGGGGCCCTCGTGGGACTGGACACCTCTGTCTGCTTTGTCACACTTGTCACGGTGACGGTTTTCCATGGATTCCTGCCACTGCCTCCTTGATATCTGTCTCTCCTGCTACACTGCAAGCTCCATGAGGGCAAGGAAGCTGTTTCCATTCATCTTTGCACACACACAGTAGCTGCTCAGCCCTCTGCTGACTGACAGAAGGGAGGCGGGAAGGGGAGGAGGACAATGAGGTATCCTCAAGAAAGGAGTGTTGTTTCCTTATTACAGGATAGGTGCCCAAGAAATATTTATCCGTCCATTGCCCCATGCACCTACCCACCCAGCCACTCGATTATCCCTCACGCAGCCCTTCAGCACCCATCATCCACGCCGTCAATGTCTACTGAGCCCAGGCTCTGTCTTGGACCCCCCGTTGGCCTCTGGGACACAGCCAGAGTTTCCTGAGACATAGTCTCAGTGCCACCAAGCCCAGCCTCTCTGCTCCAGCCAGATGCACCTTGGCAGGGCCTCTTAGGTCACTCTCCTGCCCCCTCCCCTTGACACCTCACATCCTCATGCCTCCTTCAGCAAGTCACCCGAGTTTACAGAGACACACCTGGAGGCCCGAGAGGCTACGTACCTTGCCAAAGATCACACGGTGGCTCGGAAGCCAGACCTCAGCCATGCAGGCAAGCTCGTCCCTGCCCTGGGCTGTCATGCGGGGGCGAGGGACAAGTCACCCACCTCCCTGGCAGTCCTTGGAACTTGGTGCTCGACGCTCCCAGCTGGCAGAAGGTGGTGAGGTGGGAAGGAGAGAAGGCCAGGCCCTAGCCAGCCCTGGGCCTGGCACACAGCAAGGGCACAGGGCATGGCAGCAGCTGTTACATCACAGCAGGGGGTTACCATGTGACCCCAGTAAGACGGGCCTCTGCCTGTCACCCCATGCACCTGTCTCCATTCCCTGATGGAGAGCTCGGAAGTAGTCGATCAGGAGGGTGAAACTCACCAGGGTCCTGCAACAGAGGCCTTCACAGCCTGACGGCGACAGCCACCACGCCCCAAGACCTTACTAATCTCAGTGGGTTGTTATTCCCATTTCATGGATGGGGAAACCAAGATTCAGAGAAGGCACTTGCCAAGCAAAACCACGAATTTAGTCTAAGTTGGACTTGATGGAAGGAGAATAGTTATTATAGAAGACAAGGAATATCAGATTCCCACTGATAAATTGGGATTTTAAAAAATCTTTAAAATGGGCATGACCCCTGGACCAAGTGATTCAAATGACCCAAGATGCTATCAAATCGAGTGTGCATGCCAGGATGTGCTAATGACACCTTCTTTGCATTACTTGCAATAGAAACCGAGATTTTCGCAATTCCCAGCAAGAGTTAAACAGCCCTGACAAACTGCAGAGGAGTCCCGCCGGGGACCTGTGCAAGCACAGAACTGTAGGCCTGTGCAAGGCTATGTGATGAGCCAGCACAGCACGCACGCCCCTTAGGTGAAAAAGCCAATTACAAGGGGCCAGTGTTGTGGCGCCGCAGGTTAAGCTGCTGCCTGCATTGCTGGCGTCCCACACAAGCACTGGTTGGAGTCCCAGCTGCTTCACTTCCAATCCAGCTCCCTGCTAATGCACCTGGGAAAGCAGTGGGTGACGGCCCACGTGTTTGGGCCCCTGCACCCATGTGGGAGACCTAGATGGAGCTGCTGGTTACCTGGCCCAGCCTTGGCCTTTGCGGCCATTTGGGGAGTGAACCAGCGGATGGAAGATCCCTCTCTCCGTCCTTCTCAGTCATGCTTCCTTCAAATAAATAAATCTTTATATATATAATATATATATAATTTGAAAATCAGAGCTACCGAGAGAAGAGGAGAAAGAGAGGGATCTTCCATCCGCTGGTTCACTCCCCAAATGGCCGCAAAGGCCAGGGCTGGGCCAGGCCAAAGCCAGCAACCAGGAGCTCCATCCAGATCTCCCATGTGGATGAAGGGGCCCAAGCACTTGGGCCATCTTCCACTGCTTTCCCCGGTGCATTAGCAGGGAGCTGGATCAGAAGAGGAGCAGCCGGGACTTGAACTGGTACCATATGGGATGCTGGCACTACAGGCGGAGGCTTAGCCTGCTACGCCACAGTGCCAACCCCAAATAAATAAATCTTAAAAAAGAAAAAAAAAAAGCCAGTTACAATGGGGTGTGCATAACACTGTCCCCTATTCACATTCTTATTTACATATTTATGTCTTAAGGGAGGAACATGGGTCTGGAGCTGTTGTGGCTTAACAAGTAATCTGTGATATTATCTCTTTTTTACTTATGCTTTCTGATTTTTCTGTGATGAACAGTATTACCTGTATGACTTAAATCTTTCAAGATTGTAAATGACAGCTTTTACAGAATTTAGTGACGAATGCTGAGGCTCCCTCATCCGCCTGCCAGAAGGTGGGACACCGGGGGACCGGACACCCCCACAGGGGCCCGGGGAGGGCTCTCACCTTCTCCAGAAGACTCCCCGGATGAGGAATCCTGATGTGTGTCCGGCTGCAGGTCTGGGCCCCACTCCGGGGGCAGCAGGTGCGGCTGGGCCAGGAGGAAGTCCTCCAAGAGCTCGGGGCTGGGGGTGCCGGGGGAGGGCCGCTCTTCTCCCCAGCCCCGTGGGCCACTTTTGTCGGCACCCTTCTCCTCCGTGGCCCAGGCCCAGCGCCGCCGCCGGAACCCTTGCCCCAGGCTGGGCTCAGCCCAGTGGGCCTCAGCCCCCGTGCTGGCCATCCAGGCCTGGCCTGGCCTTCACCTGGGCCACTTCATCCTCAGGAGACAGAGATGCCAGCCATCCCGCCTGTGGCCTGTAGGGGACACAAGAAAGACACCTCGTGAACCCCTGAGTCCTCGCCTTTATCCACAACAGGACACTGGCAGCAGCAGCACCACCGTACTCCCCCGGGGCCCGGCCCCACCTCCTCAAGCTGTGTGAGCTGGGGCAGTCCCTCTGTCTCCCTTTGAGTCATTCCTCTCTCCTGCCAGCAGCTTGTAAAATGACTTGGGACCGGATGAGAAGGCCAGGGGCCAGGGCACCAAGCCATGGCAACTGTCACTGGGTGCCCAGCTCTGTGTGTGCTCTCAGGACAGCTGGGAGCTCCGGAGGGACCCGAGAGACAACCAGGCACCTGCAACCCAGGTGGACATGCTGGGGAGGCTCAGGGGCTGGGGCCCAGCACAGCCTGGGGAGGTCAGGGAAGCCCCTGTTTAGAGGCCATGTCACACGGGGGTCTTTCTTGAGTAAGAAGCAATGCCAGCATCCCATCCCAGGGTGCGGGTTCAAGCCCTGGCTGCTCCACTTCCCATCCAACTCCCTGCTAATGCATCTGAGAAAGCATTGGAAGATGGGCCAGGTGCTTAGGACCCTGCTATCCACTTGGGAGACCCGGATGGAGTTCCTGGATCCTGGTTTCAGCCTGGCCCGGTCCTAGATTTTGCAGCCATTTTGGGACTGAACCAGTACATGGAAGCACTCTTTCTCTGTCCTCTCCCTCCCCCTCTCTCTGTCAGTCTGCCTTTCAAATAAATAAATAAATCTGGAAAACTATTCCGATTGATAGTGGGAGAGTGGTGAAGAGAGCATTCGAGCACCGGGAATAACTGGAAATAGGCACTGTGACGAATTGAGGTCGGCACACGGCCGCAGCAGCGCTGTCCCCATAGCGCCATGGTGGAAAGAATGGCTACACAATGTGGGCATCCATAGGCAACGTAATGTTACTGAGCCACAAAGGGGAAGGAAGAAAAAGCACTGACGTCCTATACACGCTACCATGGGGGCGAACCTCACAAACATCACGCTGACTGCAAGAAGCCAGACACACGGACAGCCGCGTCTCACGTGATGCCACGTATGCGTCTATCCAGACCAGGCAGCCCCACAGAGACAGACACTGAGCAGGCCGGCAGTTGCCAGGGCTGGGGAACGGGGAGTGGGGAGTAACTACGGGGTTTCCTTTGAGGGCGGTGAGGATGCTTTGGAATTAGGTAGTGGTGATGGTTGCACAACATGGTGAATATACTAAATGCCACTGAATCATTTAATTTTTTTAAGATTTATTTATTTATTTGAAGGGCAGAGTTACAGAGAGGCAGAAGCATAGAGAGAGAGAGACAGAGAGAGAGAGGTCTTCCATCCACTGGTTCATTCCCCAGAGCTGCACTGATCTGAAGCCAGGAGCCAGGAGCTTCTTCCAGGTCTCCCATGTAGGTGTGCAGGTACCTCTTTCACTGCTTTCCTAGACCACAACAGAGAGCTGGCTTGGAAGTGGAGCAGCCAGGACTCCAACCGGCACCCAGGATGCCAGCACTTTAGGCTGGGGCTTTACCTGCTATGCCACAGCCCCGGCCCCTCAATCATTTACTTTAAATGGTTAATTTTATGTTATGTGAGTTTCACCACATTTTTAAAAATAAATGCAGGCCAGCATTGTGGCGTAGCATTATTTAAGTGATGTCAGCATCCCATATGGGCACCAGTTTGAGTCTCTGCTGCTCCACTTCCCACCCAGCTCCCTGCTGATACACCTCGGAAAGCAGTAGAAGACGGCCCAAGTCCTTGGGCCCCTGCACCCATGTGGCAGACCTGGAAGAAGCTCATGGCTCCTGGCTTTGGCCTGGCCCAGTCCCAGCTATTGTGGCCATGTGGGGAGTGAGCCAGGGTATGGAGATTCTCTCTCTCTCTCTGTAACCCTGCCTTTCAAATAAATGAAATCATTTTTAAAGCACCCTAGGCATGGTGGGCTGTGGGTACAAAGGCCTGGGAGGGGAAGGGGGCGAGCCCCTGGTTATTCTCCATTGGTGGTCTCCCAATGCTTGTGGCGTGGGGTGGGGTCTGGGTGCCACTGACAGCAGACAGTGCGACCAGGACACCCAAAGCCAACAGCCAGGGTGACGGATGCCGGGAGCTCCCAGGCCTGGAGGTCTCCAGGAACCAGAGCAGGAGGGGCCCCCAGGTCAACCCTTACAAAGGCCTCCTTCTGCAGGCCGGAAGTCGCAGAGAGTGGATGGCCTTGCCCAGGGCCACACCCGGGTCCGAACAATCAGTCTCCCGGCCCACGTCTGGGACAAGCGGGGTAGAATCCAGGCCCTGAACACAGACACGTCTGTGTTTGTGCTGCCGGCCTCGTGAGCGCTTGGATCCTGATCAGGAGCCTTGATGTGCTCAGTTGAGAAGAGTCAGCAGGCAACTATTTCTGGACACACAGTTCCCCAGGGACTGGCGCAGCCCTGGCAAGGTGGACTTCTCAGGGCTGCAGTAGGGACAGGGAGAGCATTCTTCCTCTGCTCCACTGCTCCGGGACCGGGGCTCAGAACCCTCCCTCCTCTTGCCTTCACCCTGCTTTCTTCACTGCACCCCCCAGTGCAGAGCCCCGAGATCACCCCTGTGTGCCCCCCACCCCCACCACATGTGGTGTGCCCACTGGATGCCGGCCTAGCTAGAAGTCTTCCCACCTCTCCTCCACCTGTCCTGGCAGGTGCGGGCTAGGGAGATCACAGGAAAGCTGTTTTTCAAATGACAACACTGAAGTGCAGCATGGAGCTGGGACTTGGCCAAGACCACCCCGCTGGCCAGTGCCAGAGCAAGTTTTCCAAAAGTCCCAGTCAACTGGAATCCAGGGGCCTCCACACTGCTTTCAATCCTACAGTCCAGGATTCTCACACAATTACATGTGTTAGAGTATTTCTAAATGTGAAAGTTAAAAAAGATGTAATAGAAAATATTATAAACAGCAGTGCTAATCTTTGCTCCCCATACCCTCTGCAGGGCCTACACCTCTCCTAGGAACCCCTGCCAGTGACCTCAGCTCCAGCAGGGCCAGCGCTGTGGGCAGCACAGGTTAAGCTCCACTTGCCACACTGGCATCCCATAATCAGAGCACTGGTTCAAGTCCTGGCTCCTCCATTTCCAATTCAGCTGCCCACTAGTGCACCTGGGAATGCATCAGAAGATGGCCCAAGTGCTTGGGCCCCTGCCACCAGGTGGGAGACCCAGACGGAGCTGCTGGCTCCTGCTTCAGCCTGGCCCAGCCCTGGCTGTTGTAGACATCTGGGGAGTGAACCAGCAGATGGAAGATCTCTTTATCTCTCTCCTTCTCTCTCTAATGCTCTGCCTTTCAAATAAAAAAACCAGGCCGGCGCCGCGGCTCACTAGGCTAATCCTCCGCCTTGCAGCGCCGGCACACCGGGTTCTAGTCCCGGTTGGGGCGCCGGATTCTGTCCCGGTTGCCCCTCTTCCAGGCCAGCTCTCTGCTGTGGCCAGGGAGTGCAGTGGAGGATGGCCCAAGTGCTTGGCCCTGCACCCCATGGGAGACCAGGAGAAGCACCTGGCTCCTGCCTTCGGATCAGCGTGGTGCGCTGGCCGCGGTGCGCTGGCCGCAGCGCGCCGGCCGCGCCAGCCATTGGAGGGTGAACCAACGGCAAAGGAAGACCTTTCTCTCTGTCTCTCTCTCTCACTGTCCACTCTGCCTGTCAAAAAAAA